CCCAACCCCAACCCCAACCCCAACCCCAACCCCAACCCCAACCCCAACCCCAACCCCAACCCCAACCCCAACCCCAACCCCAACCCCAACCCCAACCCCAACCCCAACCCCAACCCCAACCCCAACCCCAACCCCAACCCCAACCCCAACCCCAACCCCAACCCCAACCCCAACCCCAACCCCAACCCCAACCCCAACCCCAACCCCAACCCCAACCCCAACCCCAACCCCAACCCCAACCCCAACCCCAACCCCAACCCCAACCCCAACCCCAACCCCAACCCCAACCCCAACCCCAACCCCAACCCCAACCCCAACCCCAACCCCAACCCCAACCCCAACCCCAACCCCAACCCCCAACCCCAACCCCAACCCCAACCCCAAACCCCAACCCCAACCCCAACCCCAACCCCAACCCCAACCCCAACCCCAACCCCAACCCCAATCTACTTAGTATTCTCAATCTAAATTAAGTCTTACTAAAAGTGTTATTTTATTTGATGGAAAATTTAATTTAAAAAAATTATTTCATTTATGGATGTAAAATTTAAAATTATGCTTAACTTTTAATATAAAAGCTAATTTTTTGAAATTAAAATAATAATTTAAACTTATTTTAAAATTAAAAATATTTTCAGTTAAAGTTTGTTTTATTGCCTAAACAATATTTTTTTACTAAATTTATTTACACATGTATTGAAAAAATTAGTTAATACTATTTATTATTTATTGGAAATAATTTTAAAATACATAAATTATTTTTTTAAATTTAGGATTATATTCTTTATTACAAAACATAACACTTTTTAATCACTACCATTCAACGATTTAGCTGGGTACTTTGCATGTTTCATCGAAATCCTTTAAAGATTCTTCGCAGAGCTTAGGATATAGCTAAATTACATCTAATTAGAAAATATCAGCTTCAGTTCCTAATATGGATCCAACATTTGGTGTAGTTCTTTCCAAGTCCCCATGAACAAATTCTTTAATATAAGTACCTGCACTACTTAATACATAAAGGACAAAATGTCTCTCGCTAAGGAGGTACGCTTTTAATTTATGAATGTATTTTGTTCTAATCATTTGAGTTCTTCTATGAAGTACTCTAATTGGAGTTTTCTGCTTTAATTCTATTTCATTCATGTTATTGAGCTTATCTATTTATTCTTAAGTGATTGGATCTTTAGTCTAAACAACGCAAGCATATGATTTAATTTTTTCTTATTCACTTTACTTTAAAACTTCAAAGCATTTTACATCTGTAAACTTTAAAGAATTAACCTTGCATTCAGTCTTCACATTATTTAAATGTGCTTCATAATTCTTAAGATCTTCATCAGAAACTGAGTGAACTCTTCTTGGATTTTAAATTTCAATAACAAAAGGTCTACCATTACCTAACATTCTTACATCAATATCTTCTCTGCCACCAGTAGAAAATTTATAGTCATCACACTGTTTAAAATAAATAAATAATAAATACAATTTTAAAATTCTAAAAAAAACTTTACTTTGAAATTTGGGAGGATATCATTAGCAATTTCTTCTTGTATTGATGTGTCATAAAGCTTAACTCCATCAATGAACCAGGGAGTTTAGCTCATGTATCTAGAATACTTGCAATAATTACCCATAATATATATGCTAGCATGGGATAGAGAGACGTCAATTTATGCAGGACTTGTTACTGGATCTGGAAGCTAGCCATTTCTTATAACTTTGAAGAATTAACTTCTAGGTAGAGCAGATATTCTCTCTAAATTAAGGGCTGTGGGTTCAACTCTAGGAAGGATGATTTCTTCATCAAAGTTACCCTTTAGTTTTTTCTTCTTCTTTTCTTCATATTACTTGTTAAGTTAACTAAGATGGTCTGAAAAGTAAGAGAATTAGAGACGATCATCATCATCTGCTCTAATTTAAAAGTTAACAACAAAAGGACAATCAACTGATGATGTAGCAGGTACTCCTAATTTCTCACTAAGTAAGTCTGGCAAAATCCACTTATAAACAGTTTTAATCTAAATATAAATATATTTATTAATTTGTTTGTTTAGTTATTAAAAGAGAAAGGAGATAAGACGACAAACTTAAATTTTAAATAAATAATAATATAAATATAATTACATCTATATAATTTTCTCTCCATTGAAGAATTTATTTAGCGAATTCTTCTTATTCTTCTGCAGGAAACTAGAGACTCTACTTTTCAAAGAGGTCTTCAGTGTGGTATAAAAAGTTAGCTAATCTAATCTATGTGCAGAGAGGAACTTTAATAAAAAATTTGAAAGACTAATATTCAAAATCTTGTTCTTTAATTTGTGCTGCTATTTTATCTACATTTTCTTAATGATCTATATTTTGCAAAATTCCCATGCATATCCTGCAGTAGTGATTATTACCACCAGTTCTAATGATCCAGTCATGATTATAATGAGTGGATAAACTTTAAATCTCTAACTTTTTGCTTACATTTTCAAGCAATTCTTAAAATTGTTGTTTGTTTTAGTAAACTTCATACTAATTAATTTTCAATGCTCTGAATATACATCTCACGCAACTAAAATTATCAAAGAAGTTTTTAAAAATGTGGCACTTTAAAGTACTTTTAAGAATTGATTCCATATTTATTTATTTAATTAGTTATTTCTTATTTATTTTTATAAAATCTATAGTGGATAGTTAATTAATAATTAATATATCTTTAGAAATAAATATTTTTGATAGAAAAATAATCCTTAAAATTAATTATTAATTTTACATGAATCAAGCAAATCCTTTAAATTTATTCATCCGCAATTTTACTTCTACAGTTTTTTAAAACTATTTAAATTAATTTAATAAATTTCAAAAAAATTTAGATAAATACAAAAAAAAAAAAAATTAAAATATAACTATTTGCGAAATGTAGATTTCTGAAGCAGACGCATCTGAAGAAGTGTAGTAGTCATTCATCTTCAACTATGTCAATAATGAGATATTAGAAGAAAAGAAGATAAAAGAGCTCTTTTAGAAATGGTAACGTTTAAATGCTGTAAAAAAATGTTTGCAAGTATTTTTTATATTTAAATTATCAAAAGGGGATTGAATTATTTAACAGTATCAAGTTATAGATTCAACTAAAGGTTCGAAGAAGTTTCTGCTGAACAATTCCTGTTAGAATTCTTTAATTTCCCTGAAGTTAGATAGACCCTCTCTTCAGTAACAATTTTAATCATGCAAATAATGTTTTGTTTAATATTTATAAAACTATTATTCCAGATGAATTCCCCTAAGGAGAACTATAGCACAATAAAATACAAAAGACTTAAAGTGAATCAAATTAAAATGGATTTGTTTGATAGATTAGAAGAAAATAATTTAGTAGTTAAAGACATGATAAAGTAAACTTATGAAGATTTCGTTGAGGAAATTCAAATTAATGATTTAGTTAGGTATTTAATTTTAGTGTATTGGGTTAGAGCAGCAGTATTAAAATAAATTGTTTTATTTTTAAAAGAGAGTGTTTAATTAAGGAAGAAAGCGAACACTATGAAATTTTTAGTGAAGAAGATAGAAAGCAATTCTTATTCAGACTCTTTTAATTAGTTGTTTTAGGTGGCTAAATGTGTCAATGGGAAGAGAAATTGTCAATTTATCTTGACGCTACAAAGCACTTGTACAAGAACTTAGTCACGTAAATATTACTAAAATTAGAATAAATCATTGATGCAATAATAATAAATTAAATAGAGCTCGTAAAGATAGCGCCACTGATAACATTTACATAGATTCATTCGTTTATGAGATTTAAGCTCTTGATGTAAAAGTTACCATTTGTGAATTATAATACAATTTAACTTTTAATAAAAAAAGAAATCATACAAGAAAGGAAATAATCCTTAGGATGTGCTTTATGTAGTCGTTAACCCTTCAATTAGAATGCTGCATGTCGTATAAAATGCATGGGTTAAAGTATGGTGAATAAATAACAATTTTAGTGAATAGCAAAAATGACATTTTCAATAATAAAATTCTAACTTAGTTAAATAATTTAAAAATAAATATGTAGAAATTGTTTGTTTGTTTGTATATAAAAAATAAAATAAATAAGCATGAGTTTAACGTAGAATAAATAAATATCAATCAATCAATTATCATTTTATTTGCTTTATATGGAACAAAAGTAATTAATTATTTATGTAAATCTTTGAACAATCAATATCTTTATCAAATTTAATAACATCAATATAAAAGTATCTATCTATTAAACTTTATTTAATATCATTTAATTTCCATTCTAAATCTATACAACTTGTATCAAAAATTCAATTTAGCAAGATAACAAAAATAAATAAGTAAATAAATATGGGCGATTTATTAAAAATTAAAGATTAAATAGACTTCAAAAAATATTTGCATGATGATATGCTTGGTTTAAATATTGTATTGCCAGGTGATGTCATTAAAAAAGAAAAAGGTTTCATGAAGTAATTTCAATTCTTTAACATTTGTGTTTGCAATTATTTATTTATTGAATTGATTTTAATTATCTTAGTGGACATGGTACTTATGAAGAAAACGGAATTATTTATTCTTCAGTAATAGGAACAGTAGTATAAACAAATAAGTAAAGCTTTACTTATTCATCAATTCAAATTAGCAATGTTTTTTATTTCTTAAATAGGTTGCTTAGTGTGTCACCACTTAAGTCATATTACACTCCTTAAGTAGGAGATATTGTTGTAGGAAGGGTTATGGAAGTAAATAAACGATTTCGTTTATAATAGGAATATAAAATTATAATATTTAATAGATAGGAGACAAGAAATGGAAAATAGAAATAGGATCTAATTAATATGCAAGTCTTCACTTGAATTCAACTTATATTCCTGAACAGGTTTATTATTTCCTTTCAAAAAGCATAGATTGATTTAAAACTTTAACATTTTTATAGAGAATTAAAACAGATGAAGATGAGTTAAATATGAGATAAATCATGAAAGAAGGAGACTTAGCTTGTGCAGAAATTCATTGTAAATAAAATAACTCTAAAATATAAATATTAACATAATCTATATTTCAGCTATTAACAAGGACAAGACAGCAAACTTGCATACTAGAAGTTTAAAATACGGCAAGCTTGAAAATGGATTTTTGGTGGAAGTATTTAACAAACTAGTGAAAACTTAAACTAACCACTTCAAAAAGTTGTAATGTGGAATCAATATTATATTTTCTCACAATGGTAAAATTTGGCTCAACAATATTTCTAGAGAAGGCATTATTAAAGAGTAAAAAGAAGTAGAAAAGAAATAATATAGCTATGAAGAAAGATAGGCTCTCAGCATAATCTCAAACTTACTTAAATTACTTGATCAATAAAATATAAAAATCAGCACTGATTTACTTGATGAGCTTTATAATTATGTGATTACAAAGAAAATAGAACCATCGTAAATTATTTTATAAATAAACACTTTATTTATATTTTAACTTAAAAAGAAATATTCTAACATAAGCAGGATCTAAGGAATTAAAGTAGTATCTGTAATAAAAATTAGAAACATAAATTCCTAAAGAAATTAATAAATTAATGAAATAAGGAGACTATTTAGCTTAAGATTATTGAAAAAATGTGTGTATCTAGATATATATACTTTTTATTCTATCTTTGTAGATATTTTTACATCATTTATTTACTAGAATATTAGTTGTTTAAAAACAAACACGATAAATAAATAGTCTATTTTTATATTAAAAATTTCAATTTTTTACAAATTAAAAAGAATTTTATAATTTAAATTTAAAATATTTTAAGTATTTATTTAGTCTAAAAATATGAATTATAATAATTTATTTTAATGAAAAATAAAAATTTAGTTAAATAATTTACAATAACAGAATAACAAGTTAAGAAAAAAAATATTGCTATTACTAACTAATTCTAGTTTCGAAAATAAAAAATTGCTTTAAAAAAATATTAATTTTTTAATCAAATCAAAAATTTTTGAATTGTTTTAAATTATATTTTATTTGTCAAAAAATAAATATGTCATTTCATATAATTATTGTATTTATTTAATTTATTTTTTTATTTTTAGTGGTTTTAAATCTTTCAATAAAATTTTATCCTAAAATAATTTATTTTAAATAAACTAATAATAATTATTTTTTTGAGTTAATTTTAAAATTTAATTTTCATTCATTCATTTTTAATAATTTTGTAGTTTAATCAATTAATTATTTTATAAACATAATAAAAAATTAAATAAAAATTTTCATTTTTTGACTAATTTATGATTAAACAAACAAGAGATTTATAAACTCTTTAATATTTAATACTTACTTAACTTATACATATAATTTATATTTTGAACAAAATCAAAAATATTTTATGTAAAAAGCTATTAATACTATTGATTAGTTTTTAGGATGGATTTTGTTTTCTTTCCTTGTAGGGCTAGGTGTCTGTCTATATTTATTGATGATTAAACTATATCTACAAGAAATTTATTTTTAATCAAAAATCCATTATACTAATGTTTAGTTTAATTAACGTTTTTAACTTACTAAGTTTATTTTTAATTATTCTTTCTTTATATTTATAGTGAGAATCTCTAATAAAAAAATCATTATTAACTAAATAATATTTATCAAAAACTTAATAAATTACAGTTTTAAAGGGTATAAAAATGTCAAAATATGTAAATTTCTATATTTTACTAGAGTATCACAAATATCTTAAACAATTTCATATGGGATATAACTTCTATGACTGCTTTTAAAAAAAGTATATAATTAAAAAATTGAAAATTGAAAATTAATAAATGCTAATAAATAAATCTTCAAATTCCAAAATAATAATTCTGGAAATGAAAATAGTTATTTAAATATAATCAAAATCCGAATATTTTTGTTTGTACGTTAGACATACTTCTAATTATTTGATATTCTTACAGCAAGACAAGCTATCAAATAAAGTTAAAAGATCATCAGTATCAATACTTTATCTAATTTAAGTAATTTAATTAGCTACAAATTTATTATTTAAGTTTTATATAAATTGAAATCATTTTTAATTAATTACATTTTCTACTTTTGTTAGGAATAAATAAGTTGATAAAAATGAAAAATTCAATAATTTTACTTTATCTTATAAATAGTTAATAAGGAAAGATTTTTGCATTGTGATATGGCAGTTGCTATTTTTTATATAAATTGTGCTCCAATTTTATCCCACCTATCAAAAAATATATTTTAAGAATTTAAACAATAAGATTAAATGATAAATTATAAATAATTATTATTATTTTAGCAAAAGAAAAAAAATAAAAAAAAATACAATAATTTCTAATATTAATTTATTTATTTCTTATCTTTTAATAACTTAGTTTATTTATTGTTTGGGTTAAATAAATAAATTTAACTTTATTATTTTTAAAATAAAGTTTGCTCAATAAAAATTATTTTTTATTCTAACTTTTTATTTATTGGATGATATTTTCCAAAATTTTCTTAGCTTCTTTATCATTTTTATTACTTTTCTATTTAAAAAAATAAAATCATATACTCAATGTATAAAATTATAGTTTAGATTGAAAGGCTTTGTTCGAAGGAGGAACTTAAACCCTATATATCTTCTTCATCAATATCTTCTCCACTAATTAAAATAAAAAATAAAATTATGAATTAATTATTTTGTGAGATAATATAAAGATATTTTTGTTTTATTATAATTTACAGTTTTTTTAGATTTTCCTAACTTATCAAAGCTTGAGTGGTAGAGATATATATTTATATAAAAAATAGATAAGTAAGAAAGTAAAATTAACATACCTTAAACTAAGAGTAACAACTTTTTAAAATGCAAAGTCTGTTTCCTTCAGCTTTAATAAAAGTTATAAATTAACTAAATAATTAAAAGATAAAAATTTAACTGTAATACTTTCTTAATTTAATATACTTTTGGCAATATTATCATACCACGAAATGGTTATTCTTTTTTATTTTTTATTGATTTATTTCCCATTTTAATTTATTTTTTTTCCAATTTTATTAATTAATTATAAATATTTGAAGATAATATTTTCTTCTAAAATAGGAAATTATTGAATAAATAAAAGAATTGTTTTTTGATTAGACTATCAAAAATATGATAAAAAAATTTTTTATGACTCTAAATTAGTAAAAGATTGAGAAAAATATTAATATATTATTTTAAATGCATACATACATACAGTAATAGATTTAAATTATAGAATGAGATTTTCAAATAATTAATTTAAAATATGCTCTAAATTATTTAATTAATTTTTTGTTAGTAACATAAACTAGAAATATAAATTGAATAAAATAAACATCATATATAGTAAAATTATAATCAATTAAAAACTTATTACTTAATTATAATTAAATGAAAAGAAATTATATAAATTGATAGCTATAAAATAAACTCCATTTTAATTTATTTTTTATTTCTTAATTAAAAATGCTATGCTCAAAATTATTATTGTATTTGGTTGCTTACTATTTTAATAATACGAGTCTTTTAAATGATAAAAAGGAACTAAAAAATATTTATAAATTGCTCTTAATTAAATAATATTTCAACTTAATATTGAGTAATAAATTATAGATATACTTTTAACCCTTTAAGTTTATATTCAATTAATTTAAGGTGAAATCTAATATTAGGTTTCAAAAAAATTAAATTCAGAATTTTGGTAAATAATTATTTTTTTTCATCTTAATTTTATAATTTTTTTCAATTAATTATATTTTTAAACTTAATAAAAAATTAAATAAAAATTTTCATTTTTTGACTAATTTATGATTTAAAAAACAAGAGATTTATATACTCTTTAATAGAAATTATACTTAACTGATATTATAATTTATATTTTGAACAAAATCAAAAATATTTATGTAGAAAGTTATTAATGCTATTGATTAGTTTTAAAGATGGTCTTTGCTTTCTTCTCATTTTGCAGGGCTGTCTATATTTATTGATGATTAAATTAAATCTACAAGAAATTTATTTTTTAATCAACAACAACACATAATCGTTAAGTTTAGTTAAATTAACCTTTTTAACTTAATAAGTTTATTATTAATTTTTTTTTCTTAATGTTTGGTCTGAATACCTCTAATAAAAAAATTACTATTAACTAAATAAGTAAATAATATTTATCAAATAACTTAATAAATTACAGTTTTAAAGGGCATAGAAATGACAAATAATGTAAATTTCTATAGTTTACTAGTGTATCACAAATATCTAAAACAATTTCATATGGGATATTAAATCTAATTTCATTTTAAAAAAAATAAATAATTAAAAAATGGAATTTGTTAAATTAATAAATGCAAATAAATCATCATATTCCAAAATAATAATTCTGGAAATGAAAATAGTTTTTTAAATATAATCTAAATCCAAATATGTGTGTTTGTACTATAGAGAAACTTCAAATTATTTGATATTGTTACAGCAAGACAAGCTACGAAATAAAGTCAAAAGATCATCTGTATCAATACTTTATCTAATTTAAGTAGTTTAATTAGCTAAAAATTTATTATTTAAATTTTATATAAATCGAAATCATTTTTTAAAATTTCATATGCTACTTTTGTTTGGAATAAATAAATAGGTCGATAAAAATGAGAAATTCAATAATTTTACTTTATTTGTCTAATATTTAATAAAGAAAGATTTTTGCATTTTGATATGGCAGTTGCTATTCTTTATATAGATTGTGCACCAATTTTATCCCACCTATAAAAAATATATTTTAAGAATTTAAACAACAAAATTAAATGTTAAATTATAAACAGTTAATTTTATTTTAGCAGATAAAAAAAAGTCAAAAAAATAATACCATAATTTCAAATATTAATTAATTAATTTATTTCTTATGTTTTAATAACTTAGTTATATATTCTTTGAGTTAAAAAAATAAATAAATTTAACTTTAATTATTTTTAATTTAAAGTTTGTTCAATAAAAATTATTTTTTATTCTAACTTTTTATTTATTAGATATTCTCCAAACTTTTCTTAGCTTCATTATCATTTTTATTACTTTTCTATTAAAAAAAATAAAATTATCTACTCAATGTATAATTTTATCTCTTAGATTGTAAAGCTTTATTCTAAGCAGGAACTTAAGCCCTATATGCCTTCTTCATCAATCTCTTCTCCACTTATTAAAATAAAAAATAAAATTAAGACATTAATTATTTTGTGAGATAATACAAAGATATTATTTTAAGTTTAATTTCATTTTGATTTTTTTTTTTAAGAAAGTAAAAAGACAAAAAAGATTTTAATCAAAAAATAGCATAAAATATTCCTATAATTAGCATAATAATTTAGTTTTTCTTTTAATTTTTAAGAATTTTATTTTTGAATTAAAAATATTGTTTATAATTTTTATTTTATAATAATTTACAGTTTTTTTAGATTTTCTTAACTTTTCAAAGTTTGAGTGGTAGATAAATAAATAAATAAATAAATAAATAAATAAATAAGTAAGTAAAATTAACATACCTTAAACAAAGATCAACAATTTTTTAAAATGCAAAGTCTGTTTCCTTCAACTTTAATAAAAGTTATAAATTAACTAAGTAATTAAAAGATCAAAATTTAACTGAAATACTCTCTTAATTTAATATATTTTTGGCTTATTTTTTATCATACTATGATGTACTTTTTTTTTATTGATTTATTTATTTCCCATTTTAATTTATTTTTTTTTCCAATTTTATTAATTAATTAATTATAAATATTTGAAAATAACATTTTGTTCTAAAATAGGAAACTACTGAATAAATAAAAGAATTATTTTTTGATTAGACTATCAAAAATATGATAAAAAATTTTTTTATGGCTTTAATTAAATTAGTAAAAGAAAAAAAAATTAATATATTATTTTAAATGCATACAATAATATTTTTAATTTATTGAATGAGATATTTCTAATAGTTAATTTAAAACATGCTCTAAATCATTTAATTTTTTGTTAGTAACATAAACTAGAAATATAAATCTAATAAAATAAAATAAAGATCACTTATATTAAATTATAATTAATTAAAAACTTGTTTCGTAATTATAATTAAATGAGAAGAAATTGAATAAATTGATAGCTATAAAATAAACTCCATTTTAATTTATTTTTTATTTCTTAATTAAAAATACTATGCTCAAAATTATTATTGTATTTGGTTGCTTACTATTTTAATATTAATACTTTTTTAAATGATAAAAAGGAGCTAAAAAATATTTAGGAATCGCTATTAATTAGTTAATATTTTAACTTAATATTGAATAATAAATTATAGATATACTTGTAACCCTTTATTTTAATATTCAATTAAGTTAAGGTGAAATCTAATATTAGGTTTCAAATAAAATCGATTAATGTAAAACTTTTATTTAAACTTTTACCAGCAAAATTAATGAGGGTATAAGGTAATAGGAAAATAATATTTGCAATTATTTAGAAATGAAGAATAGTGAAATAAAAAATAATGCAAATTATTATGTGTTTATTTGTTAAAGTTAAAAAGTGTTATCAATAAAAAGACAATAAAACATTTGATTAAAAAGAAAAGATACATTTAATATAAAAATTTAATAAATTATTTGAAATTTATAGTTTTTGTAAAATAAATAATTAATAAATAATTAAATTATACAACAAGCACAAAATAGTAATCATATATTCAAAAAACAAAAAAGCAAATTGACGAATTCTTTATATTTATGATATTTATACATATATTATATGGTATTTTTAATACTCATTTTATTATAATTTGTAAGTAAAATAAAAAATTTCACAATTTCTTTGAATATGTGTGTATTGTTTTTGTTATAGATTTATCCACACAGCAATCTTTAAGAAAATTAATACACTGAATATGCTAATCAACATCTACTATTTTTGATTTGTAAATCCATTCAGAAACATCAAAAGTGAGATAGTATTCAAGAATTTTAGAATAATTCTTGTTTTCTATCAATTTAATTAAATTCTAATTGTTAAATTTGTAGCATTTTATATATCTTTTGATATTTTTAATAGTTTATTGATAAGGCTTTTTCGATACCAGTTCTAATATTAGCTATTCACTCTCAGTGCCAATCAAAAAATTGAAAAAAGATTTAATAATATTCTTTAAGGCATTTGTATTTGTTTTGTGTTCTTCTTAATCATCATTTAAATTTCTTAATAAATGGGATTAATCTTATTATTCTAAGCTTAGAGTAATGTTTTAGCTCTCACAAGTATAATTTGTCTATGGAAGCGAACTCTCAGCAAATGAATCATCAAATGAGCTTGACTTTCTTCATATTATAATTATTAAAATATGATTGAGTATACATTACTCCATAAAAATAGTAAATAAATTATGCTTATACCTTCTACGACGTATCGAAAACTATAATTTGTTGCAATTAATAGCATATTCTTCACCTTATTAATAATCAAAATCTTGTGTTTAATAAATTAAACTATCGTTTTGCATATTAAATTGTAATGATTTAATTGATTCCATCTTATTTTTTTATTTTTTGTTTATTTACTTATTTTTTTTAAATGATTGATTAATAAAGTAAAAATTACAATCTTTTGATTAATTAAGAGGTAAATGTGAAGTAATATCAAGTTGATTTAAATTGTTGTAATAATTTGTTTCCTTTTTAGCTAGCAAAAAAGTTATTATATAATTTAAAAATATAGTCAGTCGTCCTTTGGTTAATTCATTAATTGAAATTTTAAATGAAATATTAAATCGATTTCTAATTTAGTTAGTTAACTTTATTCAAGCATTCTCTAAAAAAACCTTTGTGCTAAAATTTTATCATTTCAGTTAGTTTATTTTATTTAATTAATTGGCAGAAGGATAGCCATCATTGTAATATGAGTTATCAAAACTTAATGCAATAAATTGAGCTAATATAGGTTAATAAAATCATTTTATTGGAGATAAATCATCGAAAAATTTCTTAAAATAAAAATAGCTTCATTTTTTTGAATTTTTTCCATTTACTCCTTAAATTTTCCAAAGTAATATATTATAACTTTATAAACATTGATTTTCAAAGAAATATATTATAACTTTATAAACACTGATTTTCAAAATCAATTTGTTTTTGTCACCAGAAATTAGCTTTCAATAAATCAAATAATCATTAATAAAAGAATATTTTCTCAACTTTTTATCATAATTCTTACATTTTAAATTTACTTAAAAAAAATTTCAGAAAACTGCCTGATCAGGATAATAATTGTTTTTTATATGAATATTAAGTAATTGATTTCATATACAATCTTATTAAGTAAAAATTACATTTTTTAGTAAAATAATGAATAATATTTAGTTGCTAGAATAAATGACGATTATTTATTATTTTCTTAGTTGCAGGATGTATTTTTACAAATAAAACATATTTAAGACAATTAGTATTATTTAATAAAATTAAAAAAATAAAAAAAAGGTTTTAAAACAGGTTTGAAACTGATAAAAGAAAAAAATAATATATTTTTAACAATAAATTAATTTTTTATGAAAAAATCTGAATTTTTATATCATACATTTACTCTTAAAAGAGATATAAACATATTTCATTTTTTGTCACTAGCAAAAAATCAGCATATTAGGCTTATTTTGATAAAACTATTTTTAAAATAATTTATCATTTCTCAAATATCCACATAAACATATTCATTTTTATATTAAAATTTTTTAAATTATTTTAATTCTACATATTTTCATATTTTTATATTTATTTTTAAATTAATTTTTATTTTTTAAAACATTTTACACAACACACTTGAATGCATGCAATATATATTTGCATAATTGTACAATAGAAAATTTTTTACAAATCAAAATATTTTTTTAATTTTACAATCAAAAGATTTAATGATTTTCAAAATCTTGCTTGGTTGAAAATATATTAATTACAGTAACATCAATAAAATTAATATATTTCAGATGATTAAGAATAAAAAAAATATTATAAAAGTCAACATTAACAAATATTAACTGGTAGTAAGGCTACATTCAGCTTAGCAAACATTATTTGAATCAGAAGTTTATTCTAAATTGCAGCTAGCAACACAAGCACTCCCATTAAAAAATTTACCAGCAGAATAAGCTGTATGAGAGCCAGAGACACCATTACAGGATTTACACATCCAACCATTGAGATTAGAACCTGGATTAGAACTACAGTCAGTAACTTTACAATTTGGAGTTGCAGAAACCGAAAATAAATTTTAGATTGTACTAGTAGAACCACATTCATTGCAATCAGTAGCTTTACCACCATCTACACCTGCATTACCACAACCAACATCTGCACCATTAACAACAACTTAACAAATATTATTTGAATCAACATAATAACCTGAAGGACAACTGGCAACACAAGCAGTTCCACTCAGAAATTTACCAGCAGAGTAAGCTGAATGAGCATTAGTGACGCCATTACAGGATTTACACATCCAACCATTGAGATTAGAACCTGGGTTAGAACTACAATCAGTGACTTTACAATTTGGAGTTGCCGAAACAGAAAATAAATTTTGGATTGTACTAGTATCACCACATCCATTACAGTTAGTAGCGTTACTCCCAGATGCACCTGCAGATCCACAACCAACATCTGCACCATTAGCGGCAACTTTACAAATATAATTTGAATCAGCATAATAACCTGAAGGGCAACTGGCAACACAAGCAGTTCCACTCAGTAATTTACCAGCAGAGTAAGCTGAATGAGCATTAGTGACACCATTACAGGATTTACACATCCAACCATTGAGATTAGAACCTGGGTTAGAACTACAATCAGTGACTTTACAATTTGGAGTTGCAGAAACAGAAAATAAATTTTGGATAGTACTAGTATCACCACATCCATTACAGTTAGTAGCGTTACCCCCAGATGCACCTGCAGAACCACAACCAACATCTGCACCATAAAGAGCAACTTTACAAATATAATTTGAATCAGCATAATAACCTGAAGGGCAACTGGCAATACAAGCAGTTCCACTCAGTAATTTACCAGCAGAGTAAGCTGAATGAGCATTAGTGACGCCATTACAGGATTTACACATCCAGCCATTGAGATTAGAACCTGGATTAGAACTACAATCAATGACTTTACAATTTGGAGTTGCAGAAACAGAAAATAAATTTTGGATAGTACTAGTATCACCACATCCATTACAGTTAGTAGCGTTACCCCCAGATGCACCTGCAGAACCACAACCAACATCTGCACCATTAGCGGCAACTTTACAAATATAATTTGAATCAGCATAATAGCCTGAAGGACAACTGGCAACACAAGCAGTTCCACTCAGTAATTTACCAGCAGAGTAAGCTGAATGAGCATTAGTGACACCATTACAGGATTTACACATCCAACCATTGAGATTAGAACCTGGGTTAGAACTACAATCAGTGACTTTACAATTTGGAGTTGCCGAAACAGAAAATAAATTTTGGATTGTACTTGTATCACCACATCCATTACAGTTAGTAGCGTTACCCCCAGATGCACCTGCAGATCCACAACCAACATCTGCACCATTAGCAGCAACTTTACAAATATAATTTGAATCAGCATAATAACCTGAAGGGCAACTGGCAACACAAGCAGTTCCACTCAGTAATTTACCAGCAGAGTAAGCTGAATGAGCATTAGTGACACCATTACAGGATTTACACATCCAACCATTGAGATTAGAACCTGGGTTAGAACTACAATCAGTGACTTTACAATTTGGAGTTGCCGAAACAGAAAATAAATTTTGGATTGTACTTGTATCACCACATCCATTACAGTTAGTAGCGTTACCCCCAGATGCACCTGCAGAACCACAACCAACATCTGCACCATAAAGAGCAACTATACAAATATAATTTGAATCAGCATAATAACCTGAAGGGCAACTGGCAACACAAGCAGTTCCACTCAGTAATTTACCAGCAGAGTAAGCTGAATGAGCATTAGTGACACCATTACAGGATTTACACATCCAACCATTGAGATTAGAACCTGGATTAGAACTACAATCAGTGACTTTACAATTTGGAGTTGCCGAAACAGAAAATAAATTTTGGATTGTACTAGTATCACCACATCCATTACAGTTAGTAGCGTTACCCCCAGATGCACCTGCAGAACCACAACCAACATCTGCACCATAAAGAGCAACTTTACAAATATAATTTGAATCAGCATAATAGCCTGAAGGGCAACTGGCAATACAAGCAGTTCCACTCAGTAATTTACCAGCAGAGTAAGCTGAATGAGCATTAGTGACGCCATTACAGGATTTACACATCCAACCATTGAGATTAGAACCTGGATTAGAACTACAATCAATGACTTTACAATTTGGAGTTGCAGAAACAGAAAATAAATTTTGGATAGTACTAGTATCACCACATCCATTACAGTTAGTAGCGTTACCCCCAGATGCACCTGCAGAACCACAACCAACATCTGCACCATTAGCAGCAACTTTACAAATATAATTTGAATCAGCATAATAACCTGAAGGGCAACTGGCAACACAAGCAGTTCCACTCAGTAATTTACCAGCAGAGTAAGCTGAATGAGCATTAGTGACGCCATTACAGGATTTACACATCCAACCATTGAGATTAGAACCTGGATTAGAACTACAATCAATGACTTTACAATTTGGAGTTGCAGAAACAGAAAATAAATTTTGGATAGTACTAGTATCACCACATCCATTACAGTTAGTAGCGTTACCCCCAGATGCACCTGCAGAACCACAACCAACATCTGCACCATAAAGAGCAACTTTACAAATATAATTTGAATCAGCATAATAGCCTGAAGGGCAACTGGCAACACAAGCAGTTCCACTCAGTAATTTACCAGCAGAGTAAGCTGAATGAGCATTAGTGACACCATTACAGGATTTACACATCCAACCATTGAGATTAGAACCTGGATTAGAACTACAATCAGTGACTTTACAATTTGGAGTTGCCGAAACAGAAAATAAATTTTGGATTGTACTTGTATCACCACATCCATTACAGTTAGTAGCGTTACCCCCAGATGCACCTGCAGAACCACAACCAACATCTGCACCATAAAGAGCAACTATACAAATATAATTTGAATCAGCATAATAACCTGAAGGGCAACTGGCAACACAAGCAGTTCCACTCAGTAATTTACCAGCAGAGTAAGCTGAATGAGCATTAGTGACACCATTACAGGATTTACACATCCAACCATTGAGATTAGAACCTGGATTAGAACTACAATCAGTGACTTTACAATTTGGAGTTGCCGAAACAGAAAATAAATTTTGGATTGTACTTGTATCACCACATCCATTACAGTTAGTAGCGTTACCCCCAGATGCACCTGCAGAACCACAACCAACATCTGCACCATAAAGAGCAACTATACAAATATAATTTGAATCAGCATAATAGCCTGAAGGGCAACTGGCAACACAAGCAGCTCCACTCAGTAATTAACCACCAGAATAAGCTGAATGAGCACCTATTACACCATTACATGCACGACACATCCAACTATTGAGATTAGAACCTGGATCAGAACTACAATCAGTGACCTTACAATTTGGAGTAGCAGAAACAGAGAATAAACTTTAGATTGTACTATTATCACCGCAACCATTACAGTTAGTAGCGTTACCCCCAGATGCACCTGCAGTACCACAACCAACATCTTTACTAAGACAAGCTTCTTTAAAAGCTTTATTAACACCAATAACACCAATACAGGATTTACACACCCAACTATTTATACCACTTAAAGGTTAACTAATACAATTATTATATTTACAATTTGGATATGAAGTAAATATAAATCTAGTATAGATATTCGAGTCATCACTACATCCTTTACAAAAATAAGCTGGATCATCCACATTACCACAACTAACTTCATTACCATACTTATATTTGCAAATATAATTTTCATCACTAATATAATCTGGATCACATTAGTATTTACAAATACCATTTTCCAAGTAGATAAAATTTGGACCGCCATAACTCCAACTAGATTAAAAAGTAGCACAAGAACCACACATCCAACCATTGATATCTCCAACTGGATCAGTTACACAATCAGCAACAATACAGTTTGAACCACCGTTCTTAGAAGGTATGAAATAATTTCGAAAATAACTATTAACGCCACATCCATTACAGTCTATAGCAATACCACCATTTTAATTTGGTGTACCGCAAGAGACATCCAAGCCATTAGCAAAATTATCGTATTAGTATTAAGAAGCGATAATTTTAATTAAAGTAAAAATAACCAAAAATTTTTTCATATTAAAAATTTTTTTTTTAATTGATTTTATATTAATTTATTGAAATAATTAATTAATTATATTTTTTTTCATTTGATTTATGATTTAAAGTACGATTTGAGCTATACATTTGGGGATTTTTTTTTCACAATATTTAAACAATAATGGGTCAACATATATTTAAACGACACTACTTTTTAATTAATTTAAACGATGGCTATATTTACCATTTTTAAACTACACCTGAAATTTTATTGTTGTTTTAAATTATTTGAAGTAGGTGTCGTTTAAAATAATTATATACCCTATTTATTCATGGTGAGCTGAGAATTGGGTTTTTGAATATTGGTGAATTTTCAAAAATAACAAGGTCAAATAAAATTTTTTAAAAATAATGAAATAAAATTTAAAAAGAGTTATTGAGGTAGTTTTTTTTGACTTTTTAAAATTGATAATAAATAATTGAAAAATTAACCCTAACACTTTTGAAAAAAATATCAAAACAATCAGATCATTTAAATAATAATTCTGAATAAAATTTTATTTATTACTCATTAATTATTGAAATTGAAAAATCACACACTACACAATACATGTTACAAAAAAAGAAGGTGCACAACATGTATGATTTTTGGAACTTAAAATGTTAAAATCAATAATATGCTATTCAAATTCAAAAATAGTTTAACATATTGCTTAAAATATAATAAAAAATACATAGAAATAATTTTAAATAAATTTTAAGCTTATACTGGACTCATTTATATATGAAGGCATAATTTTATCACCAGTTTTGCTTTCACTTTTTAGAAATTGAAGAAAATATATGTAATTAATTAGTGAGTTGGTTAAAAGGAAATTGAAGAAAAACATATAAAATAACGGGCCAATTAATTATTTATAAAAGTGAAAATTTGAAAATGAAAAAATTTACAAAAAAGAAGGAAAATCAAAAGAAAAAGAAAAATAAATTAAAATAAAAAAACTAATAATGAAATAAGTAATTAATTAAAATAGAAAGTTATGTATGATATAAAGGCTAATGAGAAAACGAACCCAGTAGAACAGTTTCCTAATTTGTCAAATTTACACATACTTGATTTAAAAAAATTGATGATATTAGGTCTTAAAAACCTTACACTAGTCCTCACTTTTCCCTTTATATTAAGAGAACCCCCTACCCTTCAAATTATATCATTTATATAAATAAATAATTGGTATACATATAATAATAATTATAATAATAAAAATAGTATATCTGTAATTTTGTGTAAAGGGACAAATCCTGTAATATGTCACCTTGTACGAGTTTATATATGCATCACTTTTAGTAATTGAAGATAAAATTTATTATTAATTAATGGGTTAGTTAAAAGAAAAAATGAAGAAAACATATGAAATAATAAAAAATCAATTAATTACTGATAAAAGCAAAAACTGAAAATGAAAAAATTAGTTAAATTAACTAAGATGAAGAAAAATCAAAGAATAAATGTATAAAAATCAAACAAAAAATAAATAAAGGAATGAATAAATTAAAAAGATTAGTTATGTTGTTTTAAATAAATTTTTATATCAAAAATATTACACTCAAAAACTGATAAACAATTTTTACTCAATATAAGGTGTCAAATTATTTAGATTATTTTATTAAATTATAAACTAAGACTAATATATCAATTAAATAGAAAGGCCTGCTAGAGTTGGAAAGTTAGAAGGCCTTTGCTAAGATAAAAGATAGCACCCCTTTATTCAGAAAAAATTTATGTAAATAAGAAAGTAATAGGAGACCTAAAAGGCAAATTGGAAGCCACCTCGATGAGTTGCAAAATCATGGAAGGTAATAAAAATTCTTTTAGGGTTAAGTGAACTTTTCTACCCTTCTAATTATATATCTGTTAAAAAAAAATTGGTATGCATATAATATTAATAACAAATAAGATTATTAAAGAAGTAATTATATATAAATGAACCTCAAGTCCTGAATTTATATCACTCAGTGCAAGTTTTTGCATTTATTCATCACAGATTTAATTGATATTCTTTAAAAATTGAAGAATAAATACATAATTAATTAGTTAGTTAAATGGAAAAACACAAGAAATAATAAGAAATCAATTAATTACTGTTAAAAGAAAAATTAGAAAATAAAAAAATTAGTTAGTTTTACAAGGAATTGAAAATTTTGAAAGCAAAATAAAAAGGTATATGAAAAATAATCAAATAGAATGCTAATAGATAAATTAATTAATTTTATGAGTTTCCTAAATTGTTTTCAATCAATTTTTATATCAAAAAATATTACACTCAAAAACACTGATAAACAATTTTTACTAAATATAAAATTTCAAATTACTTAAATTAGTCTATTTTATTGAAGTAGAATCTAAGACTGATTCATTTATTTAGAAGGGTAAATCGGCTCGAGTAGGAGAGTCAGAAGGTCTTTACTATAATAAGGGGTGTTTGAATCCTATACTCCCCTCTTTATTCTTTATTTGGAAAAATTCTATGTGATCAGAGTGTAACAGGAGATCTAGTAGACAAATGGGAATCAAGCATAATTCTTAGTAAAATCATGAAAGGTTGCTATAAATGTGATTAGGATTTGGTAAAAATTCCCTTCTTTTACGTATTACTAGCAAAAAGTATTTATAAATATTTATATTTACAATAAATTAATTGGTTTTTAAGTAATTATATTTAAATAGACTTAAAATACTCAGTAAAAACAACTATGTGCGATTTTAAGTATATATACAACACCAATTTAATTGGTACTTTTTAGAAATTGAAGAAAAAATAAATAATTAATTTGTTTGTTTATATTATGAAATAGTAAAAAATAATTAATTTAAAATAAAAGAAAAACTTGAAATTAAATAAAAAGAAAAAAAATAAATAGCTTATAAATAAATTAATTAAAAGAGCTAGTTATTTAGTTTTAAATTCGTTTTTTTAAAAAATATTAATGAGTTTGTCTCTCCTAATTCCATAAATTTCTAAAAAATAAAAAATATTGATTATCCCAGTTTTATTTATCTAATAAACTAAATAATTTTATATAATACTCAATGGGAACACGAACCTACTGTCAATTACATATAGATATTTTTTAATTTACATACAACTTTTTTAAAAATTATTAAAATATTTTATAATAAAAAAAAATTCAGTATGCCTAACTTCATATATATATTTCGTAAAAATGATTTTAAATTTTTTAAAACATGTATAATCATAAATTTATATATTTATTTTAATAATTCTTATTACAAATATTAATTAAATTACTTAAGCGCTTCCAAGATTACTATTCTTGCTGTAGCGCTACCACAAGAATTTTAATCCTGGAAGCGCTATATATATATTATTACTGTCAAAATAACTTTTTTTGCTTCAGTAAGAATTAGCTCTGAGTACTCATCTCTGTTAAAAGATATTTTTATTTAGAAATCTTAGCCATTAATTAAATTTCTTTATTTTTATTATGATAAAGTCAATAAATTATATTAGTTTTTAAAATAAGATACTTAAAATATTCCTTCTAATTTAGATTTAAACTTAAATTTAAATTTATTTTTATTATTAAAATATTTTAAATAGGATTTATATATTCTTCATTAATATCATTAAACTTTTTTTAAAAAGCATTTAACTACGATTTTAGTAATTTATTTAGTTATTAATATATTATCTCCTAATTGATTTATTATTGAATAATTGTTTTTAATTCCTGAGTCATACAATTTTAATTGCTTTCATTATATTCACTATTGTCCATTAAATTATTAAATATAAATTTGAGTTTTTAAATATTTAAAGAACTTTGTTCCATAAGCATTTAATTATTTGAGTTAGATTAAAAATCTATTCTCTTACTCATTTATGTATGCTTTACAACATAATTTATTTTCTATGGAATAACCTAAACTGATATTTGACTCATACAGTTTAAAGGATTTTCTTCATAAAAGGGTATAATCTATAAATGTAGGCTGTATTAAATAAAATATATAGGACTTTCTTCAATAAACTCTTAGCTCTTTTATTTAGATAAATGATCTATCATTTCATTATTTTTTATATTTAATAAGATCTAATTAATTTTTTTTGATTACCTAATTAAGGCTTTGTTCATACAATTTTAATTGTTTTCTTAATTTAAATTTTAAGTTTACATTATTATTGATATTGAGATTGAATCATTATCATTTTGTTCAGGCTTCAGCTCAAAAGAATCTAAATTATCCTTAAAAATCTTTAATTAAACTCCATATTCATTTAATTATAAGAGTTAAATTCACTTTCTTCCTAATTATCTAAATTGCAGTTTAAAATAATTGAATCCTTGGACATTTGTTGCTAAACAATTCAATTGAAAAAAGTTATTTAAACAGTTTTTTTGATGTATTTTATTTTAAATTTCAAAGAATATTCACTACTTTTATTAAGAGTCATTTTTCAAGAAAATTGCTACAAGCTTTGTTCCTTTTGCATCAAAAACTGAATATATATATTTATTTATTATCTCCTTTTAGAACTCGATTAGTATGATTATTATTTTAATAATATAAAATCTTCAATTTTATTAATTATTATTAATTGATCCGATTTTATAAAATTCTAATATATCTAGGGAACAATAACTAAAATTTGTTTGTATATTGGTTTTAATTAATAATATTTATTCACTAAATTTTGATAAAAATCAGTTGATAATTATTGATATTCGTCTAATATATTTGAGAATTTTTAAGTATTCTATATTGTATCTAAAAATATTTAATAAAATAAGATTCTCAAATTTGATTCTTTTTGATCCTAATTAATACTCAAATCTGATATCATAATTTTTATTTCTGAAATTTTAACAATTAAGCTGTAGGCATCTGCTGCTTTAGTTGATAAATTTTTTAGCTATTAAGCAAAATTATGTGATGATTTTTTTTGATTTTGATACTATTTCTATCAATCTTAGTTGCAATTCATCATAGAATAGGTTAATTTAGTCAAACATACAATTTTAGTTCAAAGAATTTATTATTTTTTATAAAAACTGGCATCATTTTAACAAGAAAAAAATTCATAATAAAACAATTATGATTCAATTTAACAATTTATTTTACCATCGCACAATCTTTTATGCAAAAATTTTGTTGAGTAAATGGACACATTTCGCAAAATAAAATATTTTCAATTTCTTTAATAATATTTAAATTTACATACAAGATATAATTTTAAGAATGCCTTTTGCACTATTATCCTAGTTACTATTTTTTAATCATTCTTTATTTGTTAATATTTTAATTTGGTTCTGTAAATAACTAATAATTATTGGATGACTCTTTTTTTTGATGTTCTAATAACAGTATAAAAATATGAAAAAAACAAATATTCTAAATTTTTTAACTTTTTTGATCACATATTTCAAACCTTCTACCAAAATAATATAAGATTAGACAAAATATCAATATAAATGAGTTAAATACTAAGATATCTATTATACTTACAAAAGTAAACATAAAAATTATTTTAAATGAATTTCAAAATTATATTTTAATTTTTAAATATTAATTTATAAATTTCAAACTATTTTTAATTAAAACAGTAATATAGCTGTTCTTGGTATTGAAATATCACAATCAGGACTGTTGGATATTTCAATACCAGGATATAGTAAAAAATGTATTTTGAATTAGCTTTTATCCTAAATAAAAAATAGATTATCATAAATGAAATAAGCTTTATATTCTTAGATAAAAATTTAATCTAATTTATATCATTCTAATTTTAATAGAAATTAATAAATTTAACTATTAAAATAATAATAATGTTATAGTTGTTCGTATAAGTATATGACCTAATATTTGACTTAAGTAAATTTAGAATGGTGTGTATGTATGTTTTAAGAATAATATTTCCTTGAAAATTATTTTTATTTTTATTATTTAAATTTTCAAAAATGTAGCAAAAAGTGTTTATAAAAATAATAATTAAAAGAAAAAAATTATAATTTTTTTTACTATTTTAATGAAGGATCAAATGAAAGGCATTTTTGTGAATATAAATATAATTAGCACTTTTTAACATAGATATTATTATTAAATACGCTATTAAAAGAACGTTAACTACTGTTTCAATTAATATTAACTCGAGTTTCAAGCGAATTATCAAATTTTGATACACAATAAAGAAAATACAGTAAAAAAAGGATTTCTAATAAGCTTTTATAAAAAATAAACTATAAAATTTATATTATGAGTTAAGCTTAGTAGGTTTAGTAGATATAAATCCATTCCAAATAAGATCACTCTAACGTTAACAGCAATTAAACTACAAATAAAACTTACCAACAAGATAATAATAATGTAGTTCGTGTAGATATATAATCTTATCAAAATGCAGAAAATGATGGTCTTCTGAATCAGACAAATCCTATACAGACTATTGTAATCAATTAAGAAGAATAGTAAGCAAGCAAAGAGTTAAATGTAATTGAAATTATTTTATTTTTTTTTAAGCTGAGTAATTATTATTCCTTGTATAAAACTTACATAGTCTATAAATATAAAAGATTAACTACTAAGCCTTTAAGATGAGGAAGAAAAAAGAAAAGAAATGCTTATGCTCCAGTACAATTTTGGATTTAAACAATATTTAACAATAAAATTAAAATTTTTATTAGAATATTCATTTTACTTGTAAAATATTTATTTAGAAAACCAGGGACTATCGATAAGGGCTATGTATTGTATTCAGATAAATTGATGGAGCACATCATTTCCGATTAAGATATTCAAAAAGTTTTAATCGACTAGTTTAAATTTGAGAGAGAAACAATTTGGTGCTTTGAGAATGAAAAAAATTAGAGTATAACTGAATTAGAATAATTAAAAATGCTTTGCATAACTTGGAATATGCATGGAAGTATGCCATAGTTGTGTACAAATAAACTTTTAAGACCTGATTAAATAGAACATCACATAATAGTTATTTCGAGCTAAGAGTGTTTAAGATCAATTCCTATGAGCATATTTTGTGAGAGTAAACAAAAATGGGAAGCTCACTTATCATACGTTTTGGGAAATAAATACGAATTAGTAAAAAGTGTTTCTATGAATGCCCTTCATTTGGGTATATTTATGGTGAAAGATTTAGTCAAATATGTCACTGCTGTTAGTATTGATTAAAAAGCAACAGGAGTGATGAATTTATTTGGTAATAAAGGAGGTGTAGCAATAAGCATGGATATAGGCGATAAAAGTTATCTTTTCATAAATTCTCATTTTTCATCAGGACAGAATAATAATGAAAGAAGAAATTAAGATTATCAAGTAATATCACAAAGTTTGAATCTGCCCAAGTACTGCCAAAACCCTAATGAATCACTTTTCAAACGCTTTCATTATATATTCTGGATGGGGGATTTTAATTATAGAATTGATGCTAAAAGTAAAGAAGAAGTCGATGAATTAATAAATACCAATAAGTATTTTGAACTCTTAAAGAGAGACTAACTTATGGCTCAAAAAAAAATTGGATAGGTTTTTTCTGATTTTTAGGAAGGCCTAATCCTTTTCCCTCCATCTTATCGTGTTCTTGATGAACAGAATAAATTTACAGACGGTTCAGACGCAAGAATCCCAGGATGGACAGACAGAATTTTATTTAAATAAAAAAATCCTGACACAATAAAATTATTAAATTATGAATCAGCTTTGGATGTCTTTGGCTCAGATCATAGACCTGTATTTGCTTAATTTTTGGTGAAAGGAAAATTCATCGAGACATTTAAACCAATTTAAGTGAAAGAAAGTGCTGCATGTAACATTTTTTGACAAAAAAAAAAATCCATGCAAATTAATGTAATTAAAGTAATAAATAACTAAAAATAACTAATTAAATAAATAAACAAACAAATAAATAAGTAATAAAAAAATGAATTATTAATAAAAATTATATCTTAAAATCAAAATTCAGTTATTTGCTAATCAAATTTATAAATTATTAAGTATTTGGTCAAATTAAAGTATAAATTTCTTAGAAACGTTCATAGAAGTAAATAAGAAAGATAGTAAGTAAATAAATAAATAGGGTTATATTTTGTGGTAATTTAACAAAGAAATAATGAATTTAGTAATTAACCAATTAAATATTGTCTAAATATATTTTTACAAATTTATGTATTTAGTCACTTACTTTAAAAAAAGTTGAGTTTGGGATTTTTTTATTTGTATATTTATAAAATATTTAGCTGATAAAAACAAAAGATTTAATGAAGAGTAATTATTAATTAATTAATTATACCTGGTTAAATACAATTTTTATTACCAATAAAATAAGTAAAAGTTATTTATCTCCTTAATATATATATATATACATTTCTTAAAAAATGAACTTATATTAATTTTATACATGTTTGTTAAGAGCTAGAATTTATTTTTGTTATTTTGTTTTATATTTATAAAGCGCAAGTGAAGTATCTTGTTAAATTTTATTAATTGCAGCTATTAAAATTAACTTTGTTCTAAAAATAAAATATTTAATTTTCACCTATATTTTTATAAATAAATATCAACCTATTTTTAAATAGTTTAGTTTTTATTTTACGACTTGATTTTATTTAATTTTTTTTTGAATTATGTTTAAAGAGAGGATGTAATAAAGTAATTGATAAATAGATCATAAATAAATAAATCATACTAATAAATTTAAAATTATACTATTATAAAATAAGTAAAAAGTTTGTTTGTTTATGGGTATACAATTTTTAAAATTTAAAATAATAATAATTATTTATAATCAATCTGTTTAGATAAGTTAATTAATTTAGATTTATAAATATGTGTTTATTTTTTTATAAAAATATCTTATTTCTTTTTTTTTATTATCAAAGATTTATTTGTATTTCATTCAGCATTTTAGTCAAACTGCTTAGTGAATTCTGATGATTAGACTTATTTTTTGATTTCTAAATCTTTATTTTTTTAAATTACTTAGAAGTAGTTGCCTAAGACTTAACCAATAATCTTGTTAATCTACTGCATGGATTGATCGTCCATTTTATGTTATTCACTTTGCATTTTTTTCTATTCTATTATTTCTTTTGCCATTTATTTTGATTTACTTTAATAATAATCTAATACTTTCTATTTGTCGTTCTTTATGAGTTCACTTTCGTATTCTGTGAAATGTTTTTCTTATTTTGAATCAGCTTAGCTATCTTTTATTTTATCATATTAAGAGAATTCTGTGAAACCCAATTCAGCATTTTTAATAACATTATACACCTAGTTTGCTTGTTTGACGATGTCTTCATAAATCATTCTTTCTAGTTATCTTAGCTTACTGTCTTCAGGGCCACTATTTATAACTTTCTTATACTGATTTTCTATAAACTCAGACGCATGCTTTCTCGATTCAATATAGTTATTCATTACTATATTTGAATCTTTCTTGATCCTTTCAGACTCTTCTTTGATTAACTTGGTTATCTCCTCTTTTATCATGCAATTTATCTAAGTAATTATACTCAAATCAGTATCCTAATTCAATTTTTTATTACTGTCTTTTATTTGATCCATTTGGTAATCGTAAAAACCTTTAACGAAATTCTTTTCATCAATTAAAAATTAGTTGACTTCTTGAGAAGTTTATTAAAGTTTATTGACAGTTAGATCATAAATACTTCTAACTTGTTCTTATTCTTTGCTAACAAAATTATTTATCTTTTTCACGTCTCTATCAAACTACTCTTTCTCGCTCAAATAAAACTCGTTAAGCTGACTCCTTTCTTAGTCTATCATTTTTTTGATTTCAGCTAACTTAGACTTCAACATTTCCATTTCTTAGTCATAAATAGATTTCAAGTACTACTTTTCTTCCTCTATAAGCTTGTTTACAACTGAAAGACTCTCGTCTATAACTGATTTTTTACTTAAAAGAACTTCCTTCACCTACTCTTTTTCTTTTGAGACAAAAGTATTAATTATGTCAACACCTTTCTTAAGTTACTCTTTTTCTTTCTCTGCGAAAGATTTGACTAGTTGCTTTTCTTCTTATAAAAACTAGCTTACTTTGCTAGTTTCTTAATTTATTTAGCTAGCTTTATCATTATAGAAAGAGGTTGCTACCTATTTTTCACTATTAAAGATGGAACCCAATTTATCAACTTCTTTCTAAATAGTTTCTAGTTCATTCTAGTAATACTCTCTCATCTAGCTTGTTTCATCATTTATTTTTTAATTGACCTTATTGATGTCTTCGTTCAACATTCCTACCTCATAATTATAAAATTCTTTCACTTTTTCCTTTTCAGTGGTAATCAAGCTGGTAATCTTTTCCACACTTTTATCAATTTTGTTTTTCTAATTATTCTTAACGCTATTAACTAAATCTTATTCTAACTAAATCAATTAATTAATTTTGTTGGCGATTAATTACTTCTCAGTTTTGTATAATCCAATAATTTATTATCTTTCTAAATCAATAAATTAATTTACAGTATCTATTCCTTTATTTACAAGTTATTTTTCTTATTCTACAATTTGATGAAGATTCTACTTTGCTTGACTTATTAAATTACTCAAATGAGCCTTTTCATCTTAAACAATTTTATTAATTTAGGTTGTGCCTTGTTATAAACTTTCATGATAGATTTAATTGATTTATTTCTTTTCTTCTTCAACAAATTCGCTAACTTTATTAATACCTTCACTCAAGTTTTACTTCTAACTTTTATAAAAGTTTTGAATTTAATCTTTTTCTTCTTTTGCTAATTAATTAATTTTGATTATTCCATTCTAAATATTATTCTTTTTGTCAGTATAGAATTCTTATACTTATTCTTTCTCTTACTTAGCAAGCTCTGCAAACTCATTACCATCTTGAATGACTCTATTCTTTTCATACTCAAAGAAATCTCTCAGTTGATTTTACTCTTCTGTGACAAACTTAGATAACATGCTGTTTGATTCTTATAACATTTTATAAAGAGATTTCTTCTACAATAGCGACTATTCTCTTGATAGTTATTTCTCTAATTCTTAATATTAGTTTTCTTACTTAAATACTTCTACAGGCTGACCTTCCACATTTTCAAAAAGCTATTCAAATTCTTCTTCAGACATCTAGGTAACTTTTTGATGCATAATTATATCATTCTTTTGGTTATTTTGAATATAGTAGTAAGCAACACCAAACGGAACGCTATAAGCGCTGATCTTCAGGATCTTTCTTAGCATTTATTTTTATTTTTTGTAGTTTCTATTTTTGATGATAAATTTTTTTGATAAATTTTATTATAATCTGATTTATGACTGATGGCAATTCAAATAAAAAGGAATAGTTTTTATTACCCAACAGATAATAAAAAAATTTATTAATTTACAAAATATTAAATTACTGCTTTTTTTAAAATGGAGGTTGCTGTAAACAAATCCTTAAATAGCTATTTAGAAAATGTGTTTTGAAAATATGTGACACATATTTAAATAAATTGTTTTAAGTAAGATTCTTTATTCCATCTCAAAAAAACATTTGAAATACATTAAAAAACTAGAATATAATTGAGAAAATAGATAAAATTCATGCCGAAATTTAAAAAAATTAAGTCTATTATAAAATTTTAATTGTGATGATCAACTTGACTTTAAAATGTTGCACAATATCATTTTTTTAACTAAAAAAAGTATTTAAAATTAAAAATTTTTAAAATCTTATTATAGCTATTTGATAATTTTTAAAAGGAAGATACATACATTCATTATGTTAACTTTCTACTTATTTAATTTATGTAATCAATATAGAATTTTTTTGATATTTAAGTGCATTCTATATTAAGATTAGTTTATAATAAATTTTTTTTATCAAATAGATAAATTCTTCCCATCTCCACTTCTTTTTCGTTATTATTTTAAAGCTTATAAAAAACATTTAAATTCAAAATCTTTAAATACTGCTTGCAAGTAAGGAGAGTTAATATCTTATAAAAGTGAGTCGAATTTGAGGAAAATATAAGTAAATTCGTCGTAAAAAAACATAAATTTTATTTATTTATTAAAATAAAAAGCAATGTAGATATTTTTGGATACATTTAGAATTGTAAACAAAAATAATAAATAAAGTAGGATTTGATCCTATTTTTAGTTAGTAGTGTTTAGTTGATTTAAATAAAAATCGTTATTTACAAACATAAATCATGTTAAAATAAAATAAGTTTGCATTTTAATTATTTTTATATAACTACTAAATATCATTTTAATATTTTTAAAATAAATAAATACATACATTGAAAGGCGTGTTTGTTTATTCTACTTTAAAAGAAAGATTATTTTTTCATCTAAAAATTAATGTCTTGAATTCAATCAAAAATTTATATTTTATAGATTTATATGTTTATTTTCAATTGGCTGGTAGTTAGTTAGCTTTATGTAATTTTTATAAATCTATCTTTTTAGAATTTAAAAAAACATATTTTAAAAGTCTCAAGATTCAGCTATTGCAGCCATAAAATAATAACTTGAGCATGCATCTATTATTTTATTATTTAAAAAAGGTCCTTATATTTCTCGAGGAAAAGGCTCTCTATATAAATAAACATATTTTTCAGCTTCAATATGGCCAAGTCTACCATCTGAACCACAGCCAAACGTAAATAATCTACCATCTTAAGATAGTACTGCAGAGTGAATACCTCCAGATATGGATTTAGCTATTACAATACCTTTTTCTTATAAATATTAAATAGGTCTAGGGCGAGATTCATCTGCAGGATCTTCATGACTCCAGCTATTTTAATGTCCAAGTTTGCCTTTATACCCACTTCCCCAACTATATACTTTACCATCAGAGCTTGTTGCAGTTGTATGACAATATTTTTCTCCCCTAGAACAAGAAACTTACTCTATTCCACTCAAATTATTAATTTTAAGAGGTGTTTTTTACGATTTTGTATTGCCATGACCTAATTAGTAGAAATTACCAGATCCCCAGGTATATACTTCTCCTCTTTCTTATGTTACTACAGCAGAATGACAAAAACCAGCATTTATATGTTTAATTGCAATACCTTCAAGCTCTTTAATTTTTTTTATTTAATATTAATGTTAGTCCTCTTTGTTGCCATGCATTTATCTAAATCCACTAGAATATACTTATTAGTTAATATCCAAATATAAGCTAAACCCATCTCCTGCACTTATCGAACATATCTAAATATTTTTTATTGTGTCATTCAATTAGAATCCATTAATCTCGTCTATCCCTGATATTCCACAAGCTCCATACTTATTATGACCTGTCACATAAAGCTAAAATTTTAATAAATAATGAATGAGTTTAGATTATTTTTTAAAAATGATTTAGTTAGTTAGTGAGTTACTTAGTTTTAATTGTTTAGTGCTAAGCAGTGCCAATTTCCACAAGAAACATGTGAAATATTCTAAAGATTCATTATTTTTTGAGGCACTAATATATAATTTTTATTTGCTTGATGACCATTTCTAGAATTTTTTGTTTCTCCCCAAGTGTATAGCTCATTCTTCGAAGATATTGCAGCTCCAAAAAATCCTCCTGTTGAAACACTTTTAAATTTTTGGTTGGTTTTTACTTTGAAAGGGATAATTTCTCCTTAATCTTCTTTTTGATTAGCTAAACAACCTGAAGAATTTTTCCCCCAAGTGTATAAAAAGCCATCTTGTGGTTATTATAGCTGGGTTATATTTTCACTTCCCTATTAAATTTATAATTAATCTTAAGCTTTTTCCATTTATAAAAGTTGTTTTTAATTGATATAAGTTATTTAATAATTTATTATTATGATTTTTGACCCTAATTTTTAAAATAGGAAGATAAATAATATTATGAATTCTGAATTCTTTTAATTTTTCTATGTTCTACATATAAAATTTCTATATTAAATTAAAGAATCTATTTTAATAAATGTTAAGTTATTCAAAGAAAGAATAATTAAGTTAATACATAATAATTAAAGTATGGATAGCTACATTTTATTTCGTTTACTTATAAGTTTAGCTATTAGATTGTTGGTACCTTTGATAAAAAATGTAAAGAAGACAAGTAAGGTTTAAAGAGCAATAAATTTGTAAATAAAACTTGAAAGAATATTTAAGTAAATAAACATGGATTTATAAAAAATTTAATATTTCTGTAAATTTAACACACTTACTTACATTCACATTAAGAAAATCAGTTATTGTAAATAGTATGTTTTTGAAAAGAAGATAATATACTGTAAATCATAATATATGAACCCCTAAATAAATTAATAAATATAATTTATTTTTGAAAATTAAATTTTTTAACAAATTATAAATTTTTTATTTCTGAATATTATTTTTATAATTTCTACTTAAGCTAATTATTATTAAATTAATAAACTTACAAAATAAATAATTATTTTAATAGCTAAATTTTATAAGTTTATATTTTTTTTAACTCTATACTAAATATCATTTTAATATTTTTAAAATCAATAAATAGATAAATAAATAAATAGATTGAAATGTGTGCTAATTCTACTTTAAAATCTAAAAATTAATGTTTGACCAACAAGTAAAAGTATAAATTTATTGACTTACTTGTTAATTTTCGATTGGTTGATAGTTAGCTTTATGTAGTTTTTATAAATCTATCTTTTTAGAATTTAAAAAAACATATTTTAAAAGTCTCAAGATTCAGCTATTGCAGCCATAAAATAATAACTTGAGCATGCATCTATTATTTTATTATTTAAAAAAGGTCCTTATATTTCTCGAGGTAAAGGCTCTTTATATAAATAAATACGTTTTTCATCTTTAATATGGCCAAGTCTACCATCTGAGCAGCAGCCAAACGTAAATAATCTACCATCTTAAGATAGTACTGCAGAATGAATACCTCCAGATATGGATTTAGCTATTACAATACCTTTTTCTTATAAATATTGAATAGGTCTAGGGCGAGATTCATCTGCTGGATCTTCATGACTCCAGCTATTTTAATGTCCAAGTTTGCCTTTATACCCACTTCCCCAACTATATACTTTACCATCAGAGCTTGTTGCTAATGTATGACAATTTTTTTCTCCCCGAGAACAAGAAACTTATTCTATTCCACTCAAATTATTAATTTTAAGAGGTTTTTTTTAGGATTATTTATTGCCATGACCTAATTAGTAGTAATCGCCAGATCCCCAGGTATATACTTCTCCTCTTTCTTATGTTACTACAGCGGAATGGCAAAAACCAGCATTTATATGTTTAATTGCAATACCTTCAAGCTCTTTAATTTTTTTTATTTAATATTAATGTTAATCTTCTTTGTTTCCATGCATTTATCTAAATCCACTAGAATATACTTATTAGTTAATATCCAAATACAAGCTAAACCCATCTCCTGCACTTATCGAACATATCTAAATATTTTTTATTGTGTCATTCAATTAGAATCCATTAATCTCATCTATTCCATATAGTCCACAAGCTCCATACTTATTATGACCTGTCACATAAAGCTAAAATTTTAATAAATAATGAATGAGTTTAGATTATTTTTTAAAAATGATTTAGTTAGTTAGTGAGTTACTTAGTTTTAATTGTTTAGTGCTAAGCAGTGCCAATTTCCACAAGAAACACGTGAAATATTCTAAAGATTCATTATTTTTTGAGGCACTAATATATAATTTTTATTTGCTTGATGTCCATTTCTAGAATTTTTTGTTTCTCCCCAAGTGTATAATTCATTCTTCGAAGATATTGCAGCTCCAAAAAATCCTCCTGTTGAAACACTTTTAAATTTTTGGTTGGTTTTTACTTTGAAAGGGATACCTTCTCCTTAATCTTCATTCTAATTAGCTAAACAACCTGCAGTATTTAACCCCCAAGTGTATAAAAAGCCATCTTGTGGTTATTGCAGCTGGATTATATTTTCACTTCCCTATTAAATTTATAATTAATCTTAAGCTTTTTCCATTTATAAAAGTTGTTTTTAATTGAAAAAAGTTACTTAATGATTTTTTATTATGGCTTTTGATCCTAATTTTGAAAATAGGATAAAAAAAATACAATGAATTCTGATTTCTTTTGATTTTTCTTTTTCTACATTTTCAATTTGGTGATCAAAAGAATCTATTTTTATAAAATTTATGTTTTTCATAAAATAATTCAATAAAGACATAATAATTAAAGTATGGATAGCTAAATTTCATTTCATTTGCTTATGAGTTTAGCTATTAAGATAGTTGGTAGTTTTGATAAAAAAATTTAAAGAAGACAAATAAGGTTGAAAAAAAAATAATTTTGTAAATAATACTTGAAAGAATATTTAAGTGAATAAACATGGCTTTATAAAAAATTTCAAAATTCTTTAAATTTACTTTTACATTAAATAAATCAGTTGTTTATAAATACCGTTAATTTCCTATATTAAGGCTGCTAATAAAAATAATTATTTTTAAAAAATATATCCTTTTTCGCTTTAAATTATAAAAATTTATATGGTTTTGTTAATTGTAAAAAATGGAAAGAACCAGTAGCTATCATTTGTGATAGAATATTAATTTATTGATACAGATAAATATAAAAAATTATTTAAAAATGATTTCATTATTTTTTAAAACTAAAATGATAAAATTTAAACAGTTAAAATATTTTATAAATTTTACAAAAAAGAAAAATCCAGATTTTTTATTTTGAATAAAGACGATTCTTTATTATTTAATAAATTTATTTTTATAAATAAATAAATTAAACTTGTTATTTTATTTAAAAAATATAAGCAAATTTTTGTAATAAAGTAAAAGAATTAAGATAGATTTAAAGATCAGGAAAACAAAAGTATGAGTGATAGTAGCGTAGCCAGCGAATAGTATTTTAATTTTTCTGAGAGCCATAATTACTCTGGAGATTAATCAGCCCTTTTTAACCAAGCTCCAATTTAATTTGATAAATTAACTCCACAAGTAATTCAATAAGAACTTGCAAATGGTTTCAAAGTAAACAAAGAAGTAATTGCAAAAGGTGGAATATATCCACCTCCAGTTGAAGATATTGATGATAAGTATGAAGATTTCCTCAATCATAAAGCATATGCATTTCTCCTATTGACTTATCATCCTTATTTTAGAAATAAGTTTGATTATAAGGATATCATCGATGTTAATAATTTGACTAAATAGCGCGCTTAATAAGTAAGCTGGGCAAATATATTTACTATTTTAGGAGTATTTAGTTTTGAGAGATACTTTCTAAGAAAGAAACCTATTTTCGGTTTGACTCAGGATTCTGGTTGGGCACCTTTCCTTTTAAAATACTATTTTTTACCTAAATTACTATCTAATTTTGTTGATTTATGCTTATTTTATCCAAATCTACAAAGAAAGACTTCTAATATATTATAAAAATATAGCTTTGATTAAGAGACTTAAAGTAATCCTTAATATAGATAGGCTTTTGATGATTTAAGATAATACAAATTAAACATGAGTATTAAAAATTAAAAATAATGATATGCTATTTTCTCAAATAATATTTTATTTCATATTAACTTATGTTTATTAATTGTAATTTATTTACATTAAATTTTAAACACTAAATTTAATTTCTTTAAAAATATTCCTTTGAAAACCAAATACTTTTAGAAATTTGAGGCAAAATTTAACTAATACCTACAGACAGTTTTTTAGTGTATATATAAAAAAGTAATAGCTCAAATTAAAGATATTTGTAAAATATAGAAAATAATTCATAATTAGCTTAAAAAAAAAACATTAAAGTGATTAATTTAAGCTTTATTATTCTCTATGAGATATTATAAATCTAATAAAAAATATGAAAATGATAATTTAAGATTTATTTATCTCTATACACCACTAAATTTTTTAAATCGTTTGATTGTGTTTAAATATTTGTTTTTAATTTTAGTTTTTTCCTTTAATCAAATTCAGTATATTGATTGGTTATAATCTCTATCAGTTAATAGAAAAAATGGAATTCTCTTTCATTTTTATATTTTGTATATAAAATATATTATATTTATATCAATTATAATTAAAATATTATTTAAATTTTTCCAAATTTTGTTACTTATTTATTTTTAAATTATAGAAAGTATATTTTTTTTTTTACTAAAATGACACTAAAATATAGAGCAGATCGATTGTTCTATATTTGGTGTTAAAAAAGACAATTTTTAATACTTTATGTTTGAAAAGCAAAATCAAACCAATACCAAAAAATACAAATATTTCATTGATTAAAGTGCTTTTAGTCTATCATTAAAGGTATTTTTCTAAATAATTATACGAGAAAAAAAAGTTATGGATATAAATTGTACAAATAACTATTCAATCAATAAGTCATGATAAACATAAAATTAAATTAATGATGTACTATCAAATAAAACTCGCAAATAGTGATGCTTCTTGAATTAAGTTAGTAATCTACCCAATGAATTTTCATTATTTTTGTTTTTTTAAATGATGAAGATCAAAAAATATCCTCTAACTCGGATTAATAATGAATGAATGATATTAAATTTGGTTACAAATAAGCAGAAATAATATGAATTGATAAGCTAAAATTTGTAAATATTAAATATCTAATATTAATATTAATAATTAATTTATAAATTAGTGCAGTGATATTTGATAGTAAAAAAATCTACTCTTAAAAAAGTAGAAAAAATTTCATTAATTATTTGCAAAGAAGGGCAATTTCACTCATCAAAATCTATTTTTTTGATAAAATTTAATAATCTATTTCAACTAACGAATTTAAATTTCAAAATGTTACTCTTAGTTAATACATTTATAGAATTTAATTACTTTTGGTTTAAAACTTAACATAAAGGGATGCATATATTATTAAAACTCTTTGTTTAGTTATAATATTTTTGTTATCACTAGATTTAATTGTATGGTATCTTTTTTATTATTTGAAAAAATTAACTTTACCTAATTTAAAAATTGCGCTGCATATAGAATTAGCTATTTTTATTGTAAAAGTTAGCCATGAATGCTTGAAAGAGCTTAACTTTTTTATTTTGATTTATTAGAATTAGGCCATTAATTATTTAATTTTTAGAATTTATCATTTTTGCTAAACATCAAAACTATTATTTTTACTTGAATTAGAAAATACAGAGTTCCCAAAAACATAAATTTTTGGAGTAAAGCTATTCAAGTAAATTAGTTCTATAAAGGAATTAAGCACAATCAATTATTTATTGAAAATTTGTTTACAGTTTTTGTTTCTCATAAAAAACCTTTATAAGATAGGTAAAATCTAATACATAAAATCATAATTATCACTTTAAGGTTTAATTATTTATTTACTATATGAAAATAAATGAATTTACATCTAAAAAATATTTATGTAAGAAGAAGCCTCAATAAAAACCATTACTCGAATAATAGTTACATAAAACTTTTAAATAGTTTTTACTTCATCTTTAAGTATAAATTTATCTTATGTTAATTTTTTAGATGATTCCTATTTGACTTATATCAGCATATGAAATGATTGTTTTATCCATAAACATGAATACAAAGTTAAACTATTTGCTAGATAGATATCTGTAAACGAGATTAGCCTAAATTGGGTTAGAACGATTTTCAATTTTGAAAAAATTAATAACTTATTTATAATATCAATTAAAAGTAGTCTAACTGTGTATATTTCCGCCACCCACCATCTCTTGTAAACAAAGTACAAATATTGACTTTATTTACATATTATTTTTGAGATTTAATTAAAGATCAAATACTTTATTAACTGAAATCCACCAATTTACTTTGATCATGTGGTATTTAGGAAACTGATATTAGAAAGGAAAAAATAATTAATTTGGCATTTTTCAAAATTGATTTATTATAATCAAAATTATTCATAATCCCAGTTTATGTTTACATTTGTAAATTCTTATTGATTTATTAGCTATTTTTTAAGATTATGTACATTATTTAATTATTTTGTCTTAATAAGCTAATTCATTTTTTTTATTCCAATTTAAAATAATGCAGAAGTTGAGGGGTAAGATTTTAAATGTTTCATAGAAAAAATATTATATTTTTACTACAGTTAGTAATAAAATGTTTTATCGTAATATGATTCCTTCGATAGATCTGTATTAAATACATCATATTATGGCATAATAAAAAAAATAAAATCAATTTTGTTTATTGTAAGGAGAGCTTGCTTTGATAAGATAGTCTATATAGATTTATAAAAGATATATTTTAAATTATAAAATTTGAATACATTTTTTTAAATAAAGTCTATTTGCTATACTAAAAATATTCAGTGCTGATCAATAAATATAGAAAAATAAACATTAAAATAGTTTTTTTAATACACTTGTATATGTTTTATTGATAAAATGAGAAAAGTAAAAATAAAAAATGGATATTATAAGTACAAACTTGCTTTATATTTAATTTTGCTCAATTTACAGTTAAAATTATTCAATAAAATAAAGTAGAGAAGTTCTTTTTTTCGTAAAAAGTCAATTACACTTAATTTAAGGGGGAAAATTGTTTAAATATTTGAGAAGATAAATTTATATTAGGTCTAAAAATTAAATGTTAATTCCATATATTTTAATTTATCCTTTTTAATACCAAAATTTATTTATTTATTCCCCTTCATTTATACTTGATTGAATCTTAATTAATTCTTTAAATAATAGAAAATTATTTTAAAAAAAACATCTAAAAAATATAAAAAAATAAAATTTCAATAAATAGAATTCATTTTTTTAGTTGCTCCAATTTAAATTATAAGTATAATAAGGGAGATATCAAAGTTTACAAAACAAAATAAATTATCTTCTAAATTTAAATTAAAAATTAATTGATTGGATTTCTGTGGGTGTTTTTTGATTAAAAATTGATACTTTATTAGAACATTTTTTATGCGATATCTTTCTATTTCATTATATCAAAAATAGCTTTTCTTCTGATAAATTACTAATCTGTAATCGAAAAAAGAATTTTAATCTATTTTCTCTAAACAAATTTTATTCCATAAAATTTTATAGAATGTATCTGTATTTATTAAATTTGAATGTGAAATCATTTATATTAAAATCAAAAATAAAATGAATCATTATCTGCAAACAAACATATTCAACACATAAGATTACATTAATTAAGATTTTTATATATTTTTGTTTAATAATTTATTTTATATTAGCTTGTTTGTTTGTTTTTTAGTGTTTTTGGTTTGTATTTCAATCTTAAGTTTAAATTTTATTGCCATTTTCAGAATGATCCTAATTTAGGTACATAGTCGCAAGTATCCATATGACTAAGATCATCTTTTTTCATAGCATGATAGTTTCCATTGGCAATAAAATTTTAAATGATTGTTCCATAAAGAACCCACAATTCTTAGAAGTATTCATCGAACTCAATTCCTTTCAAATCCTTGTGCAATTTTCTAACATAGATATCATGGTCTTTTATAAAGCTGGGGAATTTAGCAATAGCGAGATATCCTCTTTTGCCGCCGAATTATTCAAGCTCTTATTCAAATTCCTTCATCATTTCTTCTTTTGAGGGAAGCTAGAATTTGCCAAAGACATATTGAGCAGCGTAAAATGCTTGTCTTTCGTGGTGAGATTAACTAACTCCTACCAAGCAGCCAGGGAAGATTAAATGAGGTTCATTAATTGAAATTAGCTTATTATAGAGAGGACCAAAGGAACGAGATTTTTCATAGTACTCAATGAAGTTATCTAGGTGGTTGTATCTATCTAAGTATGGGAAGAAATATAAATATCCAGTAGCGAGAAGAATGACGTCGACATTTTCAATAATTCTACCACTCTTTAACTCTAGAGAATTAGCAGATTTAATGCAATTATATTCATCTTATACGAATTCTATTTAGCCTTTTTGAATGACTTCTTAAAGAGAAACAGCATTCTTTAGGTAATCCAAATTCTTTTTACCAAGGACTGTTATCTTTGTTGGACGATTTCTTACTTCAAAGAGGAAGATTGAAAAGATATCTTATGCTGATATCATTGAACCTACTAAAACTATATTTTTATTAGCGAATTTATCTTCATCTTTAGGACGGTAATGATGAGTGTGGACTATTTCTCCTTAGAAAGCTTCTTAGTTAGGAATCTTTTAAATGTTGGGCTTTGAGAAATGGCCTGAACAAGCATAAATGAAATCTGCCTGGAAGTATCTGGTTTCTTATTCAAAATCATGATAGGAAACTACTTAAACTAAAAATTTCTTTGTTGGCTTGAATGGGATTTTTGCTAAATCTTCTTCAGTCATATTTGCAACAAGTCTAACAACATTTACATAAGTATTGAAGGATGTATAATTTCTTACATTATATTTTTCTGCAAAGCTAGAGATATATTCCAAGTTTTCTTCTGCAGTCATGTACTCTTTGAATTCCTTTGGGCAGGGATGACCTTTGTACAAAGCTAACATCTTAGGATTATTTAAATCTAAGTTTTCATATAGAGAGCTCTAAACAACGCCATGATCGCGAATGAATGCATTTTTAGAGTAATCGATGGTAGGGTCGAGAGAGTCATACTTGTCCATGTACCACATACCTCCAAGTTTATCTTTGGCTTCAAAGCAAATTACATTAATTGAGCTATCCTCAGTCAAATACCTCACGGACAAAATACCTAAAGGGCCACCTCCTATAACTATAACACTCTTTTGGTCATAATTGTTACTGTATTTGTTCTCTAGTTCTTAGTTGTAATGTGTTGACATTTTATTTATTTACTTACTTTAAGTCTGATTTAGATGCTAATTAAAATATATATTTGAATTCTATTTTTTACAAGTTATTCGATAGTTTGTTTTTAAGCGGAATCCCGTCCTTTAGCCGTGATATGCTGACAAAGCAAAATTAGAGTTATAACTAATTTTACCTATCTAATTTCTCAATCTTTCATAATAGGTGTTTCGCTTCAGGGGTAGGATAAAATTTTTAAATTGGGTGTAATTTGTAGAAATGTTTTGAAGTTTTTAATTATTTGATTTCCAAAGCTAATTAGGTTACACCGATATGGAAAAGTTAACTCTGAATTTAATTTAGAACCTTTTAGCTATTTCTATTTACAAAATCATCAATTTTTTTAATTTAATTGACTTAATCTTTTATTAAGTGTAAAAGAAAATTTGATTTCTATCCAATTAATTACATCACTCTCATTATGGATAAGTAATGTCCGTATTTATAAGGTGCAGCCAAATAAATGCTATAATGAATATTTAATTTAAAAATACAACAACTTAAAAGTAGATTTGAAACTAAATTATAGATAAAATAAATGAATCCCATATAAGACAGTGAGATAAACTACGCAAAAAACTATGCTAAGTTCGACAATAGTGTTTTGATAATAGGAGCTGGCCCTTGCGGAATATTAAGCACAAGATATGTCTCTGAAAAGAACAATGTACTTTGTGTGGATGGAAAAAGTGATTTAGGAGGTTTATGGAAATTTGAAGAAGTCAATGAATACAACCATCCAAGTCTCTAAAGCGACGCTTATTACAACTCTTATGGCGTCTTGCAAAGCTCACTCTACGAAGACCTTTAATGCAATGACTGTAAGTCTATGATGTGCTATAAGGGACTTGCTCCAAAAAGAGAAAATGACGAATATATGTTTAGTGAACAATTTTACGACTATCTTTTACAGTATTCAAAAAAATATAATCTCTCAAAATACATGGCTTTTAACACTTTCGTCCAATCAGTGCGCTTATCTAAAAATGTTACTTAGGAGGAAAAACAAGAACTCGGATTTGATTTAAATAAGCGTTTCTTAATTTAACTTGTAGATTCAAACGACTACAATTAAAATAGCAGATTTGTATAAGCAGATTAGGTAATTGTATGCACAGGCCACTACTCTGTTCCAAATTACCCAAATATAGAAAATCAAAGTACTTTTAGCGGTGATTTGATTCACATGCATTACTTCCGTAAGAATAAAATAGCTTAATACGCTAATCACCATTTAGTAATATATGGAGCTGGTCTTTCTGCATAAGACATAGTTTTGATCCTCTTGAAGAGACAAAGAGACCTCAAACCTTCTAAGATTACAGTTATTGGCTAGAAGAATTTGATTGAAGCTCAATCTAAATCTGACTGCTATTTAGAAGAAATGACAACTGGTAGACTAGTTTACAAGAGCGGGAACATTACGAAATTTAATTCACCTAATTCTATACTTTTGGACAATGGAGAAATCATTGAAAATGTAGACAATGTGTTATATGCAACTGGATATCAATACTCTTATCCATTCCTTGAGAAAAACTCCCATATAGACAATATAATCGAATTCTATAATGAAAGAAAGAATTCCTTTGGACCTCTATATAGAAGAATGTTTGCAGTCAGAGAGCCTAACCTTATATTTTTAGGAACTGTTTAAACAGTTTTCTAACTATAAAGTTGCCTTGAGAGATAAGCTATTGTTGCTTCAAGATATATTGACTAAAAAGTAGAACTCCCAAATTAATAAGAAATGGAAAAGTCCTTTTAAGAAGACTTCGATGAAGCCTGTAAAATACATCCCGATGGCAGATACTATTTGAAAGCTTTTATAACTGAATCTGGCTTTAACGATTTCAAGTACACATAATAACTCTTATAATTGGCATAAATTCCTCTTGACTAAGGATTCGAAAAAATTTATAAAGAAGTCATATACCCCTTATACTTGAAATTATTTATAAACGGAAATTATCCTAGATTAAAAACACTAAATTTTGAAAATATTATTGACCCTGATTATGCCCCTGAAGAAAACTAGTTTTGAATTTTACATACTAATTATATTCCATAAATAAATAAATAAATAAATAAATAAAAACGAATCTATTAAAATTTTTTAAACAAAAAACTTTAATAATTAACTAATAAATTAATTTATTGTCAGAAATGTTTGTTCTATATTAAATAAATAAATAAATATCCTTTTAATTTCAATAATTAACCACCCAATTTTACTAACTCAAAAGTGATTTAGAAAATATTTAATCAAAAAAATATTTAAATTGATATTTTTTCTCAAATATTCAACACCACCTCAAATTCATTGAATAAATATTTAATCAAAAAATTTAGTATTTAAAAATTTACATTCTTTATTTAGTACTTAAATTAATGATCAAAAGCTAATAAAAGTGAGTAAGGGCTCATAATAGCCAAACAAGTCATTTAATTAATGAAAAATGAAAGATATAAATTTATTATTTTGATAACAAAATAGTAATCAATTCATTAAAATATGTAAAAATTTTGGTTTTGTATCTGTATTAATAATTCTAATTAAATCAAAAATTTTTGATTTGAATATATTTTATGAAGCGAAATTTCTAATTTACAAACAGGTCATTCTGAATCCTCAATACTAAAATCTATAAAAGTTTTCATAAAAATTATTGGACTAAAAATATTTTAGATATTTGATTTTTTGGCTCAAAATGTTGCTATTAATTAACAGAAATAATTTATCTTTCCTGCCATTATAATTCCTTATTTATTTCTTTTTTGATTTTAAATCTGATTACTTTTATTAAGACATTATTTTGCTCTATCAAATATTTGCTTTCATTATAATATATATAATCATGTAATTTCTTAATTTGAATGCTAATCAATAAAAATTAAAACTTAAAATTAATGAAGCTGCTTTTAATTTTTTTTAAATAGAGATTTTTTTTGTTTAAAAATGTTTATCATTAATTTTCAACCGAAACAAAGAATAACTTTGGCGATGAAACTACATTTTCATTATGCATATTTGCCTAAATGATAAAAACTTTTTTTTACTTTTTCTTGCGTTGGTTATAAATAAAAATCTTTTATATAATTTGATCAAATTTTGCATAATAGATACATTTTTTAGGAATTAAAATTTTGATTTTCTGAGAGATTTTATTTATTCAAATAAATAAGTTGTGCGAAATCAAATTAAATTAGTAATGATCAAAAAATATCTTATTAGTCTAAAATTAACAAAATTATTTATTAAATTAGTTTCTTATTTTAGTCTTTTTGTATCTTAAATAAATTAAATTTTATTATAGTTTAAAGACTTAAAAGTTTAATATTATGATTTTCGTTTTATTTAATGTTTAGAAATTTAATGATGTAAGTATTTTTAAACATTTAATAATGCTTCAATAGTTCTAGCTAAAGCAAAACTCATATAAAAAAATTAAATATATCCTTAAGCTCAGAAAAAGATAAAAAGATGTAAGCAAAAAATCTTTATATCTTAATTAATTATTAAAATTTAATAATTTCTATGATAGCAAATGTTAAATCTTATAAATTGTAGCATATTTTAATTTTAAAATTTTTGACACATATTTTTAAAAATATACCTTTGTAACTTTTCTGTTTTACATTTCACATATGATTTATCAATTTAAAGCATTCCATAACAAAGGTTAATCAATTTCGTTTTTAGCCATAAAAAAAAATCAAATAAATTATATTCAATTCAAAATAAGTGGGTTATAAGTAATTAAAAGTAAATACTTCAATAAATAAATTTGTAAATATTATAAAAATTAATGTCTAAAAGGAAATAAATTGAGTATTAACTGTAAATGAAATTTCTATTTGCATTAATAATTTATTTTCTAATCTGTGAAAATATTTTTTGGTATTATTAGAACATTTATTAACTTATTATACTAATCGTTTAATTTACAAAAATATATTAATTATCAAATGAGTGGATCAAATATGAGATTACATATACTATTAATAAAATCGTTTGTGCTTTCACTTAATATTCTTTTTTAAAGCATACGATATTTTCTTTCTTCTACATTTACTAGTAGGGTTTAGTTAATTAAGTTTGACTTTAAAAAAATTGGAATATAAGATATGATGCGTGTTTAATTAAAAAATTTAATAAAAAAATTTCGTAGGTTCAAGACTTAATTTTCTTTAATTATTCTGTAAAAGAAATTGTTACATTTTGTATTTCTTTGATAATGTTATTAGGACAATTACTCTATGGAAAAATTTTAGAATTATTTGATTAATCAAGAAGCTAATTTGATTTCCCTGATTAACTTCTAATTTACTTGAAAAAAAATAATTATCATGTTCTTTAGATAAAAGTTAAAGTAAATCCAATTAATAATTAAATTAAAGTAGAACATTATATCAATGAGTTAACATACTTTATAGACTAGTGAATTTAAATATGTTAATAATTATAATCTCTACAAAAACAGCGTTTTGATTATTGGGGCTGGTCCTTGTGGAATTCTTAGTACTAAATACATTTCTCAAAATAACAATGTCCTTTGTGTAGATGGGAAGAATGATATTGGAGGTCTTTGGAAATTTGAAGAGATTAATGAAAATAATCATCCTAATCTTTAAGCTGATGCATTTTATAACTCTTATGGAGTCTTACAGAGCTCTCTCTATGAAGATTTACAATCTAATGATTGTAAGTCTATGATGTGTTTTAAAGGACTTCCTCCTAATAGAGAATATCTAGAATTTATGTATAGCGATCAATTCTATAGCTACCTTTAGTAATACTCTTAAAAATTTAATCTCAAAAATTACATGACTTTCAATACATTTGTATAGTCTGTGCGCTTATCAAAGAACTTAACTTAAGAGGAAAAATCATAATTAAGCTTTAATTTGACAAAACGTTTTTTAATAAAACTCGTAGATTCTGCAGACTACAATTCTAATATAAGGTTTGTTTAAGCTGATTAAGTTATTGTCTGCAACGGCCATTACTCAGTTCCTAACTACCCAAATATTGAAAATTAGTAGATTTTTAATGGAGATTTAATTCACATGCATTATTTCCGAAAGAGTAAAGTAGAGAAATATGCAAACCGTCATCTAGTTATTTATGGAGCTGGTCCTTCTTCATTAGATGTAGTTCTGATTCTCTTGAAAAGATAAGCTCAATTTAAACCATCAAGAATTACTGTTATAGGATAAAAAAATCAAATTCAGGCTTAATAAAAATCATCTTGCTATACCGAAGAAATGTAAACCTAAAGATTAGTTTACAAAACTGGTTTCATTTAAAAATTCAATTCACCTAGCTCAATCTTGCTAGATAGTGGTGAAATTATTGAAAATGTTGATAATATTTTATATGCAACAGGTTATCAATATTCTTTTCCTTTCCTTGAATGCAACTCACAAATAGACAATATTATTGAATTTTATAATGAAAGAAAGAATTCTTTTGGACCTCTTTACAAAAGAATGTTTGCTGTAAGAGAACCTAACCTAATATTTATAGGTTGTGTTTCAACTGTATTCTAATTATAGAGCTGTCTGGAAAGACAAGCAATTGTCGCACAAAGATATATCGATAATCATATATAGCTCCCAAGCTTTGAATAAATGGAGGAATCTTTTAAGTCTGATTATGAGGAAGCATGTAAAGCCTCTCATGATGGAAAAACTTATTTAAAAACTACAACTGAAGAGAACGGGCTCACAGATTTCAAGTATACAAAACAACTTTAGTAGTTAGCATAGATCCCTCTTGATGAAGATTTTGAGAAAATATATAAGGAAATCGTCTATCCCACATATATATAATTATTATCTAACGGAAATTATCCAAAAGTAAAAGACCTTAACTTTGAATAACTTATTGGACCTGATTATTCACCTGAAGAAGGAAAATTTTGAATAAATTTAATTTAATTAAATAAAATATAATATAAACTATTCTTCTTTAATGCCATCATAAAAAAACAAAAATAATTTTTTTTGCTTTTTTAATTTTTTTAAATCTTTCAATATTAATATTTTTTTTAAAATTGGAGGTTATAATAGAGGATCCAAAATTTATAATAATTTTAGTACTATATAAATCAATATTTAAATTAAATAATAAGTTTTTATTTATTATTGTAAAAATTTTCTAGATTATAATATATTATCTTATGAATATATAACTAAATTTATCTCCTTTTTTTCTTTTAAATACTCATAGCATATTATATGAGCTGTTATTTTGTAATATTCAGTATATTTTCTTTTCAAATTATTATATAAACTGATTGATATCTTAAAAATTGCTAATTTGTATTAAATTTGTATATTATACTATAAAAAAAAAAATATTACAAAATCACACTTAACTTTAAAAATAATAAATTACATTTGTATTTATAATATTAGATAATTAATAAAATATCAAATTATACTCTCAAAATATCTAATAAACTTAGTTCGGATTTAATTTATCTTAATTGTAAGTTTATAATTTTTGAATATAGTTTTTTGCAAAATGAAGTTTGTTTACTAGTTTTTAATTTATAAATTTTAAAAAGGTAATTTGAAAATATGGCAGTATTTTTTGTGATTATAAATTTAAAAATTAACTAATTAATTAATTAATTAATTAAATAAATTAGATATAGTCTTAATTTTAGGTTAATAATTTACTTTTATGCTAGTTAGCATTTGTGAGAAAATTAAATGAAGCTAGCTCTATCTTATTTTAAAAATCTTAAGATGAATTTTACAAAAACAAAATAATTTGAATTTTAAAAATATTTATTTATGATTTCAACAAAATTATGTAAATATAAGTTGAATTTATTTCTTAATATTAATAGTTATTTCAATTTAAAAATATATATTCTTATTTTTCTACAAATCGTATATCTATAAAGAATTATTTTAAAAATATAATTAAAATATAAAATAAATGCATCTTATTTAATTAATGATCTAAATATAAATATTTTTTAATTATTTAAAAAAATATATGGCTATTTTAATTTGAAATGCAAAATATAAAATATAATTTAAAATTAAAAGTTTATTGTAAATTAATTAAATTTATTTAAAATATATTTTTATAAATATTTTTCTAAGTAAATTCATTTCTAAAAAAATTATTTTCTTGGGTGTTAATATGTTCGGGTGTTAATTAATGAGGATTGATAGTAATTAATAGTTGATCTTAAATTTAAAAATATTAATCTAGAATAAAACTAAAAAATAAATAAATTAATAAAATAGAGATAATTTTTTATAGAAGTAATTCTTTATTTTAGCTTTTGATATCTGTAAGTAATAATAGTTTTAAGTCATTAAGAAGTATTAGTTTCTAATATTTATTAATTGCTCAAATTATTTTCTATTTAAATTTATGAATAAGATTTATTCTTTTTTAAATTAAAAATATAGACAGGTTGGTTTGCTATTTCTTTATTAATTTAGGGAATCTTTATATTTAATTTTTAAGCTATTTAGTTGAAATCATATTCAAATTAGTTTAATTTTTTTTAAATTAAACCTTTGCTTAAAAATATTTTTGTAAGTATATAAATTAGATATTTTTAAATTTTAGCATTACAATTATCAAATTCTTTTTGTAAATTAATTTAAACAGTAATTTCAATATATTAAATTTAATTTATAATAACCTTATAATCAATCTATTAATAAAAAATATGATACTAATACATCATACAAATATAAAATATGACTCTTTCTATTTTTAAAAAGTGAAAATGGATTTTATTTTAAAATTTAATAAAATAAATATAAATTAATTGCTTGTTTTTAATTATTTTATAATTTTAAATGAATTTACTAAAAAATAGATTTTTATAAAATATTCTGCTTTTAATATATTCTTTCAAATATATATAGGTAATATTATATATAAGTTTTATTATATTATTATCCTTTAGTTCAACAATCGCTTTGCTCAACTTGATACAATTTTACTGTTTTCTCATGAATAAGGGTAACTGTCTTGATATTTTACTTGAGGCAATCTGTTTAAATTGTACCATAATCGTAAGTGATAGTGAATTTTTTTGGTACAGAGCAAGTATTCCAAACATAAAAGTGGTAAGGAACATAAAAGTTAGGATTATATTCGTTTACACTATTGAAGCAATCTGGTTTTTGATCAAATTCTTCTAGTAAATGATTACTATTATCCTTATTTAAAACCAGGATAGTAGACACAAAAAGGAGTGAAAAGATCGATGCTATTCCTAATAAAGTAGTTATTTTCATCTTTAGAGTAATTTTAATTGTTTTTCTTTGAATTAATTTATAAAATTTGGAATTGAAAAATAGCTAATATTAAAAGCTGTATTATACAATAAAAGAATTACATGAATTATATTCTCAAATCTCACTTTGTATTTGATGTCAACTCAAATCAAAAATCTGATCAAGAAGTTTTTTACAAAAATCTTCTGCAATAAAATAAGAATATGATTTACAAATATTTGAATTATTAAAAATAAATAATGTATTTTTCATCTAAATTAGCTGATCGATCAAGGAGGGCAACAGAACACTTGGAATGAGTGTATATTTGAAATTTTCTGTGGTTAAAAATAATTATGTTTAATTTTGTTTGTTTTTTTTTTCAAATTCGACCCCCGTGATCAAAGAGTTAAAAGTAACTTATTTAAAATCTAAATTTTAACTTCAAATTATAAAAGATTTAGTGAAGAAAGTGTATGTATATTTTTTGATAAAGTCCTTATTAAATTTCTTTTACAAAAACAGTTACAGTTATCTCTAGACCATTTTTACTTAATAGTTTAGTAAAATAAAACCGTTTTATATTAAAAAAATATATTTTTTGTAAATTAAAATATTATTTAAGTAATTCATTTAATTCAATTAATATTTTGTTCATAATTATTTAGATTTTATTAAAATATAAAAAAAATGAAATAAAATAAAATTATTTAATTCACTTCTAGTTAAATCATATTAAAATAATATTATACAATTTAATTCCTTTATATAATTTTTGTATTTTTATTGTAAGCTTTTATATGGATATTTACATATATAGTAATACTTATTTTAATTCGAATAAATAAAAATTATTTTAAATGTAACGCTAACGAGAAGATAAAAGTAAGTAAGTATAACTATAAAATTGAGAAAAAATTATTTGTATTTTTTTCTGATCAGCTTTCACACACAAAATAACATGATATTCTTATAAATTGAATAAAATGTATATTACAATTATTTTGATGATAGATAAAATTATTGCTTCTATTTTGATGATTATCCTGATTTAAATTTAATAAATACAAAAAAATATTTTAAACGAGGCTTAAATGAGGTGAAAAATAATATAAATTTTAAAGTATAATTCACTAAATAAAAATATAATAAAATTTTAATTGAGTAACAAATTAAAAATTTTATAATGTAAGTCAGATTTATAAAAGAAAAAGATAAAAAAATATGTGAAGATTGATCAAATCTGATAAATTTTCTTTTATCAAAGTTTAAAAATGTTTTTTTATTTGAAAAAATTACTTTTTAATAGAATTTTGAGAAAAATTATTTAACTTCTTTGCTTTACAATTAATCAATCAATTAATATTTATATTTATTTTTCTATTTTAAAATAAAAAATAAAATAATCAATTATTTATTAAAAAGCTAATTTATTTATTTTAAACTTTGTTTAATTTAAAAAAAAATTCTTAGTTTAAAAATTTTATCTTGTTAATAATCAATTGCAAAATAAATTTAAGTGATTAAATTAATTCTTAAAAATTATAGATTACCTATTAAGTATGATGTGTAATGTATGTATGTATTCATTTTTTTATTATTTTATTTTATTTTATTTTTAAATAATTTACTAGCCAAGTTAACAATTTCTTTAATTTAGTTAATAAATCATTATTTATTGGATATGAATTACATACAACTACTAATATTTAAATAAAGTTTTATAAGTTTACTTCAAATTTTTGAAACAATAATAAATAATAAATTGAGAACCAAAATATTATTTTAATTACAAAATAAAAAAAGTATGATTTAAATCCTTTTATTATTAAATATCATATTTTTTAAATTAATACCAAAATATTAAGTTAGATAATGATAATTATTAAAGCAATCAGCTGATTTAAAATTAAATTGTTAAAGTTACCAAAATATCGACTATATAATAATTAATCATTTTTAAAGCATTTATTGTTAAATTTTTATAAAAATTCTGTTGATTTATTTAAGAAATATTTGAAAAACAATTAAATTAATAAATAAATAAATTATTTTAGTAAAAATGAATTAATTCGATTTTAAAAGTTTAATATTAATTATATATTCTCTTCAAATTATTATATAATTTATTTAACATTTAAAAATTTTTTTTTGCATTAAATTTGTAAATTACTCTATTAAAAAAAATAAATATTGTGAAATCGAATTTAACTTTGAAAACAATAAATTAAATTTTTCTTTATAAGTATTTTGCGTGATTATAAATTAAAAATTAACTAATTAATTAAATAATAAATAAATCATAAAAGTTATATCTTCTTAAATTTAGATTAATAATTTATTTTTATGCTAGCTAACATTTGTGAGTAAAGTAAAAAAAGAACCGAGCTCTTTATATTTCAAAAATGTGATAAATTTTTAAAAATTAAGTAATTTCAATTTAAAAAGATTTATTTTTTATTTCAACCATAAAAATTAATAAATATAAAAATAAAAAGTTATTTTAATTTTTATTTTCTAAGTAAAGATATAATTTATTTGATAAAAATTTTGTAGAAAATTAATTAAATTTAAGTTATCTTTTTATTTATTTTATCAAATCTTTAGTTTATAAAAAATTGATTTAAATTATCTATGATATTTAAAACTCAAGCTAATACTTAAATAATTAATTTTAAATCCACCTTTTATCATTCATTTGCTAATAATTTTTAGATTATAGAGAAGAAAGAACAAGTTTATATTTTTATGATTATCCTGAATTTAATTTAAAAAAAAAAAAAAAAATCATTTTAGATGAAGATTAAATCAGGTGAATAATAATATAAATGTTAAAGTCTAATTCATTAAATAAATAAAAAACAAAATTTAAAATTGATTAATATTTAAAAAATTTTTAATGTAAGTCAGCTATATAAAAGAATAAGATAAAAGATATATGTGAATATTGATAAAATCCTATAAATTTTCTTTATCAAGCTATTCATTTGAAAAATTACTTTTAAATGGAATTTTTAATAAAATTACTTTACTTATTTGCTTTACAATCAATATTTGTATTTGTATTTTTATATTTTGATTTTAAAAATAAAATATTCAATTATTAAAAAGCAATTTTTTTATTTATTTTAGGCCTTGTTTTATCAAAAAAAAAATGGTTAGTTTGAAAATGTTATTTTTGTTATAATTTATTTTATTATAAATTTAAGTCATTATGCAAATTCTTAAAAATTATGGAATATCTTTTAAGTAAGAGATATTTTCATTTTTTTTATTTTAATATATTTTATTTATATATAATTTACTAGCCAAATTTAAAAGTAACTTTAATTCTTAAATTGGTTAAGCAATAAAGTAATAAAATAAACATTTCATTTATCTTGGATAGGAATTAAAACTACTTAATATTTAAATAAAGTATAATAAGTTTACTTTAAAAATTAAAAAATAATTTTCATTTAAATAAATAAATCATCATCTAAAAAGTAATAAATTTTGTTCTATCATTCAATTTTATATCAGTTAATTAACTTAAATATTTTTTAAAAATGAAACTATTTAAAAAATTTACCTTATTATATTCTTTATTTTCTGTATATTAAAAATAATGACAATATCTGAATATTTTAGAGTTTTTTAAAAATAATAAGATTTTCATAGCGCGCTACTTTCTTTCACTTTATTCATTCTAAATTAAGGATACTCTTATTTAAGTAGTAACGAATTTAAGAAGATATTTAAAAAAATTAACTTGGTCGATCCTTAAATAAGAGTAAATTTTACAATCAAAAATAATTAAATAAAATTACTTATGTAATTAAAAATATTAGTAAAATATGGAGTTAAAGAATTTATTTTATTTATTAAAATCAAAATGTTATTTTTTTTTTTAGAATAGAATAAATAATTAACTTTTTTTGTAGAAATATGATTTATATATATTATTATAATTATCAATATTTTTATAATAAATTAGTCTTTTTTTCATATTTCTCATTTAAGGATTAGCACCTATTTAAGAGATTAGTATCAAAGATAATTATTTCAAATGCCCTTGTTAAATTAGAATGAATAAATAAATAAAACAGATAGACATTTCAGCTATTAAAAATTTCATACTAGTTAAAATAAACAAAATAATATCAATTAAAAATTCTAATAAATTAATATTTCAAATTCTACTATTTTTTTAAAGTATATTAATATAAAATAATAAAATTAATTTCTGATATTGAATCAAATTTTTTTGATAGAATTCATTTTTATAACCATTCTTGTATATTTTTTATTGATTTTATATAAATATCAGCAATAGGAAAATACTTCTTTTCAAAATTAAATATCTCTTGTACCAAGAAGTTAGAGAGAGATTTGCTTATTAAAAATCAACTTATTTTATAATACAAACATCAAAAAAAAAAAAGCGAATTTATAACTAACTCTGTTATTTTTTGAATTTAATATCAATCATTCTTAATTTAGAGAATTCTAAAAATAAAAATTTATTTATCCATTAATAAATCTTATTAAAATTTGCTTACTCAAATCTATGTAGCTAGATCTTAAAATTTTATTTTACTAAAATATAAAGGCAAAAATTTTATTTTGACTTAAGTATTTTCAAAAATGTATTTTTCTTTTATTTTCTAATTATTTAAGCTATGTTTTTTAATTAAAAACATAAAGTTTTCTTCAAATCTAAAATTTTCTTAGTTTTTTTCATTTTTCAAAGCTTTAACGCAAGACAGATTGCTCAAATAAAAATAAGATACACTATTGTGATGAATGCTAAGTTAAAAATATAAAAATAGCTTTATTGCTAATGCGAAAGTTAATTAAAAACTTAGAATATTATTAAGAAATTTCTTATCCCTCATATAATAAATAGTTGTAAATTGAGAACATTCTAACTTTATACTTTAGATAGATTTACTAAAATAAAAAACTCACTTAAGTCATTTTCGAAAAAATATGTGATGAAAGTGATGCATTTATGAAGTAAATTTATCACTAATTTAGGTAATTAAATTATAGAGTTTATTTAATTCAATCTTTATAAATAGGTAGTCTGAAATAAAGCAAACAACAGAAATTTTAAAAAAAGCATTATGATGTAATTGGTAGTCATGTAATACGCAAAACTCAGATTACGTCTACTGGCACTAAGATGAAAGTCGCATTTTACATCGATTGTTTGCATTAAACAGATCTCAATTAGCAGATAATAAATTAAATTAATTTAAATAGAGATATATTTCATTAATTATTAAATCATTAACAAATTAAGATTTAAAACCTTAAGAGAAACAAAATAAATACAAAAGCAATCAAGTCTTATTCACAGATTATCCCAAAAAAGATGTCCAACGATAATAAATCCAACGCTTCAAGCAGGCTCTCAGCTCTCAATTCTCAAATGCCAGGTACCTTTCCTTAAAGCCATAACAGATTTGTTTTGAGGATATGTTTAACCTAAAAAGTTAAACTTCTTCTCATTTATTCTCAAGTTAATCCTACTTAAATAGTATACTTCAATTATTTATGAGGATGAGAATTAAATATTTTGATTTCTTTCTGAAAAACAGCTTTTTTTTAATTAAACCATTATTATTAATTAGAGCTCTCTCCTTCCTAACTTTTGCACTCCTACAGAAACAGAAGCAAGGTTGACAGACAAGGTCTTTATGAAACTTTCTACGGTCCTAAGTGGGAATTTAGAAACAAAGTTTATGACATTATTTGCAATAATTCTGAAAAGTTTAGCGCTCCATACATAGATGAACATGATAGGGAAAGAACAAGATATGCAGCTTTTAAGGAATTACATTTCATATAGAAGAGCTTGAATATGGGTTATGCTGAATATTAAAAAGATCCTCATGCTTTCTCTATGACTTCTAATGCTGTCTACTCTTGGAGTCCTGCTATCTGTGTTAAGTATGGTGTACATTTCAGTTTGTATGGAAAGACTCTCATGAATCTTGGAACTGAAAAGCATCTTCCTTATATCTATCGTATGATGAAGCTAGAAGACATCGGATCTTTTGGTTTAACTGAAATGGGACACGGAAGGTATTGTTTTTTGCATTTTTCATTTTTAAATTTAATGTTTAAAATCCTACCTTTTCAGCAATAAAAAAATAACATAAAAATGAAATAATTCTAAATCACCATTTTAAAATATAGTAATGTTAGAGGTATTAAAACCACTGCCATTTATGATCCCTAGAGCAATGAATTTATCATTAACACTCCTGAAGAAGTAGATATGAAATTCTGGATTGGTGCTACTGCTTAACTTGCTAACATGACTGTTTGCTGGGCTTAACTTTATGTAGAAGGAAAATGCCATGGTGTTCACGCATTCTTGGTTCCTATCAGAAACAAGGATACTCACAGAGTCATGCCTGGTATTACAGTTGGTGATTGCGGTCCCAAGAATGGTTTAGATGGAATCGATAACGGTTTCATGATTTTCCATAATGTCAGAATTCCTTATGATAATCTTCTTGATAAATTTTCTTAAATCGAAAACGGAAAGTAAATTAATAAAATAAATAATTGTTTTGTCTATTTTATTTTTTAAGTTAAAACTTAAGAAATTTCCATTTTGATAATATTATTAAAAATTAATTAATTAATTAAAAACTTTATTTTAAAGATTCAAGACTTGGATTGAAAGCGATGATAAAAGATTTGGTTTCCAAATGGCAAGTTTGAGTGGTGGCAGAGTATAAGTCGCTTGTAACTCTAACTAAAACTCTATTATCGCCGTGGCCATTGCTGGTAGATATAGCACCATTCGTAAACAATTTGGTGCTCCTGGAAAACCAGAATAACCCATTATTGAATATCCCTTGACCTAATATAGAATAATTCCCAATGTTGCTACAGCTATCGTATTATAACTCTCCACAATTACTTTAAGCATCTTGTGGGATGAAAACCAAAAGCATTTATTAGATGTTAAAAATACTTTAATCAATGAGTTGCATGCTATCAGTTCTGCTATTAAGGCTATTTCTACTTGGACTGCTTAAAGAATTATTACTGAAAGCAGACAAATTCTAGGTGGTCATGGTTTCTCAACCTTTAATAGATTTGGATAACTCTACAACGATAATGGTAAATATTAAATTTAATCAATAAATTCTCATTAATTTAATTATAAAAATTAGATGTCAACGTCACTTGGGAAGGTGATAATAATGTTCTTTTGTAATAAACTGGTAAGTTCTTGCTTGACTCAGCTAAAAAGCTTATGAAAGGAAAGAAGCTACCATTCAAGTGCACTTCCTACATTAGTTTAGATCCTGCTGAGGGCTAACAATCAGAACTAAATAGCAATGAAGATTTCTTTAACCAAGGCAAATTACTCAAGGCTCTTCAATGGAGAGTCAATTTAGTAATAAATTTTTAGAAGGATTTAAAGATTTGAATAACAATAATTATTTTTAATTAATAAAACAGTTACTTTAAAAGACTGGATTAAAGATGTAAGAATACATGTAAGTAAGTAAGAATGGATGGGATGCTTTCAATAATGCTTAACCATTTTACTCAGTTGAGCTTGCTAAGGCATTTGGTGATACATGGAGTGCTGAATAAGCTATTGAAACTATCAGCAAGGTACAAAATCCTGAAAACAAAAGAGTTTTAAGTGACTTTGTAACACTCTACTTATTAGAAACTATTAACAAGGACATTGGTAACTTCAGATTCGGTGGCTACATTAACTGCTAATAATACGAATAAATTAGAAGCAGTATTCTTAAGCTTTGCAAGTAACTTAACAATCAATAGTTAAATTTTAATTCAAAAATATTATTTTCAGTAAATTAAAAGATGAATTCATTGCTGTTTTAGATGCCCTTGCCCCTCCCGACTTCATTCTCTAAGCTCCTTTCGGTGCTTCAGATGGAGATATTTACAATAGATATATCGGTTTAATTTACTCTGCTAAGAGCACCTTCAAAAGACCTGACTGGTGGAAGGAAGTTCATAAAGCCCATAAAAAATATCACTTTGAAATAGATGCTTGAAGAAAAAAAAAATATTTTTAAAACAAATATCATACATTAATCTATTCCTAATAAAAATATTCACTTAATTTACTTTATAATTTATATATTTATATTTCATGTCACTCTAAAAAACATGATCCTTTTTAAAAAAAATTTAAAAATAATTCAATCTAATCAATAAATAAATAACAATTAACTTATAATTACAACCATAACTTTAATATATTTATAAAATTAAAATGACAAATTTCAAATAGAAGTTAGTATAAAACTAGCTACTATGTATCCTCATTAATCAATGCAAATGAAACAGAGCTTTGTCTAATTTTTTTACTCTTTAAATCCAAAATATTTACATGGTTTCGTTTGAGAAAATTATATTTTTTTTATGATTTATGGTATTTAATTTTAGGATTTTAAAAATAATTTTATCTCTTAAAAATTATAAAAGAAAATAAATACCAGAAAAAATTTATGTAAATATTTACACTTAAATTAAAAATAATTTACAAAAAATAAATTAGGATTAATTTTTACATTTTTTTTTAATTTATTTATTTATTATAATTTCAAACTTCGATAGAAAATGAATTAATTCATTTTTTGCTTGATTTTTATATGTTAGGTGATATATTTTATTTACTTCTTGCATCTTTTAAAAAATAAACCATTAATTATTTATTTATTTATAATTATTAAACTAAAAATACCTTAATGATCCATATACCAAAAGTCATCTGCATCTGCATCATCATCATTTTATCTGCTATACTTAGAGTATTTATCTTCTTTTATTGTTTAAGGAGTTTATTATACGTATCTTTTATATGCATCTGCATTTGAATTGGAAAATTAATTTTAAGGCTATTAATAGTGCTATTAAATCGAAGAATTTTATGGTTCTCTATTTTTATTTCCATCTATATTAAATTTATTTAAAGCATTCTTTACATCCTATTGATAAAAATATATTTCTTTATTTATTTATTTAATCACATTTTAAAAATAATATTTTACTTAAAGCTTTGTTATAAGCTACTTTGCTTCGAAAAGTTCATCTTCTAATTCTTTTATCCTCTTATTCTATGCAGTTTCTGTTTAATTTTCTTTATCTTCTATTAACTTTTACGCTTTTTCTTCTAATTGCTGGTTTTAAGTTTTTAAATCTGCAATATCTACTTTCTACTCAGATATTTATCTATTTAATTCGGTAATTTATTTTTCAAGATCTGCAGATTTTGATTTTTCATTATCTAACTCGTTTTAAATTTTCTGTTATTCTTCTTCTACCTAAACCTTTTATTATACAGCAAAATCTAAAGTTTCTTTGAGCTCTTTTTAAACTTTCTTTAATTAACCATTTATTAAATTAATTATCTTTTTCATGAATATATGATTTTACATCTTTTATTGTGCTTTTTTCTTCTTCAAGCAAACTATTAAGTCTATTTGTTTTTTCATTTAACTCGTTTAGTATCTCCTTTTTTTTCTATAAATTTATAAAACATATTTATATATTTATTCTTACTTATTTAGATATATGAAACTTACTTTTGCTTCTTCTTATATTATTTAATGCAAATCAAATAAAGCAGTCTTTTTTAAAGTTGGAATAATTAATATTTTTATATTTATATTACAAAACATATTTACTTCAGCTTATTAAAGCCTTTCGAATAAATATTATATAACATCGTCTTTCTTTTCAGGTAGAGGTCTATTTTCAGCGAGTTTGGCTATTCTCTTTATAAACATATATTGTTTTATTCTTTTAAATAACAATGTAATTTACTTCTTCTCTTTCTCTAATTATTCTATCCTCTTCTTACTCAGTGTCTAATTAATGATTACCATTGTTTTCACTTTAATTTACTACTCCTGAGTTGCTTTCATAGAATTCATTCTATAAAATTTATTTATTAGAATATAAATATTATAATTTAATTCTAATATTCAATATTAACTTATTCATCATCTTCCTAATGCTACTATTACTATTAGTATTATTCTTCTTCTTCCCCTTCCTGATTATATTCTTAATTTTCTTCTTACTATCCTTGGTCTTCTTGGAATTATTCTTATCTTGGACTCCCTTTAGCAGACATTTTATTAACAACAAACTATCTAAAATCAAATCTTCTTATAATTATATATTTATAATCTTTTAATTTTTTATTAACTTAAAAAAATTAATATTAAATGTATCAAGCAAGCAAGCAAGCAACAATAATAAATTAAATTTCATCTAACAACTATTAAACTAATAACTTAATTATATCCAAAAAATAATGGCTAATAGTAAAAAGAAGTATTTTTTATAAAATAGTGAGTACCATTAAAATTAGATTTTATTATAAATAAATTAATAATCTAAAATATTTTTTTTTAAATAAAATTTAAATATATTCTAAGAATTCATTAAAAAACGCAAACTTAAGTTTTGTGCTAATTTTATTCCTTAAAATTATTAAAACAAAATTAGAGAGAAAAAAGTATTTAAAATTGCTATTTATTTTAATTTTAATATCAAAATATTTTGTTAGATAAAATATTTATTATTTTTAGGAATATTATTATTTTTAAATTTTTAATACTCATTTGAGAATAATTTAATTTTCATAATTTATCGATTAATTATTATAGAAATAAAGATAATTAATTAATTAAATTATTAAAAGTATTATTTATATTTATTTAAATTTTAAATATCTTAATTACTGTTTAAAGTATCAAGGCGATATTATTTATTTTTATTTTCTATTTTATTTTATTCAAAAAAAATATAATGATCCAAAATTTAAAGTTTTAGCTTGTGAGTTTTAATAGAAAGCATGATTAATATCAATTTATCTTAAATTTTATTAAAATATTTTATATACTGTTGATTAATAATATTTTTATTAATGTAACTTTTTTTCAATTTGTAAAACATGTTATTCATGCGAAAATAATTTAATTTTTGAAAAAATTCAATAATTAGCTCTATATAATGGTAAATAGTTAGCTTTTTTAATTTCTTACAATGATTTGTTTTCTTAATTAATACCAAAATAAATAAAAGAAATTTAAATTTTGTCATCTTTTAGGAATAAATTAAAATTATGAGTTGTAAAATAATTGAGTTCCCTCTCTACCTATTTTTAGTTTGATATTATATGCATAGAATAATTTGAGAAAGTTATTTGTATTTATTAAAAAAATAAGTATTATTTGCCTTAAAAACTCAATTAAGGTATGTAATCTTAAGATTTTCGAGTTTTTAAATATGAAAATAGTAATTATTTTAAATAATTAGCTCTATTAATATTACAACTAAATAATTTATTTATTTAGTATTATTTTGTAGTTTGTTTCTTATCTGCAAATAGATTTTATGTTGGTTATAGAAATTTAATTCAATACCAAGAGCTTTTGCAACAAAAAAAATTAATTATTGTCCAGATTTTTTAAAAATTGAAGATAATCTTAAAGTGAAAAAAAATTATAAACAGTTTCTTTGATAAAAAATACTAAATAAGCACAGAATTTATTATTTTTTTAAAAAAATAAAAACTTTGCCATGTTTTTTAGAAAGAAAAACTCTGCTCTATTATATTTATTTTAAATTGTAAATGTAATAAAAATACATTTTTTTAAATATAATTCATATATCTATTTTTCATTACACTCTTTTACATTCAAGTCTACAATTATAAAATTTCTTCTATTTTTATTTTACAGTTTTTCAAATTGTTAGATGTAGTAATTGATAAATTTTTGTAATCAAAAAGATTTTTTATTTGAATTTTAAAATAGACATTTATTAACGCTATAAAAATTAGAGTAAATTAATATATAAAAGTTAGAGTAAATTAATTTATAAAATTTTTTGTTTTAAACGCTGCTTGAAAATATAAATAATATAGATTAATTTAATAACTCTAATCTGTCAGAATATATTAGCTATATATATTAAGATATTATATTATCGATTGATATTATATCAAAATAATCCTTCTTTTGGAGCATAGTCCGGATTAATATCTTCTTTAAAATCCTATTGCTTTAGTATTGGATAATTACCATGCTTGAATATATAGTTATAACGAGGTGCAATAATTTCATTATGGATCTTTATGAATTCTTCATCAAATGGTACTTGGGCTAATTCCTAAAGCTATTACGTGTACTTTTAATCAGTGAACCCATTTTCATTTTCAGATGTCCTCAAGTAATATCTTCCATCTTGATTCAGCTTTTTAGCTTCTTCAAAATCTTGTTAGAAAGACTTTTCCATTTCCTTTTAATCAGGAAGCTAAATTAGTTTGTCAATATACCTAGATGCTATTATGGCTTATCTTTCAAGGCAAGCTTAGAGTTAGTATACAGTTTAGACTGTTCCAATAAAAATGAGATTTGGTTCATTGATTGCAAACATTCTTCTATAAAGAGGTCCAAACGAGTTCTTTCTTTGATTGTAAAACTAAATTAAGTTATCAACACTATTATTCTTTTCAAGGAAAGGATAAGAGTACTAGTATCCAGTTGCATACAAAACAAAATCTACGTTTTCAATTATTTCTCCGTTATCAAGTACCAGAGAATTAGATGAATTGTATTTAGCTATATATCCACTTTTGTAGACAAGTCTTCCTTGTGCTATTTCTGATGAATAGGCTTCAGATTTTTAGCAAGGTTCTATTAAGGTCTTATCTCCGATTACTGTTATTTTTGATGGTCTGAGATTTCCTGATTTTCTTAAGAGAATCAAAACTATGTCTTATGAAGAAAGAGCAGCCCCATAAATGACTAGATGATGATTAGCATATTGAGATATCTTAAACTTTCTAAAGTTATGTGCATGAATAATATCACCACTGAAAATGTGTTGATCTGGAATTGTGGGATAATTAGGAACTGAATAATGGCCAGTGCATACAATTACATAATCTGCTTGTAAAAACCTTCTGTTTAAGTTAAAATCATTCGATTAAACTAATTCAATAACAAAACGTTTTTTTGGCTCAAAGTTAAGAGATTATTTTTCTTGCTCAGTCAGGTTTTTTGTTAATCTAACAGATTCAACAAAGGTATTAAATGCCATAAATCTTTAGATGTTATTCTTTTTTACATAAGTTTACATATACTCATAGAACTGTTCACTTTTTATGAATTCTTCATATTCTCTGTTATAAGACTAGCCTTTGAAGCACATATCAACCTTACACCCATTGCATTAAAGATCCTCGTAGAGGGAGCTTTACAGATGACCATAAGAGTTGTAGAAAGCATCTGTGTGAATAGAAGGATGGTTAAACTCGTTTAGATCTTCAAACTTCCATAGTCCACCAAAGCTACTCTTACCATCTACACATAGGACATTATTGTTTTATGATATGTATTTTGTATTAAGGATACCAGCAGGTCCAGCTCCTATAATTAAAACACTACTATAAAATAAATTATAATTATTAATATAATTTATTTCACTCTCTTCAATCATACTCATTTTATTTAATAATCGAATAAAGATTTTATTTACTTACTTTACTTTCTAAGGAAATTATTCAATTTTTATCAATTATCAAAAAACAGTCGAATTATCGTGCTCTATTTATAGCTCATAAAATCAGTAATCTTAATTTAATTTTTACTGCTAAATTTAAATTTAATGAAAATCAGTTTTTTTTTTAATTATTTGCATAATTTACTTTCTATTCTAAATTAAAAAACAAAGTGTGTGATTTAGTTTTTGATTGCTAAGGAATTTACTCTATAATAAAAAAAATTATGATTAAAAAATTAAAAATTTTCATTTCTATTTCAAAAGCATTTATTTTTAACAAATAGATTTTTTTAAATTAGATAATAAAAAGTAAAAGCAATCTTGTCCGTCCTTTCTAAATATTAAAAATAGATAATTTGAAATAAATAAATATTAGGTTTTTTTTTTGATTTAATAAAAATATAAATTAAGAATTTCAAATACATAAAAATGAATCTTAAATACTATCAAATTTTAATTGAAAAATACTATTTAAATTATAAATTAAAGTTTAATTTAGGATTCTAAGCGAGTATAGCTTACCTGATCTTAGAAAAAATTCAGGTTTTTTAAATATCAGTTTTTTTAGATTTTGTTACAAAATATGTTCATGATTTGTATTTCGCATTAAAGATACAAGCAGATCCAACTTTAATAATAAAATAATTACTCTACAATAAATTATAATTCCTTATTTAATTATATCAGTTTATTTAATGATACAAATGTCATCATTTATACTTAATAAGAATATAAAGATTTGATTTACTTAACTTTCTAAAGAATTATCCTATTTTCATCAATTATCAAAAATAGTCTAACCTAAATACTGTTTTGATTGATCAAAAACAGTCTAACCAAAATACTCTATTGGTCGTTCAAAAACAGTCTAACCAAAATACTTTATTGATGATTCAAGAACAGTATAACCTAAATACTGTATTGATGATTCAAGAACAGTATAACCAAAATACTGTATTGATGATATAAAAACAGTCTAACCAAAATACTTTATTGATGGTTCATTACTCAGTTTACTTAATTTAATTTTTATTGCTGAATTTAAATTTAATTAAAATGTATTTTTTTTAGTTATTAGAAGATAACTCTTATATATATATATAGTACTCTTAGGGTACTGCCTTTTTCAAAGCTATACACTAAATTTTAGATATTAAGGTAATTAAAAAAATAAATGTGGTAAAAATTTGACTAATTTTTGAACCCTTTAACAATTCTGTTTGACAGTTTTATATAATAAAAAATAACCAAAATTATTTTTATTTACATGAAAAAGAAGTTTATTTTATTTTATTTTATTTTAAACTAATAATTTTTTATTTGTATTTATTTATCTAACTTAACTATTATAATTAATTAAATTGTAAACTCAAAAGAAATTTTATTTTAACTTAACTAGATTCTAAAATATAAAATAGTATTATAAAACATGATTATAACAAAAGAGGCAAGATTGACTTGAAACAAAGAAAAAAATGACCAAATTGATAAATTAAGATTAAAGATAATAATTTATTTTCATTATTTGTAAACTACCTCTTTTATAATTCCAATAGCAACTATCGTATTCATGTCTCTTACTATGAATCTACCGAGAGGAGGGCATTGAGAAAATTTCTCTACAGAAAGAGGTTTAGTAGGTCTAACTCTTACAACGGCAGCTTCTCCATTTTTAATGTAATCCGGTTTATTAGATATTTGTTATGCAGTTTTTCTTTCTACTTTTGATAATATGTCTATGAATTCGCAAGCAACAAAGGCTTAATGAATGCAAAACATAGGTCTATAGCCTCTTTTTATACTTCCTGGATGGTTTATAATTACCATTTCTGCATCAAAAGTTTCACATTCTCTAGGTTGATTTTCTCCAGTGTATCCACAAATCGATCCCTTTGTTAAATCATTGAGATTTAAATTTTTAATGCTAAATCCTACATTTTCACCACAAAAAGCTTCTTCCACTTACTTATTTTATATTTCAATTTATATGATGTCAAATTTGTTTTCGCTTTTACCTAGAAAAGGAGCAAAGCAGACAGTTCTATTAGCTTTTAAAATTCCTTGTTCTACTTTACCAGTTATGACTTATGTGTCTTCTCCAACTAAGAAAGCATATGAAACGGGAAGTCTTAAGTCACCTTCATTTTATCTAGATACAGGCATCAAGTTATCCAAAGCTTATAAAAACGTAAAGCTGTTGTACCAAGGCATATTAGGACTTTTTTCAAGTAAGTTGTCACCTAAAAAAGCTGATATTGGAATAAATTTTATATTTTACAAGTTAAAATTTATTTTCTCGAACTGCTACTTAACTTCTTTTTTTATTTCATTAAATCTTTTTTGACAAAAACTGTACTTGCTATCATCCATCTTGTTTATACACACAATCATCTATTTTAATTCACATAATTTAAATGATTAATTTATTTTATTAATCAATTGATTATACTTGCTTTATTCCAAGGGCGTAGGAGTGCAAAATAAAATCCTTGGTTTAACCATCTTTTCCAAACCCTTTTTCAAATTCATCAGCAGCAGCACTTATCATTAAAACTGCCGCATCTGCCAAACAAATACCTGTCATCATATTTTTTGTATATTAAGTATCTCCAGGAGTATCAATAATTGTGATCTAGAATTTATCAGTTTCAAAATGAAATATCGACGTATCAATAGACTATTTGCGCTATCTTTCTACCTTTTTAGTATCCATTATATATGAGTAATTGATACCATCTTATCCTATTAATATTAAAAGCTAATATCATTTACGATGATTTCATATCAAAAAACAATACAATTTTACCTTCTTCTTCACAAGCCTACTTAACCTCTTTTAATTTTTGATCATTTACTTATCCTAATTGTATAGCTAAATGGCCACACATAGTTGATTTTCCAGATCCTATATTACCTATAACTGCTAATGTAATTCTTTCTTTTTTTTATAAACCAATCTCTTACATTTCTAACAACAATTAAAAAAAATAATGATAGAAGTTTAATCAAATTGTCAAATTAATTTTTTTAGTAGAAAATTTAAACAAAAACTAAAAGATATCAAGAATGAATTCGAATTAGACAAATAATATTTTTATTATTAATCTGATTAAATAATTATATAAAATTATTCTTAAATTTTAACTAAATAGTTTTTTTATGATATTATTTTTAACATAATAAATAAATAATTTTAATTAATTTTTATTTAATAATTCTAAGATATTTTTCTGTACATTTTATCTGATCATTAAAAGAAAAAACTAAAAAGCAAATTTAAAGGATATTACAAAACCATTAAATTACAGATAAATTTAACAATGCTAAGAAAAGGGATTATAATTTTATCATCAAACTCTTAAAATTCTAAAAAAATTGTAATCAAACATTCTTAATAAGATCATTTTAATAACTCTTTCAAAAACCCTAGTTAAAAAAGAGACATTAAAAAAGATTTATTATTAGGATTTGTTCGGATTTAAAATAAAAAGAACAGATTAGAATCTATTTAATATCCTTTGAGAAATACTAAAAATTATTAATATGTATGTATGTATGTATGTATGTTTGATTTTCTTAAATTTGATTAAAATAGTTTTTAGTTTTAAATATCTAAAGTTTTAATATTAAAAAAATAAGCATTTTCATTCAAATAAAAATAATTTTAAATTAAAATTTTAAGATTTAAAAGATAATTTAAAGATATATTTTAACCATGAAAAAAATCCTAATAAATTAAAGCACTCCTCTGTGAAAATAAGTAAATTAATATTTCTAACAAAATTAATTTTTGTTGCAACAAATAATTTAATTTATTTAGTTTTATTAATATCAAATAGACGTTTTTAGAAATTTGTAAATAAATAATTACAGAAGATTTATTTGGTTGTATCTTTAAAACAAATATGAATATTAAGTGTTATCATTTCTTACCAATTTTACTAAGCTTTATTTTTGGGATGTGGTATGTGCATTTCAAAAATAAAAACATAGAAATTCCTAATTTAGATCCTATTAAATATGAATTTGATTGGCTTAGACTTTACAATTTGATGGAAGAAGATTATTTCAAACAGAATCAAATGAGTTTGAATTTTAGATATTTTTTGCCAAGGACTTACTTTTTTATTCCAAATCATATGAAGTAGTTCTATTAAGAGCCTTTATACAATGAGGATCTTTTAGATCCTGTTTATGGGTTAAATCAAACTTTTACAGAAAAAAAGATTCAATTTAGTTAAGCAATAGGAAGAAATGTTTTAAAAAATTCTAGATTTTCTAGTTTTATGAAAAAATAATTAGATAACAATGGCTATGATATATTAATGTTTTAAAAGTAAGTAGATTTGAATAAAAATATATTGTAAAATAATAGATTCTTAAAGGCTTTTTGTATTAACAACAAAATTTACTCCTCAATTGATGATAAAATAATAAATTAATTCTTTTAAAATGAAGATAGTGCTGTGCTAATAAATAGAATTCTTGAGATTCAAAAGTATTTAAGTAAATTTATAATAATGAAAAATAGGAGGTGCATTAATTTTAACATGTTCGAAATAGAAATACTATTTACTTAATAAGAAGGCAAATACAAAAGACCTTATGTTGATAATATTTTTAATGTTAAAAAGGTTTAAACAAATAATATTGATATTTCTAAATTAGTAGAAATAAATATCAGTAAAAACTACATTCAAAATGATACAAAGTATAAAATATTTAGTTATGATTATGACTTTCGATTAAAAAGAATTATCCATTAATGTGTTAGCAACTATAAATATCATTACCAATGGATAAAATAATAAGCAGATCTTCTTTATTTAGAGCCTATTTGTGATCAAAATAGTAATAAATTAGCTGAGGTAAATAAAATATATAGACGCTCTGATATATTGCTAATGAAAAAGCTTGATAGATTCATTTTAATTTAAAATTTAACTATTTACAATTTTTTGATGAATTCAGATATTGTGAATAATAAACTTCATTTTTATTAAATTGCTCATCAGCTAGATTAAGAAAATCGCAAATATGACTTTTCACTTTCTAAATTTCTCCCAAAGACATATGCATTTAATTTAAGTAGCAATAATTATACCTAATAAGAAGAGGAATTTATGAACTTATTGGAAAGCGAAATGTGGATTAGCAAGCCACTAGATCAATTGGGAGGAAAAGGAATTAAAGTTTATTAAAATTCAAGCCAAATTAAGGAGCATATAAAAAAAATAAAACAAGAGAGTACAAATTAAACAGAAGAAGATCAGTAAGTAATAGTCTAAAGATATATTTAAAATCCACTTTTGGTCAATAAGAAAAAATTTGATATTCGCTCTTATGTAATTGTTGTCTCTACTGATCCATACATAGTTTACTTCCTCAATGGCTACGTAAGACTGACAATAAATGATTACAATAAAAATGACACAGATCTTTTAACACATTTAGTGAATACAAATATTCAGAAAAAACATCCTTAATTTAATTCAAAAAAAGATGATTCACATTGGGAGCTACATAAATTTGAGTCTGCCTTGAAATAATAATATAATATGACAGACGAAGATATTCAAATTAAAATTTATAATCAAATGAAAAAAGCAAGTGCTTACCTTTTTAAAGGATTAGAATAGTATTTTAATGTATTTACAGCTAATTTCTAAATATTTGGACTGGATTTCATGTTTGATGAAGATTTTAATCAATATTTTATAGAAGTTAATGAAATTCCTTAATTACTTGGTTAGACTTCAACACATAGAAATGTATGTCCAGAAATAGTCTCATAATAACTTGATAGTAGTCTTTATGCAAATGGCTAAATATTGAAAGGTGAAGAAATTGATATGAAAGTTCTCCAAAATAAATGCAAGAATTGTGACTTGCTTATCAACTAAGAACAAATATTCTATGTAAATGAAATTAATGCTAAAAAAAAGGATTGATAGTTCTCTGCTTTTTTTAATTAGCTTTTATTGAACCTATAACACTTAAAGAATTTAAATTCTTGTAGATCCTAAAACTCAAGAGTTTAATTATTTAATTTGCTGTGAATGAATTTAATAAATTATTTTATTTTGATTTTTATCTAATAAACCTACCTTGTTTTATGATTTTTAAATTTGAGCATATTATTTTTTAGATATAAAAACTAGATCACAAGATTTCAAAGCTTAGGAAGTATGGTGTCTAAATAAATTTATTATAAAATAGCTATTTATTGTTTGTTTGTGTTATTTATCAAAATATTTTATAAATTGTAGTTTTTATTTCTATTTTACAATAATTGGCATGCTCTTTTAACTTTTTTTTTATAAAAAATCTCACTTTTATGCCCAGAAAAATGGTTATTTTTATTTAGATAAAATCTAATCAAATTTAAAGTATAATTATTAATTATATTGAAAAAGAAATTTAATAAATTAGCTAAATTTCAAACATTTTTAAAAACTTCAAGTTAACTTTTACAATTTTCTAGTTGCATTTTTAAGTTTCATTTATTTTTCTTGAATTATTAAAATATTTTATTTAAAAATAATCTTTTAATTAAAAAAATTTTTATTTAATTTTATTTGTCATGAAAAAAGTATATTATATCTTTATCAATATTAAAAAAGAGTACTTTGGTCAAGAATTTTTAAAATTGATGACAAGATTAATCAAATGAAAAATAATAATTTAGTATGTTTAATAACAAAGTTAATATAATAATAAAATAAATACAAGATAATTAAATGCATGTTTGATCAAAAATTTTTCTTAATGTAACCCTGAAATGTAAGAAAACTAAGAAATAATAATTAGCATTTTGAAATGAAAAATCAGATTAAATTGAATAAATAAAATATAATTGAAGACATAAATCAATAGATAGTTGTAGGATAAATAAAATAAAAAGTAAAAATCCAACCTAAATTTTAGTGATAAAATAACTTGTTTTATAATTTAGATGACAGTAGAGTTAACAGAAAATTAAATTTTTTTGATTTTTAAACACTCATTAAAATGTTTTATTTAAGCAAATTATTTTGCAATTTGTTAAAAATTAATGAGTAATTATCTCATAAATTATAGTTGAAAGCTTCAAATTATGAAAGCTTTTTAAATATATGATTATTTTAAAATAAAAATTTATTTTATATTGTAATTAAATGTAAAATTTAAAAACTATTCATTTTGAAAATATTATTAATTGATTTAGAAATACATAAAAATTTAGCTAATAAAAATTTGAGTCTATTTGTTCATAATAAATTATAAATATTTCTCAATAGAATTTTAAGTTTTAATTTATATTTTTTCTGAAACACTTATTTGAATTACATTTAAATTATTTTTACAAATAAATCTCTACTTAGACTGCGTTATGAGCAGCTGAGAGTCTTCCCTTAAAATATAAGTTTTTATATCGTTTAGTAATAAATTAAGGTTCATAGTCCTTGCTAAATGTTGAAAATTTTAATATTATTTTATATTTTTCTACGAGGCTTTATTTTTATGAACTACAAAACTCTATGCAAATGGTTTTATGGTATTATTATATACTAAAAAAAAATAGAAGTATTATTTATGCAATTTTGAGTCTGGTCAATAAATGAAACAAATCTTATAAAACTGATTTTACTTTTCAAGTTAGAAATATAAACAATCCATTAAAGCTTTTTAAAATGTGGTTATTAACTATGCCAAATAATACCATAATAAAAGCAATAAATTCTAAAGTAAATTACTTAAATTTGTTTTGTTTTTACAAACTGGCTAAATTAATATTCAAACCATAAATTATTAACAAAAGTAAGAATTGAATTGAAGGATATTTTGAATTTATCAAGAAAAATTATTTCAAAATAAACCTTTTTGAATTATTATAATCCTGAAATACTTTTTGCTTTTCCTTTTATAATAAGAATATATTTTATTTCAGAGTAGAAAAATAAAAATTCTCATAAATACTTTATTTTTATAAGGATATTTTGTTAAATTTATATGTTCACTTTGAAAAAAACATTTAAATTATTATTTTATATAATCAATGTTAAATATTTAAAATTTTAAGTAAAAAATTGATTTATTAATTAAAATAAAACATTTAAATTATTCTCTTTTAAAGATTCTTCGCAATAACTTTTTTTTAAAAGATTTAAGACGGCTTTTAGTATGAATAAATAAATAACTTAAATATATAAAAATCCTACTAAGAGTCAAAAATCAAGATTTAATAATTCATTCTCTCTTACAACTTAGTGAAATTTACCAAAATAAAAAATAAATCGATCCATTAAATCTAAAAATTTCAATAATAACCACAATTAATATAAGTAAAGAGTAATAATTACCTGAACAAAAATTATACAGAATAAATTTAATTTAAAATTACTGGCTATAAGCACGCACAATCTTCCATTTTTCGAATACTTTATAACAATAATTTGAGAAAATATTATCCAATATTAAATATTTAAAAAGATTTAAATATAATTAATAATAAAAAAATAATTTTATTCAGTTATTATTTTTTAGTCCAAAATAAAAATGAACATCTATTAATTTATTTATTTTTTTCTTTTGATAAATTGAATTAACTAACAAATTTATTGACAAATTCAAGCAATCAATTCATTTAAATCAAAACAAAATTAAAAATTTATGGAAATTATGAACCATCAAATCAATTTAAATTATTGGTCTATTATTTTAATTTATCTTGTGATAAATAGAAAATATATGTAATAAATACTGATCTTATAATTATGGTGATTATTGTTCTAAATACTGATCTTATAATTGTGGTGATTATTGTTCATATTAGATTATTCTTTTAATTTATTTACAACGTGAAATTAAAAGAATGTTAATTTTTATTCAAAAATTACCATTTAACAAACAAACTCTTTTTTCAAAAGTGTATATTTTTCTATGATATTATTATAAACCCATAAAGATACTTGATAAGTTAGAAAATATTTTAAATAAATAAAAATATTTCTGCAATATTTTAAAGACAGACTAAGCTTTTTTCCATAATTTATTTTGTTTTTTACTCAAAAGTGAGTTAAGAAGAAAGTAGAATTTTATAAACGCGGACATATAAACAAACGAAATTAAAATTTCAATGAATAAGATTTAATAAATATTTGAAATTGTATAGATTCTTTGCATTAAATTAGTAATTAATTAAATCTAAATAAATTAATAAAATCTCAAATTATGCCTTCAAAAATTTTAACTTTATTTACCTTATTTATTCTTGGATTTGCTTGCTGCTAACAAAGTAACTCATCTGGATCTGTTACTGACCTTGTTAACGCTCTTACTACTTACAATTTATGGAAAAAAACACATAATGTTAAATATGAAGATTCTTCTATAGAGGCTTATAGAAAAGCTATCTTCCTTGATAACCACAATAAAATTATTGAACATAATTCTGATCCTAGTCATTCATACACATTAGGTCACAATCACTTATCTGATATGACTCATGAAGAATTCTCTTTATATTAGCTTAATCCTGCAAGAACTGCTTCAAAATCATCTAAAGGAGGAAATAACTCTGGAAACTCCAGTGGTTCAAGCAACCCATATGTTGACCCTCCTATTACTACTAAAAATGCTCCACCTATGGATTGGAGAAACGCAAGCGCTATTACCCCTGTTAAATAACAAGGTAAATGTGGTTCTTGTTGGACATTTGCATCTACTGCCGTTTTAGAATCTTTCAGTTTCATTAAGAATGGAGCACCTTTAACTAACTTCTCTGAATAACAAATCCTTGATTGTGTTTATGGAAGTGGTTATTATTCTAATGGATGCAATGGTGGTTTTGGTAGTGAAGCATTAAATTATGCAATTTAAAATGGTATTGCTCCTTTAAGCTAATATCCTTATGTAGGTAAATAACAAGGATGCAAGTATAATTCTACTAGCAATCGTTATTATCCTAAATAGGTATCTTATATTATAGCAACTCCTTACAATATGATAAAAGCCTTATGGAAGGCTCCTATCGGAGTAGTAGTAGATGCTACTAAATGGTAATTTTATAGATCAGGAGTCTTCAATTCATGTGATAATAACAATGTTAATTTGAATCATGAAGTCTTATTAGTAGGATATGACGCTAATCATAACTGGATCATCAAAAATTCTTGGGGTGTTGGTTGGGGCTAATAAGGTTACATAACTCTCGCTGCTGGTGATTCTTGTGGTATAGCAGATCAACCATATGGTTTATCAGCTTGAAAATATCTAATAAAATAATTATAAATAATTTATAATAAAGGTATTACACTTTATATGTTACATTAGCTTTAAATTTATTATCATTTCTTTAAAGTTTAAATAACTAAAAATTAAATTTTTAAATAAATATTAAATTCTTTTTTCTATGTATGTAATCAATAATTAAGAGTGTTTGTTTTTGAAAAATATTTTTTATACAATGTAATATAATGAAAGTAAATGACATTATAAGGTTTTTTTTAAAGGGCTGTTTATCTCGTTTTTAAATCTCAATACTACCTAATACTATTATTATTAAATCGAAATATAAAGAATCGAGCATTTTTCCTGCTTTCAAAGCTAATATGGCGTATGTTTTATTTAAAATTATTAGGTAAGACCATATATCGTATTTAAAAACCATATATATGGTCGGTCCCTAGTTTATTAATATAATTTGTAAAAAGCAAACAAAAAAAATTAAAATTTATATTTTTAAATTTAAATCTAATATCTTTTTTTGTTAAATTATGATTGGATTATCTAATAATTTAAAAATTAAATAATTTTAAAAATATTCATATAACACAAAATAAAATTTTAATATGACCTCATGCAGTATTTAAAATTATTAGGTATGACTATTAAAATTTTGATGATTTTTGGTAAAATCCGAGGGTTGGTTTAAGAGGTATTAATTTATTTATTTAAGTAAATTTAATTTTAAATTTTTGTATTTTTATAAGATACTTTTTAACTTAAAAGGATATGATATTCATAAGTATAAAAACAATAATAAATTTTATCTATATTTTAGGTTAAATTATCCTATTTCAAAATATTTTTTAATAAAACATATTATATTCTATCATTTAAATATTTCATATTTATTCATACTTTTTTCACTATTAGTTTATTATCATTAGAATTTTATTTCGAAGACTACTAATCTTTTTGATTTAATACACTTGCTTTTTACTTTCAATTATTATTATGATTCATTGACTTAGTTTTCACTTTTATTATAAATAAGAGTAAATCACTTAAAAAATATTAAATAAAATAAATTTTTTAATTAAAAATAATGTTAGCAGAATAAATAGTATTAAGAAAAATAAATCAAATAAATTAAAAGAGCTTTATTGCTTTAAATTCATTTTATAATTTAAAACATCACAAACAAAAAAAGCAAATTCTTTTTACCAAAGGTGAAGTTTCAAATTTGAGAGATTAGTACAATTTGTTAACGCAGAACCTAAGTCTGAAGCACCAATTGCATTAATTTAACTATCACTTTTAAATATTGTAGAAAAAATATATTATTAATTATCTATTTAGAGGGAAAAAATGAAGAAAATATATAAAATAATAAGAAATTAATTAATTAATAAATTAAAAATAAATAAATAAGTTAAAATAACAAAGAAAGAAGTAGAAAAAAAGCAAACACAATAAAAAGAAAAAATAAATTAAATTAAATAAAAAGCTATCAAATAAATTAAAATAGCTTTTTTTAAATGCATTTTTAAAATTATAAATATCACATTACAAAATAATTTAACTAATTTTACCTAAGATAAAGTGTTAAATTTAATATATTATTGCAATTTGCTAAAGTAGAACCTAGACCTGATGCACCTTCGTCACCAATTTAATTACCACTGTTTAAAGATTGAAGAAAAAATAATTTAATTAATTAAATAGTTAGTTAGTTAGTTAGAAGATGGAAAAAACGAAGAAAAATATTGAAAAATAAGAAATTAAATAATTAACAATAAAAGCAAAAGTTGAAAATAAAAAAATGAGTTAAATTAACAAAAATGAAGAAGAAAAAGCTAGCACTATAAAAATAAAAAGTAAATTAAATCAAATAAAAGATATATTATAAATTAAAAGGGCTTTTATGTTTTAAATTTATTTTTATTATTAAAAACAAACACCACAATGTAAAACAAATAAATTGTTTTTACTCAAGACTAAGTGTCAAATTTGAGAGATTAGTGCAATTTGCTGCAAAACCTAAGCCTGATGCACCAATTGCACCAATTTAATTGTTACTTTTTAAATTTTGAAGAAAAAATATAGTTAATTAGTTAGTTAGTTAGTTAGTTAGTTAGTTAGTTAGTTAGTTAGTTAGAAGGAAAAAAGGAATAAAAATAAGAAAATAATAAGAAATGAACTAAATAATAATAAAAGCAAAAGTTAAAAATAAAAATGAGTAAAATTAACAAAGAAAGATGAAAATAAATCAAGTATAATAAAAAGAAAAAGAAAAAAAATAAATCAAATAAAAAGCTATCAAAAAAATTAAAAGAGCTTTATTGTTTTGAGTTCATTTTTATAATTAAAAATTTCACAACAATCTAAAACAAATATATTGCTTTTACTCAAGAATAAGTGTCAAATTTGAGAGATTAGTGCTATTTGCTAAAGCAGAGCCTAAACCTTATGCACCTTTGTCACCAATTTGAGAAGGGCTAAGCGGCTCGAGTGGGCGAGTCGGAGGGTCTTAGCAGTGATATCGGGGGTTCGAATCCTATACCGCCCCCTTTATTTCGAAAAATTCCATGTAAAAATGTGAATGTTACCAGCGGTCTCCTTGGTAGGAGGGAAGGGCCAAATCTGATAGGAGGTAAAGAAGAGGCCCCATTCTGAACAGAAGATCTGGAATACAAATGGGAAGCGAGCATAATGCGTAGTCAAATCATGGAAGATTAGTAGAAATGCCATTAGGGTGTAGGTGACCCTTCCCTTCTAGTATATTATCCACAATTATATATAAATAAATTGGTATACGTATAATAATAATGTATAAGTAATTATATATAGGGCCCCTATCCCGAGTGCATGTCACCATGTGCGAGTATGTATGTATGTCACCAATTTGATTGCAACTTTTTAAATTTAGTAGAAAAATATATAATTAATTAGTTACAGGGAAAAAATGAAGAAAAAAATATAAAATTAATTATAAGAAATTAATTAATTAATAATAAAAGTATAAGTTGAAAATAATAAAATCATTTAAATTAACAAAAAAAGAAGAAAAAACAAACAATTATATTAAAAAGAAAAAAAAAACAAATCAAATAAATAAATAAAGAGCTGTATTATCTTTTAAATTAATATTTATAGTAGAACATATTGCAGACCAAAACAAATAAACTTTTTTTACACAAGGTAAAGTGTCAAATTTGAAATTTTAGTGCAATTTGCTAAAGCAGAACCTAAGCTTGATGCGCCTTCGTCACCAATTTAATTATCACTTTTTAAATATTGAAGAAAAAATATATAATTAATTAGTTAGTTAGTTCGATAGTTACTTATAAGGAAAAAATGAAGAAAAAATATCAAATAATATGTAATTAATTAATAATAATAAAAATAGTTGAAAAAAAATGAGTTAAATTAACAAATAAAGAGCAAAAAAAATCAAGTACAATAAAAAGAAAAAGAAAAAATAAATAAATTAAAAGATATAATATAAATGAAAAGAGTATTATTATTTTAAATTAATTTTTATAATTTAAAATATTGTAATCCAAAACAAATAAACAGTTTTTACTAAAGTTCAAGCCTCAAATTTGAGATATTTGTGCAATTTATTAAAGCTGAACCTAATTCTGATGCACCTTAGTCACCAATTTAATTGCAACTTTTTAAATATTGAAGAAAAAATATATTGTTAATTATTTAGTTAGAAGGAAAAAATGAAGAAAAAATATGAAATAAAAAAGCAAAAGTTGAAAATAAAAAAATGAGTTAATTTAACAAAGAGAGAAGGAAAAATAAGAAAGCACAATAAAAATAAGAAGATAAATAAATTAAATAAAAAGCTATCAAATAGATTAAATGAGCTTTCTTGTTTTAAATTAATTTTTAATAATTAAAAATATCAGAATCGAAAATAAATAAACTGTTAGTACTCAAGAATTAGTGTTAAATTTTAGAGATTAATGAGTTAGTTAGATGGAAAAAGAAATTAAAAAAAGTATGAAATAATAAGAAATGAGCTAATTAATAATGAATATAAAAGTAGAAATAAAAAAATGAGTTAAATAAACAACAAAGAAGAAAAAAAATGAAGTTAAATAAAAAGAAAAGAAAAATAAATCAAATAAAAAACTATTAAATAAATTAAAAGATCTTTTTTATTTTAAATATATTTTTATAATTAAAAATATCACAATCATAAACTAATAAACTGTTTTTACTAAAGTTTAAGTGTCAAAGTTGAGAGATTAGTGCAATTTGCTAAAGCAGTACCTAAGCCTTATGCACCTTCCTCACCAATTTAATTGTTACTTTTTAATAATTTAAGAAAAAATATATAATTAATTAATTAGTTAGTTAGTTAAAATCAAAAAATGAAGAAATAAAATAAGAAACAATTAATAGATGAAAATAAAGAAATGATTTAAATTAACAAAAAAAAAAGAAGAGAAAATAATCAAGAAAAATAAAAAAAATAAATCAAACAAATTAAATAATTTTTATTGTTTTAAATTAATTTTTATAACTAAAAATATCACAATCCAAAACAAATTAATTGTTTTTACTTAAGACTGAGTGTCAAATTTGAAAAATTAGAGCAATTTGTTGCAAAACTTAAGCCTGATGCACCAATTGCACCAATTTAATTGTCACTTTTTAAATATTGAAGAAAAAATATAGCTAATTAGTTAGTTAGAAGGAAATAATAAGAAATTAATTAATAATAAAAGTAAAAAGTGAAATTGAAAAAATGAGTAAAATTAACAAAGAAAGAAAGAAAAAAATCAAGGATGATAAATAGAAAAATAAATCAAATAAAAATCTATTATATAAATTAAATGAGCCTTACTATTTTTAATTCATTTTTATAATTAAAAATATCTCAATTCAAAACTAATAAATTATTTTTACTCAAGAATAAGTGTCAAACTTGAGAGATTACTGCAATTTGCTAAAGCAGAACCTAAATTTTATGCACCTTTGTCACCAATTTAATTGCAACTTTTTAAATATTATAGAAAAAAAATTATAATCAATTAGTTAGTTAATTTAAAGGAAAAAATGAAGAAATAATATGAAATACTCTAAATCCTCATATATTAAGGCCCCCCCCCCTTCCCCTATACACTTTTAACATATTGTTTTACAAATTTCAAAAAATCAAAAATCGGCCTTAATTAAAAGTGTCTTAATATATGAGGATTTAGAGTAATAAGAAATGAGTTAATAAATAATAAAAGCAAAAACTGAAAATAAAAAATGGGGAGGGGTGGGTGGAAATCTGTGTTTACTAAAAAACAAATGGAATTTTTATTAAAAAATGTATCTACTCTCCCTCAAGTCCAAAAATCAAGGATTTTCACACCATCCCTACTCCAAAAAATGAGCAAATTATGAAAGAAAGAAGAAAAAAAGTAAGCACAATAAAATTAAAAATAAATCAAATAAAAAGCCATCAAATTAATTTACAGAGCTTTAATGTTTTAAATTAATTTTTCTAATTAAAAATATCACAATCCAAAACAACTTAACTATTTTTACCTAAGGTAAAGAGTCAAATTTAAGAGATTAGCGCAATTTGCTAAAACAGACCTTAAGCCTAATGTACCTTCATCACCAATTTAATTGAAACTTTTTAAGTATTGAAGAAAAAATATTTAATGAATTAATAACTTGTTAGAGGGTAAAAATGAAGAAAAAATATGAAATAATAAGAAATTAATTAATTAAAAATAAAATTTGAAAATAAAGAAATGAGTTAAGTTAACAAAGGAAGAAGAAAAAAAATCAAGCAGATTAAAAAAAAAAAATTCAAATAAATTAAAAGAGCCTTTTTGTTTTCAATTTATTTTTATGATTAAAAATATCACTACCCAAAACAAATAAACTTTTTTACTAAAGTTCAAGTATCAAATTTTAGAGATTAGTGCAATTTGCTATAGCAGAGATTAAGCTTGATGCACCAATTGCACCAATTTAATTGAAACTTTTTAAATATTGAAGAAAAAATATATCATTAATTAATTAGTTAGTTAGAAGGAAAAAGAAAAAAAATATAAAATAATAAGAAATAAACTAATTAATAATAAAAGCAAAATTTGAAAATAAAATATGAGTTAAATTAACAAAAAAAGAAGAAGAAAAATCAAGCAAAATAAAAAGAAAATAAATCAAATAAAAAGCTATCAAATAAATTAAAAGAGCTTAATAGTTTTAAATTCATTTTAATAATTAAAAATATCACAGTCCAAAACAAATAAGTTATTTTTACTCAAGGTAAAGTGCTAAATTTGAGAGATTAATGAATTTTGCAATAGCAAAAGCTAAACCTTATGCACCCTCATTACCAATTTAATTGTCACTTTTTAAATATCGAAGAAAAAATAAAAAATTATTTAGTTAGTTTGAAAGAAAAAATTTGAAATATTAAGAAATGAATTAATTAGTAAAAAAGTAAAAGTTGAAAGTTAAAAATGAATTAAATTAATAAAAACATAAAAAAAAAGCACAATAAAAAAACAAAATAAAATTCAAATAAAAAGCTATCACAATTAAAAGAGCTTTGTTGTTTTAAATTAATTTTTACAATTAAAAATATCACAATCCATAACAAACAAAGTTTTTATTACCCAAGCCTAAGTGTGAAACTTGAGAGATTAGTGCAATTTGCTAAAGCAGAACCTAAGCCTGATGCACCTTCGTCGCCAATTTAGTTGCAGCTTTTTAAATATTCAAGAAAAAAAATGTAATAAATAAATTAATTAGAATGAAAAAAAAAGAAAAAAATATGAAAAATAATAAATGAATTAATTAGTAAGAAAAGCAAAAAGTTGAAAATAAAAAAATGAGTTAAATTAACAAAGAATGAAGAAAAAATAATCAAGAATAATAAAAAGAAAAATAAATCAAATAAATAAAAAATTTTATTGTTTTAAATTAATTTTTATAATTAAAATATCACAATTCAAAACAAATAAACTGTTTTACTCAATTATAAGTGTCAAATTTGAGAGATTTGTGCAATTTGCTAAAGCAGAACCTAAGCCTTATACACCAATTGCACCAATTTAATTGCCACTTTGTAAATATTGAAGAAAAAAATAAATTTAATTATTTTGTAAAAGGAAAAAATAAAGGAAGAAAAATATGAAATAATAAGAAATGAATTAATTAGTAATAAATGCAAAAATTAATTGAAAATAAAAAAATGAGTTAAATTTACAAAGAAATAAGAAAAAAAAATAAAGTAAATTAAAAGAAAAAGAAGAATAAATCAAATAAAAAATTATCTTTATTAAAAGTGCTTTATCTTTTAAAATTTATTTTTATAATTAAATACATCACTATCCAAAATATTAATAAAATGTTTTTACCGAAGTCTTAGTGATAAATTTGAGAGATTAGTGCAATTTTCTAAAGCAAAACCTAATTATGATGCTCCAATTGCACCAATTTAATTGCCACTTTGTAAATATTGATGAAAAAATATATATTTAATTAGTTAGTTAGAAAGAAAAAATGAAGAAAATATATGAAATAATAATAAATTACCAATAAAAGCAAATGATGAAAATAAAAAATGAGTTAAATTAAAGAAAGAAGAAAAACATAAGCACAATAAATAGAAAAAGAAATATTAATATTATAAATTATAAGGGTTTTATTTTTTTAAATTAATTTTTATAATTAAAAAATAAAACAAATAAGCTGTTTTTATCAAGTAAAAATGTTGGTAGCAAAAAATGAAGAAAAAATATCAAATTATAAAAATGAATAATGAATGAAAAATAAATATTTAAAAATTAAAAATTAAAATTAATTTAAAATAAATAAAAAATATTTGTTTAGATAAAAATTAGTGGATTATGAAAATTTTAATTAGAAAAATTATATTATGAATAAATTCAAAGTTAAATAAATAAAAAATATAAATAATAATAATATTTATAAATTAAGCATACCTCATATCAATATCGAGAAATTAGTGAGATTTAAGTGAAGAGTTTTAAAACTTTTTTTATTAGTAAAAAAAATTTAAAGAATATTTATAAAATAATAAACAATTTACTTCCTCTAAGTTGTTGTAATATTTAATCTATTATATCATTTATTTTTTTTTTCAAATATATTGAATAGCAATTTATTAAAATTTATGAATTATAAATGAATAAATGTAAAAATTAAATAATAATAATTATCATTATGGATTTATAAATTTGCTTTTAGGAAGAAAAATCATAAAAAAGTTAGTTTAGCATTCATAATTTAAGCTTAAAATTTCTATTTAAATTATTTACTTAAAAATATAGTAGGTATTAAAGATGTATATTGAGTCAGTCATATGTTGAAAAAATTATTGTTTCTTAAATTTTATTAAAAAGTTATATTTAAAAAAAGTTAGTCCATTTGATTTTGCCATACCTCTGTATATATTCCACTACCTTTTATTTTAATTAATTTTTGTAGAATGAATGAATAAATGAAGTTTATTATAAAATATATAAAAATATCTAATTTTTATTTTTATTTTTTTTGAGATATTTTTTTAATATTATAGATTTTTATTAACTAATTAATAGATTTTTGAGTTCTAAAATTATTATAAAGAAGCAATTTTTAATATTATACATCTAAATTTTAATTTAATTACAGCTTTTAATATTTAACTTGATGCATTTTTATTGATTTTAAAATAATTTTAAGAAATAATAAAAATTTTAAAATAGAAAATTAAAGAGAAATGGTAAAAAAGATTAGCTTAATTTGTTAAAATCCCTAGAATAAATTGAGTTAAAGTGAGCTTAAAATAGAATTCAAGGTTATAGAAGAGGGATTAAATTAAGTTATCTAAGTTAATATAGGTATATTAAATTCAAAATAAGGAGCAAGTGCAATGATAAGATGGCGATAAAAAAAAGTAATAAGAAACTAGTAAAGAAATATCCTTTAAAATTAGATGGAAATTTCCATGGAAATAATTAATAGAGTATTTTTAAGTTTTTTTGTACACTTCAGCAGAAAGAGTTAGATATATAGATAGATAGAGAGATAGATAGATAACAAAAGCACTTACGAAAGAAGATATATTATAAGTATTAATTGGTTTTGATAAATAGTAAAAATTAACAAATAAATTAATATTAGAGCTTGCTTATAGTAAATATAAATTAGTTCGCAAACAAATAAATGGAGTATTTAGCTCATTCATTTTATTAATAATAATATTAAAGTAAATAAAAAAGTTTGTATTAAACCCAAAAGTAAAAAATCATCACAATTAAAAATAATTAAAAAAGAACAAGCACAATTATAATTGAATGCATAATTAATTTATTGAAAGAAGATATTTATTTGTATTTTGTAATAATTTAGTTAATAATTAAATTCCAAAAAATAGAAAAAATCAATCAAAAAATCATTTATTTTTTTCAATTAAATACTAATACAAATAAAAAGAGTGTGTGTGTATTTAAGATTTAAGTATAGATAAACCTTCCATAAAGATACCAAAAAAAAGAAGCGTCAATGAGCAATTTAAATAAATAGCAACTAAGCGAAAACCAAAAGAAGGCTTAGTAGTACCTTAAAGATCATAGGATAGAGGAAATTTTAGGAGATATTTTGAATACAATAGCACATAATAAATATGAATAACCTCTAGTTTACATGGTATAGTTTTTTTTTTAAATATCTCAATTTTAAGTTGAAGACTATTTATTTTTGCATTGTGCTACCCTATTTTTATACCATTTTACGATAGAAACATGAAATTATCATTCTTGAATTAATTTAGCTGATAATAAAAAATATATTTATAAATTATAGATAAAATATTTAGCCAAGTAGCTTCCTAATGAAGTATTAACTACAAATGGAATTTCTATTCAAAACTAGGATGAAGTAGATACTATCATGCAAATACAATATCCTCAATTTGATTAGAATTGCAATAATATTTTTCGTTAAATTTTATCAAGAGAAGTCTACTAGCAATGTAAAAGCATCTAGACAGAATATAAAAACAATTTAAGACACCTTATTTAGCTAGCATTGGAAAATTAAAAGCACAAAGTAGGTTTATTTGCATGCGATTCTTCGTGTTATACTGCTTTCAAACCTATCTTTAATCTTGTTCAAAACTCTATTTTTACTAAAATATACCCTCTGCCTGAAAGCTTTGAGTATGAAAGATTACTACAATTACCAAAAAGTACTTGCCTGAACCAAGAATTCAAATATTTCGAAGAGTTCAACATTAAAATAAAAAGAAATGTATCAGGATATCAGTTTAATCCTGTTATGAAGTCTACTGAGAGAGAACAAGTTAAATCTAGCATAATCGATTGTATTTAAAGCAAGTTAAATAGGTTATTCACACAGCTTTATAATTTAGGTAACATATATTAGCAAGTTATTATAATTAAATCAAGAATAGTGTTTTTCTTGCTTAAAGATTAGAACCCTATTGAAATAAATAATCATTAAGTAAAAGAAGAAAACTAGAGCAAACAAAAAATGAAATTGAGAAAAGAAATTTAACAATTTAAATTTATTTAATAAACTAGAGGATTTATAGAGTGAAGATAGGACGAATTTAGCAGTACAATTCAACAAATTAATTAAAGAAAGCAACGCGCTATTAAGAAGTGGTCTCAGATATAGGGAATGGCCAGATTCAAGATCTATTGCCATTTCAAATAACAAAAAGTAATAAAAATGATGATTTTTTAATACTATCATGACAAAATAACTAGCTAAATGCAAATTACTTATTTCTATTGACAAACTCAAGGAATTTTGTAAAGAAGAAATTTTATGGCAAAGTAGAAATAAAAATTCTACTTTGAGATTTTCCATTTTATTAGATAATTTGTATCGCGTGTGTGGAGAATTTTCACAGTAGAAAGAAAATTAGTTAGTGACTAAGTATCTAACTTAATTGATTCCCGAATTTTCTTGAAAAAAAATGATTTAATAGAATTTATTAGAAACAATTCTTATTAAAATAGAAAATATAAATTGAATCTTGTCAAAATAAGAACAAAGTTTTTCTGATTTTACAGAAATTAAATTTTTATATAATTTTTTTCTACTCTTATTCATAAATAATAAATTTATTAAGCAGCAAAAAACTAATAGATTCTACAATTGTAGTTATTATTGCTATTTAAAATAAATTGTTTAGTTAGTATTATTTTCAATATTAATTTATAATAATAGGTATTTAATTCAAGTTAATAAAGAAGATCATTTTGAATTGAAATGCAGCGGAACAAAAGAATTAAATTTTTTAGAATACCTTGTTTAGTCTATATAAATTACTTAGTTACTTGATAAGCATTTAGGTTTTAATTTTGATAGTAAAGAAGGCTTTACTACAGTAAAACCAATTTACTAAGGATTAGCTCTTAAATTTAAGATCAAAGTTAAAATACCATCTTCTTACTAAGCTACTTTTAAAACTAATATAGAAAATTTAAAGAAAAACCCATCTTCATATATAGATATTAAATCAATTAAAAAAGTAATTAATTATTTAATTTAATTTTTAAATAAATAATTAATATTTTTTATCAAAGGATTCTAATAGGTGGATGATTACATTAAATAAAACATTTGGTTTAACTTGGAATACACTCATTTAATAAATAGAAACTAGTTTTTAGTCATTATTTTAAAATATAACAGATAAAGATTAAAGTCCAACATAGATTAATATTATTAATTTAGATTAATTCACAAGTGATGATATAGCTGAATAAGAAGAGGAAGAAACCGATGAAATATAATAGAGTGAAGTTTAAAGTTAGCAAAACAATAATAAAGAAGAAAATGGTTAGTAGCATAAAGAAGAAGAGTTATAAAATTAAAAATAAATTAAAGAAACCCAAGAGCAAGGAAAATTAATATAAAAAAATGGAAACATGACTAACTAAAAGGATTAATATAATTAAGCTTAGCTAAAAGAGAGCAACATTAATAGTAATTAATCGTAAAAAAGAAATTACTCAAATCACTCCTCAAAAAGCACAGATGAGTCAGTAAATCATTAAAATGAAATTGAAGAAATTCATGTTACAAAAGAAGAACCTATTTAAAAGAAGAATAATTATCAAAAAAATTAAATAGTTACTTACATAAAAAAATCTGACCTAATAACATAAAATAACGAAAATACAACTCAAAATACACATTCAGTAGCTAAAATATAGTCAGAGTCTTCAAATTAAAATAATGAAATTACTAAACTTGATCACATAGAAATTACGATAGAAGAAAACACCAATGATAAAGAAGAAACAAAGTGGCAAAACGAAATGAAAAATGATATCTAAATTTTACCTTATGGTAATTAATTAATCAATTTAATCATTTAAATAAATAAATAAATTCAAGCAAAGCCAAAAAATTTTAATAATGATTGAACTAATGGGCTAATAAATTTTTTTAATATAATTTTTATAGATAAACTCTTTATTTTTTTATATTTGAATTTACATTAAAGAAAAAATATCTATTTTTATTTTCTTTGATTTAAATAGATTTCGATAGAATTTTGCAGTATAAAAGAGTAGAGAGAGCAAGCAATTACTCTGAACTTTAGGTAGAAATTTCTAAAATCATATTGCGTAAAAATAAAGAAGAGCTTTAGGCTAGTTAAAATGAGCTTTATTAGATTATTTCAGAATCAGATACGAGCGTAGTTTTATAGTCTTACAGTTAACCCAAAGAGTTTATCAAGGAATCTTATTTTATTCTCAGAAGAAATTTTAAGTCTATACCCCTTAAATCAAAGATGAATGATGAAGAATTTTAAAAGGTTGACTAAAAGTTACTGCAATTTATTAAGCAAATAGAGGTAATTGTTAGAAAAATAAATATTTGTTTAAAATACTCATTTATTATTTAAATATAGAACCAATATAAAGGTCAGCTAATTCTGGCTAAAGAACAAAACTATGAAAAATAAATGAACCAATTGTTAAAGTAATACCACCTGTATGAAGATAACGAGACTTTCAATTAACTTAAAGGATTTGACAATGAAAGATTTTCATATGGTTCTCTACTTTATAAAAGTGAAAAGTAAAATAAATCTCAAATATATTTCTTAAAAAAATTTTTGTTAAGTTTAAAAATATTAGGAAATTTAGATGACCATTTGATTATTGTTTTGAATATCACTTAAGATGATATTATTGAAAGCTTAGTAGAATTATATAAAATATACAATAAACTCAAAGAATAGGTATGTAGAGATGATTATTTTGGATATTTAACAAGAAATCCAAAACTATGTGGTTCCGGTTTGTCAATAGTTTACAAAATTAAAGAAGTTAAAAGATCAAACATCATACTCTCAGTAACCTAGACTGATGAAAACTCAAACATAATAACTCAATACTTAGAGAAAGATAACTGTGTGCAGATAGAGTTAAATAGAGTTGATCAAACCAATTTACACCAATTTGCATAAGATTGTAACAATCACCTAGCTCAAATTAAACTTGCTGATTCTTAAGATTAACTTCTCACTGAAAATCGTAAATTAACATAAAAAATTACTTTAATGTCAAATAATTTAAACATTAAATAAAAAAAATTAGAGCTTACCTACCTAGACTGCTTTGATTAACATGGTTTTATAGTTGCTCCTGAAAAAGAATGCTATACATTTTTCAAAGATGCTTTTGAAAGATATATCAAGAAGTTTAATTTAAATGAAAGTCCATTAGAATTAACTTATTCTCCAAACCTTTTGATGTTTAATGAAATAAATAAAGATATTACAATTCAATATGAAATTAGAAGAAATTTTGAATAATTTAATTTTACTAAATATATGACTCACAAAGAAGTGGAAACTTTGAAATAATATTTTGAAAAAATATTTAAAAACTAAGATTTTCATGTAAAAAGTCAAGAATCGAACTCATACAAAACAGTGACTTACATGCATAACTTTAAATTGTAAAATAATATTTTTTTAAAAAATATTTTTTAATTGATTTAATTTAAAATTAGCTTCAAAGTAGATGTAATGAAAAATGATCACTTATCAATATATTCGTTTGGAAAACTTAAAAGTTTGTAGAAATCGTTGGCTGAAACATTTGATCTTCTATAAAAACTTTAAAATGAAAAATTTACTTATTTAAGAGATGAAAATCTTGGTTACCTTTCAGAGCAAGGACAAAGATTGGGAGATAATTTCTACATAAAGATAGAAATGACTGTGAATCAAGAGGAATTAGAAATAGTGCAGAAATTAGCTAAATCACATTAGTATAATCTTACAGTTTAAAATACTAAAGGCTAAACTTACAACAATCACATAGAGTTAGAATTAAAAAGATGTGGCTATTTCCGTTATGAAATGGAATTTATAATAATCTTAATAAATGCTCTATCAGAAAAGAAAGAACATAAAAAACAATGAAGTGATTGAAAAATAATAATTAGCTTAATAAATAAATTAGCAATTAATTGTAGGATATTACAAACTTTAATTAAAACTTAAATCATAAAATAAATAAATAAATAAATAAATAAATAAATACTACTTTCAAACTAAACCCTATTTCTAAAAAAAACATTCTTCTAAATTATTAAAATTTTTAAAATTAATTTAAATAACTTCTCCTCACTTTTTCTACAAATCACTGAAAATAAATTTCTTTTAAATGGTTCAAAAAAATTATTGAACCAGATAATAAAATTAATTATTCAATTAATCCATAAATAAATTCACTGTTAAGTTGAAAGAATTTTTATATAATAATATAGAAATCTTAAAATAAATTATAAAAAATTAAATTGTAGAACGAACTTTATTTTAGTAAAATTACTGAAAAATATAATTAAAATATGTTTATGAATTTAATTAAGATATTCAATATGATTTTATTCATTATTTATTTAATTCTTTTTTGTATCTTTTTTATTTTTTTAAATTATTTTATGTTAAAAATGTTATTTAAACCTGAATGTACTCAATCATATATTTGATTAATAATTTAAATTTATATTATCTTTTTTTTAATGAATGTAATCCCTCATTTATTAATTCACCTTGATAAAATATGTTTATATTTTTAAAATTTTATTTCTAAATGAGGCTTAATAAAATTTTCAAATTATAAAATTATTAAATACAACTAAATTACAGTTTTTAACAATATACATTAAAAGTTAACTTTAAAGCTCTTCAAGATAAATTAATATCTTAAGAATTTTGTTGTAAATATAACATCATTTGTATTTTTAGAATCTTTTTTTATATTTTAACATACACGATCATCTTTAATTTATTTATAAAAATATTTTAAATTCATCTTTTTATTCTTATAAAATAAAATAAAATAAATATTGAGTTAATATGAAGTTATGATGAATCAACTTAATTTTAAATACACATTTTTTAAATTAATAAAATAATATTATTATTATTATTATTATTATTGATATTATAAATCTATTTGAAGCAGTTCTAACTTAAACAAATGATCTAAACCTAAAATTAAATCAATTCAATAGCTAAATAGCTAGAATGATAAAAAACTAAATTATAGTATTATTGTTATAGTTTTACTCATTTCCTAAAAGAATACATATTATAATTGAAAATTAAAAAGTTATAAAACCTATAAGAAAATCATAAAAAAATAATTTTGCAATTTATATGGTATAAATAAATCTAATTTAAGGAGTGAACAATATATGTATTAAAGAGTTTAGAAAGCTTATTTAAACGATTTATCAGAATTATTACTAATTAAATATACTTGAATTACCTCAAGAGTAAAGGAATCTTAAAATAAACCAATTTATTTTATATCAAAATTTTAAAGTACAAACATTATTCTCATTAAAGATAATGCTGACAATAATTTATGCAATAATAATAATTTTGGCATTCAAAATATCCTGATTTACATAGAAAAAGAGCTAATTTAATTAGAGAAAAAATCTTTGCTTTAAAGACAGCAAATATAAATTTAAATGTTTATATCAAATCTATAATTTTAATATAAGTAATATGAATTAACACAAAAAATAAATATAGTTAAATTAATGGATGATTGGAAACCATAAAAATAAGTGTATCATATTTTATTTTAATCTAAACAGCAGCCTATTTAAAACTGAAAACAAATATTTGTTGTGTAAAAGCATTCAATCAATATATGGAAATGGACAAAATGTACAATTTACCTTTTAACTTAAATAATATCCTAAATATAATGTTGCATATCTCAGATTTAGTACACAATAATTGAATTGTTTAATATCGAATCAATTTAATTTTTAAAAATATCCTTCTATACATACTCACATAATAATTAACTTCGTTAAATTCAAGTTTTATAGCCTCTTATTTTGATATTATATTTAAATAAAATCGACTGCTATTTTATTTAATTTAAATATTTATTAGGCTCTATTTACTATGCATATAGATACGATTACATAATTATATGGTAATATTTTTTATATAAAATAATTTTTAAATAAATAGTGAAAATTTTAAATAACTCTTTAAAAAAATATCTCTATATTTAATTTATAATAATGAATAGTTTAATTAGAGTGAAAAAAAAATTTGACTATTTTATTTATTAAAATAGTATTTTTATAAAAATAAATATGTTTTAATTAATTTTATTGTAGTTGAGTTAACAAAATTTAAATTTAATAGTTATTTATTTTTGTTTAAACGAATGAAAAAAACTTCAAATAAATAACTCTTTCTATAAAAATCAGTATATTTTATTAAAAGAATAAACTAATAAAAAATTATATTTTACTTTATTAAATGTTAAAAAAATTTTTTTATCAAAATATATTTTAATTAATATTTTTTTAGTTTAGTCTTAATTTAATTTTAATAGCCATTTATTTTTATTTAGAGTTTAAGTGATGAAATATTTTATTAGATTAATATTAAATTAAATTAAATTGTTTATATAAAAAATATACACAAATAAATACTTAAATGAATGATATTTCAAAATCTAAATTTTTACTTTTTTTATAAAAAATAAATAAAATATTAAAATTTATCAAGTATGAAATTTAAACAAAATAAATTTATTTCCTGTTTCTATTTTTTTAATATCTTTTTTCTAATTAATACTCATATTAAAATTAGTAAAAGAATAAAAAAGTTGTAATGATTTAAAATGATCAGAAATTTTTTTTTAACCATTTATTTAAATAAAAATAAGATTAGGAGTAGTAAGTAGTGTAAGTATGTAAGTGTTTGTATTGTGACTGTAAAAAATTGCAACCTTACTTACTTATTATAATCAATTTCCAAAAAAATTAATTAAAAAAGCCAGAAAAAAGCACCACAAATTTGAACCTAAGCTAAAAAATTAATTTTTTTAAATTAGTGGTAATCTATAATAAATATGATATACTATTTTATTGTAATTGATTTGTATTATCACATAATTTTTATTTAAACTATTTAACCTACTATTTTAATCATTAATAAAAGAAAAATTATAATGTGAATATGATGTAATTTAGCTTACCAAACTATAATTTGCTTATATACTTTAATTTTTTCTAATTAATGATTGTAATTAATTTAATAATACTTCTGAATTTATGAAATTAGAAATCGAATGTAAGATTGTTTGAATAGATCAATTACTCAAATATGGAATATCTGAAATAGATAAATAGTGATATTGAAAGGTTAATTTTTAATAATTTGTTTATTAACTGATTGTGTGAACATAAGGTGATTGAAGATTAATATAAAAATCTTAATTATTTCCGACATCTAGCTATTTTTTAAAAACTCAAAACGTATCTAAAATAACTATCTATCTATCTAGATATATGTCTAATTTTGTAGTATAAATAATAATTTATTTTTGAGAAATATCCTTTAATTATAAATTTACTAACAAAAAGATAAAATCAAAAATTTGAAATGAAAACATAATTCTTTCTTTTAAAAATTGCCTTCTCAATATTTGTAAGCTAAAATCTTATCGTCTTCTTAAGGGCTGGTAACTAACTTTACAATAAATTAACTAATTAATTAAAAACATTTTAATATTTTTTATGACAAATAGACGAAATATTGTTTGCTTAAGAATATGATAATACTAGTCCCATAAATGATTATAAGTAAATGATATGTAATTGCGGATTTTGGTTTGAATATAATACAGAGTACATTATAGGCTAGTATGACTCTACTTCAAACTCTAATCCGATAATAAGGACATACTTTTCTCTGCCCCCTCATTGGAGCATCGCATTTAGTTTTGATTTAATTTTATTTAATATAAATAATTGGAAAAGCTAGGATAAATTACAAATCTCAGTTGATAATAATGTCTTAACATCATATTAGAAAGAAAGTATTAATCCTTCCTTATCATTTTGTACCAGTTCAACTTATGACACACTAAAATTTTATCATATAAATGTGACTCATTCCTCTCCTTTTGTTTAGCTTTAAATAAAATCTAATTTTGTGCCTTCTGCCTCTAGTTATGGGATTAGAAATATTATTTTGCATGTGGAAACATGTCATTAAAGTTGCCTTACATGCAATGGTCCAACATCTGTAAACTACTTTATTAGAGAGATATTTCTTTTTAATTATTTAATTAATTACCACAAGTTCAATTTTTTAATTTCTGATAAAATATAAAAAAGGATAATTGCTTATCTTGCCCGAATAACTTTTCTTTAGTGGGAAATACATGTAAATGCGCTGTTGGATATTTTTAATATCAAAATACATGCTTATAATTATGTCCTTAAGGATATAACTAAAACTAAATTAATTCAAAATGCGAATATGATAACTGTAATACCTTAAATTGCTAAACTTGCAACTCCTCGCCTAAGCGACAATGTCTAACATGTAAACCAGGCTTTTATCTTCATATTGATTAATGTGTTTCTTCTTGCCCGCCATATGCACCATTAACTAATAATATCTGTTAAGATCCTATCTCATCATTAAAAAGTAAATATTTTTTTTAATTAGTTTGTCAACATTTATTTTAATTTTCTTTAATAAATTAGATGGCAAATACGCATTAAGGGGATTATTTAGCTAGACTTTTGGAGAAAGTGAAATCAAAGGAATGAATTTACTAACTTAAAATTTTTATGGTAATGGATTAGAAAATAATAATCCAAGTAATTAAGTTTTTACTAATTGTGGAGGAGTTCAGTTATTTGGAGGCGCGAATTTAGCTGCAACACAATCAAAAATAATCTGGAGAAGCTCAAATTTGTATACAAAAAATTATAAATTAAAATGTATTTTAAATAAATTAATAAATAAATAGAGTTCCTCATTATTAGCTGACTATTTCTTTTAAGGCTTACATCCTTGATTCTTGGGATTCAGAAAATTTCTATTTATAAATCGACAATAATACTATTTTTTAAGTTAATGAAGATTTTAATAATTTTAGTACTTAATTATGTGGTTTGAGTGAGTACAATGATTAAATAGAAACAATCTATTAAACAATTGCCCACTCTAGTCCAACTATAGAAGTAATAATCTCCTCAAACTTAGATGAAAATCCTTACAACGAGTCTTTTGGTATAAGGGAACTTTACATTTTATTAGAAGCAGTAAGAAATATTTTTACTTTAACACATAAACTATTTCATTTAAAATTTTTAAGTGTATAGATAACTGCTAGCAATGTAACGATAGTATTACGTGCTAAAAGTGTATGCCTGGGTATGGATTATACAATTCTAAATGTTATCAACCTTGCCCAGATTCATTTTGGAATAATTAAGGTATTTGCACAGCTTGTGATTCTAGCTGCTTAAATTGTAGTGGATCAAGTAATATAATAAAAATTAATTTATTTTTTATTGAAAATATAATTCATATTTATTTTTAATATATTAGGCTCTTCTTAATGCACCTCATGTAAACCAGGCACATTTTTATATAATAATACATGTGTTAAGTCTTGTCCCGATATTCAATACTATCCAGATACTTAAAACAATATCTGCAAACCTTGTGATGCAAGCTGTTAAAAATGCTAGAGTCCTGGTAAATTTATCAATTGATCAATCTTTGTTTATTTGCTTGAGATTTAGTCATTAAAATATAATCTAACTTTTATTTTGAATTAGGTGATAATAAATCTTGCACTTAGTGCTAACCCACATTCTTACTAAACGGATAATGCTTAAGTAACTGCCCTGATTAATATTATAAAAGCGGAAACGTTTGCAAACCATGCGATTCAACTTGTCTCACCTGCTCTGGGCCAAATCCAAATTAATGCTTAACTTGTCTTCCTCCAAATAAATTGCAAACAAAAGATAATACATGTAGTTTGACTTGCCCTGATACTGATTAATATCTAGATTCTAACAAATGTATTAATTGTGACTCTACATGCGCATCTTGCTCAGCTGCTGGAGCTAATGCATGCACTAAATGCAAAACTCCACTGTAAATATTTTCTAAAAAATATCATTTTAACTTACAACATATTATTAATAGTTTTTTAAACACCAATAAATGTGTTCCAACATGTCCGAGTGGTTAGTTTGCTAATTTAAGTGATCTTACATGTAAACCTTGCGACTCTAATTGTCTAACTTGCTCTAATTCTTCTATTTAGTGTTTAACATGTTAATAACCATTAAAATTTCAACCAAAGACTAAATAGTGTGTAAATAGCTGTGATGATAACTAGTACTTTGACAGTGTAAGCAACTAATGTTTATCTTGTGATCCGAATTGTAAGGGATGTATCAATTCGTCTACATAGTGTATTTCTTGCAATCCTCCTAAGTAAATATATTATGCATTATTAAATAAATTTAAATCAAAATAAAAACAGTTTTCTTAAACTTTCTATGTGCACAAGTGACTGTGGGTAAAATTAATATGGAGACTCTACTGATTAAAAGTGCAAGCCATGTGATCCTACTTGTTTAACCTGTTCAGGGCCTAATGGTAACTAATGCATAACTTGTGTTCCTCCCTTAATACTCTATTAAGCAGAAAAGTAATGTAAACAAGCATGCAGGAATGATTAGTACTTCGATAAAGCTTCTAATTCATGCATTTAATGTAACTAAGATTGCTAGTAATGTTCTGGTCCAAACAATAATCAGTGCTTAAGTTGTAACCCACCAAAGTAAAAATTAAATTTATTAATTAAATTTATTTTAAATATAAAATAATAAATTAGAATTTTGCAAGGAACTCAATGTTAAGGGAGCTGTGATAATGGCTTCTATGCTAATACGAATAATATATGTCTGCCTTGTGATCCAAATTGTTAAACTTGTGTAAATTCGTCTACTGAGTGTATTACCTGCCCATCTGGGAAACTTTTAGATACTGTTTCTAAAAAATGTGTTTCATAATGCCAAGATGTATAATATTAAGATCTATAAAATAAGGCATGCAAGCCTTGTAATATTTAATGTAAAACTTGTCAAGGACCTCTTGATTCAGATTGCTTAAGTTGTAGTCCTCCATTGTATAATTAATTTTTTTTAAAAACCAAAATTTTTATTCTAATTTTTTATAAAAATAATATAATACATTATCTATTTATTAGCCGTTTTGCTTTTTTAAGTTTATTTAATGATATAATTTTTGGTAAAATAGTGTTTTATAAGGAACTAATTGCTAATAGAAGTGTAATGATGGATTTTTTTACAGCTAAACTGATTAAAAATGTATGATTTGCGATTAAAATTGTTAAACTTGTTCTGTTTCATCAAAATAATGCACAACCTGCCCTACAAATTAATATTTAGATATAGTTTCTAAAACATGTGTTTCTAAGTGTAGTGATAATTCTTATTTAGATAGTTCAAATAATTCATGCTTCCCTTGTAATGCTAGTTGCAAAACATGCTCTGGTCCTTCATCTATTGAATGTTTATCCTGCAATCCTCCTAAGTAAAAATTTTAATTTTCTTTAAAAGTAATCTATTTAAACTAATTATATATAAATAGTGTATTATAAATAAACAAATGTTAATCTGAATGTGATTAAAGCTATTTCTATAGCTCCATTGATTAAAAATGCATGAAGTGTGATTAAAATTGTAATACATGTGAAAATAAATCAACTGAGTGTTTAACCTGTCCCCCTACAAAACTTTTAGACTCTGTTACTAAATCTTGCGTAAGCAACTGTGCATAAAACGAATATTAAGACATACCAAGTATGTCTTGCAAAGTTTGTGATAAAACTTGTAAAACTTGTTCTGGACCAACTCCTTAAAACTGCCTAACATGTGAATCATCATTGTAAAATATTAATTTGTTTAAATTTTTTAACAATAAATTTTAATAATTTTAAAATTTAGTTAACTCATAAACGGAAAATGTGTACCAATTTGCACAGTTGGTTTTTTTTAGGATAAAGATTTTACATGCAAACCATGCGATCCAAGTTGTACTTCATGCAATTTGTCGTCTAGTAATTGCTAAACTTGTAAAAGTCCTTTTATTCTCAATAAACAATAATGTGTTGCAAATTGCAATTCAGATCAATATATAGACATAACCAAAAATGAGTGTGCATAATGCAATTCATAGTGTTAAGCTTGCACTGGCCCTTCAAATAATCAATGCACAAGCTGCCCTTAGGGAAAGTAAAATATTTTTATTATAAAAAAATTAAATATATTATTAAATGTTAGGTTTCTTAATGGAAGTGCTTGCTTTGATACCTGCCAAGAAAAATAATACACTGAAAATAATGTTTGCAAAAACTGTAATTAAACTTGCGAATCATGTACAGGAGAATAAAATAATTAATGTACTAAATGCTCTAAAGGTTCTTACTTGTATAAGAATATGTGTATATCTTAATGTCCTGAAGATTTATTTTAAGATCAAACTAAAAATGAATGTGCTAAATGCCATGAAAGTTGTTAGAACAATGGATGTTATGGTCCAGGTATGGATCAGTGTAAAACATAAAATTTGGATTATAAGAGATCTTTAATTGTAATGATTGTCACAGGAAAAACAATATTTTGGTTAGTTAGCTGCATTATTGGGTTCATTTTGGACAGAAAGGATAAAAGAATTTACTCAAATAAGGTTTAATCTATTAATGAAGAACAGATAAATGAATCTCCTAGAGATTTAGAAAATAAGTAGGAACTTAAGCAAGAAGAAGAATTCTTAGAGAATCCTTAAAATGAATTTACAAGAAGGAGAAAAAGACAGAAATTTTTATAATCTTAAATAAATAGTTTAAATGTAAACTCTGCAAACATAACAAAAGAATAAACACAAGCTCAAAATTCATAAATAAATAGCCATAATATTAGTACTTATCGTACTCGAAGAGCTAGGTCTAAAATTGCTATTCTTTTGTCTTAAGCAAACACTTTCTAGGATTTGAGCTAAAATAATTTAGATTAAAATAGCTAAGCTGTTACTGATTTTACACCATCATTAAAAAAATTAGGATCGAAATCAAATATGGCAAGTAATTAATTTCTATCAGCCTTTTTTATTGCTAATTAATTAATTATTATATTTTTCTCGTTAGATGAATAAGAATCGCCATTTTGCACTTAAGTTTAGCTTGAAGAGAGTAAATAAAAAGATTAATTCTATTAATGTAATCAAAAGCTTAAATATACATTTGTAAATACATTTTTTTAAATTGGTTTATTCTTTTGTTTAATTCATTTTTAAAAAACTTAAAAGATTGGAAGCGAGTTAATATCTTTGTTTAAATTATATGATCCACAAATAAGTAGAATTTTTAGATCTACACTGATATACATAAAATATTTAGCTTTCCTTTTTGCAACAGAGTTTGTATTCTATCAGGTAATTAATCAGTTATCTTAATTTATTTTTATTTATAAAATATTTTTTTTAAATAGGGGAATATCATATTATTAATACCTTCAATATTCTTTGGAATAACTGTTAAATTCTTATTATACTAAATTTTAACTTCTTTAAATATTTTCTTGAGATATGGTGCAGTAATCGCTTCACTAATTTTAATTGGAGCATCTGTTTCTGATATTTATCTTTGGTTCTTACCCATAATTAAAAACCTCTATTGGAATAAAGACTTTACTTGGTCAGTATTTTATGCAGCAGTTTTTAGTGTTGATCTAATTGTTATTTAATAGATAATATCTTTGTTTAAATACTTAAGCTCAGTAAGATCTTTAAATGTTAAAAAAGAATTATGGTAAAATATTTTAAATAAACTTCTTACTAGTAGAGCGCTTATATTAAATATTAAGAAAAATTGAGTATAAAATTTATTTTAATAATATTAAAAGTGTTTGTTTGTTTGTTTAATCAGAATTTATAAAATTTATTTTTGTGAAAACAGACAGATAGACATAAATATTATTTTGCAATATTAAAAAATAATAAAATTAATTAATTAAGTAACTCTAACTCCAAATTAAATTCATATTATTTTATTTATTTCAACTATATAAATATACAATATTTCTTTAGGATTTCATTTCATAAAATTAATAATATAATTATTAAATACAAAAAATAAAATTTTAATATTTATTTATTTATTTCGTCAACAATAAATTTCTTTGTTTATTATAAATTGAGAATTATTTAAGTAAATAAAAACGTTATTTTGTATCATTAAACTTAAAGCTAAGTATTAGTTATTTTCATCAATGTAAGGTAGAAGAATTTAATTGATACATTAATATTACTTTATTAATTTATTCAAATAAGATATATAAATCAAGAGGCTTAGTAATTTCAACTGAAAACATATTTTTATTCCATATTTTGTATTTTTTAAGTGATTTAAATAATAATTCAATTGATTAAAATTTACAAAAAGTAAATTATAAATAAAGCTATATTTATTATTAATCTTCATTAAATAACTAAACTTATTATACATTTGTATATCTAGATTTATTATTTGAATAATCACTATAATAAAATTCTAGGTCTTGAAATTAATTAATTTCTATTCTTTCAGGTTTTATAAAGTCTATTATAACATAATTTATTAACCTCACTAATTAAATTGCAATACTGAATTTGCTCCACAAATTTTCTTTATTTTCTTGCATAAATTATTTAACATTTCTAATCAAAAAGATTGAAATTTGAAAATTTTATTTGAGTGACTTGAAGATACTATGAAATAATAAAAATTATATGAAGGAAAAAAATATATTATGTAGTGTTTATATGCATTAATACAATAAAATAATAAATAGAGTAAATCAAACACATTTTATTTATTTATTTATTAATTAATATTCATTATAAATTTGATTTTTCTATTAAAATTTAATCTGTGACTAAAATATTTTCTCTATCTTTTGAATCTAAGATATTATTTCTTATGGAGGTGTTTCCCTACTAAGTAAAAGCTGTGTTCTTGTTATCTTAATTTTAAAATTTACTTTTTGGAGTCTAGTTGACTCTTGCAGCAGCATCATTATTATTGATTTAAAAAATATTAATTTAATATTGGTTGGAATGCTATTAAGTAAAGTATCTGTTCATTTTTCTCATATCAAATTCATTTTATTAATTAGGATTAATTTCAATTTCCTATTAATCAATATGATCATGGTGTTCTTAATTTGTTTGAGGTTTGTGTGAAAATTGCTATTTTAGCATTGGCATAGCATTTAGATTTGGCAAAAAAGTTAATTTTCTATTCGACTTTCCATCCTGCTGCTAATGAAATATTAACAAATAAATAAATTATTAAATATATAAATAAACCTTATAAAATTTATTTACTAGTAATTGAAAGTTAATTGGTTAATTAAAAAGTGGATTAATATTTCTGTTCTGTAAAAACGGGAAATTTTCTGATTCAGGAATTAATTTTATGGGAACAGCCTGCATGAAGCTACTTTTTAGCAAAGAAGAGTTTATTTTAATAGCTTCAGGGTCAGTTTGATTGCTTTTTAGAAAAGTTTGCATATTCTACATATACTATTACTAAGCTTATGAAGCAGTAGCAGGGTTTGCTCTATCATAATCCTAAATTTTAATATAAATAATTTTTGAGATCAATTCACTCTTTTATTAACTTTTGTTTACATTAAAGAAATACTAAGAAACATTTTAATATGTTTTATGAGTATTTGGATTTGCTTGATTTTAGGTGCATAGGTTTATTATTTTTTATATAGGTAACACATAATAAAAAACACTAAACTGTATCTAAATCTAAGTCCAATCATCAATGCTCCCATAAATCATGTATTACCAGTAACAACACCCAATCTTATTAATTAATTAATTTTCTTAAATTTATTTTATTTCCAAAAAATTTTATTATTAAAATAATTCTAATTACAGCAAAAATCAGGATGTACAAATCATTAAAGTATTTTATATTTGCAAAGAACAATTCACCAGATATTGCAGGAGGAGAAGCATGCCTCCTCAATAAAAGATACTTTTCTAGCCAGTAATCGGCAATAATCATTAAAAAGTTCCAAAAAATAATATTAGGACAAAGATATCCAACAAAACAATTAATCAGCATTAAACGAATACTTATTGCATAGTTTTTATCAGCGTTAAAGGTTGTTCCTTCAAATACTCTTTATATAATAATGACAGTTGAAAGAGTTTAAAAAAATTCAAAATTGTTAGAATATTAAAGCATAAAATAAAGTTAAAATTAAATCGAAAATAATGAAAATTATATTTAAACACATTAAATAAATAAATAAACTAATTTTAAGAGCTTTTTAATTGCTATTATTTAAGAAATAAACATTAAATTGGCTTTATTTTTATCTTGTAAAAACATATTATCTAAAGAGAGTTAAAAAATTTATATTTTAAAAAGATAAAATTTTATTTTTAGAATAAGTAAGTGTGTTAGCAAAAATGTTTATTTATTTATTTTTGAGGTTTTCATTTGAAATAATTTATGTAAAAATAAATATTTTTAATGTAATTAATTACTTATGAGCTTCATACTGTGTAATAGGACATTTATCGCCTTACTTTTTAATAATCCTTCTTTTGATAAATCTAACAACAAACCACATATTAAAGTATTAATTGAATAATGGGAAAAGAGTGTTGACAAGCACGTTATACTATATACTCATAATTACTCCTCCATTTGTCATTAAATCTCTTCCATTTTATATATTATCGTTGATTACACTGATCAAAATAGAATTGATAAATTATGCCTAAAATAATTAGAAGAAGTTGAATTCTAAATATGAAATAAAAAACTAGTTATGAATGAATTACCATGCCTAAACTCTAATCCACACTTATTAGGTATTTGGTATAAGTTGGATGCTTTTCTGATGCAGCCAAATTTTTTATAAGCTTTGAAATGACTGTGTTGATTATAAAAGTCAATACTGATATTGATAATGCAATAGCTTCTATTAGTAATGACTCTCCATAGTAATCTTTTATCATAGTCTATTTAGTTAAAAATTTTATTTTAAATGAAACAAATATCTTAATTAATTAGCTACCTAAATGAGTTTAACACAATAAATTAAAGCAAAAGCAATGCAAATACTTAAAAATTATTTTGACAATGATTTAATTCTAAATTTAAGTCTCTCTTTTTTTGAATAGACAAGATTTTCCCACAATATATCTCCTGGCTCTGGTGCTTTGCTGACCTTTAAAAAAACAAACATATAAATTAATCTCCTTTTTATTTATCAAAATCATTTTTTATAAATACTTTAATATAAGAACCCATAAAAGACTTATTATTTTAGCAAAATATATAGCTAAAGAACCTTTCTATATCGTTAGTGGGGAAATAATCAGTAACTATCTAGACATTTTCTTCATTTTTAAATGAGACAAAAGCATATCCAGTGTTCCTCAAGTGAGTACTGTAAGATTTACATATTTCATTAATTTTTTTGTCTATTCTGAGAATCTTTTTACGTATTTCTATTTTATCGTTTTCTATTTCTTTTAGCTCATTTAAATCCTCTTCCAAAGTTGTCTCGTTTTTCTTCTTCTTTTTCTTTTTAAGAATTTCTTGCTACTCTTCAGGTGTTAGCAAAGCAAATTTCTTCTTTTCTTCTATCTAATCTTTTAGTTTGAATTCCCTACCAAAAAATGAGTTTTCCTTTTTAATCACTGAAGCTCTCAGCTTCTAAATTGCTGATAAATCTTTTATTTCATAACCTTATACAATCTTTACTATTTCTATTGAATCGTTCTAAATTACTTCATAAAAGAATTTTTTTAGCTACTCATTCGTAACTCCTTAGGGGATATTTTCTACCATAATTGTAAAATGACTTGGAGTTATAAATCTACTTTCCATTCTCCTATCTATTTACTTGAATATACTCTAATAAATAATAGTGACTAATATCAATATCATAGTAGCTAAAAAGTTTATCTTTGAAACAGTGTGGTCAATATATTCGTTACTTCTATTTGCAGACATAATTCTATTAAACTCAAAGTCAAATATAAAAAATGTTTGTGTACATTAATTTTTAACATCACAGCCATTACCTTAAATATTCATAACTAATGAATATATCTACAAAACTCCCAAAATAAATGTCAATATTGTAATAAATATCATCCACTCAAAGTACAAAGGTACTCCACTTCCTAAAAAACCTAACTTTTCTCTGTTAACGCCAATAGGAAGGAGTTCGTTTTCCTAAACAAAACGAATAATTTCATAAACATTTTTAGATAAAGCCTTAAATAAATTACGATTTAATTTCCGCAGCAAGGACAAAAATTATCTTTAATTGAGTCATTTATAGTTAATTTTTTATTTTAAGCAACTCTTCTCGCTTGCTTTAGTTCATTAATAGTTAATTTTATTATTTAAAACATTAATGTAAATTAATTATTACTGCATGTTTAATAGCTAATTCTAAATCAGGAGGCCTTTAGTCAGGATTAAATCCTAAAATCCTATCTTTTTCTTAATCAAAGCTACGATCTAAATGCGATTCTGAGGGAACTTTGTGACTATTTTTTTCAGAATGGTTGATTGAATCGAAATTGCTGCTAATTTTAAGCAAATCTTTTTGTTTAACATTTAAGTAATTCTTATTTCCAAATTCATCATCTTCTCTATCGTTTAGCTATTTCAATTGAATGAGTGGTGCTAAATAAAAAGAAAGATAAATATACATTTTTATCTTCTAGATCTAGAGATAGGTCTATTCCTATATCTGAAAGTTCTTCGCTGTCTTCTTAAATCATGAAAATACCTTCAGTAATATTAAAATTCTAATAAATTGTATCTATATTCGTATATAAATAGGCTTTATGCTTAAAATTTATCAAATTAAATTCAATAAATTTACAATAAATGTAAAGAGATAATATAATTAAAGAATTTGTTTTTGAAAATGCAGTAAAAAGTGTAAATCCTTACTAGATTAAAAATAGAGTTACTCGATATAAAAATGATTTACTCATTAAGATGGGATTTTGTAAATTTAACTAAATAAATTAAATTTTAAAGCTATTTTAATCAGTATATATATTCAATTAAAACTTTAAGGCTAAAAGAACTTTAAAATATTTATATACACAGATATCAATTTATTTCAACTTTTATATAATCTAAGATATATAATATAGTAATTAAAATATTATCCTGATTAAAAGTAAGTAGAATTTATAAAAAGCTATTTTCGATTCAAAAAAATAAAATTTATTAAATGGGGATAAAATTTTTTTAATTAAAAAAACTTTTTTATGATTTAATTTTTAAAAATTAATATTCATAAAATTATTTTTTATTAAATTATGTTGATTTTTTTAAATCCATTCTCTTATCAACTTTAATCTTAGTCTGTTTTCTCTAAAGCCTTCATATCTAAAAAATTATCATAGGCTTCAATCCATTCATCTTCTGAATCTTTATAAATTTTTCTTTAACCCTCTAAAATCCATTTAGAAATATGTTAATTTATATTTGTTTCTAGACTGTATTAAGAATCTAAGAAGAAAATACAACCCCAATCATCTTTGTAACGTATGCATCTTCCTGCAGATTAATTGACTACTTTAACTGCATCTTTCTAATACCATTGACTTTCTCCCAAATAAAGCTAAGCATGGGTTTTTTTACATATTATATAAGGGTCTGAAAGATTTGCATAAGGGACACCAAAAAGAATTACTGCTCTACATAAATTGTCTTTTAGATCTATACCTTCAGAGAGCTTACCTCTATTAACAGCCAAGAATATGCAATTAGATTTATTCTACTAGATAGATTACTTATAAGAACTATATTATATTTTAAAATCATTTGCATCTCTTTTTTCTTCAAAAAACTTAAAATCTGCATTTTTTGTCATATTTATCATATATTTGTATTATTAAAGCATTTAATAACTTTTGAAAAATATGACTATTCCACATTTTTCTTTGACCTGTTGACTATACCTATTAAGTTTTGACATTATTTTATTTAAAACGATTTGAGAATTTTGAAATATTTTATTTTTGTTTTTTTCTTTTTTCAGTGCATTCATACTAAAGCAGATATCTTGCCCATCACAAGAACTTATAAATTAGGTAAAAAGATTTGACTATGAATGTATTATGTGAGGCGATGTGTAAGTTTAAAATTCTAAACCTAAAGATTTTTAAATTAACTCAAATGGTTCAAGTGTACCTGAAGTAAGTATTAAGGAACTAATATCGATCTTTTTATAAATTTTTTTAAATAGGTATGATGCTGATAGACAACCTATTTGTAAGATTGGTATGAATTATTATTCTTCTATTCTTAAAAGAGAAATATAATGGTTAGATAAATAGAGAGGATCTTCTTAAGAACCATGTAATTTTCTCATTTTTAATAATTTATAGAAAAAATGCCAAATCTTAGAAAAATAGCTAATTTCAATTTATTCACCTAGTTTTTTAATATTGTTTTTGTAATTTATATTTAATTCATAGATTTCATTATTATTTTCTTTTACTATGATATTTTCACCTTAAATATCTTTATTTTATTAATCTTTTTATTCTATATCCTCTTCAGTATTTATTTTTATTACTTTCTTTATATATAAAATGATTTTAAATACTTTTTCTAAATTACCCAGAAATTTTTAAGCTGAATCAACATCATTAACTTTAAGTTATTCAAACTATTTTACTATTTCTTTGTCAGAAAAGAGTTTACAAAATTGTTGAATCTATGATTTATTATTTTAATCAAATATCTTTTCAAGAAATCCACATTTTTCTTTAATTGTTAAAAAAAGATTTTAAAAATTATCAAGAAAATAGTAGACCTCCTTTATTCTTTATTCTTAATAAAGCTTGAAGATACTTTCAACATCTATTTAGCTTTTGTTTATATTTGAGTCTTTTATGTAATTTTATATTTATTATAAACATTATGGAGAATCATCCGAAACTTAAGAACTTTAATTAATTGTTGATAATGCTAAATCATACAAATCTTTAGAGGAAAATAAAATGTTCTAATTAAATTTTCTTTTATATAATTTTTATTCAGTATTAACTGCATAGGAGTTGTATTTAGCATGTTTGTACTTTTGTAAAAATTTTTCTTCATCTTCATCATTATCATAATCAGCCTCACCATTTTTATCTTGAATATCACTTTTATCTTTTCGAAATTTTAAATAAGATTAAATAATTTAAATTAAAATTTTACTTTGTTTTTACTTATCAGCTCTTTTAAGAAGTTATTCCTTTAAAAAAAGAGATTCCTATTTAATATCTAGTTAAATCAATGCTCTAATATCTTAACCTACTTGAAGCATCTCATTTCTTTGAGGTTTTTAAAAAATTTTTTAAACCTTTTCAAGTGTATTATTGAATTATTCAAAATATTTATTACTCATTTTAATAATTTATTCTTATTCAGCTTGCTCAGAAACATTATGTGCTTCATCAAATATTACTATAACTTTACCTTTAAAAAGATTTTAAATACTTGCTAGAATATTTTGCTTAATGACATAATTATAAGTAGAAAAAACTAATTTAGCATTTTATGTTGCTAGCTTGTTGAAATAAAATGGGCATCCTAAATTTTTTTACTAAAATAATTTCTTCATATCTTCTATATCAGGCAAAGTATAAGCTTAATCAGAAGCTGAGCGAACTTATGGGAAGTGTAAATTCATTTTTATAGTTTCTTTTTCCTTCTTCTCTTTTATTTATTAGTAAATCCTATAATGAGGGCACATATAACAGTTTTTTTCCTGTTAATCTTAATCTTATTTATTTTAACTAGATCTCTAATTAATATCCACTTATTTATATCTTTAAAAAATACTAAAAGGTTCATCTATATCATCATTAGAAGCTGCTATTATAGATGTTTTGCACTTTCCACAATTGCAATTTAATTTTTGTTTCATTAAATTGCAAATCTTACTAAGATTTTTATTGTATTTAGATTTTCTGGTACCTAGCATTTAAATTTGTGACTTAATTTTATCTATATTCAAGCAAAATGAACCTCTTCCAGCTAAGATAGAGTATCTACTAATATCTGCATAATTTCGAATTTTCCTAATTTCTTTAATAAAACCATTTATTTATTCATTTGTTCTAGTTAAAACAAATACCTAAACATTAGGATTTATTATAGCATAAGCAAGAGCAGAGCAAATAGTTACTAGAGTCTTACCGGTGCCTGTCGGAGATTAAAATAGCAGATTTTTTTTCTCACACAAAGATTTGATAATACTTTTCATGCTTTCAATCTAAATTGAATAAGGCTCAGGATATGGAAATATTTATAGGCAGATCTCAAGTATATTTTGCTAAATATCTTTTTCAGCATCCATTTATTGATTATTATCTTATTCTTTTTCTTGTTCATAAACTATTTTATGTTTACTTTTTTTAGGGCTTTTTAATTTTTCATCTTTCTCATCATCCTATTTTGCAAATTCTAGTTCCATTTTAATTAATTATCTTTATTTTTTACTATCGTTTTTTGATATTTTAATAAAGTTGTTCTATTTATCAAAGCTGATTTATTTAATTAATTAATTATGATAATAATCCCTGATAAATCAAAATTAATTTACTTAAATTAGATACCTTATTTTATAGATTTGAAAATACAAAATTTAAAATATTGATTATTTGCTATATTATTTATTAAAGGGAACATATCTTTTTGAAATTGAATTTTATTCCTATAAAACCTGTTTATTATTATTTTAATAATTTTTTTTAGATCGAATTAGTTTCTTTAACAAATATTTTTTATTCTAATCAATTAAATTTATTTTTAATACTTTAAATTAGTTTTAATGTGTGTTATAAATAAATATTCTTTAAATTTGATATTTTAAATATATTTAAATTTATTTATTTATATCTTAAAAACGATGAGTTAGTTAATTAGTTATACAAACCAACTTCATCTTGTTTAAATAAATTTAAAATAATTGACTTAAAGATATTAACAAAAATGACTAAGAATTAAAGTTAAAATTTTTTTATATTTATTAAAAAGCTAAACAAGGTTTTTACTAAATTATTTTAAAAACAAATTTTCACAAATTGATTATATATATTTTAAAAAATCTACTTTATTTAATAAACAAACAACATATATATATTTTCAATTAATTTAAATTTTAATTAATGGTATTTGGCTATAATTAAAAAAAATTAGTTAAGTTATTATAAAATTAGAGAAAATACAGAATATATTTTTCAAAAATTTTATTTTTAGAAATACTCTTAAGCTTTATTTGATAAAAATTCAGAGTAATGTTAAGTCCATTCATCAGTTTATTTCACTTTTGCTTTTTGGCCATCTAAAATCCATTTTGATATATGTTTATATATATTGCTTTCTGAGTAATATTAAGAGTCTAAGAAAAAAATGCAACCCCAATCATCTTTGTAGCGGATACATCTTCCTGCAGATTAGTTGACAACCTTCACAGTCTCTTTTTTATACCATTGTTCTTCCTTTAAATAAAGCTTTGCATGAGTTCTTTTACAAACTACATATGGATCTGTAAAGCATGGATATGGAACTCCGAAAAGGATAACTACTCTGCATAAATTATCTTTTAAATCAATACCTTCAGAGAGTTTACCCCTATTTACAGCTAAGAAAACACAATTAGTTCGATTATTTTGAATAAGCTACTTATATTAGCTATAGATTTCTTTAAATTCATTCGCATCTCTTGTTTCTACAAAGTATCGAAAGTCATTAGATTAATAATTTTTAATCAAAAAGTAGTATTGTTAAAGCATTGAATAACTCTTGAAGAAAATAACCATTCCCCCTTTTTATTTTACTTGATTAGTATACTCATTAAATTTATTTGTAATAAAGTGAATTGCTAACTAAGAATGATAAAAAATATTATTTTTATTATCTTCATTTTCAAGTTTTTTCATACTGAAGGAAATCTCTTAATCATTGTAGTGGCTAATAAATTAAGTAAAAAGATTTGTCTACGAATTAATTATATGAGGAGAGGAATATGTTTAAAATTCTAAATCTAAAGATTTCTATATTAACTCAAATGGTTCTAGTGTACCTGAAGTCAGTATTAAAGAACTTATTTTTAGCTTTTTATAAATTTTTTTAAAAAGATATGAAGCTGATAGACAACCTATTTATAAAACGGGCACTAAAGAATATTCTCCTCTAAGAAGTGAAATATAATGGTTTGATAAATAAATAGGGTCTTCTGAGTAATTATACATCTTTCTCAGTTTTATTAGTCTATAGAAAAAGAACCATATTTTTTATATATATTTCAGCTTAAGTTGCTCTCCGAATTTTTTTAAATTATTTAAATCATCTTAATTAGCTTCATATATTTAATTATTTTCGGCTACAAAAATATTGCGTTGAGCATCACTTTTACTTTTAGATTCTTTTTTTTCCTTTTCTGTGTAAACTCTAATCACTTTTTTTAAATATTAGAGCATGGTAAACATTTTTGTTAACCTATCAATAAAATTTTCAGCTTGTTTAACGTCAACTACATTCAATAATTAAAATTATTTTGTAATTTCTTTATCTGAAAAAAGACAGCAAAAAGGTTTAACATCCTTTTAATTTTTTTCATCAAATATATATTAAATGTTCTCACAATCTTCTTTTATGCTTAAGAAGTGACCCTGAAAATTGTTAAAAAAATCCAATATTTCTTTTCTTCTTAAATCTTAATAAGATGCAAATGTACTTTCCATTTCAACAATTGTATAATCTTTATTTTATTTAATATCTTTTATGTACTATTAAATTTGTTTAAGATTCTCATCCGAATTTTATGGTAATTCACCATTATTAAAAATTATTAAATTTATTTTATCATAAATATCTTGAGAGGAAAACTGGATGTTTTAAATAAATTTCCTTTTTGATTGCTTTTAATCCTCCTGGGATACCTATTTAATGTATTTTACATGCTTAAATTTAGGAGAGACTTTTTCCACATCATCATCATCTTTATCATTTTGTTCTTGGCTAGAAGAATCTAAATCAGACTTATCACTCTCTGTATCTGTACTTTCACCCTCAACTATTTTTTTTTAGAGACTAGACATGAAATAATTAGCTTCTTCTTAAATATCTTTACAAATTATATCTTGAACATTTCGATAAAGATTATTTAGATTTTAGCTAGAATAATTATTTTTGTTAAAAACTCTTTATACTTATTGAAGAGTAGTATCCAATTAATCCCAATATTTTTATTGCATTTTAGTACTTTATTCTTGCTCAGCTTACTCTGAAATATTATGAGCTTCATCAAAAATTACAACTACTTCACCTTCAAAGAGGTCTTTAATATTTCCTAATATATTCTATTTAATAAGATAGTTGTATGTAGAAAAAACCAATTTAGCAGAGCGTGTTGCTAGTTTATTAAAATAAAATGGGCACCCTAACTCTTATTGTTCGAATAATTCCTTCATGTCTTCAATATCAGGCAAATTATATTGTTGATTATAACCTTAACTTACAAATGGAAAATGTATATCCATTTTTAAATTTTCTTTCTACTTCTTTTTTAGAATCTTTTTGTAAATTTTGAAATGTGGGCAACATGTGCACCCTAGTTATTCCCTTTAATCTTAAAATACTCTTTGATTAATATTTACATATTTATTTTATGCAAATAAGCTCAAATCAGGAGATTACATAGCTTTGTGGGTTTCACAATTAGTTCTTTTACATCTATCATTACATTCTTTAGTAAGATGTTTATTAAATTTAGATTTTTTTATTCCTTGCTTTTCAAAATCTTTTTTAAAATCATCAAGATTTAAACAAAACTAATTTCTTCCAGCCAAAATAGAATACTTGCTTATCTTTGGATATTTATTAATTTTTCTTATTTCTTTTATAAAACCATTTATTTATTCATTAGTTCTTGTTAAAACTAATACCTAAACATTAGGATTCTTCTCAGCGTATGCAAGAGCAGAACAAATAGTTACAAGTGTTTTACCTGTTCCTGTTGGTGATTAAAATAGCAGATTTTATTTTTCGCATAGCGAATTTATAATATTTTTCATACATTCAATCTAGACAGAATAAGGTTAAGGATATGGAAAGATTTGCAAACAAATTTCGAGTATTTACTCTTTTATATCCTTTTCAATGTACATTTACTAATCTTAATTTTATTAGGCATTCATTTCATACCCAATTATTATTTTATCTTTCTTAACCTCATTTTATTACTCTTTATTTTATATTATTTGCTGACTTTATTCTACTTCCATAAATTACCTTTGTTAATATGTATTTTTGATAAATTTTTATTATTTTTTTAATTATTTATGAATAACTTTTATTAAAAATAAATTTTTAATTTAATTATTATTTCATAAAGATTTAGCAAGCAAGCTAAATAAGAAATTTTCTATTGCAAATTTAAAATTATGAAATATGAGCGGAAGGAAAGAAAGAATGAATAAATCTAATTTATTTCTGAGGATTTACTTTGAGATAAAATATATTTAATATATAAATCTCAAATAATTAAAACTAAGTTTTATTTTGCTATAATGATTAATAACTTTATAATTGAAGTAGAAACAAACAGTAAAATAAAAAGTATTAATAAAAGACTTTTATTTTTTTAAACAATAACTAAAAGGAAAATTTATTCTAAAATTCTTTTATTTTGATTTAAGCTTTTAAGTTTCACTAAAATTTGTCCATAGAACATTTAAAAATATTTTTCTTTTCAAAAACTAAATAATAAAATAAAGAGAAATTAAGAAGATTTTACATTTCTAAAAATAAAATAATTTTGTGAACAATCAACAAATATAAATTAAATTTGGTTGATACATGAATAAATCTTACATAAAAATTAATGTCGAATAGTGGTTAAATTATCATTCGATATTATAATTTTGATGAAATTGTTAGGTATGATGGCAGAGTTTAAATATAATAATACATAATTGTTTAAAATAATTATTTTAAAGTCTTTAAAAAAGATTTCAAATATACTTCTTTTAACTAATATAAAACCCATTAAACACTAAAATATAATTTTATTTAATATGATGTACCAAATTTAATTTAAAACAATTATCTATAATAGTCAAATTAATTTTTAAAAATAAATGAAGTACTCAATAAATAAATAAGTAAGTAATTAATTAATAATAAATAACTAATCGAAATAATAAATAATTTCATAATTAAGATAGTTGATTCACATTACTTACAAAAGTATTCAACTTTCTTTTTTTATTGTTTTGATATATTTCATCAAATTCATCTACTTAAATCTAACTCTCCTAAGTTTGATTGTTAAATTATAGATTATGTTGATCTGATTTTTTGAATTTATCTTTTCTGTCTTAGAATTATTTTTCAAATAAATTAAACCTAGATTTTGTTGAATTATTTAAAAGTGATGTTTAAGGACTTAAAATGAGTTTAAAAGAATTTTTATATTTTTCATTTAGCTATTTGAACATTTCTTTCAAAGCAGGATCAAGTTAATTGATTAATTTTTGATCTAAAATAGATTAATCATTTTTATGAGCTATATTTTGGTAAGCTTAAAAACTTTCACGTGCCTTTTATAATTCTGATCTATTATCTTGATAAAGCAAGTCAATTTCTAAATCATCTTTTTTTTCATTTTATTTAAAACAGATATCAGTTTAGATGGTGGGTTTGGGCAAGTAATCAAACAATTTGAGCTGATCTTAATCAAAAATTAGTCTTTTTAACTTTTCTAATTCATTTAATTTATAAATAATGTTGAATACGTCAATGTTATGATAAAGCTTTTCTCTGCTATAATTTATTATATTTTTTTATTTCTTGTAAAATTTACTAAAATAACAAAAGATAGTCGATTTGAAATACTACCAAATACTTAGTTACATAGAACTCATTTAATTATCTAAGCGCTTTTTGAACTAATCTTCAATTTATTTCTTCCTTTTTTCTTATTCTTTCAATGACAGCATTTTGTTAATTTGTTATTTTTGATTATCTGATTTTTCAACTGGTTTTTTTAATTATATGCTTTTATCTTTAAAATAGCTCATCATCTACTAAGAAACTGTTAATTACTTGCTTTTTTGTTTCCGCCTTTATTCCAAAACAGTATCTTATTGATTTAAATCGCAATAAAATTTATCAGATTTTTAATTTTAATAAGTAGGACTATTTTGTTAAGGGCTTTAAGAGAGATTTTGTTTTTAACTGCTTTCATCTATTTAGCCATCATAACAAAAATTTTATATATTATTTTTAAATGTCTAATTATTTTTTCTCAAATTCTCATCACTACTAGTCAAATTAACTTTGGAATTATTTTAACTTTCTTAACTTTGCTTTGACTTTTTAAGCTTTTTTTTATTTCCCTGTTTTTGTTATTCATTTATATTTGTTTATTGTCCTTCATTTTATTATTTGCTTTTTAAACTCCCTTAAAATTTAAATGCTTTGTTAATAAGGTCAATATCTAACTTTGTCTGCGATATTTTTTTGCAAATGATATAACCAATAGCAAGAAAACTCTAAGTAAATCCTCCAATTTCAGACAGAATAGAATTGAATTTTTTATATGATCTTTTATAGACACCCTCTTTTTGCTTTTCAAATCGGAAATAAATGGTAAGAAAATAATCTTAAAACGATGGTGGATATTCCTTTTACATAAAATATTATTTTTTAAAATTATTATTTCAGTTTTTTAAACAAAATTTATGAATAAAAATAAAAAATTTCATGTGATTTTTACAAAACTTTCAGAAAAACTATAAGCTGGAAATCTTTAAGTTGTTACATCAGGAAAAAACCATCCGAAATCACTATAAACATAATTATTACGAATGTAAACAATAGCATCTTTTGGAAGTAAAGTACTAGTAGCCCAAAACATATCTCTAGAATAAATTTTGAATGGATTATCACTAATAGTTGGATCTACATAGGAGTCAGATAATTAAAGAGCAAAACTAGACTTTTAAAGAAATTTGTCCAAAATTTCTTTAGATTAACAATTTTTTGAGCACTTCTTAACAGTAATTTGAATATCTGAATAAACTTTAGAAGGAAAGTCCCCTTAAATTGGCAACACTAAATCAGGAGGAAGACAATACATATTAGTATAGTTAAGACTAAGATAGTATTTTTGGTTTTTAAGATTTTAGAAATTTTCAATTGTGCAAGGTTAGACATTTATGCTCACTTGATTGTAAGTAGAGACATACTACTAAGTAGTCTCATTGAAAGTTAAAATCTTTTAGTTCCAAAAAGCAGAGATTGTATAAATGCTTTCATCAATATAGTAATTATAATTCTCTTGATTTTCCATTCCAAATGCAATAGGAAAACTTATACTTGAAGCCTCAAAAATAGCAGGATCATCAACTTATCTTTCGTTGTAGATAACCTCTGGATTATTTCTTTGAACTACGTCTACAATTAATACGAATAGCCTGTAAAAGATGAGTACATATATTATGAGGGTAACACATGTGCCTAATCTTGTGTTATAAGTTTGTTATTTGTTAAATCTTAGGAAAATTTAACTACCAAATATGTCTAACTAATCTAGCATTAAATAATTGTTTCTTTTTTTAAATTCTCTTAATGCGTTAATTTTATATTATTTATTATAATTTAATTAAAAGTAATGGCCTTTTAATACAAAACCTAAGTAATAAAAATTAATAATTTGATTAGTTTTATTAAATATCGAGTGATTAAATACACTAATTTTTTTATTTTATAAGATAATCAATAGGGCTATTTTAGCGATTTATTTATATGATAGTAAATTTATCAAATAATAATTTTTATTTATTAATAAGAAAGTCATTTAATTTATTGTCTAGTTAATAATTAATCTTTATTTGATCATATAAGTTAATAAAAATATTTTTTTTTATATATTTCTTATTAAATTAATTTTATTCTAAATTTAACATTAATAAAAAATAATCTAATTTTCCTAAGTAATATTTTTGTTTATCTGAAAAATTAATTATTTTAAATCCTCAAAATAATATTTCAAGTGTTTATCATAAAAGAAAATTTAAAAAAAAAATAGAACAAAATATATTAGATAGTCAGAGACCTGACTCAACCCCCATTTTTTAGAGGAATTACAGTATATATGTAAATTTAATAAATTTACATATATACTGTAATTCCTCTAAAAAATGGGGGTTGAGTCAGGTCTCTGACTATCTAATATATAACAAAGTTTAAAAAATACATTTAAGGAAGTAGTTAAAAAAATAAATATTAAAATATTTGAAATTATATTAGAGTAAAAATATTTTTATCTAAGCAAAATTTTACTACTTATTGATAATCTTGATTTGTATTATAATAAAAATTTTAATACATATTTAAATTAATTTTGAAATTTAGTTTTTTTAGTGACAATATATCCAACATAAAATAATTTACTTGAAAAATTGAAATAAAAATTTAATAAAATATATATATTTAAATTTTAACTATTTACCAATTATTGACAGCTACTTTCTATTAGAAAAAAAAAGGAATAAAAATTTTAATTTTTGATTCTTTATATAAAACTTTATAATTAAAAGTATTTATGAAATTAAAAAAAGTAAAATTTTAATATTTTAATAAATTAAAATATTCTATTTTATGATTTAATCTTTGCTAATTGTTACCATTTATAAGATCTATTTATAGAAGAATGGACTGATGATATTATTAATAAGTAACTAATTAGATTTAATTTCAAATAAATGATGGAAAAAATTTAGCAATTATGTGAGTTTAAAAGGTATTATTTAACTATTATTTTCTAAAAGGTTATTTTTTTAAATATCATCTAAATTTCTTTTTATTCCATTTTAAATTTGTTAGTGCTGCTATTTAGTCAATTATTATTATGATTAATTTATTAACTGTGTAGACAATAATCTCAAATTTAATTATGAATTATTCCTAATCCAAGTTTTAGAAGTATACAATTACTGATGCTTATACTTTCAATAATATACTGTAAACAATTAATTAAAAAATAAAAAAGCATTAATAATAGATAAATATTTCCTTTAATTATGCAGAGTAAGATTTGGAAATAGGTTATTTTTGAATCCTCCTTTTTGTAGAGTATCTACGGTTTTCAATTAAATTAGTTAAATATTTATGTTTTTTGTTTGAATATGTTTTTATTATATATATATGAGGTTAAAAAGTGTATTTTAACCAATTTTATACTTAAAAGTATAAATTAATCTTTTATTTTACTTTTAAAAAATAAATACTTTCTTTAATTTAATTTGTTAAATAAAAAATAAATGTTTATTGTAAAATAAATAAAAAAAACAAAAATAAATAAAACAAAAATCTTTTGTAAATTAAATAAAAAAATTTATGCAAAATCAATTTACTAAAATAATATTTTTATTATGTCCTTATTTTTTATTTCCTTTATTTTTTTAAGTATAAATAAAATTATATAAATTGTTTATTTTTTATTTGTTAATTTAAACTCAAATAGGTAAATAAATCAACACTAATAGCTATATTGGATTAGCTTCCTCAGGATGATGTATTTATTAAGTAAATAAGTTAAATTAAGTATTTTTCAATAAAAAATTATATAGGATGTATATAAGGTTAATTGTTATGGGCTTATATTCAATTAATTAAATAATTTATTTATTTATTTGGTTAAACTTTGATCAATTATTAACTCATATCACAAATTAGTATATTGTTAGTAATAAAAGTGGGGGAAAATTTTTGATTGATGCTTTTTATTTATGTATATATATGCTCATTTTCTTAAAAATAATTAATAGTAAAAATTAGAATTTTCAAGAGATAAAACTTAGAGAAACAAATCGTATAGAAGCATATTATTAGGATACTATTAGGAGTACTTTTAAGATGAAATCAATTATTGTATAAATCATAATTTTTTTACTCATTCACGAATTATTAGGATGTCCAACGGGTTGTATTTAGTGTAGTGATTAAAGCACTTGCTAAAAATGCGAATAGAATTTTAAACTAAATATCTAATTAGGAGTCTGTGTTTACATAGGCTGTGAGCCTTATTTGTATCTATAGCCCAAAATTAGTTAGACGACATAAGGAGTTTGTTAAACCATCTGTGATTAAGGATATTAAGTAGATAGCCAAACAAATATATGTGTTAATCTGAACTAATGCTCGTTGACTTATAGCTCGTAAACAGGTATCAGTCGAGTAAATGAACCAATCAAAACAATTTTATCATATTCAGGTGATTATTTTTTTGTTATGTATTCTTCTTATATCAGTGTATTACTTAAGTCTACAGGAAGGTTTATTTAAAGTATTGATTTCCAGTAGAACTTAGAGTATGTAGATTACTTTGCGGGAAACTTTTATATTTTCTAAAAGGATAGCAAAGTAGCTAAATGGAATTTTTAGAACAATAGAACAGAAATATTTGACTACACATTAGATGGAAATATAGATTCAAGTATTTAAATAGTTTCTATTAGTTAGCAGCATGCAGCCGCAGTAACTTTTGACAGAAATAAGTAAACAATTTATATAACTCTTTTGTTAGACACCAATTCTCACAAGTTTGTTTCAAAATAATCTGTTATTTAAATAAATTAAGAGAAAGTTAAGGAATATTACTTTTTTCATGACAAAATTTTCATAATCTCAACAATCGGGGTTTAAATGTAATAAATTTTAGTAGATAATGACTAAAATTTGCTAATTTACAATTACTCTTCAGAAAATTTATGCTAAAATCTGAATTAAATTAATGTTTAATAAATAGTCAGCTTTAATAAAACATTAAACATAATTTTACTAAAAAATTAAAAGAATTATTTGATCGTAGGATAATAATTATGTTAAATAATTGATATTCCCTAGCTATGCGCTTAAATTTATAGAATCAACATCTTAGAATCTGCCTACTTCTTTTTACAACTGGAAACAATGGTTATCATTTTAGATAGCAATTTGCAACAAGCTGCACAAATATCAATATAAATGAATATTATTAGTTTACTCTGCATCCCTAGTACAGATAAATATATTGTTTTGTCAATTCTTGATAGTTCATCTAATTTACAATTTTTCAGGTTAAGTTCTAGTAATTTTGAATATTAGAGTATTTATAAAAAGTAATTATATAATTTTAATCCTACAAATTTAATTCTTACTAATTTGTTGGTAGAACCAAACAATAAATTAAAGTAATTTCAAATTATTGCATTCTCTAAATCCATACAGTCTTTAAATTTTAATGTAATGGATGACTTTTCTTTAGTCTAAACAAATTAATACTTTTTAAAACCCTTTCAAAGAAAGTTTATTGATATGTAATCAAGTATATAGTCTATGGATACAAACGATAAGAGTAATATTGCTATTTTTTGCTCTAAAAATGGTTAGATTATGACTTGGGATTATTCAATTATTACCAAACCCAAATTATTCGATTCTACGTTTATAAATAATTAAGGAACATGCAACTCAATATAATTCTTAACAAATAATTATGTGTTAATACTATTTCAGAATAGCATAATTGCATTTGATGTAATTTACTCTAAAATTTTATTTACATGGAAATTTATCAACCTACAATCAAAAATGGTCAATAAATTTATTTTACCTTTTAATGGTAATTCATATCTCTTATATGATTCTTGCTTTAAGGCATTTGACAAAGATTTTTAACTACTATTTTAAGATTGTAGTTCCTTCTTTGACGAAGCTATAATTTAAGCCAAACTAGACTCTAGTAAGTATCTAATTATCTAAAAATAATATTCTTTTTCAGTTTTTAAGGTAGAAAATGATAAATTGACATTAAATGCTTCGTATAACAGCTCATTTTAAATACAGATATGGAAAATAAGGAATTTTCCTTTAAGTTACTAAATAGAAAACAATATTATATTTGAAATAATTTCTTATTTTTCAGATAGATCGTTTATTATATTTAAATAAGATTTATCACCAATAAAAACTTATTAAAATGTGCTTATATCTAAGGGAATTGACATAAGCTTTGTTTAAGATGATCCATATGACAATCTTTATGTAATAGGAGGATAGAGCAGCTTGAAATCAGCCTCAATAAAATACTAGACATATGCACTATTCAAGAATTATACAAATATAATTTAAGTTTCATCACAAAGCAATTTTAATAGTTTTTTTCCAGTTTATAAAAGTGTCAATTAGGCCGATGGTGCTTTAGGTTATACAGTAAAAGCCTTTTTTTTATTGAGCTACTTGACAATAGTTTAAAGTTATTACTATAATATGTAAAATTATAATAATTTTTTAAGCGCAAATTAACCAAACCATTAGCTTTACGTAAATACTTTTTAGCTTTTTAAATAAAATTAATTTTTTATGTTTGGAGACAAAAATGGTTTAATGACAGTTGATGCAAATAGAAATCGATAATATAAAAATGTTTATAACATAAATACCAATGAAATAAATAGTTAAGATTTTATCTAAGGAGTATATTAGAGTTTAGCCCTTTAAAAGTACTTTATAATAAAATCTAATATTTAAGTTTACAATCTATTGACAAATTAATTCATAGAATCAATTGAAGTGAATTAAAATTCAAACTAATTTGATTTTGTAAAATTGTTTTAAATAGTAGAAGAATAAAGTTCGATTATTTTTATTAAATAAAATATATTATTTTCTAAGAGTTATTTAACAAATTAAGTATACTAATATGATAAATTCCTTAAAATTATAAATTACATAGTAAATAACAACTGTATCTACTTATATGGATCATCTCTCTCAATACTCAGTTTTAATTTAAAAGAAATGAATAGCTTAAAAGATAACTCAGATAATAATAATATTATTTAATAATGTTATCTAAGCCCAATAGGACTGATTTGTAAAAAAGACACAGCAATAATTTCTGTTTTTGATAAATTAAATCTAAATCCAATTAATTCCTTTTAGTAGCGTTTCATAGATAACAATTATAAGTTCTAAATAGATAATTAATATTAAAGAATAATCCTCTATTCATCTAATGTTGAAATTTATAGTTTCAGTGGAAATTTTCAAATGTACATATCCTCAATCAATTTATAGATTTAATTTTTGTAAATATCCTCAAACGATGCCGTCGTAACTTCTACAAGTAAATTAAATAAATAATTAAAATATTTTCAGTTAAATTAAATTTTTTTCAATTTAATTAAAAACTCAATTTGAAATTTTCAAAATTAAATAAAAATTTTACAAAAATTTTCTTTGAAAAATCTAATTCTGCAGAATTTCAAATAATTACTTATTAAATAAAAACAAACCGAATATTTGGTAGATCCTTAGTATATAATAATTTTGGTTTTTTAAATTTATGATGAATTTATTGGTAAATCTAAAAGAATTTTCAAGCTAAGATTTAAATTAAAAAAGAATAAATTTATTTATTTATTTTTTTTAAATGAATGTGAAAAATTAACAGTAAAAATAAATTTTTTGTAATTTAAATTTGGAAAAAAATAATTTTTTATGAATTTAATTATTAAATAAATAAAATAGATTTTTTAATCTTTGACAGAAAAACATGGAATCTCAGAGGTAAAATAAATAGTCCTAATGGAGGTACCATAATTAACTAAGGATATATACCTGAGTTAAACTAGATAGTATTTTATCTATCTTCTATTCGATTTGCCTAAATTTTTACTATTAGTTTAGATACTTTACTTACAGTGATGTAACATTAAAACAGCTTTGCTTAAAATTAACCTTCTCTTAGTGTTGCCTATAAATATGATAAAGATTAGAACATATTTATTCTTTTGGACTAAACAGGTAATTTAGAAACAATAGATTATCTAGGGGAATTCCCATCATTGACAACAACAAAATTTATAGAATATGATATAAATTCTAATTATAACTTAATTGGATTTTCTTTAGATTTTAAAAATAACAATATGCTAGCTTACTCTCAAACTTAAGTTTTTCATCTTTGTTATGGTGATTTATTGAATAATGTTATCCAATTAAGAACAAGTAAGAAATAATTATTTACCAAAATTTTACCAAGTATTCATAATTAAAACGATGACAATAGTAAATCTTTTGTAATAGCAGGAGATTAAGGTTTATTATACAGATATTCCAATACACAATTTGAGTATTTTTATCAGCTCGATGAAGAAATTTTGGGTATTATTTACAATTAAAAGTAAAAAATTTTAATAATTGCTCTCTCTTAATCATTTGTCATTTTTAAAGACATAGATTAAAATTCACTAATAATCTTTAATCAATTTCAAAATAAATTTGATGTTATAAATTTGAATAGTCCATTTTCTTTATTTATTAGTGAAGATATATATATGACTAAAAATAGAATAATTACACATTATGATTTTAAGAACCAAGTTATATTAAGTACTATTGAATTAAAAGATCCTCAATCCTTTTTAATAAAATTTGTATGCTCATCTAAAACACCTTTTGTTTACTTAGGGTTTAGCAACGGAGACATTATTTTATATAACAGATAAACTTTTAAATAATTTAAAATTGACTTGGCAAACAAATAGGATGGTTAATAATAATATGGTCTTGAAATTGGGTTTATTGTAGAAACTTCTACAGATTTATGGGTAAGCTTTAGTAATTCACTTGGAGTTTTTAAGATAAATATTTAAAATAATATATTTTAATAAATAATATAATTTGATAATTTGACAACTTACAAAATGTAATAATAACTGAATGTTATGATATTCGATTTAGATGAACTAAATTCAAGGATATTTTTGAATTTTGTTGGTGAAAAAGTCATGAGGGTTTTTGATTTAAGCGGTAATTTAGTCTAACATCTTTCTTTGCCATGTGTAATGAATAATAGTTTATAGATTAATGAATTACATTTACTAGTTTACACGACCTTTCAAGTGATGATTTATGATAGGAATACTCTCTAATATATTTAAAGTATTAGAAGAGATAACCATTATAATTTTATTATTGAAGTTGTTTAAATAAATGATTAATACTTGGTACTTTTAAGCTAAGATAAATATGAGCTATTTAAATTATAATAGAATTCAATCGAAGGAATTTTGATTGATCAAGTTATGTTACAAAGCCCAGTGTTTATGGATTATTCAATTAGAGGTTTAGATGATGCATAAACTAGTTCTTTAATGTAAATTTTTATACTTTCAGACAATCAAGTATTAGAACAAAAATATGATCTTGTTTATGAAAACATTAAAACTTTAAACAAAATTTGCAGTATTGAAATATCTGTGAACTCTTTTTTTGACGTTATGCTTTCAATCAATAAAATCAAACCAATGTCATATCCAGATCCTTCTTAAAGATCTATGATCACAGCAAAAGATTACAGTTTAAACAATTACTTGGATATCTTACTTAACATAGACGATTTGAGGACAATAGATTTCTAAAATACTCTTAACAGTCTTACTTAAGTGTATCCTGTAAAAAATGCAAATCCTTCAGAAAATGAAAATCTTTCTCATTTGTAGATTTATTAAGATTCTTTTTAATTGTATTTCAAAAAATAAGTTTAAATAAGAAATTTTGGCTTAATCTTCCAAAATAATTTAGAGTAGATAAATTTTTACTAATTTACACAAAATGTCACTTTTCACAACATCTAAATAGCGTCTTAAGTTGTAGATAAAGTATCCTTTTAATTTGTAAATATGAAATTAGTTATTTTAAATGAAATTTAACTGTGCAAGCTGCAAAGAGAATAGAAATAGTTTAATTCTGGAGATGATTGGTTATTTGTTTTTAAAAATATAAACTAAGTATTAATTTATAACTTAGTTTTAGATAATTAAAATATAGAAAGTTTGAACTTTGGTGGCTTGATTTCAGTATTCAATGTTTAAACTTTAATAATAAAAAACTTGGTTATAAAAAATTCAAAACTATATTCTTTAATCTATCTTGGCAAGGTACAAAATCTTACAATAAATAATCTTTAGATAATAAATTGCTAATAAGCTTCTAACAATGAACCTATTTATATACTAAATATAGTTGGAGTTACAAGCTCTTATCTTTAGAACATATTAATAACTAATAACTAAAATTTGCTCTTTGTATATACATCTAATATTTATGAAGAGGATGGGATCAGGCATTATTTGTAAAGAGATAACTTGAATGTGAAAAATCTAAATGTTACATAAAATTTAATCTCCTATTCTATCAGTTAATCTCTAATCTCGATTTAGAATTCAAATTGCAATTTTAACAACATAACTTACTAAAATAACTAAGGAAATATGTATCTAAGTAAATCTTAGAATTTTTTAATTGAAAATAGTTAATTTTACAATAATACTTCTCTGAATGGAGGTGCTCTTTCTTTACTTTAAAGCAATAATCTAATTGTTTTTAAAAACTGTTAGTTTTAGTATAATAAAGCACATGCAAGCGGAGGAGCTATCTACTTTGAAAATGTAAATGCCTAAATAAATATGGATGATACTGTAAAAATAAATTAAAATGAAGCTCTAATTGGTGGAGGCATAAGACTGTATAACAACTAATAAAATATGCCTTAAACAATCAACTTTAATTATAAAAATATTATATTTAATAATTCAGCTTAAATGTATGGAAACAATGTAGGGACATTCATTTAGAGAGCTATGATAAGAGTTATTCAGAAGATTTCATAAGACAATAATAATCTGTATCAGAAGCATAGCTTTGAATATAAAATTATCTAAAGTTAAAATATGAGTGAATCTGACTAATAAAAATATTAGGAAATACTTTAAATACAAAAATTTTAAAGCGGAAGCATGCTAAATTTATCGATATAATTGGCTGACTATGAAGGAGAATTAATTAGATTTTAGTAATAAAAATATAATTATAAATAGTATCCAGAATCGATTATGGATGAATTGAGTTAGATAAAATTCAAAATTCAACCTGAAACATTAGATTAAAATATCATGTTAAATGGACACAATATAATAACATCCTCTGACTTTGATGATGCAAATAATTAATTTATTTTTTCTGAAATTTAAATTACAAGCATGCCAAACCAAACAACAGATTTAATTATCTTATCTAATTATACACTTTAATATATTAATGTACTCCCGATTTAAATACAAATATAAATGAGAGTTTGCTATCCAGGTGAAGTTGTTAAGCAAATAGAAAATAATATTTATAGCTGCAATTCCTGTCCATATGGATAGTATTCATTGGTAGATCCGACGTAAGATGAGTTTTGGATATAAAACATAGCAAAAACTAATCAAGCTAGATCAAATGGCAAATTAACTTACTTGTCTTAATGCTAATAGTGCCCAGATTCAGCTACTTTGTGCTAAAATAATACTATAGCTTTAAAAAGTGGCTATTGGAGAGCAAATAATGCCTCTGCAGATATTGTTTAGTGCTCTCTTTAATTTAATGCCTGTGATGAATAAGATAATACTAGCAGAAATGGTTGTCTAAGAGGCTATATGGGACCTGCTTGTAAAATATGCGATTCTACTGGATAGATTTGGGATGGATAACGATACTCCTATTCATACATTAGTTAGGAAAAATGTAATTTATGTAGAAGCATGCACTAATAAATACTTTTTATCCTTCTTACAGGGATTGTTTTGGCAATTTATTTTCTATTTAGCACTATTGCATATTTTGATTAATTTATTCACTCATGTCTATGTTACTACTTAAGGTAATTAAATATGATACCTATTTCTAGAAATTCAATTAAAGATTAAACGAGTTTTTATATTAAGATATTTGTTAATTATACATAAATTTCATCTGTGTTGATCATTATTCAGGTCAATTATTTCTCAGATATTTTCACAAATATGCCTAATTATATTAGTGATCCTAACTCCTAAATAATAACAAATATCAACTGTGTCATTCCAGAAGAATATATTAATCAACATGGCTTAGCTCATATTTTATAAACTTTGTATGCGCTCCTACCTCTATTATTTCTTCTTATTCTGATTCTTATAACTTATGTAATAGAAAAACTAAAATGTATGAATATCAAAAAATATCATAAATATACTCTGATGAACTGCCTCTTTATTTTCTTTTAGCCAAATTAAATAGTTTTTTTTTCGAAACAACTAACATGCACTCAAATTGGATCCGAATATTATGTAACATCAGATTTGACCTTAAAATGTGGTGATTAAAGCTATAATTAGTTCACATATACTATGTGTATTCCTTTAATTGTTATTTGGAGCTTGTTTCCTTTTATTATATTTAAGCTTTTGCAAAAAAAATCTTCAAAACTTCAGTCTTGCATAACCTTGTATTACTTTGGATATTACTACTAGGAATATAAAGAAAAATATTATTATTGGGAATTCATTAGAATCTACTTAAGAGTTATTGTTGTCGTTGCTTTTACCCTCACTTCTTAAACTCAGTTTTTAGGTTACTTAATTGTGATTTTTATTCTCTTTATTTATATCAAATGTACGCTGTATTTTAATCCTATCTTAAATAAACATTTGCAAAGATTTGATATTTTTTGCTATTAAATAATCATTTTGAATTGCTTATTGTCTGCAGCCAATACATAAATAAACTCTGAAGTGATATCAGCTCTAATTTATTCATTCAACTTACTGTTTTTATTAATAATAGTTTTAACAATTATTATTTTCAAATTAAATAATCCTCTAATTAGCATTGGTAAATATTTTAAAAAGTTATAATTCTTTATCTTGCCAAATTAGTACTATGTTAGAAATTAGTAAAAACAAGAAACATAATAGAAAATATTCAGTCTTTGGAAGAAAATACAAAGAAATTTAAGTCTGATCATTTAGCTAAAAGCCATCGAAAGAGTCAGTGATGGATAATCAAAAATAAAGAGTAAGCCAAATTATTATCATAAAATAAATTACATATATTTAAAGATAATTTTTAAATATATAAATAGAAAACTATTCTTTAGTTAGCCCATAAAATAATGCATAACAACATAAGATACCTTTCAATAAAGTTTAGAACTCTATAATTATTGAATCATCAAATCAGAATTATTGCATCGAAAGTAATTAATTTTAAAATAAAAATTAAAAATTTCATTTTTTTAAAATTTAATCAGAAGAAAACTGGATTTAAGTAAAAAAATATCAAAGTAAATTAAGCTAAAAGGGTACTGATTCATAGCTTCCAAATCAAATAAAAAGTGAAATCGAATGTAAAAGTTCATTTATAAGCCCATCTCAGAAAGATTTAAATGATGAATAAAATTTTAAATCTGATGTATTCTTAAGCAGTAATTTCTCTAAGCCGTTAGATATAAATTATGAAACCTAATTCAAACTAATAAAGTACATTGACTCAAAAAGAGAAACCAAAAATTAAAATCAAAAATTTGAATTCATTAAAGACTGATTAATAAATAAATGAATACTACTCTTTTTAAATATATGAATTAAATATTTTATTTTTATAATATTTTATTCTCTTTAATTCATCAATATTTATATTTTTATCATGGTTTTTTATGTAATATTCCTAATTTAAATAACATATTGATTTTGTTAAATATTTTTTTTTTTTAAATTATGTAAAAATCCAAATACTAATATTGTTAATTTTTCAATAAATATTTATTTAGACAAGATATATTTTGTTAATTTTATTACTATTTCTGTGGCATAATTAGTATTTTTTTAATTTTAATTTTTCAAATATGGTAAATTCTTTATTTCCTTCTTAAATTTTTTGTTTTAGTAAAACTTTGTTCAATTTAATTTTTATATCATTAAAATAACCAATAGTGGTTATTTTAAATTTTTTTTCTATAAAATATCTAAGTTTTTTATTTAGAAAAACGATTGATAAAAAAAGCAGCAAATAATAATACATACATACACAAAAATATTATTTAAATTTAAAAATTCTTGTAAAAAATGAAGAAAAAGTAAGATTAATTGCAAAAAGAAGAAACCAAAATTTCATAATCATAGTCTCCGTCTTTAAAACCAGGAAAGTTAGAAACTATAAAAGCAGGATAATCTTCCTAAAAAGAATAAATAGTACACAAAATATTATTTTTTAATACACATTATTATATTTATTAATTAGGTTACTAAACCAAATGTTCCTTCTACTTAAAAACAAACTAATGAATCTAAAAGTTTGACAAATAAAATTTCAAATGAAGATAAAAAAACTATTGCCAGCAAAGCAAATCCTTTATCTTAAAAAATTTCAACTGCTAAAACTAGTAATAAGATTGCGAGTTCACAAAAATCTACTGCCAAACTTAATGATAAAAAAGATGGTAAACTTTCAAAAAAGCCACTAGTTGGAAAGGTAAAAGGGTAAAACGTTTTTGCTATGATTAATAAGAATATAATCTAATCTATTATAGCCTTTTTGAGTCCTTAAGAAACATGTAAATTAGCAATAACTAGCAAATCTATGTACGAATTAACAAATTATGGGGTACAAAACATAATTAATAATTTGAATTAAAAAAAATTATTACTATAGTAGACTCATAATTTGAATGAAGATTAATTGAAAGCTATAATTTATTTAAAGCATTTTGATGCTTTTAATATAAGAAATGGAGGTTATTTTTCATGTCATGATTTTAAAATACCTGAATTAAAAGAGTTAATACATACACTATGGTTAATGGTAGCAGAAAAAGATTCTGAAGGAATTAAATATTTGGATAGTAATTTTGGAGAAGAGACCTTTCACTTTCATACTTATCATAATTTATAGAATGCAACAGCTGACAAGATATAAATATTAGATTAATGTCTCAGCAAATATACTGATGAATTTGTTGAAAATGGAAAATTAAAAGACAAATACAGTAGGATTGATGTAATTTTGCTCTAAAAATACTTAAATGGCATTAGGTATTACATAAAATTGAATTTTAATACTGAAAGTCTAAAACATTTAGAAAAACTATATATGAAGGATTTTATTAAACTTGATAAAATCATTTACTTCTACTAAAAAATATATAAACAGAGCAAAGAAAGATTAGAAATTTATAAATATGATTTATCTGAAGTTAATAAAAGGAGAAAAATAAAAGACATTCCACATAGTTTTTTTGACTGAATAAATTAGCTCATACATTTTCTTCTCAAATTTATATATATATATATATGGTTTATTTTTATATATTTATTTTTTTACCAATTATAAAGAAGTAAAAATATTATCTAACCAAAGTGTTTACAAAATTTAACTAAATTATCTTTTATTTTCTTAAGTTTAAGTTCTCTCTCCAGTTATCATAAAATTCAAATTTATTATTTATCTGAATCATTTTAACATATAAAACTTAAGGTTGAAAATGTTTTATATTAATTATTCTTCTTAGTAAAACAGTTTGTTTTTGAAGAGAAAAGCAATAGATGAAACCTAATTTTATAATTACTGTTTTAATTTTTATTTAAAGAAAAATTTACTCAAAGAAAAATTAATGTAATTAGAGATTTTTTTAAAAAAACTACTTTAAACATTTAGATGAGAGTAAATTTAAATCATAAAAAACCAAAATAAAATAATTTTTTTCCAAATTTTTTTGAATAGTTAAATTTAATTAAAAATAATTTATAATATATAAATATAATATCAATAAATAATATAACTAGTAAATACTTTATTATTTCTGGTATTTAAATATTATTTGTTTTAAAAATAACATATATGATGAAGAAGATTTGAGTTAAAGTATTCTCTGCATTTTTTTGATTGATTAATTGATTTATTTTATTTTAGATTAGATTAGGATTCTTGAATTTTTAATCAAAGTAAAAAAATTTAGATATCATTTTTATATCATCAAAAATAACCAATAGTGGTTATTTTAATTTTTTTTTAAACATTTAAGTTTTTTAATTGGAAAATCGATTGATAAAAAAAGCAGCAAATAATAATACATACATACATAAATACATCACTTCAATTTAAAAATACATGTAAAAATGAAGAAAAAGTTAGATTTATTGCAAAAAGAAGAAACCAAAATTTCATAATCATAGTCTCCGTCTTTAAAACCAGGAAAGTTAGAACCTGTAACAGCAGGATAATCTTCCTAAAAAGAATAAAAAGTACATAATTTATTATTTTTTAATCCACATTATTATTCTTTATTATTTAGATTACTAAACCAAAAGTCCCTACTATATAGAAACTAACTAATGAAGCTTAAAGTTTGACAAATAAAGTTTCAAATGCAGATAAAAAAGCTATTGTTAGCAAAGCAAATCCTTTATCTTAAAAAACTTCAGCTGCTAAAACTAGTAATAAAATTGCGAGTTCATAAAAATCTACTACCAAATTTAATGATAAAAAAGATGGCAAAAAAAAGCCACTAGTTGGAAAGGTAAAAGGGTAAAACGTTTTTGCGATGATTAATAAGAATATCATCTAATCTATTATAGCCTTTTTGAGTCCTTAAGAAACATGCAAATTAGCAATAACTAGCAAATCTATGTACGAATTAACAAATTATAGCAGAAAAAGATTCTGAAGGAATTAAATATTTGGATAGGAATTTTGGAGAAGAGACATTTCACTTTCGTACTTATCATAATTTATAGAATGCAACAGCAGATAAGATATAAATATTAGATTAATGCCTGAGCAAATATACTGATGAATTTGTTGAAAATGGAAAATTAAAAGACAAATACAGTAGGATTGATGTAATTTTGCTCTAAAAATACTTAAAAGGCATTAGGTATTTCATAAAATTGAATTTGAATATGGAAAGTGTGCCACTTTTAGAAAAAGTATATATGAAGGATTTTATTAAACTAGATAAAATCATTTACTTCTACTAAAAAATATTTAAACAGAGCAAAGAAAGAATAGAAATTTATACATATGATTTTTCTTAAGTTAACTAAAGAAGAAAAACAAAAGATATTCCACGTAGCTTTTTTAACTGAATTAATTCATACATTAAGTTCTCAAATTTATAAAAATTATGGTTTATTTTTATATATTTATTTTTTTACCAATAACTAAATACATACAGAAGGAAGTAAAAGTATTACTTAACCAAAGTAAAATCTTTAGAGAATATTTTAGTTTAAAAAACTGTATTTTATTAAATTGATAAACAAAAATTTAATATAAATTTTATTATTAATCCAATTTTAGGTAATTTTTTTATTAATAAAAGTAATATTTATTTTAATTTAGTCTTAAATTAACATCCCTTTTTTAATCTAGCACAGAGATGGCTAATCATATTTGATTCACAAGATTTAACTAAATTTTTGTTTTTTTCTTAAGTTTAAGCTAAAATTCTCACTTAAGCTATTAAGAAATTCAAATTTCTAATTTTTATTGAATTCTTTTAATTAATTTTTAAAACTTAAAGTTAAAAATCATTAGTAATTATTATTTTTAGTAAAAAGCAATAGATTTAACATAATTTTATAATTCTGTATTCATTTTTATTTTAAGAGTAAAATAATTTAAGGAAAAAATCAATTTAAGTTAATTAGAGATTTTTTCAAAAAAAACTACTTTGGCCACTCCCTCCACTCAATAACCACACCTCTTAAATTACTGTAAATTTAAAATAGTAAATAAAGAAAAGAAAATATTTTAAATTCAACTTGATTTGAATAACTAAAATAAATCTCATTAAAAATATAGAATATAAATTTGAAAAAGATGAAACAAACATTTAAAATATAAACTAATAATACAGCAATAATTTAATTAATTAATCACTAAATATTAAAAAGCAAATTATTTTTTATTATTATAAATTTATTTATTTATTTATTTATTTATTTTTGTTTGTTTGACTAGAATTTATCAATTTGAATAATTTTTTAAAGCTAATTAATTAACAATATTTACTAAGAAAGCTTTATATTGATTTTACCAATCATCCTAAATGACATCCTATTCATCTTTTTTATGCTTCTCTCCATCTAAAATCCAACCTGATATATTTTTTTTTATTTTATAATGAGAGAAATTAGAATCTAAAAAGAAGATGCACCCCCAGTCGTTTTTATGACGAATGCATCTACCTGCAGCTTGGTTGACAACTTTAGATGTAACTTTTTCATACCAATCGTTTTTCATGAATTTGAGCTAGTATCTTTTTCTTTAGCAATTAACATATGGATCAAATAATTAAGGATAAGGAACTCCTAGAATAATAGCAATTCTGCACAAGTTATCTTTAAAATCAATACCTTCTGAGAGTTTTCCCTTACAAACACCTAAAAAGATGCAGTTCTTATAATTACTTTCTATATTATTTTTGTATTACTCAAATTATGCTTTAAAGTCCTTGGAATCACTTGTTTCTTTGTAGACATAAAATTACTTTTTGGCAATACTTCTAATTTATTTGTAATATTAATTTAGATAAGAGTAACTCTTAAAAAATATAAGAAAGCCTTGTTTTTTATTTAATTTCCTTGTGTAATTTAGAAAAATATTTAAAATATCTTGAATAGCATTTATTGCATTAACAATTAGATCTTCTTTATTTTCAAAATTCAAATGTATTTCTTTCTCTTAGTATTTAGTAATTACTTGAGTAAATAAGTTTTCTTAGGAATTAAAAATATTTTTAGATTCATAAATTTCAAATGGAAGACAAATGCTATCAGTAATTAAATCATAAGGTTCTAAAGTACCTGAAGAAAATATAAATGAATTTACACGAATTTTATCCTTAATTTTTCTGAATATTTCCTTGGCTGATAAGCATCCAATCTAAAAATACAAAGAATCATTATCCCTAGAAAAACATAGGTAATAATCTAAAAGGATTTAACTTTTATCGTTTATTTACTACTCATTCCTTAAAAATAAAAGTTTTTAAAAAAATTTATTTATTGTAAAAAAAGAATTAATATGAATGTCTTTAGCAATATCTACAAGATTGTTAATCGGATTACAAACTTATGCAAATTTTTTTTTTAGATTTTTTTCTATTAAGGCTTTTATAAAATTTAACATTTTGTAAATTTCCTGCGATTTTTTTACAAATTCTTTCATCTGTAAAATATCAACAAACTCTAATTTTTAAAGATGACTATAAATGCTTTAGCAATAAAACAATTCACTAAAATTTTTATTTTTATTATTTTATGGATTAAACCAGCTGATAAAATTATTTTCACAAAATTCAGTTATATCTAGAAAGCTGTTTTGAAAGTTATTCAAAAAACTAAATAACTCTTCTTTTCTTGCTTTCTTATAGATTTCTAATTTCTAACTTACTATTTATTCATCCAATTTTAAATCTTCAGGATCATCTTTTTCAATAAAATCAACAAGATCTTTCACATCCTATCTAGCTATTATTAAATGTTGTTTTTATATGCACTATTTTATTTAATCATACAAATCGATAAATGTAAAATTTTTTTATTTGATATATTATTTTCCACTTTCTTTATTTTCAGATTTTTTCAATAAAATCTCTTTGATCAAATTAATTGGATTTTTTTCATCTTTATTTTCTTAGGATTTTTATTTTTCTTGCTTTTTACTTTATCTTTAAATTAATATTTTAAAATATTAAGCTTCATTTTCTATTTCTTTAGCTATTAATTATTTTAATGTATTGCTTGTTTCATTATTTAATTTAGACTTCTAAAAATATGAATTAAATTTTTTAACAGTCTCATAAAAGGTATCCCAATGGTCTTTATTTATAGTTAATTTCTATTCTTATTCTGCAAGCTCAGCAATATTATGACCTTCATCAAATATTACGATCAAATCAGAATTTTCAAATAAATGTTTTACACGACTTAAGATATGTTATTTTATCACATAATTGTAAGTACTGTAAACGATTTTTGCAGACTTTGCAGCTTCTTTGCTATAGAAATAGGGACAACCTAACTCCTTCTCTTAAAATAAGTGATTTATGTCTTCGATATCAGGTAACATAAATTCTTATTGGAAATTTCTTTTTACTTTTGGATATCTCCATTTAATATTTTATTTTGTAGATATATTTTTTTTGAAATCTTTGTAGTACTCACAATAATCTAATTGCTCATTTTCTAGATTGTAGATAATTTCATTTAATTCTACTTCTTCATTATTTTATAGAAGATAAAAATTATTTTTGCATTTTTCTAATTTTCCACCTTCAATTTCATCTTTTTCAACTTCTATTGATATTTAATTATGATTTTCTTGATTTTAAATAATTTCATCTAGTTTAACTTCTTCATTTTATTATAGAAGTTAAAAATTATTTTAGCATTTTTCTAATTTTCCACCTTCAATTTCATCTTTTTCAACTTGTATTGATATTTAATTATGATTTTCTTGATTTTAGATAATTTCATCTCGTTTAACTTCTTCATTTTATTAAAGTAGTTAAAAATTATTTTAGCATAATTCTAACTTTCCACTTTCATTTTCATCTTTATTTACTTCTGGTGATATTTAATCTTTATTTTGCTAATTTTAGATAGTCTCATATAGTTTGACTTCTTCATTTTTTTAAATAAATTATAAATTGTTTTAGCATTTTTCTAACACTCCACTTTCATTTTTATATAAAAGATTTTTATCTTTTTCTACTTCTGTTGATATTTAATCTTGAGTTTTAGTTTCTTAAACTTTTTATTATTATTTAAATAATTATATGCTTTTTATGTAATTTTTAACATCTTGTTCATTTAAATTTTCATCTAATATACCTAACAACTTTATTATCTACCTTTAATGCTAAAAATCTTTATTTTCTTAATTTTTTTCTACAAGTTTTTCTTCTTTATCTTGATCTTCTTCTTCTTGATTTTTATCTTCATCTTCTTCTTCTTCATCATCATACTCCTCCTCTTATTATCCTTCTGTAATTAAACTACATAATTTATTTATGTCTTCATTAGACAGCTTGATGTCTATATTCTTTTCTTTGAAGTATTTTTAAATTTAGTTGAATTTTGGACAAAATTAGTTTCTTCCTGCTAAGATTGAATACCGATTGATACCTTGAAATTTTTTAATCTTTCTTATTTCCTTGATAAACCCATTTATTTATTCACAAGTTCTTGTTAATAAAAGAATTTTTGTATTTGGGTTTTATTCAACATAAGCTAAAGCTGACGAGATTGTCATTAGAGTTTTACCAGTTCCCGTGGGCGATTAAAAAAGTAAATTTTTCTTATTCTTTAAAGTCTTAATAATTTCTTACATAGAATCTAGTTAGTTTGGATATGGGTTTTCGTGTGGAAAGATATCTTTGCAGAGTTCAAACACTAAATCTTTTTCTTATTCATTCACCTATAACTTCTATTGACCTTAATTATCTTTTATAGAATTTTCTCCATTATCATTTTCCTCATATTCAATTTTCTTCTTTTTTTTATATTTGTTCTAGTTTTTAGGTGAGTTCGAATTTAAGTCTACTTAATCTTGTTTTTGGTCAGTTTCATAATCAAGTAACGTTTTGCTAAAACTTTAATTTTATTTAACATTTAAACAAGTACTAATGAAATCCTTAAAAATTTTATTTTCTTAGTTCTTCTATTAATTATCTTCAGAAATATTTTATTTTTTTTTTCTAGAAATTCTTTTTTTCTTAACTTAATGTTATTCAACACCTGTTTCAATTTCATCCTATTTTTTTTCTAAAATTGCTTCAGATTGTAAATTATTATTAATATAATTATCATTTTCTACATGCTCTTTTTCTGATTTTACTATCTTATTTTATCTGCGTGTATATTTTCTAGTTTTCTTTTAATTCTTTACTTAGTCTTCTTAGTTTTGGCTTTCATTTTCATTTTCTTTCATAACTTGATTTTATTCAACATCTATTTTATTTTCATCACCCTTTTTTCCTAAAGTTTCATCTAAAGTTTTATCAGATTGCAAATAATTGAAGATATTATTATCATTTTCTACTTGCTCTTTTTCTGATTTTACTATCTTATTTTATCTGCGTGTATATTTTCTAGTTTTCTTTTAATTCTTTACTTAGTCTTCTTAGTTTTGGCTTTCATTTTCATTTTCTTTCATAACTTGATTTTATTCAACATCTATTTTATTTTCATCACCCTTTTTTCCTAAAGTTTCATCAGATTGCAAATAATTAAAGATATTATTATCTACTTCTCCTTCCTCTTTTCCTTACTTTGCTTTTTTATTTTATCTGCGTGTATATTTTCTAGTTTTCTTTTAATTACTTACTTAGCTTTCTAATATTTGGTTTAAATATTCATTCAAACAGCTATTTTAATCAAGCTAGTTATTTTAAACATTTTATTTATTGGTAGATAATAATTCATTTTATTTTTTTTTAATTTTCACTACATCTTTAAATAAAAATTTTTCAAAATCTTCATTTAAATATTATTATTCATTTTCTATTTGGCATTTATTGGATTCTAAATCTAAAATATCTTCTTGGTTTTTAGTTATTTTATTCCTTTTTTTACATATTCTTTTTCTAATTTTAATTTTTTAAACTTAGTCATCAAATTCGTTATTTGCTGGTTCTTATTAGTTATTTTATATATCTTTTACATTGTTGGGTATTTCTTAAAAACTATTTGGAATCTTTAAGAATTGATTTTAATAAATTTAAAAATCAACACCAATCATAATGTTTTAAAAGCAATAAGCACTTGTTTATTATTTTACATTATTATCGCTTATATGTTCTTATTCATTAACAATTATCTGTTGATCCTCATTATGATCTTCTTTTTAATGCAATTTTTGTTATATTTGTTATACTTTTGGATCATATTTTTAAGATTTTATTTTATTTTTTTAAGCACTTGACTCCTTGCTTTTAGGTATCTTTCCCATTATTTATTTGTTGAAGATATTATTAGTATTTATATGATTATTATTATTCTAATTTGTTTTTCAGAATCTTAATTATTTTTTTTTAATTTACCGAATTATGAGACATGCAAATTTTATCAGATACTTTTTGATATTATAAAAATTAAGAATTAAAAGATTTATTTCTAATATTATAGATGCTCTAATATAATTCTATCAATTATTTGTTCATAAATACCAAGTTATCATCGTAAATTTTAAATAGGCCCTACAATCAATTTAATTTACTAAATTTAATCAACATTATTAGAAATATACATTTTCATTTTGATATAAAATTAATAAATATTGCATTTTCTTAAAAAATAACATTATCAAGTAATATAATTAATTTACAATCCATTCTAATCAAATTTGAATATTAAAATTGTCTATCAAAAGTACTTTTAAATTTTAATTAATTTTTATTCTAATTTACAGTTAGTAACTTATTTATGTAATTAATTAAAAGAATCATTTCAATAAAATTTTCATAAAATATCTCAAATTATTTAAAAATAAAATCAACTTTTTTTTGAATTAATTTTCTTTTTATTTTAATTTATTGATAAAGTTGCAAATAAATTTCAAGCAATAAATAATAAAACTACCAATTAATTTAATGAATTTATTAATTAATTAAATGTGCTTATTGAATAAATAATCAACAATTAGCTTTTTTAGTAAGAATATTTAATAGAAGATATAAATAAATATATTAGATAAATAATTAATCAATTATTTTTAGAACTTTTTTTAGAAAGATTAACATTATTTCTATTGTTGCTCTAGTTTAAACTATTTATTATATTATTTGTAATTGAGTTAGGATATAGGTTATTGACGTTATTTGCATTTACACTATTTTAATATATTATTTGAGAATTATTATTGTTACTGTTATTGTTATTGTTATTTTAGCTATGGATGCTAGCATTTTTTATATTTATCTAATATTGATTTTGGACTAGCTGCTGTTATTGTTATTATTCGTAATAGTCTTCATATTATTATTGTTATTAACTTTACTTTTTATTTTATTGCTACTTAGAAACTCCCAGAAGGTTGCTTGAAAAATTTTAATTGTTAAATTAGCTATGATCCATATAGGAATTGTTTTAAAAGTTAATTGCTGATATGTTTGATCTAATTATATCATAATCAGTCATGTCTTCGTCGCATATTTCATCTTCTTTTTCAGCGTAGTACTATTTTTTTAAAAATTAGAATTATAATTTATTTAATTTATGCTTAAAATTACTCTTTTTAAAGGTATTATTAGATTATGTGAGCATAGAAGTTATGTAAACTAGCTTTTATTTAAAGTAAGATTTTTTTCGTCTATCTCAAATAGCACATTTTAGATGATTTCTAAAATTTCAGGGTCCGTTGTTGATATATCTATATTCACTTAGTTTATTTTGCCATCACCATCAGAATCAAACTCTTCAAATAATTTCGCTATTTTTTCAGATAGCTTGTGATCATTAAAAACTCTGTTATTATCAAATTGACTGATAGCAGAAAGCTAGAGTTGGGTTTAATTAGGATTTAAATTTATTTGTGATTTGGATCTTCCGGTTTATGAGAAATTAGTTTAATTTAAGCCTGTTTAGTTGTTCAATATTTAAGAAGGATTTTTATGCAATTTGGTCTAGTTTACATTTGAAGCATGGTAATAATTGCTAGAATTTGGAGTGATATTTTTTTTATTTAAATTAATTGTTGGTATTGTCTAAATCTTTTCTTTGCTCTTTGAAGACTTTATCGTTATTCTCTTGTTTCTCAAAGAGGACTAGTTCAAAATATTTTCTATTTCCTAATTAGCTGTCATGTTTTAAGATGCTCCCATAGCTCTTGAAGAGAGTGGAATATAACTTGTTTCCTCAAAATCTGTATTTAAAGTTTTCATGTTTCTTGGTGTTACAGATCTCCCTTTGTTATCACCTATCTTTTTAGGTTCATAGTATTCAGGTTGCCTGTTGCTTCTCAGTAATTCATTCCACTTAAGCTAAGCAATACGTGGTGGATTAACTTCTCTTCCTTTCTTAGAATTCATTGGACTAACGCTTCTGCTTTTTAACTCTTCCTCTAAAAAAAATATTTATAAAATATTAAGTTTAAATGACAAAATTTAATTACCTAGAAGCTAGTCTTGCAAATCTACCCTTTATGAAACCTTTTAGTAAACATCGTCTTTGTTTATCTTAGGATGAAAAAGCTTTTATCCTGTTTGCTTGTCTACAAATTCATTCTCTTTCTAGCGCTATACAAGAATTTTTGCTTCTTTCTCTTATTTTTCATTTATTAAACGGTTTACGAACTCTTTTTAGTTTTTTTCAGGTATTTTACGATCTTTGTTAACTCCCAAATCTGGATTAAATGGGTATATTCTGTAAAATTATTAGTTACTCCATTCTTCTTTACTGGAAATGTCATCTAGACCTTATTAGTAAAGTCTTTCGTGAATGGAAGTGTAATTTGAATCATATTAAGACAGTTGATGTTCTGCTAATTTTTAACTAACAACTGAGACTTAAGGTTTGAATTTGCACTCCTAGTTACTTTCTTCTTCTTTAATTAGAGCAGCAATTGCTTTACGTTCTTTATTTTTTCTTCCTTCAAGAATTAAATAGTCTTCTAATTTAACTCCATCTTGCAATTTCATGTTACGAGATTAAGGTGAAATGCTTGGATGGAAAGTTGATCCCACTATTTCCTTTTCTTTAGATTTTTCTAGATTATCCTCAAACATTCTTTGTCTTCTCTCCATTTATTAAAGACCTTAAATATAAAGCTTTTCATATGGGTTTACTTAATTTTAAGATAAAACTTCTTGCTGCATTTTGTTAATATTTGTCGAACTGGTTGATAATGGGTTATTGTTGAGTTAAGTAGCACTTTTATTTTTACTGAGGTTTCTAGGTGATATGCTATTGTTGCTTCCAATTTTCTAGTTATTTGAAAACACCTAGCTTTTTTTCTAGTTTGAAGGAGTACTTGGCTGATTATTTTGAATTTAAAAAACTTTTCCTTGAACAGGATTAACTGATGTAGCAGGAGTGTTTTAATTACCAGATACTCTTTTTACCTTTAAATTAACTTTTTATCCATTTAACAATCTCTAATTGATTAACTTTTACCACTGTTCATAACTCTGCTGAGCACCACTCTTTTCTTCATCTTAAGCTTAATCATGCTCTGCAGCATATTGCTAAAGATTATTATTGCTGTAACTTTTTTTAATATGTCTTTAAGGAGAATCAAAACTTGTTTCTTTATTCAATGTTTATTATCTGCTTTTTGAGGTATCTTAAAATACTCCAGAGCTTTTATTTTGATCATCTTTAGCAAAGTAATTATCTAAATCATCCTATTCGTCTTAATCTTTAAGGTTTTATTGTGAACTTTAGTTAGGAACATTTCTTTAAGAAAAGTAAGAATTGAAAAATTATTCCTTTTTAGCTTCAAGTTGCTATTAAATTCTATTGCTTCCCTTTTTGCTAGATTTTTAGTTGCTAGTATTTAATTAACTTGAACCTTAACGTGACTTTTCTATCTAATTAGTAGGAACTTGCTGACTCTTCCTTGACTCTATATTAAGCTTTTAAGAAATCTACTCTATAATTTTCTTTCTCGATTCCTAAACTTGATCTTATTCTGTCTCTTAATTAAAATTTTACTAGTCTTAGAAGTCATAATTATTTTCATATCCATGGTTTACTTGGTTGAAAAATTCTTCTTAATTATTATAATTACCTCCCATTTATTATTGATCTTATAATTAGCTAAATTAAGGAGGCTTTTAAGAGGGGTAAAGTTAATTTCCCATTTATTATTTAGGAACCTATCCACTTTTACTTAGAGTTTGTTACCTACCACTAAATTAAATTTACTATTATTGTGACGATTATTATAATTACTATTACTACTGAGCATATTAATTATTCATCATATTATAATTATTCTAAAAGCCTTATTTGTTAGAATTTTGGTTCATTTCTTCGTAACCTGCGTCTTCAAGCAGCTCTTTTGCTAATTCCCTTTGGTTTCTTAAGTTTTCATCTTCTAGTTCGTTTGCAAACTCTTCTTAGTCTTCTTAATAATTGTAAATATTGCTGTTTAAGCTACTATTATTGTTGTTGATGCTCTTTTTTGCTCCTGTCTAACTATTACTATTAGGAAAAGTAGAATTTCCAGACCTTGAACTTTAAATAGCATTGGTTGTACTGTTACTATTATAGAATTATTAAGCTGTGCCAGCTGCACTCTAAGGAGAGCTGAATTATTAAGCACTCATTTTATTATTTTAAGGTGGCGATAAAAAAGCATTTTTGGCTGGAATTTATTCATATCCTTAGCCATTAGAACTCTTAGATTGTTATTTCACTTTTTATTTATTTGTTGCTAAGTATTCGTAGTTTTCATCAGGCATAGAAGCATTACCGCTTTAGCCAACTGCTGATTAGTCTTCATAGTCCTCCTCATTAATTTGATCATAAACCATTTTTTATTTTTGAGGAGAATTTGACTCAAAAAATTAATTTTATCCAAAACTTGGCTGCTAAGGTCTCTTTTTCTTTTGGTTTTATTCATCGATGATAGCTTAATTGTTGTAATGTTTCATGTTAAATCCTCCGCTTTATTTTAATCCTTACGGATTTAAGTTGTTTTAAATAGATCCCTGTTGAGACTGCATCAATCCTGGAAATTTAGGTGATTCGCTCGATTTTCTAAAATTACTATTATTATCTTTACTTGCATTCATCTATTAAATCTTTGTTTAAGGCTTTTACTATTAAATTTATGCATTGTTGTTTTATAATTCTTGGTTGGTGTTGAGTTCTACAGCAGGTTTTTCTTTTTTCCTCTATTTCCTTTTTTCTAATTATACTTAAATATTTTTGATAATATATTAAATGCATTCATCATCTAAATTGTGCTTTAAGCAGAAATTCTTAGCTAAAACATTCAAATCATCTCCTTCCATTACTTAAATTACATCGCTATTTCCACCTCCTACATCTAAAGTAATGATTGCAAGGGTTCTCTTCTTTTTAGTTATTTTTTCTTGATTATTTTAATCTTACCCATTCTAACTGCGCTAGCTTCCTCTTTCAACTTCAAACTATTGAGAATTTTATTTATTCGACCTTTGATTTGTTAAAGAATTTTCTTTGTTTTCTGATGGATATTGAACTTGGCTATTTTCTACATTTGAATCTTCAGAAAAAGTATGATTTAATTATTGATTTTAACCTTAGTATGTATACTCATAATCATCTTAATCTATTTATTACACTTGCTAATTTTATTGTTAAAAATAATTAGTATTTTAGCCACCACTTATTGTCCTTTAGTTCGTTAAAGTAGGAGCAAAATTATTATTATTATTATTTTAAATATATTGGCTAACCTAATTGCTTTAATATTTATTTGGGTTAGCAGGCTATCTTTGCATATTCTAAGAGTAATCTTACTAGCTTTTCATATATTAATGAGTATAACCTTAATTCTCACTTACAAAATTTTGTTAATTTTTTTGTAGAGAGGGAGTACTTTAGTACTGATTTAAATTCTTTTGCATATTCAGTTTTTTGTGTCACCTTATATATAGTTAATTATTACTTACTTACTACAAGTTAACAACGATATTTGTTTATTTATGCAAACCAAAAAAAAAAATTAAATACTAATTAAACAGAGAAAACATTATCTATTTTTTTTATGCATAAATATTTAAAAACAAATGCATTCTAATTGTTCTTTATTTTAAATGAAAAAAAAGCAATGTCATTATTCAATTAATCCTTCAATATTTTTTATTCATATTTGTATGTAATTTAGAATAAGATTTTTTTAAGTAGTACTTAAAAATTCCTATTAATTAAAATATTAATCAATCAATAAAGCAAATAATATATCAAAATCTAAAAAATTTATCCTTTTGCACATACTCACTCACACAAGCACAAATTTTAATTTTTGCTTTTTGAATTTTTTTGAAATCAAATTTTTTTAATTTATTAGAATCAGAAAGAATCAAAAAGATTAAGATATAATTAATTAATTAAATAAACTAACTAAGATATGAAAATTTACTTTCTATATCAATAGCTAAATTCTATTCCATTCAAATTAAAAAATCTATTTTTATTTATCTACAAAGTTATTCAAGCAAATAAATCTATTTACCTAAATTTGCTATTCCAACGTTTTAAATTAACTGAAATCAGATTTAATTTATTTTTTATTTACTTAAAATTATTTTATTTGATCATTTTTTAAAATTAATATTTATTTGAAAGAGGTAAATAATTTTTTTCAAGTAAAACAAGTTTAAGATATTGATAATTAATCTTTCAATTTAGAATTGCTTTAAAATTAAAAAAATTAAAATAATTCAATAACAAAATTAAAAAAATGATTAATAATATTCTTAAAAATGGTGACAAAATACTATTTTAGAATTGAACATTTTTTTTGTTTTTAAAAAATTTTTTTTAAAGCATTTAAGACTCATTTAATTAATTATGGCTCATAAATTTAAAATTTAGAATTTGAGGTGAAGAACTTGTTTGAATTTAAGACGATAGAGAACGAAAAATGGAATAGATACGTTTTTGTATACAAATAATATATGATTTATTTTATTTAATTTATTTGTGTTGGTTTTGGTTTAATCAACTTAACTTAATAGCAACTTCAACTCTTTAGCAAGTTTCTTCAAGTAATTTAAGAAGAGTTTCTTCCATGTTTTCTCTTGCAACTTTTTCGTTCTAATGTTGTTTAGAAAGTATTTATTTATTTATTTATTTATTTATTTTAATTAATATTTAAAAATAAATAAAGTATTTTGTTTGAGTTGTTTGTTTGTTTATTTTGAAAGTTATTATTTAATTAAAAATAAATTAATTTTAAACTAAAATTACGTTGATATCAAGACTGAGTTTGTTATTAATATCTTCGAGCATATTGAACATGTGATTTTAGGTTTCTTCTCTTTATTTTCTTTCGTTAGCAAGGATTTCTTAGAATTTCAAAATTTCATCTCCCAATCTTTTAATCAATATTTCATTACCTTCTTCTCTATTTTTGTTAGGGAATAGATGATTATTAAAAAATGAATTTAATCGATTGAAATGCAATATGCAATCCAAGATAAGATGTGAAATTTACCTAATTTTTCTTTCTTCGTCGATTTCTTCTTATAATTGGAGGATTTCATCACCTACTTCTTGAGCAGTTCTTTCTTCGTATTCTTCTCTGGCTCTTTTATCTCTGCTTAAATCGACTCTCATTTAGTAGATCTTTTCATCAACTTGCTTTAAGATTTTCTATTCAGAGTCTTTTCTGCTTTGCTTTTCCTTTCCTTATTCATTGTTAAACTTGGTTTCAATAGTTTTATATTCCTTGAATCTCTTTTCACCGACGTTCTTTAAAATTTAAATTTGAAAACGATTTAATCTACCAAAATGTTAGTTACATAATTTCTTAATTAATTAATTCATTCATGTGAAGAAGAGTGAGTAGATAAATGATTTCTTAATTCTTTCTCTTCTCCACTGCTTATTTATTTTAATAGAAATATTTACTTCTCTGGCACCCTTTTCATTGTTAAGATTTTCTTGGATCTTTAAAATTTATTCTTGTAAAAGCTATTATTTTAATTTAAAAAGAGTTTTAACATGACCTAAATAGTTTAATTATTTTTATTTGAAAGAATCTAACCTTGAATTTTGCTTCATCATCATAGGCATTTTTATTGATTTTTTCTCTTAATGCTCTGATTCTAGCTTCATAAACTTCTTTTTTAATCTTTTAAATATAAAATCATGACGCGTCTTGAAATAACATAAATCTTGCTTACGATGGTTGACTCTTCTAATTGTAATTGCATGTTTGAAAGTCTTTCATTTAATTAGTTTAATCTAACTCTAGAAGGAGAGAGGACTATTAAAATAAAAACATATTTTTAAATGATTAGATTTGCCTGAGATATATATTTGCGTACTGGTAGATCTATCTCTTTCTAAGATAGAATAATTGTTGTAGTTAGGAGTAGGAGAGTAGGTACTGTTCATCATTTTAATTTATTTTGATATTTATTTATTTGTTTATTATTAATTAATTAATTAAATAATATTTTTTAATTGATTGATTGATTGATTGAATGATTGATTAATTGACTGAATGTGTATCTTATTGCAATTATCCTTCTTTTTATTTTTAATTTATTATTGATATTATTTGATTGATTTTAATCCAAATAAATATTTATTGTTTTATTTATTTATTTTTTCTTCTTTCTTCTTTTTTTTTTTCAGTAAATAAAAAAATAATCTTCCCACATTCAAGTTTTTCTTGAAATTTTTGAATTATTAACTAACAATTTCACTATGATTTATTCCACAAATATTATAAATATTAATGATTAATTTAACTACTTTCCAGCCAATATATTATACATAAACACAAGCATTTCTGTTTATTTTGATTTTTTTACTATTAATTTTTCTTATTTAATTAATTACTCAAAAATAAAATTAAAGATATTTATTTATTTATTTTGATATTTTTCTTAATTTTATCAAAGATTTGATTTTTACCGTATTTCAATCAATCTTAATATTATCGTTGAAAATCAAACACATTCAATTTATAATTAAATTTTTGCAAAAAATTAATAATAATAAAAAAAAAAACATAATATTCTTCATTTATAGAGGTGAGTGATAAAAGTAAGTTTTTTAAGCAGACAAGATGAATAAGAGCATAATTACAAGCCAATCAGCAAATAGTAATGTAATTTGTATATGTAGATAATACACTATTTAAGGAATACTAAAATAGTTTCTACTACTCTTATTCTGATACGATAACAACTAAAAATAAAGTAATTCATCTCAATAAATAAGAAAACAAACTTGCGATATAGGCTTTTCAACAAACAAACAAAAAATACTTTAATAAAAACATTTTTTTTCTTTGATGGAGTTAAATATTTGAATCATTCATTTGGTTTCTATTATTACTTAAATGTTAAAAATTGCAGATACTTCAGAAGATTTTTTGAGGTTTTCTAATTATTTATATACAAGCTATCTTGAAAGTTAATAAATATAATCACTTTAACTTATTTCTTTAACAACTATGAAAAAATTAAGAAAAATAATTAAAAAAAAAAGAAAAATAAATAATACATACAAAAATAACTCTTTCTGGTTAAAATAAAATTATTTCTACAAATAAAAAATAAATATCAAAAAATATGAATTAATCAATAAACAATAAAATAATTGTAAATTTATTTAAAATAAAAAAAGAAATTTAAATGTAAATCTAAACATAATTAAAAATTGAAACAAATATTAATTTTATTTATCAAATTAAATCACATTTTTAAAGGAATTATATATTTATGTTATAAATTTGATTATATTACCTTTAATTTTCTATTTATTATAAAAAGAAACATGAAATATATTTAATTTGTAAAAGTTACTTATTATTAAGCAAATTATTTGAATTTATCACTTGTATATTACAATTTTATATTACCACACCACATATAATATTATTAGACTAAAGAATCGGCTCAATGTATTTTTGTTAATAATTAATAAATCTATTTTTTATTTTGATAAAATTAATACATAGGATATTTATTTTAACTTTTCAAACAACTTTATGCAAATCATTAATCAGATTATTATCTTAGATTTATTAAGTAAATAAAATATTCCTTTTATTTGGATAATATTCTTTTTATATAAGATCATAATAAATAACAAGTAGAGTATATTTAAAAATTTTAATGAGGAAATAAAAGATATATAATATATCTTAGTTTGATGGTAATTATGGCTAAAAATTTATAAAATTTTTTAAACATTTCTTAAAAAAATAATAATAATTAAGAGTTTATGATTTAAAATAAGCGATAGGTAGATTAGCTTTAATTGATAATTATACTATTCACTCATTAGAAATAATACTTAAATTATAAAGTTTATTATTTATTTTTATGGTACTTCACAATTTTAAATATGCTTTTTAAAAACATTTTAGTGCAAATTATTTTTTTAATATTTGCATCTTAAATAAATGAAAATATATGTATAATTTATTTTAATAAATATTATTAAAAGATATAATTAAATTAATATCAACGTTATTAATAAAATTTTGAAAGTTAGCGAAGTTTTTATACAAAAAGCATAAATACATATTTAATATTATTTTAAAATGGCCAGAAACGAAGAAAAGGCACAAGCCATGCTTAATAGATGGTGGTCGATGAAAAAAGATTTGAATAAAATGACCCCCAGGGAGAGACCTAAAACACATGGTAGAATTATGCAAATTACAAAATTAAATGATTGTGAAAGATATAGGTAAATTATTCATTAAAATAAGTTCAAGATTAGACTGAAAAATGCCTATTCAAATTTATAATTTGGCTTTTAATAAAAACAGGAGAGGTATATTAAAAGAAATAAACAAAAATGTATCAATTATCTAGAATGCTGGTTTGGGAGAGCACAGAATCAGAGAATTAAATGATGAAATCAATAAATTAATTAAAGAAAAGGCTTCTTATGAATAGCGTATTTTAGAATTAGGTGGTCCTGACTATAAAAGTAATATCGAAAAATTCTTTGATGATGAAGGTGAAGTTTTACCAGGTATTTAATTAATTTAGCATTTCATTTTTCATTTAATTCAGCTCAAATATTGATATTTCTTTAAATTAATCTGCGTCTAGGAAGTGGAGATTACTTTTATTTTGGTGCTGCCAAAGATCTTCCAGGAGTTAGAGAATTATTTTAGAAAAAAAAACCTGAAGCCCCCAGAAGAAATCTACTTGAAATATTTAAGGGTTTAGATTATGAAGAGTATTTTGGAAAAAGAGATGACGACGATCCAACTTTACATGAAGAAGAAAGACTTGTTGAAGAAAAAATTAAAGAAGAAGAGCTTAATAAATGGATTGAATAAAATTAAGAAACAATTAAAACTAAACTGTAAAAATTAAACCCTACAAAATAGGAGATTTTACAATTAATAGAAGAAATCACCTATATTGATTCTGACGATGAAGGTCGTGGTAAATAATTTTTTTTCATCATTTATTTGTTTAAAAATAATGCTTTAAGAGTTAGTTAATTAATTAATTTATTTATTTATCATTATTAGAATACAATATGGATGAGGAAGATCAAGATTAGGACAATGATAATAAATAAGTTACAAAACCTAAAAAGAAATGGGAAGAAATGAACGAAGACGAAAAATATGTTGAAAAAAAGAAATAAGAGCTCTTATAAAAGTATTTAGGAAGTAACAACAAAAACACAGAATAGTAAAATAAATAAAATAAACAATAACAACCCTAAAATGAAGATGAAGCTATAGTAGAAGAATTAATTTAGTTATAAAGAGAAGAAAATTGAATTAATAATAATTTTATTTATTTATTTACTACTAAACACATACATAAATATACATACATATCTACTCAATCAATTTTTTACATAAAAAAAGGTGATTTTAAATAATTATATTTTATTAAACATATTTTAAAATATAATAAATATTAGTTAATTGAGTTAATATAATCATAAAATTTGCTTTTAAAATATTTATGATTAATATTAATAATTAATTTTGTAGAAAATTATTTAGATATTTAAATAAGAACAATTAAAATAAGATTATTTATTATCATAAAAATACTTTGAAGGGAGTATAATGTAAATATTTAAAAATATTAAGAGAGTTAAAATTATATTATTTATAAATTAAAATAAATATTTAATAAATAATAAGATAAAAAAAATTTTATTATTTTTAAAATTATATCACGTATAGGTTTTAAATTGCTCTTAATACAAAAATACTAGAGTTGAAATCCTTAATTTTTCAAAAATTAGATAAATCAATTTAACAATTTATTTTAATTTTTCATAAAAGCTTACTTTATGATTTTTAAATATATTTATAATTTATAAAAATATATACAATAAATTCTCATTTATTAAGGTCACCCCTCGTTAAAATTCCTAATCTCCTTTAAATTAAATGAAAATTTTTCTCCAAAAATAGTTTAACTTATTTAATTTTTCAGTGATCATAAATCTCCTAAAGTCAATAGAAAATTATATATTCTGTTTTTGATTCTCCATGTCATAAATTATTTATTTTATTTACTTATAATTAAACTTGATGAGATTATCTAAAATAAAAATTTAAATTTATTTAACAATTTGAAATATTAAGTAAGTTATTGGAACATTTTTTTAATTTTTGATATTTTTAATTAATTTGAAATAATTTTATGTTTTTAATTATAAACCTTACATACATTTAGTTCATAATAATATTTTTGTTAAATAGATTTTATTATGTGAAATAACTTTAGGCTTATTTATTACTTTAATTTATCTAAATAAAAATAATTTAAACAAACAAAATAGATAATTATAAATTAATAATCGATTTTCAGATTAATAAATCTACTCTACAAACAGGACATTGTTTTGTTGCTGAAACATCACCTGAATTCATCCATTTTGTAATACAATCCGTATGAAAATAGTGCTTATTTTTACAAAAAAATGCTTATTCTTTTGTTGGCTAGTAATTTTCAAAACAGATTGAACATTCTTATTATTCTTATTATTCTTATTGTAATTATTGTAATTAATTTTGTATCTCTACTTTGATGGATTCAAAGAAATTTGTTAATAATATTTATAAACTAATTCCAAAGCTGCTACTTTTTATGAACATAAAAATGTCAAAAATCACAATTAGTAGGCTACATGTTATAATAAATGACCATAGAGCCGTTTCTTAATAAAATGAGGGATATCTTTTTAAGAAAATAGGTTTTAAAGCAGGAAATAAAATTATTTGTATCACATTATAGAAGTCACTAAAGACAAAGCTTGCAAAAAGTGATACACACAGAAATTAAACTTCAAAATCATTTATTTTATCTTAGGTTTAAATCTCTTCTTAATTAAAAGCTATCTTATAAATATCTTTTTTATAGTAATAATTATATGCCTTTTCATTAATTGTAATATATTTCTTTATATCAGTCCTTAAGCTTAAAAATATTTCTTCAAGATAAAAAGTTATTTTGGTAAAAGCTATTCCATAATTAATAAGTAAGAACCAATTAGAATAATAGCTCCAATTAAATTGTTCTTACTGATTTTTTAACCTAAGCAGTAACAAAATTAAGCAAAATATCTCATATGAAAATTACCAATTATTATATATAATTTTTATAATGTAAAGAATCACACAAATGTACCAGTTTGGGTCTTTTACATTTTTTTTATTAACTTAATACTCTGAAAAGTATATCTACATTTTTTACTCTATTGCATCTAAAACAGGATTGTAGTTAGTAGGAGGTCTTCTATTTATTTAAAAAATTTTATTAAAATATTATTAATTGATCTTTTTTAAACAATTCATTATATTAAATCATGTTAAAAATAATATATTTGAAGTGAGAATTTATTGTAAATTTTAAAAAGCTTCAAAATATTAATAAAATTAAATAATAAATATATTTTATCAAATTTTAAATAATGTTTTACTGCTAACTTTCTTTCCAGATGCCAGTTTTAGAGGTAAAATTCGAAGTAAAGTTTTCTATGATTGAGTCAAGATACTCATAGTTTTTTGTGAATATTTTAATTGAAAAAATTTTAGAGTTTTTAATTTGTATTTAATAAACAGATTCAAATTCTATATTTTTGTCTAAAATAAATAACTCTTTATTCTTCTCTTGCTCAAAGATGATTATATTCTTGTTGATTTAACAAAGTTTTTCTAAAAGCTGATTGATTGTATACATTTCACTTATATTCAGGGGAATGGCAGTGAACGCTTAGACGTTGCATTTGATAGCAACTTATTTAGACTTCAAATGTTTAAATAAGACACATAATTAAGATATTATTATGCAACAAAAAGTGTAAATGAGCTATTTTTTCTACCATTAAATAAGATTATACATAATGATGAACATTAGAAATATTGAGAGAGACATTTTTAATGGGAAAGTATTTCTTTACTAATCAAAAATATTCTAAAGCTGAATATATTGATTAAAATTATATTAAATAGTGCTATTATTTTGCTCCTAATTGAATAGACTTGTCTAAGTTGTAATAGGCAAAATTATTTCATCAATTTTTTGCTTAGCTTACATTTTTAAATTGATATTGCTATTAAGTTCACTTACGAATTTCTCATCATAATAATCTTCATTTTTACCTATTTTATTTATTTATTGTTTGGATGCTGTTAAATTAAAATTAAAATTCTTAAATTACCTATTATAAAATATTTGAAATTGCTAAAGACAATCTAGTGTTATTTTTGTTATTGCTAATATTTTTCAAATTTATTATCAACGTCTCTCTTGAATTAATTATTTTAGGCATTTAAGTTGTTTTACGGCTAGATTTAATTGCTTGGATTCATAGATTAAAGAATATTTCTTTAGTAATATAATCCATTTTGCCTATTTTCTTCTTAAAAAACTTGGTTTTAATTTGAAAGCTAATTTGTTCTATTTTAGGTATTTAAGTTGCTTTACGGCTAGATTTAATTGCTTGGATTCATAGATTAAGGAATATATCCTTAGCGAATTGTCTATTAATAAAAAACTTGGTTTTAATTTGAAAGCTAATTAGATCTATATTAGGCATTTAAGTTGTTTTATGGCTAGATTTAATTGCTTTGATTCATAGATTAAGGAATACTTCTTTGGTATTATAATCCATTTTGCCTATTTTCTTCTTAAAAAACTTGGTTTTAATTTGAAAGCTAATTTGTTCTATTTTAGGTATTTAAGTTGCTTTACGGCTAGATTTAATTGCTTGGATTCATAGATTAAGGAATATTTCTTTAGTATTATAATCCATTTTGCCTATTTTCTTCTTAAAAAACTTGGTTTTAATTTGAAAGCTAATTAGATCTATTTTAGGCATTTAAGTTGTTTTATGGCTAGATTTAATTGCTTTGATTCATAGATTAAGGAATACTTCTTTAGTATAATAATCCATTTTGCCTATTTTCTTCTTAAAAAACTTGGTTTTAATTTTAAAGCTAATTAGTTCTATTTAAAGCATTTAAGTTGTTTTATGGCTAGATTTAATTACTTGGATAGATAGATTAAGGAATATTTTATTAGTGAGTTATCTATTAATTTGGATATTAAGTTAATTATTATAATCCATTTTGCTTATTTTCTTCTTAAAAAACTTGGTTTTAATTTTAAAGCTAATTAGTTCTATTTTAGGCATTTAAGTTGTTTTATGGCTAGATTTAATTACTTGGATAGATAGATTAAGGAATATTTTATTAGTGAGTTATCTATTAATTTGGATATTAAGCTAATTATTATAATCCATTTTGCTTATTTTCTTCTTAAAAAACTTGGCTTTAATTTTAAAGCTAATTAGTTCTAATTTAATTCTATTATTTGCAAGCTTAATATTAATCTCCTTATAATTGCATATTCGTTTTCTAATTTGTTTTATTTCTATTTCTAAGCTTTCGAGGTCTAACTGCATCATTTGGATCAATGTTTTATTATTCTAAAAATTAAACTTTTGGCCTTTATTCATTCATTCTGATAAAATTTTAGTCTTAAAACTATGGAATATAAGAGATATTCATTGATTTAGCTCTTGCCTAAATTAATTTTTAATACCATAGTTCATGTAAGTCTGTTTTTATTTATAAATTTTCATTAATACCCTATAATTTAATAATTTTTTTAATTCTATCTTGTACAATTTATACATCATTTAATCTAAAATCTCTCTTTAATTCAGTCATAGTCTGATCATCAAAATATCTAAAACTTCCTTATTATGAGATGAATCCATATCTTTTTTACCATAAAGATCCTCCCTTTATTTTTACCCAGCCTTCCATCAGTAAAAAACTAAAATATAAATTATATTCTATAAAAAATCTTTATTTTTTTTAAGGTAGATAAGTTAAGATATTTTATCAAATAAATTCCTAAATATATTCTTCAAATACAAAAAATAATTAACGGATAAATATTATTTTTTCATATTAAGATTTTATTTTTCAATAACTAAATAAATAAAATACTAATTTAAGGAATTAAATTTTAACTGACTTAATGATAATTATAAATATTTTTCTTAGTTTGTAAATTTATGTTTTTTTATAGTTTAGCACTTTGCTATTTAAAAAAATAGCTATTGCTGCTAATCATCAAAGTATTTAAAACTTCCTTATTATGAGATGAATCCATATGTTTATTACCATAAACATCTCTCTTTATTTATACCCAGCCTTCCAACAGTAAAAAACTAAAATATAAATTATATTATTATAAAAAATCTTTCTTATTTTAAGATAGATAAGTTAAGATATTTTATCAAATAAAATCCAAGTAAATTCTTCTAACACAAAAATACTTAACAGATAAATATTATTTTTTCATATTAAGATTTTATTTTTGAATAACTAAAAAAATAAAATACTAATTTAAGGAATTAAATTTTAACTGACTTAATGATAATTATAAATATCTTTCTTAGTTTGTAAATTTATGTTTTTTTATAGTTTAACACTTTGCTATTTAAAAAAATGGCTATTACTGCTAAACAGTACATAGCCATTAGCTTTTTAAAGTAAATATAAAATATCTTTTTTTATTTTTAAAAATGTATTTATGAATCAAATTTAATTTGTAAAATGAGGGCACAATGAAATATTTTAAGATTTAAAAAAGGAGGGCAATTATATAAAAAATAAAATATATTTTATTGACTTTGTAATTTAATCTCCAAAAATAGTTTAACTTATTTTATTTTTCAGTGATCATAAATCTCCTAAAGACTATAGAAAGTTTACTTATAATTAAACTTGATGATATTATCTAAAATAAAAATTTAAATTTATTTAACAATTTGAAATATTAAGTAAGTTATTAGAACATTTTTTTAATTTTTGATATTTTTAATTTATATGAAATAATTCTATGTTTTTAATTATAAATCTTACATACAGTTAGTTCATAATAACATTTTTGTTAAATAGATTTTATTTTGTGAAATAACTTTAGGCTTATTTATTTATTATTTTAATTTATCTAAATAAAAATAATTTAAACAAACAAAATAGATAATTATAAATTAATAATCGATTTTCAATTTAATAAATCTACTCTACAAACAGGACATCTTGTTGCTGAAACAAAACCTGAATTCACCATTTTTGTTAAAAAAACTGTATGATAATAGTGCAATCTTTACAATAAAATGCTTTGTCTTTTGTTGGATAGTAATTTTCAAAACAGATTGAACATTATAATTGTTATTAATTTTGTTTTATGTCTAAATTGATGAATTCAAAGAAATTTGTTAATAATCTTTATAAACTAATTCCAAATCTGTTACTTGTGCCTTATAAACTCTAATGTAAGTGCGCTAAAAAATTTCCTACTATTAAAATATCTAGAATAATTGAGAGAATTACAAAGGCAAAAATCACATAAAGTTGGATAGTTATAATAAATGACACTATACCTTTTGCTTAATGAAATGAGGTATATCTTTTTAAGAAAATAGGTTTTAAAGCAGGTAATAAAATTATTTGTATCACATTATAGGAGTCGCTAAAGACAAAACTTGCAAAAAGCGATACACACACAAATAAAACTTCAAAATCATTTATTTTATCTAATGTTTAAATCTCTTCTTATTTAAAAGCTATCTTATAAATATCTTTTTTATAGTAATTTTTATATGCTTTTTCATTAATTGTAATCTATTTCTTTATATCAGTCCTTAAGCTTAAAAATATTTCTTCAAGATAAAAGGTTATTTTGGTAAAAGCTATTCCATAATTAATAAGTAAGAACCAATTAGAATAATAGCTCCAATTAAATTGTTCTTACTGATTTTTTAACCTAAGCAGTAACCAAATTAAGCAAAATATCTCATATGAAAATTACCAATTATCTTTTATAATGTTAAAAATCACATAAATATTCCATCTTACTACTGGTCCTCTTACATTTTTTATATAAACTAAATAATTTGAAATGTACATCCATATTTTTTACGTTATTACATATAAAACAGGATTGTAGTTAGGAGGAGGTCTTCTATTTATTTAAAAAATTTTATTAAAATATTATTAATTGATCTTTTTTAAACAGTTCATTATATTAAATCATGTTAAAAATAATATATTTGAAGTGAAAAATTATTGCAAATTTTAAAAAACTTCAAAATATTAATAAAATTAAATAATAAATATATTTTATCAAATTTTAAATAATGTTTTACTGCTAACTTACTTTCCAGATGCCAGTTTTAGAGGTAAAATTCGAAGTAAAGTTTTCTATGATTGAGTCAAGATACTCATAGTTTTTTGTGAATATTTTAATTGAAAAAATTTTAGAGTTTTTAATTTGTATTTAATAAACAGATTCAAATTCTATATTTTTGTCTAAAATAAATAACTCTTTATTTTTCTCTTGCTCAAAGATGATTATATTCTTGTTGATTTAACAAAGTTTTTCTAAAAGCTGATTGATTGTATACATTTCACTGATATTGAGGGGAACCGCAGTGAATGCTTAGACGTTGCATTTGATAGCAACTTATTTAGACTTCAAATGTTTAAATAAGACACATAATTAAGATATTATTATGCAACAAAAAGTGTAAATGAGTTATTTTTTCTACCATTAAATAAGATTAAACACAATGATGAACATTAGAAATATTAAAAGAGACATTTTTATTGGGAAAGTATTTCTTTACTAATCAAAAATATTCTAAAGCTGTATATATTGATTCAAATTATATTAAATAGTGCTATTATTATGCTCCTAATTGAATAGACTTGTCTAAGTCGTAATAGGCAAAATTATTTCCTCAATTTTTTGCTTAGCTTGCATTTTTAAATTGATATGGCTTTTAAGCTTACTTACGAATTTCTCATCATAATAATCTTCCTTTTTACCTATTTTATTTATTTATTGTTTGGCTGCTGTTAAATTAAAATTAAAATTATTAAATTACCTATTATAAAGTCTTTTATATTGCTAAAGACGCCTTAGTCTTATTTTTGTTATTGCTAATCTTTTTCAAATTTATATTCAACATCTCTCTTGTTTTAATTATTTTAGGCATTTAAGTTGTTTTACGGCTAGATTTAATTGCTTGGATTCATAGATTAAGGAATATTTCTTTAGCGAATTATCTATAAATTTGGATTTTAAACTTATTATTATAATCCGTTTTGCCTATTTTCTTCTTAAAAAAATTTGTTTTAATTTTAAAGCAAATTAGTTCTATTTTAGGCATTTAAGTTGTTTTATGGCTAGATTTAATTGCTTGGATTCATAGATTAAGGAATATTTCTTTAGTGTTATAATCCATTTTGCCTATTTTCTTCTTAAAAAACTTATTTTTAATTTTAAAGCTAATTAGTTCTATTTTAGGAATTTAAGTTGTTTTAAGGCTAGATTTAATTGCTTGGATTCATAGATTAAGGAATATTTCTTTAGCGAATCATCTATAAATTTGGATTTTAAACTTATTATTATAATCCGTTTTGCCTATTTTCTTCTTAAAAAACTTGGTTTTAATTTTAAATCAAATTAGTTCTATTTTAGGCATTTAAGTTGTTTTGCGACTAGATTTAATTGCTTGGATTCATAGATTAAGGAATATTTCTTTAGCGAATTATCTATAAATTTGGATTTTAAACTTATTATTATAATCCATTTTGCCTATTTTCTTCTTAAAAAAATTTGTTTTAATTTTAAAGCAAATTAGTTCTATTTTAGGCATTTAAGTTGTTTTATGGCTAGATTTAATTGCTTGGATTCATAGATTAAGGAATATTTCTTAAGTATTATAATCCATTTTGCCTATTTTCTTCTTAAAAAACTTATTTTTAATTTTAAAGCTAATTAGTTCTATTTTAGGCATTTAAGTTGTTTTATGGCTAGATTTAATTGCTTGGATTCATAGATTAAGGAATATTTCTTTAGCGAATCATCTATAAATTTGGATTTTAAACTTATTATTATAATCCGTTTTGCTTATTTTCTTCTTAAAAAACTTGGTTTTAATTTTAAATCAAATTAGTTCTATTTTCGGCATTTAAGTTGTTTTGCGGCTAGATTTAATTGCTTGGATTCATAGATTAAGGAATATTTCTTTAGCGAGTTATCTATTAATTTGGATATTAAGCTAATTATTATAATCCATTTTGCGTTTTTGCTTCTTAAAAAACTTGGTTTTAATTTTAAAGCTAATTAGTTCTAATTTAATTCTATTATTTGTAAGCTTAATATTAATCTCTTTATAATTGCATATTCGTATACTAATTTGTATTATTTGTATTTCTAAGCTATAGAGGACTAACTGCATCATTTGGATCAATGTTTTATTATTCTAACAATTAAACATTTGGAATTTACTCATTCATTCTGATAAACTCTTAGCCTTAAAACTATGGAATATAAGAGATATCCATAGATTAAACTTTTGCCTAAATTAATTTTTAATGCCATAGTTCATATAAGTCTGTTTTTATTTATAGCGATTCATTACTACCCTATAATTTAATAATTTTGTTCATTCTATCTTGTATAATTTATACATCTTTTAACCTAAAATCTCTCTTTAATTTAGTCATAGTCTGATCATCAAAATATCTAAAACTTCCTTATTTCGAGATGAATCCATATCTTTATTTCCATGAACATCCTCTCTTTATTTATACCCAGCCTTCCATTAGTAAAAAACTAAAATTTAAATTATATTTTAATAAAAAATCTTTCTTTTTTTTAAGATAGATAAGTTAAGATATTTTCAAATAAATTCCTAAATAAATTCTTCTAACACAAAAATAATATTTAACGGATAAATATTATTTTTTCATATTCAGATTTATTTTTCAATTACTAAATAAATAAAATACTAATTTAAGGAATTAAATTTTAACTGACTTGATGATAATTATAAATATTTTTCTTAGTTTGTAAATTTATGTTTTTTTATAGTTTAGCACTTTGCTATTTAAAAAAATGGCTATTGCTGCAAAACAATATATAGCCATTAGCTTTTTAAAATAAATATACAATATCTTTTTTTATTTTTTTATATGTATTTATGAATCAAATTTAATTTGTAAAATGAGGGCACAATGAATATTTTAAGATTTAAAAAGGAGGGCAATTATATAAAAAATAAAATATATTTTATTGAGTTTGTAATGTAACCTAAAGGCTATAGAAAATTATATAATCCGTTTTTGATTCTCCATTCCATGTCATAAATTATTTATTTTATTTACTTATAATTAAACTTGATGAGATAATCTAAAATAAAAATTTAAATTTATTTAACAATTTGAAATATTAAGTAGGTTATTGGAACATTTTTTTAATTTTTGATATTTTTGATTAATATGAAATAATTTTATGCTTTTAATTAAAAATTTTACAACAGTTAGTTCATAATAATATTTTTGTTAAATAAATTTTATTTTGTGAAAAAACTTTAGGCTTATTTATTACTTTAATTTATCTAAATAAAAATAATTTATAGAAAAAAATAGATAAATATAAATTAATAATGGATGTTCAATTTAATAATTCTACTCTATAAACAGGACATTTTCTTTTTCTAGAAAAATTACTGGAATTCATCCATTTTGTAATACAATCTTTATGATAATAGTGCTTATTTTTACAAAAAAATGCTTAATATTTTGCTGACTAGCCATATTCAAAACAGATTGAACATTCTTATTGTTAGTAATTTTGTATACTGCCAGCTTAGAAGAATTCAACTTAATTTGTTTATTATCTTTGTAAACAAATTCCAGATCTGCTCCTTGTGCCACATTAACTCTCAAAGAATTTAATGAAAAAAAATAGTAATATTGAAAAAATTCAACACGAGTACTTAAAAGATCTAAAAATCAGCTTATATAATTTATACACTATCACAAATGGTCCAAAAAAAATAATTAAATAAATATGGAAATATCTATTTAACAAAATAGGTTTTAAAGCAGATAATAAAATTATTTATATCACATTATAGGAGTCTCTAAAGACAAAACTTGCTAAAAGTGTTGCACACAGAAATAAAACTTCAAAATGATTTATTTTATCTTAGGTTTAAATCTCTTCTTAATTAAAAGCTATCTTATAAATATCTTTTTTATAGTAATAGTTATATGCTTTTTCATTAATTGTAATATCAGTCCTTAAGCTTAAAAATATTTCTTCAAGATAAAAGGTTAATTTGGTAAAAGTTATTCCATAATTAATAAGTAAAGACCAATTAGAATAAAAGCTCCAATTAGATTGTTCTACCTGATTTTTTAACCTAAGCAGTAACCAAATTAAGCAAAATATCTCATATAAAAATTACCAATTATCTTTTAAAAAGTTAAAAATTACATAAAGGTAACAGCTTAGTGATTATGTTTAATTTTCTTTATTAACTTAATACTTTGAAAAGTACATCAACATTTTTTACTCTATTACATCTAAAACAGGATTTTAGTTAAGAGCAGGTCTTCTATTTATTTAAAATAATTAAAATAATATTAATTGATCATTTTTAAACAATTCATCATATTAAATCATGTTAAAAATAATATACCGTTGACGTTGATTCTTAAAGTTAAGGTGCTCTTTATGTAAAGGTGCTTTTAATTTAAGGTTAAGGTGTACAAATTTTTTTTTAATTTTTTATTTTCGGCACCTTAACTTAGAGGATTGACGGTATTTGAAGTGAGAATTTATTGCAAATTTTAAAAAGCTTCAATATATTAATAAAATTAAATAATAAATATATTTTATCTAATTTTAAATAATGTTTTACTGCTGACTTTCTTTCCAGATGCCAGTTTTAGAGGTAAAATTCTAAGTAAAGTTTTCTATGATTGAGTCAAGATACTCATAGTTTTTGGTGAATATTTTAATTGAAAAAATTGTAGAGTCTTTAATTTGTATTTAATAAACAGATTCAAATTCTATATTTTTGTCTAAAATTAATAACTCTTTATTTTTCTCTTTCTCAAAGATGATTATATTCTTGTTGATTTAACAAAGTTTTTCTAAAAGCTGATTGATTGTATACATTTCACTGATATTCAGGGGAACGGCAGTGAACGCTTGGACGTTGTATTTGGTAGCAACTTATTTAGACTTCAAATGTTAAAATAAGACATATAATTAAGATATTACTATTGAACAAAAAGTGTAAATTAACTAATTTTTCTGCCATTAAATAAGATTAAACACAATTATGAGCATTAGAAATATTGAGAGAGATATTTTTATTGGGAAAGTATTTCTTTACTAATCAAAAATATTCTAAAGCTGAATATATTGCATAGAGTTATATTAAATAGTGCTATTATTTTGCTCCTAATTGAATAGACTTGTCTAAATAACAATAGGCACAATTATTTCGTCAATTTTTAGATTAACTTGCCTTTTTAAATTGATATTGCTATTAAGTTCAAGTACAAATTTCTCATCATAATAATCTTCCTTTTTAACTATTTTATTTATTTATTGTTTGGTTGCTGTTAAATTAAAATCAAAATTCTTAAATTACCTATTATAGAGTCTTTTATATTGCTAAAGACACCTTAGTCTTTTTTTTGTTATTGCTAATCTTTTTCAAATTTATATTCAACTTCTCTCTTGTTTTAATTATTTTAGGCATTTAAGTTGTTTTGCGGCTAGATTTAATTGTTTGGATTCATAGATTATAGAATATTTATTTAGCGAATTATCTATTAATTTGGATATTAAGCTAATTATTATAATCCATTTTACTTATTTTCTTCTTAAAAAACTTGGTTTTAATTTTAAAGCTAATTAGTTCTATTTAAGGCTTATAACTTGTTTTACTGCTAGATTTAATTGTTTGGATTCTTAGATTAAGGAATATTTGTTTAGCGAATTATCTATTAATTTGGATATTAAGCTAATTTTTATCCATTTTGCTTATTTTCTTCTTAAAAAACTTGGTTTTAATTTTAAAGCTAATTAGTTCTATTTTAGGCATCTAAGTTGTTTTAAGGCTAGATTTAATTGTTTGGATTCTTAGATTAAGGAATATTTGTTTAGCGAATTATCTATTAATTTGGATATTAAGCTAATTATTACAATCCATTTTGCTTATTTTCTTCTTAAAAAACTTGGTTTTAATTTTAAAGCTAATTAGTTCTATTTTAGGCATCTAAGTTGTTTTAAGGCTAGATTTAATTGTTTGGATTCTTAGATTAAGGAATATTTGTTTAGCGAATTATCTATTAATTTGGATATTAAGCTAATTATTATAATCCATTTTGCTTATTTTCTTCTTAAAAAACTTGGTTTTAATTTTAAAGCTAATTAGTTCTATTTTAGGCTTTTAAGTTGTTTTACAGCTATATTTAATTGCTTGGATTCATAGATTAAGGAATATTTCTTTAGCTAGTTATCTATTAATTTGGATATTAAGCTAATTATTATAATCCATTTTGCTTATTTTCTTTTTAAAAAACTTGGCTTTAATTTTAAAGCTAATTAGTTCTATTTTAGGCTTTTAAGTTCTTTTATGGCTAAATTTAATTGCTTGGATTCATAGATTAAGGAATATTTCTTTAGCTAGTTATCTATTAATTTGGATATTAAGCTAATTATTATAATCCATTTTGCTTATTTTCTTTTTAAAAAACTTGGCTTTAATTTTAAAGCTAATTAGTTCTATTTTAGGTATCTAAGTTGTTTTACTGCTATATTTAATTTTTTGGATTCTTAGATTAAGGAATATTTCTTTAACTAGTTATCTATTATTTTGGATATTAAGCTAATTATTATAATCCATTTTATTTATTTTCTTCTTAAAAAACTTGGTTTTGATTTTAAAGCTAATTAGTTCTATTTTAGGCTTTTAAGTTCTTTTATGGCTAAATTTAATTGCTTGGATTCATAGATTAAGGAATATTTATTTAGCTAGTTATCTATTAATTTGGATATTAAGCTAATTATTTTTATTCATTTTGCCTATTTTCTTCTTAAAAAACATGGTTTTAATTTTAAAGCTAATTAGTTCTATTTTAGGTATCTAAGTCGTTTTATGGCTAGATTTAATTGCTTGGATTCATGGATTAAGGAATATTTCTTTAGCGAGTTATCTATTAATTTGGATATTAAGCTAATTATTACAATCCATTTTGCTTATTTTCTTCTTAAAAAACTTGGTTTTAATTTTAAAGCTAATTAGTTCTATTTTAGGCTTTTAAGTTGTTTTACTGCTATATTTAATTGCTTGGATTCATAGATTAAGGAATATTTATTTAGCTAGTTATCTATTAATTTAGATTTTAAGCTAATTATTATAATCCATTTTGCCTATTGTCTTCTTAAAAAACTTGGTTTTAATTTTAAAGCTAATTAGTTCTAATTTAATTCTATTATATGTAAGCATAATATTAATCTCTTTATAATTGCATATTCGTATACTATTTTGTATTATTTTTATTTGTAAGCTATAGAGCACTAACTGCATCATTTGGATCAATGTTTTATTATTCTTACAATTAAACATTTTGAATTTACTCATTCATTCTGATAAACACTTAGTCTTAAAACTATGGAATATAAGAGATATTCATAGATTAAACTTTTGCCTAAATTAATTTTTAATACCATAATTCATTTAAGTCTGTTTTTATTTATAACGATTCATTACTACCCTATAATTTAATAATTTTATTCATTCTATCTTGTACAATTTATACATCTTTTAATCTAAAATCTCTCTTTAATTCAGTCATAGTCTGATCATCAAAATATCTAAAACTTCCTTATTTTGAGATGAATCCATATCTTTATTTCCATGAACATCCTGTCTTTATTTATACCCAGCCTTCCATCAGTAAAAAACTATAATATAAATTTATATTTTAATAAAAAATCTTTTTTTTTTTAAGATAGATAAGATAAGATATTTTATCAAATAAATTCTTCTAATACAAAAATACTTAACGGATAAATATTATCTTTTCATATTAAGATTTTATTTTCAATTACTAAATAAATAAAATACTAATTTAAGGAATTAAATTTTAACCGACTTAATGATAATTATAAATATTTTTCTTAGTTTGTAAATTTATGTTTTTTTATAGTTTAACACTTTGCTATTTAAAATATCTTTTTTATTTTTTAAATGTATTTATGAATAAAATTTAATTTGTAAAATGAGGGCACAATTATTTTAAGATTTAAAAAAGGAGGGCAATTATATAAAAAATAAAATATATTTTAATGATTTTGTAATGTAATTTTAATTTAATATATTAAAATTTAATTATAATTAATAAATCTCCCACTTAAATTATTTTTATTTATTTGCTTTTATTATTTATAAATGCTTACTATATTTACTTATTCAACACTTTTAGATATATAGATAAATAGATCAATGTTCTTCATTATATTTACATTTATTTAGAATATTTTTAGTAATAAAATTGATTATTTTCGTAAATTTTTTATTATTTAGAACCTACTTTAAAATTAATTAATGTATTTGTTTCACTTTTTGCTTTGTTATTTGTCATGTTAGAAAGATGTATTAAGGATTTTAGCTAATTCTTAATTACTCAATTTCCTAATTTTAAATTAAAAAAATGATTTTTTAAAAACGAAAATATAAAATTACGGTTTTTTAACATATTTATCTGTTGGATATCTTTCACTTGGTTTTAATTATTCATATGCTGTTGATATATTTCTTTAATGTATAACAGTTACTCTATGCTTTTATTCAACAGAAGAAGGCCTGGTATTTATATTATTGATATTATTATTATTGGTATTTAATTAAGTATCACTATTGGGATTATTAGTTTATCTTTCTTGGCTTTTATTTAAAACTTTTTATAAATTCTTCTTATTGAAATCTCTTCTTTCATCAGTTTCGTTTCTATGTGTTACCTTAATAAAATAAATTAAATTTATTGTATGTTGTTTAATTTTTTTACTGAAGGTTGCAAATTAGTTGCTAGAGAATCTGATTCAAGCTATCTGACTTTGTATAAATCAATAATACTTTTTGAATCGTTTTATAATTGTTAAACATTTGTGATATTTTACAAAACCTGTAATTAAACCTCATCTTCTTCTTAGAATTTTATATATTCTCTATTAGTTGTTTAAATTTCTTTATCAATTTGCAAGGGCTATATCTTATTTATTAGTTCAAGAGATATTTATTAAGATTAATCATTAGAGACTTGAGCTTTCAATTAAGGTGATTTTATAGAAGCTGGAGATTTCAAAGGTGAACTAGGTTCACTTTCTTTGATTTTAGTAACTTTTGAATTGGTCCTTGATTATATAGTGCTTTGCATTCTCGTTGGGGAGGAAGGAGGTTATATACTTTAAAGCTTCAATTATATTATTTCATCTTCCAATTAAACTTTAGATTATTATAATTTTTCATTTTCTTCCTTTAAAGAAATGTTTTTTTATAAAGTGTACTTGAATTAACCTTCAAGTTCTTTAATCTATTAAGTTAAAGTATTATTTAAATTTTTGATTTATTCCTCATAATTTTCTTTAGTTTCTTAGAGCTCCTTCGTAAAATGTCTACCTAGCTACTCTTGCTAGTTAGTTGTTGAACTTTTTTAGTATTCAATTTATTATTTCAAATTTTTAATTTCTACAAGAGATGCATCGTATTAACCCTGTAATTTTGATATTTTGGAAACTAAATCTGATTTTGATTTTTCAACAGTTCTTCTATTTTCTTCAATAATCTCTTTTTATTGCTTCAAAAATTATATAGTAGATTCCCTCTCCTTTAACTTTTCATCTAGAATCCTATAATTATCTAATTATCTTAGAAGTGAAGCATACAAATCTTCATACTCCATATAGTGAATTTTTACATCTTTACACCTATAAATGCTAGATTAAATTTATTTATTGATTAATTAATTTATCATTTAGTAAATCTAAAAAAATATTATTTTCATTAAAATTTTATGCAAACAATATCTGAAAAATAATTTAGCTGTTTTAATTTACCTTAGTTCTTTTAAATATTTTGCATGGATATTTTCTATATTTATTTCAGTTTACTGCTAAAATTCATTGTACTATCTAGTTATTGATGTTAATTCTCTCTGTGTTTATTCTAATTTTATTTTATAATCTGTGAAATTTGTCAAAATTTAAATATTTTGTCTTTTAAGTTCTTCTACGATTTGTATTTTATCAGTCAAAGAATTTTCAATATTAGACGAGTGGAAAGTTTGATCTTAATTTATGTCTTTTAATGCAAGTAATTTTTTTTGAGCTTCAAAGAGTTAGTTTTAGAATTCATCTTTTTCCTTAGAAAATTGGTTCAGCTACAAAGTTTAGATCTAAAAGTCGTTAAGTATTTTCCTATTTTCTTGCTCTAACTTAGTTACTTTAGACTTTAGGATCTATATTTGATTTTGATAATTATCCATGTGTATCCTATATTCATTCTATAATTATTGATATTTAATATCCTTTTCCTCAAAAAACCCCTAAAAAATAGTTAAATTAAATAAAAAGTTGTTAATTTGACTTATTTTTATTTGAAAAATAAATTTTTACCATCCATTTTTTGACTTCAAGTTACTAATTATCTAATTATATTTGCATTTAATTTATTTATTTGGTTGCTTTTATATACTACTATTCTAAATCAGCTGAACCCATTTTATATTCTCTTATACACTTTTCCAAATTTTACATATCGATTTCTTAGTTTTTTATTGTATTTTGGCTTACTTCTAAATCAATCTAAATACCTTTTAGCTGTTTTTAAAGATTGTAAATTAAATTTTATTTTTCCTTTAATTCTTCAGCTTATTCTTTGAATTTTGCTTGATCATATTCAAGTTTATAACTTATTTCTGAGTATTAATTTTCCTTCAAATTAAGCTTTGCTTATATTTCGTTTATGAGTTTCTACTTTTCTCTTAGTCTTTGCTCATAATATTCTTTCTCGTTCAGCATTTCTGATTTCTTTTCTTCCACTCTCTTACTGCTCTCAGCATATTATCTAATTTAAACTAAATTTAACAATTAAAATCTAAACTAAATTTAACAATGAAATATTAAACTAAATTTATTAAAATCGATTTTACTTTTGAGGTTATCAATTTGGAAGTTTAATTCATCGATTTTGAGCTACCTTTTAATTAATTCTTCGTTTAGCTCTTTATTCTACAAACTAACTTTATCATTTTAAGAGCTGTTTTCTAATATAATATTTTCAAGAGTTTTGTTTCTTTCAGAAATTCTATTGTTGATAATTTTTTGGTCTTCTAAATCTTTTGCTGCTTACGTATATTTAGTTTGATATAATAATTTTTCTTCATTTCTTTGATTGTAATCAGCTTTAATATTCTTCAAATCAAACTCCAAAGAATCTTTTTCTGTAATCAAGTGCTAAAATTTAGTATTTAATTCCCTGTGTATACTGTAAATTTCATTAATTTTATGCTCAAATTGTAGTCTTGTTTTTGCCTCTTAATTAAATTGTTCATCTAAAAATTTGTTATCTTCACTTAGTCTAGCGTTTTCATTTGACAAGCTTTCCTAAGAATAAAATTGTTAATTAATATTATCTTTCTATATTTTTTATAAAAACGTACAAGTTCTGCTTTTAGAGAGCGAATTTCTAGCAAATACTTATCACCTTAATCATATACTTTCTGTTCAATCTCTTTAATCAAAGTTTATTTTTCTTCAATATTTTTTTTTAAAGTTTCTACAGCCTCTTCTTTTTCTTTTTCTAAAATGCACACAGTAGTTTTGAATTCTCCTCTTGCACAATATTCAAGCAAAATCCCAAATACCTTCCAAATTTAGCTAATTATAATGTCCTTTTCCTTTAAATGTTCTAAAATTTCATAAAGCATTTCATAAAACCCAAAGCTATAAACGAATAGACACCTGTAAATTCTATCTATACCCTCGTGCTTCACTCCCTTTAAATATAAATTTTAAAGTACATTTCACATTCTAATGTTTCTGAATAAGTTGCAAACATAATTAATAAACATTTTCATTTATAAAATAAGCTTTAAATTAAATAAAAATCCTAGTAGGTTATTTATAATTAATAGAATTTAGGATTATTTTTCATAATATTTTTGAATCATAAATTGATGGCTTTCAATATATATTAAATGCACTTACTTAGCTTTCTTTTTACTTTATACTTTTTAAAATAATTCAAAATAATTTACCTTACTAAATAAATTTTTTCTATCTAAGTTATATGTGCTTAGATAATTATGAGTTTTATATTTGGAATCATTAAACTATTTATCACTTTAAGCCTCTGTTAGAGTATCGTTGATCCAAAGTTCTAAAATTTAAGGAGTTAAGCCATTAGCTCCTCTGAATTTTTTCTTTATTTTTGCAGAGGAGAATCTATCTGGATTGATTGCATAAACAATATCATTGCTCTAAGAATTGTCTTGGTTTTTATAATAAACAGAATTAATTGGAGTGGACAAATTTTTTGTATCACTTTTAGAAGAATTTCTATTTTAGTTTAGTGAATCATCATAACTACTTAGCTAATTTGTTTTGTTATTCTAGTAAAAATCTTATATTTATATGACTAGCTTCTGATCATTAATAGGACTTGCTGCATTAGCTAAAGTAGATTTTCTACTAAAAATCATGAAGTTATTATTTTGGGTATAATCCTTTTATTAGTAACTTATAGGAGAACTTTACAGACTATTTTAAGTTGTTGATTTATTTGAAACAGTATTTTGTTTACCAGGAGTAATATTAGTTATTCTTATTTTTTTCTTAAAAAATTTATTGAAATGTGTATTGATATTATTCTGTTAAACAGCAAATTATTACAAAGCTTTAATTTATTCATCGTTTGAAGGCAAAGTGCTACTTCTCCCATTTCTTTTGCCATTTAGTTTCATTGTATTCATATAAACTTATTTTTAAAATTCTTTTGCAATTTCTGAGGAGGATTTTTACTCGACATCATCTTCTCCAACAGTTTTCAATTAACTGTAATTACTATGGATATCTTTATAATCTTCTTTGGTAGATTGAACCCTTTCACTCATTACAGTATTTGTCCTTCTATTTAAATTGAAGCTTTCTTATTTTCTAGAATAATTTATCATAGATTGCAGTTTTTTTGATTTGTTTGTAGCAGTTATTGAAGTATTCTTTATTTCTAATGGATTCAGAGCCTCTGGTAGATTCATATTTTCAAAGCTATTCTTTCGAGTATTGTTGCAGCTTTGAAATTCTTTTGCCTATTTTAAAATATGGAAGAAAATAAGAATGTTATTAACAAACGTATATTATTTATCTAATTTACCAAATATAAACCATCATAATTATCAACTCCTTGACCAGAGAAAGACATTAAATTAGAGTAAATTTTTAATAAATACTAACCAAATAAGAAATAAATACAAATTTTAGATGAAATATTAAAAATATATCAAAATTAGTTAGTAATTAATTAGTATAATGCTTCTAATTTAAGTTAGAAATTAATAAGTGTATGGTTAAAGTTGAATTTCATTTTTGGCAGAAAAATATTAAATTTAATTTACTCAATTATAAATAGAATTTCATAATTTATAATTTTATATTTAATCTTTTTTTTAACAAAATATTATTTATAATTGCAATAAAATGAATACAAAATTTCCAACTATTCATTATAAAAGGATTAACTAATTTATAAAAATTTAATAAATATTTTATTTGAATAAATTGAAATAAATTATTTTTTAATATTATTAATTAAGCTTTTTATTTGTTTACTCAATAATAAATAAAATTTCATAATTTATCATTTGGTATTTACAAAATCTATATTTTAACAAAATATTATCTATAAATAAATGCAATAAAATGAATACACTATCTCCATTAATTCATTATAAAAGGATTAGCTAATTTATAGAAATTTAATAAATATTTTATTTGAAAAAATTTAATTAATTATTTTTTAATATTAATTAAATTTGTTATTTGTTAATTTTATTATGTAAAGGTTTTAAAATATTTGTTTTAAGTTTAAAATAAATTCAAACTTTTTAAAAATATTTTTTAAATTAATAGGGTTAAATATATATTTTTTGCAATAAATAGCTTAGGTCTTAATAATATATAAATCACCTAAAGGCTATAGAAAATTATGTATTCTGATTTTAATTATCCCTGCCATAAATTATTTAATTTATTTACTTCTTATCAAACTTGATGAGATTATCTAAAATAAAAATTTAAATTTATTTAACAATTTGAAATATTAAGTAAGTTATTGGAACATTTTTTTAATTTTTGATACTTTTGATTAATATGAAATAATTTTATGTATTTAATTATAAAATATAGTTAGTTCATAATAATATTTTTGATAAATAGATTTTATTTTGTGAAATAACTTTAAGCTTATTTATTACTTTAAAATTATTTAAACAAACAAAATCGATAATTTTATAATGGATATTCAATTTAAGAGATCTATTCTACAAAGAGGACATTTTCTTGTTGCAGAAAAATTACCTGAATTCATCCATCTTATAATACAATCTTTATGATAATAGTGCTTATTTTTACAACAAAAAACTTAATCATTTGCTGACTAGTATTATTCCAAACAGATTGAACATTCTTATTGTTAGTAATTTTGTATACTGCTTGCTTAGAAGAATTTAACTTAAGATGTTTATTATCTTTATGAACTAATTCCAGATCTGCTCCTTGTGCCGCATAAAACCTCAAACAATTTAATGAAAAATAGTACTATTGCAAAAATTCCACAAATTGTGTACTTTACAGAGTTAAAAATCACCTTATATGAGAAATACGTTATCACAAATGGCACTGTAACCATTATTTAATAAAATTAGCTATATCTTTTTAAGAAACTAGGTTTTAAAGCAGGTAATAAAATTATTTGTATCACATTAAAGGAGTCTCTAAAGACAAAACTTGCAAAAAGTGATACACACACAAATAAAACTTCAAAATCATTTATTTTATCTTAGGTTTAAATCTCTTCTTAATTAAAAGCTATCTTATAAATATCTTTTTTATAGTAATTATTATATGCTTTTTCATTAATTTTTTTATATTTCTTAATATCAGTCCTTAAGCTTAAAAATATTTCTTCAAGGTAAAAGGTTAATTTGGTAAAAGTTATTCCATAATTAATAAGTAAGAACCAATTAGAATAATAGCTCCAATTAAATTGTTCTTACTGATTTTTTAACCTAAGCAGTAACCAAATTAGACAAAATATCTCATATGAAAATTACCAATTATCTTTTAAAATGCAAAAAATCACATAAAGGTACTAGTTTACTGGTTCTCTTACATTTTCTTTATAAACTTAATACTTTGAAAAGTACATCCATATTTTTTACCCTATTACATCTAAAACAGGATTGTAGTTAGGAGGAGGTCTTCTATTTATTTATTTTTAAAATTTTATTATATTAATTAATAATATTTAAACAGATTATAATATTAAATAATACTAAAAATAAAATATTTGCAGTCATAATTAAAAGCAAATTATAAAAAGCTTCAAAATATTAATAAAATTAAATAATAAATATATATAATCAAATTTGAAATAATGTTTTACTGCACACTTTCTTTCCAGATGCCAGTTTTAGAGGTAAAATTCGAAGTAAAATTTTCTATGATTGAGTCAAGATACTCATAGTTTTTGGTGAATATTGTAATTGAAAACATTTTAGAGTCTTTAATTTGTATTTAGTAAACAGATTGAAATTCTATATTTTTGTCTAAAATAAATAACTCTTTATTTTTCTCTTGTTCAAAGATGCTTAAATTCTTGTTGATTTAACTAAGTTTTTCTAAAAGCTGATTGATTGTATACATTTTACTGATATTCACGGGCACTGAAGTGAACGCTTAGACATTGCATTTGATAGCAACTTATTTAGACTTCAAATGTTAAAAGAAAACACATAATTAAGATATTATTATAGAACAAAAAGTGAAAATGAGCTAATTTTTCTACCATTAAATAAGATTAAACACAATTATGAACATTAGAAATATTGAGAGAGACATTTTTATTGGGAAAGAATTTCTTTATTAATCAAAAATATTCTAAAGCTGAATATATTGCATAAAGTTATATTAAACAGTGCTAGAATATTGCTCGTAATTGAATAGACTTGTCTAAGTTGTAATAGGCAAAATTATTTCCTCAATTTTTTGCTTTGCTTGCATTTTTAAATTGATATTGTTATTAAGTTCACTTACAAATTTCTCATCATAATAATCTTCTTTTTTACCTATTATATTTATTTATTATTATTTGGTTGCTGTTAAATTAAAATTAAAATTCTTAAATTACCTATTATAAAGTCTTTTATCTTGCTAAAGACACCTTAGTCTTTTTTTTGTTATTGTTATTCTTTTTAAATATTATAGTCAACTTCTCTCTTGTTTTAATTATTTTAGGAATTTAAGTTGTTTTACGGCTAGATTTAATTGCTTGGATTGATAGATTAAGGAACATTTCTTTAGCGAATTATCTATTAATATGGATTTTAAGCTAATTATTATAATCCATTTTGCCTATTTTCTTCTTAAAAAACTTGGTTTTAATTTTAAAGCTAATTAGTTCTAAATTAATTCTATTATTGGTAAGGTTAATATTAATCTCTTTATAATTGCATATTCGTATACTAATTTGTATTTGCCAGCTATAGAGGACTAACTGCATCATTTGGATTAATGTTTTATTATTCTAACAATTAAACGTTTGGACTTTACTCATTCATTCTGATAAACTCTTAAGCTTAAAACTATGGAATATAAGAGATATTCATAGATTAAACTTTTGCCTAAATTAATTTTTAATACCAAAGTTCATGTAAGTCTGTTTTTATTTATAACGATTCATTACTACCCTATAAAAATTTAATAATTTTATTCATTCTATCTTGTACAATTTATACATCTTTTAACCTAAAATCTCTCTTTAATTTAGTCATAGCCTGATCATCAAAATACTTAAAACTTCCTTATTATGAGATGAATCCATATCTTTATTACCAGAACCATCCTCTCTTTATTTATACCCAGCCTTCCATCAGTAAATAACTAAAATATAAAATATATTCTAATAAGAAATCTTTCTTTTTTTAAGATAGATAAGTTAAGAGATTTTATCAAATAAATTCCTAAATAATTTCTTCTAATACAAAATTTTTAATAAAATATTGTTTATTAATTAAAAAAACAAAATTTTTAAATATCAATTTAAACTTAAAAAAAACTTAGATATTAATAAATATTTTATCCAATTAAGTATTTAAAAATAGATAAAAATAAATAATTTAGCCTGATGAATACTAATAAATCATACTTACTTACTTAACTGATAAATATTATTTTTTTATATTCAGATTTTATTTTTCAATTTCTAAATAAATAAAATACTAATTTAACTAATTAAATTTTAACTAACTTAATGATAATTATAAATATTTTTATTAATTTGTAAATTTATGTTTTTTTATAATACTTTATTTAAGACATTTGCACAAGTAAGTAATATTATTATTATATAAACAAACGATAAAGTAACAATTATTTTTTAAATTGATCAATTTATACGAAAAATCTAGATGATTTTATTTTAAATTTAAATAGAAACAATAAAAGCCAGTAAATAAAGAAATTTTTAAATCAGTGAAATAAAATAAAAATAAGTAGAACTTATATTTTTCAAAAAATGTGTTCGATAATTGACTTAAAATAAAATTATATTATATTTATTTACTATTAAAATTGAACAATTACATCCAAACAAAATATTGATTTATATTTATATAAATAACAAGCTAATTATTAGAGTATTCATTGAATATTTTAAGTAAAATATTATATTTTCTTTCTAACTTTAAGCATTATTTATTTAAAATTAAATATTTATCTTTTTAAAATAACAAAATCTCATTTTAAAATTGTTAGAATTTAGTTGAAATTACATTTTAAAAAACAATCTAAAATTTCATTCTTAAAATAGATAAAATTCAAAATTGAAAAATTCTAGTTTAAATTGATAAAATGAGTTCTCTCACTTAATTTAAAATGATAATTATTATATTTTAACAAATTTAATGTTTATATATAAATAATTATTAATTAGTTTTCTTATTTTATCTTGCAAAATTAACATTTTTCATAAAACCAAAATAAAAATGTTTGTGATTCAAAAAAATAATTTAAAAACCAAATTAAAAAATATAAGCAACTCTTAACATTTAAATGTATATTTTATATAGAGCAGTTAAATTTATAATTTATGTATTATTAAGTATTTAAATATAGAATTAAGTCTAGTATAGGTTGAATCAGTTAGAGTTTTACCAGATTCTAGCCATCTTTTAAAATATTAAAAAGTTTAATTTAGTTTTTTAGTTTTGGGTTAAAATTTTACATGTTAAGAATGCTCTATAGATTTACCCGAAAAAGATTGTAAAATTTCTTTAATTTATTACTATATCATGTTTTTAAAGTAGTCATTATCTTCTTAAAAAAAGTATTAAAGTGTTGCCAATCTCCTTTCATCATTTTCAACTTCATCTCTTAAATTATCTATTTCATCCTTTAATAATATTATGATTAAAATAATACTATATAAATTTATTTGATTACTTGTTTTCCAGCCTGTCTTAATAGGTATTCTATTTTTACTTAATTTTCAAATATTTTTAACAAGAGCTCCTTTCTATGATTCAAAATTCCAAGACAAGAGTCAAAGTGTTTGATTTATTCCTAAATAATATATAATTATTTAAAGAAATTGTTTTAAAAAATATGATTTTACCTTAAGTGGTCCTTCGATACTAGAAATTAAATCGTTTGAATTTTTAGCCTGTTACTCTGAAGCCTTATAAGTAGTATCTTTCAATTCAGAAACTCCTTTCTAACTCTCTGATGGATTAATTATAATTGAAAAATAAAAAGGTAAATGATAAGCTTAAATTATTCTATAATTATTTTAAAATAAAAAAATAATATAAAAATTCTGAATTTTTTACTTAATTAATCTAGAATAGCAGAGAATTATGTCATGTTTTCTGCTTGCTTCTTTTTGAACTCAAAGATATGATGTAAGCATCTTGTAGTTTCTGATATTTTTTCTTTTTAACTTTAATAATATCTCTCATAGTTTTCAAATTTTTCATCTTCTTTAGTTTTTTATCTTTCCTTCTTTTATCTTGTGCCGGAAATATAATCTACTGCTGTTGTCAGGCCTGTGGAAACAGAATTGTAAAATTTTTTTATCATTCCACTTCCAATAGGTTCATTAGCACTTTGTCTCTGGGTGAAGGACTTCTCCTTGAACTTTGAAAAATCCTAATTAATAATAAAATTAATTACATTTCCAGTAGAAATAAATAACTAATCTTTACATTATCACTATCCCTAATAAATGATTTAAATTCTTTTGTTTTTGAAAGTTTAGGGTGGTCTAATACTTTTTTTAAGAAAGCCTTCAAGCAAGTAAGTCTGTCCTACAAAAATTCAGGTCTTTTGATTAAATCGACTTTTTGAAAATTAATCTTTGAAAGAACATTCTTTTCAGGCAAAGGAGGAAGAATAATTCCAATATATTTCTATTCAAACTCTTTGACTAACCATTCAAAATCGCTATATCTCCTTTATACTATAATAAAATCTGACTCTTTTCCCTTTTTGTAAGACTTTATTTGATACAAAACATGTTCAACAATGCCCCTTTTTTAAATAATTATTGATATCAATAAGAAAACAAACTGCTAAGTTATGGAAAATATTCTCCAAAAAACTGAGAATTGAAGTTAAATTGAATAATAAATACCAATCAGTTTTGCTTGAATAATCTACAATATCAACAACCAACCCCTCTAAATACGGATCAGGTTTAAAATAATTATTTAGCATATTTATATCTATAGCTGGTAATTCTTGAACATCTTGATTATACTTACTGTTTCTCATATTTTGGCCATATTATTCATTGTTTCTATCTTAAATATTGTCATTTTCATCGTCCTCAACATAATCTATATTTTCATATTCATCATCTTAATTAACCTATTACTCGTTTCCCCTAACCTAATCCTGCAGATTCGGGTATTTGTTACTCATTTTTACTTCTTTAATAACTAATATTAATTTTTACACCTTAATTGAATAATTTTCTTTTTTTTCTTAGTAATTTAATTATCAAACATGATGATTTCTATCAGAATAGATAACAAAAACAAACAAACAATCAATCAAACATTTAATTTAATTTGATAATTTCAATTTGTTTAATTCTAAATAAGACACTTCCCACTAAGTCTATTACTTTGCAAAAAGTGATCAAAAATTCTAATTACTATTCATAATTTTATAATTATTCACTCTGTAAAACGATTGGAATGATTGTGTGTATGTATGTATGTATGTATGTATGTATGTATGTATGTATGTATGTATGTATGTATGTATGTATGTACTTATGTATTCAGAATAATAAAACAAGCATAAATTTCTTAACTTTTTACAAGAACCATCTTTTTAACAATTGAAATAGAACAATTTCCATAAATTCAAATAAACAAGAATTATTAAAAAATAAAACAATTAATTAACTGAGATATAATTTTATTGAAATCAATAGCTTATTTTTATATTAATAATATAACTTTCATTCAATAAATAATACAATTAAATAGTTTCTGACAATAAAATAACTTTGGAAAATTAAAAGAATATTTATTTTATTTGAAATATCAATTAAATCAAAGATATCTAGTAAGAATTAACAACAATATATTATTTTTAGTATTTTTCAAAAATAGCTCATTTATTAAATTTTTTATAGTAAAATTATAGATAGTGAGTTAGTTATTCCTCTAAACAAAAAAAAGTTAAAAAGTGTATTATTTTAATTTATTAATAAAATCAAATAATAATATGTTGCTTAATATCAAGTAAGTATTTTGACTTCTTTAATTAGAAAATACTTGATTTTGGGATTACTTTTCAAAAAAGGAAATTCTAATAATGAAAAAAAATATAAATTAGAGAAGAATAAGAATCAAAAAGCAGTTTTTCACTGTTTTCTATTGAAAATTTTAACGAAAAATAAAATTAAAAATAAATTTTTGTATTTTTTGAAATCAAAATATTTTAATTTAACATGAATAGTGCAAGTATAGAGAAATTTTTTTTTTTTCATATAAATAAATATTATAAATAAGTGCATAAGCACCAATTAAAATAAATAACTTTTAGTATTTTCTGGTTGAATTCTTTATTATATTTTATCAAATTTTTTATTTTGAAAATAAATATGAATGAAAGTTGTATCTATAATTTATTTATTTTGTCATAGAATAAAAATTCTGAATTTAAAAATTAAAATAAATTTTTGAATCTTTTCATTAAATTAGAGTTTAAGAATTTGAAGTTTTTTTTGCTTGGTTGATTTATCTCATAAGAAATGAGAAAAGTATTTATTTAACATTTTGTTATTGCTCATTAGAAGCAGTATTTTAATCTAAGGCCAATATTATATTTTAAATTTAGTTGATATCATTTTCAGTTGGTTCATCCACTCCATTTTTTAATAAAATGTTTACCAAAAACTTTTCTTTATTTTGCACTTTTTTAAGCTTTTAAAGCATTAACTCTATAAAATTAGCATCTTTTAAATTTTATTCTATATTTGTAGTGCTGGCTTAAGAAGAAACACCATTAGTGATTGAAGTAGAGCTTTACTAACCAGTTAAAGAGGGATTACTAAATGTAAATACTTAAGGTATTTAAGATAAACTTGATTATTAATTTTAAGTTGCATACTAAGAAACTCTTTTCTGGCCACTCAAATTTATAATACTGTTTCCAATAGGAATCTGAAGCATCTAAGTGATTGAATTGCCACCACTTCTATTCTTCTTAGGGATTTTAGGAGAATTGTTTTCTGAAAGACGACTTGACTAGTCTAAAATTTAGTAGCTATTCTGCTACTCTTTTTAATCTTTTAGTGCCTTTTCATGGTATTAATTTAGCAGCTCTTCATCTCTTTTGACTTCTTCTTCAAGAGAAAGCAAGGTTTTAGATTCATTTTACAATATCTTATAAGCAATAAGCAATGGTTTGAATTCATCTTAAGCTGCACTTTGCAGCTTATCATTTAAGACATCAATAATTTAGAGCCATTTTTCTTTTTATTAGGGTGAAATTAAATTTAACTATTCAAATATTGCTTTTAACTCTCGTCTTCTAAATATCCATTCAGTTTAAAGTTCTTACATTTTAAAATCTATTTCTCTTTTGTGACGTATTCCTAAAAATTTATCTTATTACTCATCTGAAAACAAATTGTAATCAACACACACTACAGCAAACTTATCAAAAGAGAGATTAGGCTCGCTATCTATTATTCTATCAGCATTTTCTTAGAAAATTTAAGTCAAAACATCTTCATCATAAATATCAACTTCAATATGTCTGTTCAAAATTAAAAATTCATCCAAATTACAGACTCCGTTACCATCTAAATCTGAAGCAGCGAATGCATTTATGACATAAGTTTTAGCCCTATTGACTAATTATCTATACTTAGCCAGCATTTTGTTCAAAAAGATATCAAAGTCAATTAAGCCATTTGTGTGAACTCCTTTATAGTCGACTTCTTTTAAAGATTCAATATCTTTTTTAAACTCTGTCTATTCTTCATATGTCATTCTTGAGTCAACAAAATTTCCTTGATAATAAAAATAGAAAATTAATCAAAATTTGTAGAAAATTTATTGAATTTTTACCAACAAAAGCCATAGCTCTAATAAATGGAATCATATAATGTGGGTCATTTTCAATAGGGTTTGGCTACTATCCAAAGGTTGATATATTAAATACATAATTGAGAACTTCAATGTACTTATTACATTCATCTAAAGAGAAATTTAGCGTTCTATTTTCAATTAGACCAATAAATCTAGCAAACATGTTTACTCTTAATATTGAAAGATATTTCTTAATTGAAAGCATAAAAATGATAAACTTTTAGTCAACTATTTTTTTAAAACCATAAAGTTTTGTTAAGAAGAAGTAAGTAAAATTGCTGCATTCTTATTCTTTTATTCTCGGATTTTCATTAATCATTCTCATCCTCTCCAAGTAAACCAAATTAATTTATTTCAGTAGAGTAGGAAGAGGCATAAAATTTCTAAATTTATAATACTTATTCTTCTTTACCTTTTCAACAATCTATCTACCTATATCATTGAAAAGAGACTCTACTTAGTTTATCTAATAATAAAAAATAATTAATAAAAAAAAACAAAGGATCTAATTACTTTTTCACCAAGCTAACGTACATTTGTTTTCTTTTGGACAGCTTTTATAAGATTTTATCTCTTTGCTCTTCTGGCAGCCTTTTCGTCCTTGCTTATTGGCACAGGGCTATCTTCTTCGTCTTCATCGAAGCTGGAATCGCTTGAAACGGATTCTGAAACGTTTTTACTATCTAAGTTAAGCTTTTACATGATATTTTTATATTTTTCTGTAAGGAGAGTATCAACTGTATCAACTTTTTTCTTTAAATGTGGAGTAAAAGATGCTAAAGAAGAAACATCAAAATCCTATCCAGAATAGCGACCGCTGGAAGCAGCATTTAAAATAAGTGGGGAAGTAATTTAAAAATTTTAAAAGGCATTAGTTTACTATTCGTCAGCTCTGCTCATCTATGCCTTAAGAGATTCTATTTACTCAATTAAATTTATTTCCCTTTGCCTTAAATACTCTACTTAAGCCTCTTGATTTTCTACTTTATACATAAACTAATCAAATGTGAGTTTATCTTAAAGAATGCTATCGTATTCATCATCTAGCAAATTAACTAATTCAGTTTGTACCTCAGCTTCTCTCATATCATTAAGCACAAGTAGAGATGCTCCAGTTTGAGTTTAAATAACTTCTAACTTTTTAACATCTTCAGGATTTGTATATCTTACATAATTAAGTTTCTCAATACTTTCATTAACTCCTCCAATATTTATCAAACGTTCACTAGGTTTATTTTCATCAACTATAAACAAACTTTTTTTAATTCAAAATTAAATGAAAATAATTTCGATAAAATTTTAATTTGAATTAAAAGAAATTTTTGTTAAATTAAAAAATATTTCTCAAATTTAATTTTTTTAATTAAAATTTTATAAAATTAATTAATTAATTTATTTATTTATTTTATCTTATTACTCACTATTTATAGAGCTTTCATTAGATTAGTTATTATTTTATTCTGTATTAGTCTAGTTGGTTTTGCTTCCACTATCAAGTTAGTGCTGACCTTTGCTAAATGCAGAAGTATTTGTTTCCTTTTTATCATCTTTGAGTCTATTACCAACTTTCTTAATTTTCTTTCTTAATTTGTGGTTCTCAAGTTGAGATTCACTTTATTTTTATTTCATATAAGTTACTAATTCTTTAAATTTAGTCAACTAGTCTCTTAATATTTTATCGCTTTAAATCTTATCTTCCATTTGAGTGATGTTTTCTTTGAGTTTAGTGTGTAATTCTGACAATTAGCTTTTTAATTTATTAATTTCTTCATCTTTAGATTGAAAAATTCCTTCATAGGTTTTATGTGACTCGAGATATTCGTCTTTTTATTGTTTCTTAATTTTTTCAAAGTCAACTCTCTACTTTTCTATCTATTCTCTCAAAGAAAAAACTTGATATTTCATCACCTGAATTTATTTGATTAACATTAACAAAATTATCTTTAAATAAATTTAATAGTTATAAATTTTTTTTTACAGTTTGGAGTAGGTCTCCTCTTTCTTAACACTCTATAGATATTTATCTTAGCAACTCTTGGCAAGCTAATTCTACTAATGAGGATAAGTGATCTATTTTTTTTGAATTATTCATTTTCTAAATTTAATTTAGCTAATTTTAAAACCACTTTTGCATTTGAATTAGCTCCTATCTGGAAGTAGGACCTTCTGATAGGGCTGAAGGCACTTCCTTTTTCAAAGAAGACTCAAGTTAAGTTTAAATTGGTTAATCCTCTTTTACAATTTTTATAAAAAATTGTTTTTTTTCGTTATTTTCATTTTTGAAATACATATTTTCATTCTGATTATTTTAATTATTTGGAGATTTATCAGGAGACTATTTTGATGTCACTATTTTTGTTAATTGTGTGAAAGATTATGCGAATTTTTTGCTTTTAGTAGAGTTAAATCCTCCATTTATATTTAAATTAATTGAAGCAGTAGTACTTTGTCCTTGCTTACTACTATGAACATTATTATTTATATTACTCCTAAAAGTTAATATCTCTCCTATAGAACCTAATGTTGGTGGGACTTGTGACAAATCAATTTAAGTGAAGGGCTTAACTAAAGGGTGTTTTTGAGAATATGATGATGGCGGATTTGAGAGATTAGCCTATATTGACTGCAGACTTGGTATATTATTATCTTAGTCATCTGTGTTAACATTGTTAATCTTAAGTGTATTTAAAAATTTATCTTTATTTTAAGATCTGGTAGATTCAACTCCTAATGTAGTTGAAGGATAATAATTCTAATTTATCTTTGAAAAGCCTTCGAAAAAACCTGTTGGAGAAGGTATTGAATTTCTGTTGAAATTAGGTTAAGTCTGTATTTGGAATTATTAAGTAATAGAATTTCTAGCATTATATATTGAGGAACTGCTTTACATGTTTGTGCTTAAGTTTCTCTAATTTAAATATGAATTTTCTATTATTTTGGAGGTTTATTTGGTCTAATCATTTGATTTTACCTCCCTTAGACTTTTAACAGATGTAATATCTGAACCATTAATCCTTCTACTTGAATTACTCATGTTGTTAATTTTAATTTTATAAGCATCATCTAATTTATGCATTTGGCTTTAAGTTAAATTTCCATTGCTATTAGTTGAAACATTTCCTTAGTTTTACTTTGAATCATCTCTAAATTTAGCGCTTATCTATATGAATGAAAATGGAGTTGAGATATTTTATTTTGAATTTCTTTGATTCAATTAAACGCTGCTCCTTTTATTTATATTTGACTCATTTAATCTTAATGGTATCTTTTTTGAATCAATTGGTGAACCAAGATTAGAATAGCTATTTATATTTTATGTTTACTGATTGCAAGTGCTATCTTCAGTCATTTGCCTCATTCTTTTGACATTTAATTAGCTTTCTCTATTTTTATAAATTAAATCATTATTTAAAATTATTTTAATAAGCAAAATTTATACTGCTTAGATTTTTGATTTTGTATTCTACTATCATCTTCTTGCTTTCCTACTATTTACACATTTTGATCTAAAGTATCATCACTCCTTTTTTGATTTGAATTCTTTTAAATTTTTTATTACAAATGCTACTATAATTTGGTTGTGCTACTGTCACTTTAAGAAAGTAATATATCTTGAGTTTTTCCTTTCTTGTTCTCATTCAACAAATCTTTTATAATTTTATTGTTTATAACTAGCTTTTCATTTGAATGAGATGAAGGCTTAGTTTGCTGAAGAAGTTATAGAGCTAACGAGGCGTTTGGCTTTAAAAATACTAAGTTCTTTTTTTCTCTACTGATAGTCTCTGTTTTAAGGGTTGTGTCTTCGTCTATATCTTTCTAAGTAACTTTGGTTGTAACTTAATCTTAAATCATGATAAAAAAGTAATTTTTGTTTATCTCTCAAGATTTATTATAGTAAATTACAATTGATAAATAATTTATCTAATTTGATATTATGGATTTTTGATTGATAACAGTTAATTTAATTTTACAATTACTATTTTACATTTTGTTCTTCATTCGAGTATAGAAACAGCCTTCTCTAAAATCAATATATCAATTTACTTAAAAATAAAGTTACTTGAATACAATTATATAATAAAAGAGGGCACACTAATGCTGATTACTTCTCTTCAAAGTAATTTAATAAGTGAAAAGATAAATAATACTTTTTCAGCTTTGTTGTAGTATTTGATGTGTGGATTTTTTTATTTTCAATCACCGAATCATATAAATCCTACTAAATAATTAACAAAGAAGGGCATGTAGAATTTAATTCAAAAAAATTGAATTAAATAAAATTGCCACTAAATTAAAGAATTTTCATGGTATTAAAAATTTGAAATTTATATCAATAATTTACTCGCTATAACTAAATTATTTTAAATTTAATTAAAAAAACCAAGTTCGTTAACTTTTTAAGCTATCTTAAACTCAAAATATTTTTGTTGTAAGTACTTAAAATTTTTATGATTCTAATAAAAATGGATGATGATGTCAATTTAATTATGTATTAAATAGTGATTTCCTATGTTTTTTTAGCCATTTTTCGTTTATTAGAAAAGTTTACTTTCATTATTAAGAAAATGGTTCTCATTATTAATTATTAATTTTTGTTCTAGTATAAATTTTTTAAATTCCATCTTAAAATTAATTTTTAACAAAAAAATAGAATTTTTTTATTTTAAATACTAAATTTATGGTTAATTAAATCTAATTTATAAATTTAAATAAAATTTTTGTAAAACAATTTTTATTAAAAAAATTCTAATCTAAATTAATATTTTTTATTTAAATCAATCAATAATTTTAAGGATGTAGTTCTTATATTTAGATTATTTGTTAAGCTGGAAAATAATTAATATGTTTATTAATTTAAAATAAATTGTAAAGTAAAAAAGTATCAAATGAAGAGATAGGTAAAACTTTAATATTTTCAAATGTTATAAAGTTTATTTCATAGTTTTAATTATTTTATTGATTTTTGTTTATCTTTTGTATATAATTCAATATTTATTATCTTAGTTAATAAAAATAATTTAAATTTTTAAAAAATGAATTTATAAAAGATAAATTTTTGAAAATAGTTGTCCAATCTTGGTGAATTTAACAAAATATTAATTTAAAACTTATAATTTTATTGTTTTACTTAAATAAAAATTGATAATTTTTTTAAAACATCTTCCCATTTGACACAATATCCATTTTTTAAAAAGTTTTTAAAATTTAGATATGTTTATGAAAGCTGATATTACAATATTTTAAATCATTATATATTAAATAAGTTATTATTTGATAGATATTACATGTTTAACAGAATGTTAAACTATTTTATAGAGCAAATATAAAAATTTTAGTTTTATTATAAATTTAAAGTAAAACTTAATTAATGATTTTATTTAGTTTAATATTTGATAAATAGAATGATAACAAAAAATGTATTTTTTTAAATTAAATTAAATATTTTGATAAAAGGAAAATATTTTGAGAAGATTCTAAAATTAGATTTAAATTATAAAATGCAATATAATATATGTAAAATAAATTAAAATTAAAATTTAATTAATATTTTAACAATGTCAATGTAATTAAACCTTTTTGGCTGAATAAATCAGAAATTTCTTTCTAGAAAGGAACACTATAATTCAAATCAACTTAAAGATATTTATGTGAGAGTGATCAATAATTAGTATATAAAAACATTATTTTTATATTGAAAAAGTTTATTTATTTATTTAGAAGTTTTAAAAGGAAGTAAATAGATAGATAAATAGAATTAGCTATTTAACAAAAATTTGGATTGAAAGTATAAAAGCAGTAAATTAACAAATACCAAAATAGAAATGAAAAAGTAAAATAGAGACCCATCAATTAGTGAGCATAGACATGCACATTTCGATATGATTTCTTAAAATAGAAGTGAGTTTTTCAACTTCTTTTTTGAAAACAATGACATATTCAAAGTAATTGATCCTGAAGACGAAGAATACTTGAAGGTGATGCATTTCAAATATTTAAATACCACAGCTAATTTTACTTTCGGTACTTTTGGTGCTGTGCTCTTAGTTGATCAAGTTCTTATGAGATTTTTTATGCCTAACTTTAAAATTTAAAACTTCAGATTCATCTTAAATACAACAAAATACATTGGATTACCACTTCTTGGTTTCTGGGTGGGCAAAAACTACTTCGCATAAGATGTAGAGGAATCCTACATTAGAATGAGTGATAAATATTCTTTCAATTACTATGACTATAACAGATGTATGGATGTCTTAGAGCGTGCTGAAAGAGTAGGTAGATTAGATGAGCTATTAAAAGAAAGAGGCAACTTTGATTGGACAGGAGTGCCTGATTTCAGATCAAAATTTACTCAAAAAAATATTAATTGAAATAAATGTTTTCCTAAATCAAATAATTTTATAATTAAATGTGTTGTCATTTATAAAGTGATTAAATAATATTTTAAAAATATAAAATCTTTCACTTTCAATTTAATTGTTTAATTTAATTTATTATTTAACACATTTAATCAATTTTATTTAATTGTGGTAGCATCTCTAGCATTTTAATATAAATATTTCTTTAGATGATGCAATTTAAATTCAAATTAAAAATAATATTAAATAATAAAATTTTATTATTTTTTGTTAAAAAATCGTTTTAATTTAATAAAAATAAAATTTATTTTTATTTCTCAAAAATATCAAAGATAGAGCAATCAATATTTATTTTGTAAATAATATTTTTTACTTGCATTTTTATTATAAGTATAAATTTTAAAAAGAAATTACTTTGAAATTTATAATGTTTAGCAATTATTTTAGGAGAAAAAAAAATTAGGATTTTTGGTAATCAATTATTTATTTACATAGAAATTTACTGATTTAGTGATTAAATTTTTATCAATTTTTTTTTTGTTATTAAAAAATTGATGAACTATTAGACAAAATAGGATTTTTATGAAGATTTGGTAATATTTTTATTGACAAAAAAAATAACGATTTTTTATTAAATATTATTAAGAATATTTTTAGCTTTTTTATGAAATTTATTTTGCATAGTTTTAATATCTTAAGAATTTTCAACAGATATCGATTGATGGATTGAATTTATTGCATATGAAATAGCTCAAATTGGCCAAAATTTCGATCATTTATTGATTCATTGATTTATTTATTTCATTCTAAAATTAGAATCAACAGCGTTAACTTAAAAATGAAAGTTTTCGAGGAGGGGGGTGGTTGCAATTTTGGAAAGGTGTAAATGATAAGAAGTGTGAATAATAAATAAAGACTATTAAATAAAAAGAGAAACAAAAGAGTGAGTTAGAAATTTAGAATAGAATGTTTGTTATTTAATTTTTTTGTTTTTTTTTGTTAGTTAGATAATTAAATTAATAATAGGAATATAGATAAATCATTATTATAAAAACACCAAAAAGTTTTAATTGAGTAAAATCATAAATTTTTTTTGCAAAAAGTGATATAATAATATAGTATTTTTAATTAACTTCGAATTGCATCTTTTTCTTTTCAAAGTATTGAAAATTTGACTTCACCGCTAACAAAGAAGATTTCTTTATTTCCTCCATGATTGCAAAAAACGAAGAAATCTAGAGGCAAATTTTAATCTATTTGATAGAAGATTAAGCCGTTTCTCAAAAGAAAGCCTCTAAGCCCAATAAAAGTGTAGCGCCCATAGGAGATAAATAGGAATTAAGCAACGAAGGAAAGCACAATCCTCCATCTTCTTTAAATGCTGCTTTGAATAATTAGAATAGCAATCAAATAGCTTAAAATACCACTAAAAGTCTTTATGAAGAGAGCAACAATTCTGTATATTCATTTACACCTTAGATTCCTAACCAAAAGAAGAGCGATGAAATTATTCAAGCAGATTCTGACAATAAAAAAAAGGAACAAGAAGGAAATGAACCATCAGAAAAGCCTTTAAAGGTGTTTCCACTAGATACCATTAAATATTCGCTTCAATTAATAGGATTTAAATACAAAGATGCGAGTTATTTCTGTGACATTTTAAAGTAATATTATAAGTAAATAGTATCTATGCAAAGTAATTATTAGCCAAGCTTGCAAGATGCTTTTGGAAAGTTTAAAATGGCCAGAACGTATATGCTTTCATCATAGCTGTATAAAGGAATAGTAGAATTTGCTTAATCAAATAATTACATTAAGCCTCATAAAGAAAATGCACCTGTAAAACTCATTTAATACTTTGATATGTGCATGTAAATCTTATAGAAAAAATATCCTTTGATTATTTTACTTGGAGGAACTTCAGGGACAGGTAAATCTACTTTATCCAGTATTCTTGCCTCCCGTTTTTAGATTCCAACAGTATTGAGTACTGATAGCATTAGGCATATAATGAGAAATTTTATGGAGGAGTCTGAAGAACCCTTACTTTTTAGTAGTACATACGAAGCGGGGAAAATACTAAAGGATGACACAATTACCAAGGAATCCAAGAAAACCATACAGGGTTATAAGATCTAATGCAAGTTAGTTTAATAAAAGCTAGAAAATGTATGAAATTCAAAATCATTTACTATTTAAATACAAATAAATTTTTTTAGTGCTATTGCAAATATTTGAATTTAATGAAATAGAGTTTATTAAGTTATTATTTTTAAATAACTTTTATACTAAATAGAAAAGCCAAGTGCTCATTTATTAAAATAAGTATTTTTTTTGTTTTTAAGGTGCTCAATAATGGAGTTTTACAAATCCTAGATTAGTTAGTTAGTCATAATATTTTATTAATTTAAAGCAAATTAAAAATTTCAAGTAGGGTAAATAGATATACTTTACTCCTATAAGCCTTTATAGTTTCTTAGGTAATTCGATAAAATACTAAAATTAACTAAATAGAGTTAAAATAATGTAATTCAAAAAACATTAACAATATTAATATTTAAAAACCTCTTAAATAACCAGGTTTTGCAATTTAATTTATTAGCTAATTAAAGATGAAAAAAACTCCTTCATTGATAGCATTATCTCCTCACAAAAAAGCTTCAAATAAAATATTCCTAATATCAATAAAGATAAACATAGTTTAATAAAAGCCATTAAACAGCGAAATAATTAAATTAAACAATGCTTTTCCCAATATCTTTCATTCTTTTTGCTCTATTTTCATTAATGAAATTTTGATTAGTATTTCAATATTAATTACCACTTTAATTCAATTTTTTCACTTTTGATACTTAATTGAAGATTCGCGCATAAAAATATCTTTTATTTTAATTATTATTTTTATTTGTGGTGGGTATATAGTATTCAGTTTCTAATTAAAATTAATAGATCTAATTTATCTATTGAAACTTAAATGATAATCAATCATTTGTTTCTATTTAATTAATTAATTAATATCTATCTTCAGATTTGCGGATTCTTTTTTATTTTTAATTTTATAATTTAAAAATAAATAGGTTATTATGTAATATGCCAAAAAAAATGAGCCAATGATCATAGAAGGCGTTCACCTTACTCCTAGATTTATGTTTAGTATGATGAAAAAGTATCCATACGTCATTCCATTTACTATCTGTATTGAGAAGGAATCTAAACATCGACAAAGATTTGCTGTACGCTCTAAATATATGACTCTCGATAAAAAGAAAAATAAGTATATCTAGTATATTTCAAATATCAGAATGATCCAAGCATGGTTCATGGAAAAATCTGATGAGCATCTTATTCCAAAAATAAATAACGTAAACATTGATAAGAGCGTAAACATCATTCATAGAGTAGTTACAACTTACATGAGAAGTATGATTAATGATGACATGTCTGTCATTCCAGATAAGAGTGTCAATGCCCTAAAACTATACAAATCTTTTAATAAAGTCATTAAACCTCTCATTAATAAATTCTCTGTCAGCTAAGAAGTTAATAAAAATATAATTATGTAAAAGTTCCTCGATGATATAAATCAAGAAGAAAATTAAAACATTAATAGTTAAAACGATTAAATTTAGGATAAAGTTTCAAATAGTTCTGTATAAAAAGCTAATTCAGTCAATGGAAACAGTAATGACAGTCCTACAAACGCATTAAATAGCAATTATTTAAATATAAACAATGAAAGCAGCAATCTCAATACAATCAGAAGTCACTAAAGCAGCGTTTGCTTATCCGATACAAATCAAATTTAAATTACAAAATCAAACTCTATCTCACAACAAAATAATAGTATCAATAACTAAACTAAACCCAACCAAATTAATTCATAAAATATAAGCAACTAAAGCAATATAAGTATTACTAATAATAATAATAATAATAATTTAAACATCATTAATAATAATAATAATAATAATAATAATATCACTATATAAAATATTAACAATACTACTAACAATAATAACAGCATAAATAGCAACAATAGCAATAACAGTAACAGTAGCAATGCCATAAATGGATAATAACAAACTAATAGTAATGGTATATCAACAGAAGGAAAAAATCTTTAGAATAATTGCTAACCTGTAATTTAAATTTCAACTATAGAAACAATTTTTCCAAGCAGAAAAATGTCTCCTTCTATTGATATTTTAAATAGCGAGTAACCTATTAATCATTAAACATAAAATAATGAATAAACTTAAGATTAGTTAATCTTATAGAAAAATCTATCACAAAATTAGTCAGGTTAAACTGTTTAAACTAATGGAGCTCATATCTCTAACAAAGATTCTAAAATGCTTTTAAGTCTTTTCTTAAATGATCTTGAAAATAATCACCCTAAAAGCTTTGTCCAATATACAATAAAGAAAATAGAAGATATTAGACAAACTGCTTTAAAAGAATATTAAAATGGTTCACCATTGATCAGTTATTAAGCACACCACGGACTCAACATAAATAAAATTCAATTAAATTCCGATCAATCTTAAGAGAAAAAATAAAACATAAATTAAGAAGCTACAAATGATCAATCTAATGTCTAATAAACTTTGCATAAAAACTAAAATGTTGTAGGAGATATTTCTAATGCAGTAAGCTCTTCTATAGATTAAATATAATAAAATTAAATAAGTAAATAAAATGATATTTAAGAAGATTAAATTAGTTAGAATTAAAACCATGATGTAATTCAAAAATAAGAAAAAGTAAATCTAAAAAATATTTAAAAGGAATTAGAGACTGCTATCAAAAGTTTTGAAATTCAAGTTAATGGATAATAAATTGAAAATTTTAAAGAGCAAGGGCTTTAAAAAGATATTTAAACTGAATAACCTTAAAGCTAAAGTAGCTCAAATCTAGATAATAAGATTGTAATAAATGATACTAAAAAATCTAAGAGAAAAATTAAAGCTTAAATTGACGAGAGATCTAATTTGGTCACAATACATTCTTCACATAATGAAGAACAAGTAAATAATGAGCAGTAATCTGAAGGAGATTCTCTAAGAATGGGAGAAGACAATTATTAATTTGACGCTCTAACAGAAGGAGATGAAGAAAGTAAAAGTTTATCAAACAGTGAGCATAGCAATTCAATTGATGATGAAGAGGAAGAAGACTACCATGATAATTTTGGTTAGTAATCAGACGAATCAAGTGATCAAGACGATGAGAAAAAAGATGATACATAAGTAAATGACAATGAAGATGACGAAGAATATGAAGATTATGATCAAGATGATGAGACTCAGAAAAAATATTAAAGTGAAAAAGTCAAAATAAATAATGCTTTTAAATTTGATGTGGTCCAAGAATTAGATCCTCAGTAGCTAGAATCTCTATCATATGAAGGTTACTAAAATTATATAAAAGCTATCAAGGAAATAGTAGAGGCAACAGTCAACGAAGAAAAGTTGAAAGTTGAATAGTAAGCAAACATTAAACTTTCTTTAATTATATAAACACAACTTTATAAAAAAGTTATTTAATTTTTTTTCAAATAAAGAAATTATTTCAAAATTTCAAATTCGTTTAATAATTTTCAAAATATTTAATTAAAATGTAGACTAAAATAATATTTTAAATTTAAAGGATATTAAAGTTAGAAATAGCAAAAGGACAGTAAACTTAAAGGAAAAAGATCCGTCACAGTAAAAGCTAATTGTTTAACCAAGAAGAAGATGTAAAATCTAAAGCAAGTGATTTATATAAAAAAAAGAGATAGCGTTCATACCGTCACGATTAGCTGATAAATTTTTAAAAGAAAGACAGTGAAACAGGTACTCCTATAAGTTATAGCTAGCACCATTCTCATTAAAATTTGATGACAAACAGTGGAACATTTACTAAAAAGAGAACAAATAAATCAAGAGGTTCGAGAAAAACCATTTTAAGCTAAATGAATGTTTCATCTACAACTAAAATGATAGAAAAGGAGGAAGTGATGTCTCCAAACCCTAGTTAAGAAAATAGGGCTAAGAGTTGTGATCCTGATAAAACAATTAATCCATAAAGCTAAGTGAAAGATAAAAAAGTAGTTTTAATTAAAGAAATACAATAAATTGTAGAAACAGAGAATACTAAATAAAGTGGATAACATGTTATTTAGCAGTCTTGATAATTGTCTTGCTGTTATTCAGAAAAATAAAAAAGAAATATATATTACTTAGAATGATTCTACTCGTTAGCTAGTTAACTGTTTGTTGGCTGGCTAGCTAACTAGCTTAGATAACCACTAATTAATTCAATTAAATAAAAAAAATAATAAATAGTTAATACATTTTTCAAATTTTATATTATATAGTTAATTTATTCAAAGTTTATTTTTTCTATTTATTTATTTCTTTCTTCTTTTTTTTTAAAAAGTTGAAAAATAAATAGAATTATTTTTAAATAAAATCAAATTTAAAAATATTTTTTCATTTACTATTTTTGAGACTATTTCAATTAAATTAATTTCTATTTTATTTTAAATATCCAAATATAAGCAAAAGAACAATAAAAAATAATAAATAGTTAACACATTTTTCAAATTTTATATTATGTAGTTAATGTATCCAAAGTTTATTTTTTTCTATTTATTTCTTCTTTTTTACTAAAAAGTTAAAAAATAAATAGAATCATTTTTAAATAAAATCGAATTTAAAAATATTTTTTTATTTACTATTATTTATTTTTCAGGTATTTAAATTAAATTAACTTCTATTTTACTTTAAACATTCAAATATGAGGAAATGAGTGGATTAAATATTTTTAATATTATATATTTGTATAGCTTAGATAAAGCATTTAATTTGTTAAGTGTAACATTTTAATTACTTTTTTCTTTATTTTTTAATTTTACATAATTTTTTCTTTTTATATTTAAAAAAATTCTTATTTTAAAATTTGTTTTTGATAACTTAATGTTGATATGGCATATTAATAATTGTACTTACTACTAATATATTGTTTGCCTAAATAAATCTGCATTTAAGAATACCATTAGCTTAATATAATAGCAACTATATGCTGTATTTTTGTATTTAATGAAGTGAAATTTTTAATATCTTAAAAGAAATATCAAAATTTTAATTTTACTAATTTAAAGAATATAAAAATTAAAAAATACTCGGTTAAATTTGTTTCTTGAGCCATTTTAAAAGCAACAAGTCCATCTAAATTCGAGAAAAATTGGATATTTATTATGTTTCAGGAGATGATTAGTAAATAAATTCATTCATTAAGATTTGCTTTTTAAAATAGAAGAAAAAGATACAATCTAATTTAAATTAATAACTCTTGTTTTTTGGCTTGAAATTAAGAAATTGATATGTTATTCAAGGGGAAAAAAAATCTACTTTGTTAAAAGCATGAACAAATTAGAGTGATGGTATTCTTATACGCAGAGCTTGATTAATAAAATTTGCTAAAATTAGGAACAATAGAATTTAAAATAAATATAGTTTGCATTTGAGTAAAAATATCTTACACTTTAATTTAAAAATGTAATAGACTGATAACGTTCTTACAACTCCTTTTAATAACTGTTAAGGAGTTATAAGAATAGTTCAAATTCTATAAGGAATATTTAAAAAGACTACACTATATCAGAATATTAAGAATAAGCCTTTAATTTAATTGAATTTATTTATCTATCTATTGTAATTTGTTGTGGAGAGTGATAGTTCGCAAAAGAAATAAAAAAATTTAGTTAAATATTAACTTAATAAAATAGAGGATTGAATATGTGAAATGGATGGATGGAATTCGGATGAATTAATTAAAAAATCAAAGAATAATTAAAAAAAATGATATAAAAATTTAGATAGCTTACCTTGAATAAAATGAATGAAGAGTTATAAATTAATAAAACAAGTAAATAAATAAATAGATAAATGGAAAAACGATTATATTAACCTTAAATAAAATAAGCTTAAAGGTACGAATAAAAGATAATAAATAATAATTAATTTATCTAAAATTTTAATATAAAAAATAATTACTCACATTATACATATATTTACACCTAAAAACAAAAGTTTAAAATATCAAAAAAAAGTGATCAAGTATGGCTGATATAAACAAAGTTGTAGTTAAAAAGCAGTGGTTTATCAAGTCTTAAACTGGTAAAGTCGATGATTTCTATCAAGCTGCCTCTAAGAAAGTAAATTAATTTAAAATTTACTTGTTGTTCTTCATTTTATGCTTTTTTAAAACTTTTCTTTCTATAGCAAAATAAATAATATAACTTTTTTGACTTATCATTTAAAAGACCTTAGGTTAAGGAACTTATGGCAGTGTCATTAAGGTTAAGCTAAAAAATAGCAACCAACAAAGAGCAATCAAAATTATCCCTAAGAGCAGAGTTAAAAATCCTCAACGTTTCTTGAATGAAATCAACATCATGAGAAATTTGGTAATTAAATGTTCAAACATAATTTTTACATTTTAAAATTCCAAGATTTAAACAAACCTATTAAAAATAAATAAATTTTAATAATTTAAACAGGATCACCCCAACATCATCAAGCTCTACGAAACTTTTGAAGATGCCCGTAATGTATATCTCGTTATGGAGTAAGATTTAATTCTTTTATTTAAATATTAATTGAATTGAAACATCTAAAATGTTTGTTTACAACAAACACTAAAAAATAAATTAAAATAAAATAGAATTTTAATACAAATTAAAGGATTATTTTAGAATAAAATAAAATTAATGCATTAATTTAAAAAAAAAAGATTGTGCGATGGTGGTGAGTTATTTGACCGTATTATAGCAAAAGGTCACTACACCGAATAAGAAGCAAGAATTACTTTTACTCAAATTGTCTAAGCAGTCAATCATTGCCATTCTAATGGTATCTGTCACAGAGATCTCAAACCTGAAAACTTCCTATTGCTTAACAAGAGCGACGATAGCCCAATTAAAGTCATTGATTTTGGTCTTTCTTACATTTTCTAAGAAAACGAACTTAAAATTGGAGGCGGACCTATTACTGGCGAAAAACTTTCTATGTCTACTAGAGCTGGTACACCATATTATATCTCTCCAGAAGTTCTTGAAGGAAAATATGATGAAGGATGTGATATTTGGAGTTTAGGTAACAAATATATTTTATTTTTATAAAAAAGTAGTTTGTTTTTTAAGAGGAGAAAATAACTCTAAATTATTATGCTAAATATTTAAATTAATTTTGCTTTTTAATTATAATGTTAATAATATTTTAAAATAAATAAATAAATTAGGTGTAATCTTATTTATCTTACTCTCTGGTGTTCCTCCTTTCTATGGACCTAATGATAGTGCAATTCTTGAAATGGTCAAATCAAGAAAATTCTCTTTCGATAGTATTTATCAACTTATTAAAAAAATTATATAACTTTTTTATTTGCTTAAAATAGTTCCTGAATTCAACAATGTATCTGAAAGTGCCAAAGATTTGATTAGAAAATGCTTGACTACTCCTGATAAAAGATTTACTGCCAGCTAGATTCTTCAACATCCTTGGATGTAAGAAACTGGTGGCAATAAATCAAATCTTAAACTTAACTTTAATGCTCTAAAAAATTTCACTTCACACGAAAAGATTAAAAAAGTTGCTTTGACCTACATTGCTTCATAGTTAAGCGAGTCTGAAATTATTGAACTTGGAAAGTTATTTAAGTAATTGGATAAAAATAACGATGGTGTTTTAACAATTGAGGAAATTACAGCAGGTATTTTTGAATTCATTAAAAATTAATATAATTTTATAGATTTGACACAATAAAAATATTCAGTAAATTAATTAAGTGAATTTTTTAATAAAAATAGGATTAAATAAGTTAGATAGCAAATAATCAAAAGAAATAGAAAGCATTATATCTAGTATGGACACAGATGGTAGTGGTACTATTAACTACACTGAATTCATTGCCGCATCTATGGATAAATCTATTTATATGAAAGAAGAAAAATTATTGCATGCCTTCAGGATGTTAGATCTTGATGGAAGTGGTAAAATTAGTAAAGACGAACTTAAAAGTGTTTTAGGTACAGATGAATAATACAAAGATCTTAATGATGAGTATTGGGAAAATATGATTAAAGAAGCAGATAAAAATGGTGACGGAGAAGTAATTTAATTTATTTATTTAAATATTTTTTTGCTTAATAATTAATTCATTTTATCTTAAAAAAATAAAGATTGACTACAGCGAATTCGTTGAAATGATGAATAAAACTAAATGAATAAATGAATGAGCCTAACTAAAATTTCAAAAAATAAAATTTTATTTATCACTATTATTAAATTATGTAGAAAATATTTGAAATTATTTATATAAGTAAAACTAAAATTAATTGTACTATTCTTTTATTTCCCTCACTCACTTTAACAAATTTACTAAATTTAAAATTCATTATTAATTTCTTTCTTATTTTAAATTTTAATTTTAAAATAATTGTTGATTAAATATTAAATAAAATCTATTAAATTTACGAATGTTGATCAATTCGAAGCATTTTATAAAAAAGATTTAAACAATGTATCATGTATTTAACCTGGTACTGATGAGTGCTAATCAAATATGAAAAAAGTTTTTTTGAATATTAAATATTATTTATCTATCTAGATTAAAAGATTTTTTAATATTTTTACAAAAATTGTAAATTTCTTATTTATTTTATTTGTAGATAGTTTTTCTAATATCATTTTTTATGCTTAAATTATTTTTTAATCAATGGAAATTTTTGTATTTATCTTTCATATTTAACAATAAATCCTTAAAGTTCCTTTAAAAATAATTATTTATATAGGTTTTGTCATAAGAGTTGAAGATAGGTATTTAATTCTACATTACAACCAATAAATCAATCATATTTTCTACTAAATGATTGAACAAGTAATAGAAAATTAATTAGGTGGTATTATTAATTTTTTGATTATCATATGTATATTTATATTGGTAATTATTGATTATTGGTTTGAATTATGTAAAAAAAAATTTTTAAACGTAGGTTAACCTTTATTTCTTTATCTATAATTAAATATTTAATAAAAGTATCTAATAACTAGAGATTTACAGAATATATTATATTAAAAGAACATATGCAAAATTTAAATATTTTAAGATATGATGATATGATGCTCTTATTCAAATTAAAAATATTTTGCGATCACTGCAGTTAATTTACTAAGAATTAAATTAAAATAATATAAATTAATATTATGATTAAAAAATGAAAAATAAATATTTTATTGACAAAACTAAATTTAAATTAAAATATAAAAAGATAGATTTTTATTTATCTTTTATTAATTAGCATTAAAATATTTCATTTTATAACTTTAATCAATTAAGGTTGATTGATTCTTTTATGATTTAAAAAGGAATTATTTATGTTAATTTCAGTGCAAATAAATGAATTAATGTATAAAATAAGTGAATACTATTGTAACTGAAAATTAATATAGTTTAAATTGTTTAATTGTAATGTCAGATAATTTAAATTAATTATTCAAGTAAGTTTGATAATATTTTAATTAAAAAAATATTTATCTTATCTTTCAATATGTTTTTTAAGGTAAAACTTATAGGGCAATTGGTTTTCGTCTATCAATGCCATTCATATCTTAATCTATTGATTCAACTATACTTTTTATGCTACGTGGTATGGATTATTTGTATGATATTGGTTTATGCTTTAAAAGCTCTTGATCATCTTTAAAATCAAGACCATAACTTACTTGTATTTATTTTAACAATGAATTTAGAGAGTTTATTTAGGTTTTAAATAGATTAAATCTACTTAAGATGTTATCTGTATTTAAGATTTCTTTAAAATATTAAAATAAAACTTCTTTTTCACTCGAAGTTGAGAAATTTAAAACAAGATTTTGTAAATATTTTTTTATCATATCTTCAAATATTATTAAATCATTTTATGGCTTGAGTTCTATGAAATCGCATATTTACAGCAATAATTTTTAGAAATCTATAATAATAGATTAAACTCTTGTTTTTTGAATTTGTTAAATATAACTTTGATAGTAATTGTCTTTAAGATCTTCCTTTTTAAAGTTTTCTAGCTCTTTTTTCATGTTTATATTTTAGCTTACATCTTATTTTTAATTTTATTTTTTTAATATATCTCCATCTTCAGAAGTTTATTGATTATTTTTAATCTCTTCCTGTATTTTTTTGATAATTTATTCCATTTAATTCATGATTAAGAGAGAGTTTTTATCTTAAATTTAATGCACTTTTTCTTCTTTTATCAGTTTTTCGTGTAGCTTTAAAGTATATTAGCAACATTTTTCTAATAATTTTGAGTCTTTTTCAACTCTAATAAAGGTCTCATATTAGCTATAAGAGTAGTAAGTAGTGTTATAGAGCAGAAGGTAGAGTTTTTTAATAGTTCCATTACTTACTTTAATTAATTCAAAGCTAAAAATGCTATATTTTTGCATTCTTTATACTAATTGTTTCTGAATTTATTTTACGCTTTAATTATTCTTAGTAATAACTTTACCCCTTCCTCCTTTATTTTAAACACTATCATAACCCATGACTTCGATTTAGCCTATTTCATACTCTTGCTATTCAAATGGGTTATCATATTCGTATGAACCTTACTAAAAAACAGTTGGAAAAGCAATTGTAGGAACCTGATCTTCTTCTGGAATAGTAGTCATTATTGATTATAAAGATTGATTGTAATATTAATTAATATAATATTTGTTTATTTATCTAAGCTGTTTATATTCTTCTATTTATTTATATAAAACAATCTAATAAAAACTGCACTTTATTTAATTAAAAAGTCTACAAATTTCTAAAAGATCAAATGGATATTGATTGATAGAAGATTTGATTAGATTTAAAAGAAGCCAGCTTTAGTTTTTGAGTCTTTTTCAATTTAAAGGTCTTTTAATTTTGAATAGAGTTATAGATGTTAAAAAATATTTACTAATGAACAAAATTTATTTTAAATAGTTTTATTAAATATAAATTATATTTTTAGACTACTGCAAACAAGTTATTTTACATTTCTTTATAAGTTTTAAATATCTTTATTCAATAAATTAATAAATAAATATTTAAAAATTAATAACTTTCAATAGTATTTATTTAATAAGTAAGTAAGTATATAAAAATTCTCATAATTAAATATTCTAAAAATAAATATATGAAATTTATGCCTTATTTATTCAATTAATTTATTGATTATCAAGATTCTTTCATCTTCATATTAAATATTTTTTGATTATTTTATTTTTTAAATAAAACATCTAATCTTAAAACCAATTTAAATAAAGCAAATGTGATTTTAGTTTTTGATAATAAAGGTACACGTAAAATTTAATGAAATTTTAAGATTGCTGTTACATCTGATGTGAAATTTGATGATATATTTTTATATATTAAAAAATATATAAACTCTCAAAACTAAAAATTCTAAAAATAATAAATGAAATTTATGCCTTTATTTTATCAATTATCAAGATTCTTTCATTTTAGAATATCATATATTGAAATAATTATTTGATTTTATAAAATTTATGATTTTTTTATTGAATTATATTATCGATTATCACGTTCGTTCGTTCATTCTTCTTGTGCAAAATTTGATGATAAAAAATAAAGCTAAACTATTTAGCAGATTTAAATTAATTCTTTTTCAATTCTAAATTTTATGTAGCAAGTAGCTTTATTTATTAGATTACAAATTCTTTGTTATTAATTTTAAGTCTTCAAACAAACAACATAGGCAATATTCTAAAAATTATACAAAGCATATAAATGCTCATTAACCAAACAAATGTTTAAGCAAAACTTTTAATGATTTAGGCAAAATTTTTTTGATTTAAAGTTTTCATTATTTGATATAATGCAAATTAATTAATTTTATACAAAATAATCAGTTCTAAATTTGTTTTCTTGTAATAGTGATTCATAAATAATAGTAATACAATAAATTTCATTTGTGATAGCTCTTCATTTATTTTTTATGAGTGTTATCTGATATCCGATTTCTTACTTCTACTTCATTAGCAATCTTATTAGCTTTATCAACAAACTTTTTGAAGAAGATATCCTCTTTTTTCTGGAATTTTTGGATTTCAACTTCTTTGTATTCTTTTTTTTTTGGTGGCTGCTAAACTCTAATTTTAAAGCCTAATTCGTTAATGTATTCATACTCTATTCCTCCATTAAGCAGAGACTTTCGTTTTGTATTTGTCTTTACCATAATTTTTTTTACAGGAGTTTAATCATTTAAATACTAATCTTATTTTTTGTTAAGAATACTTTAAATCTACTCGTTTAACACTGCTTTTTAGTGATCATCTTAAACTTATTCTTCGCTATTAGCGAGAGGAGAATCCTGCTAAAATTGGATTGATCGTATTTTATGAAAATTTAAATTGCCATCTTCTTAAAAAATTGAATTCTTTTATTAAGAAGGAGTCTTATTTTCTGGAGTTGTTATCTGCTTACTCATAGTCATAGTTAATGCCTTTGAGCGGAAGTCATAAATATTTTCTATCTTTTTTCTTTTTATATTTTGAGTATCAATTTATTTAAAAAAGTCTATTTTAAGATCGTCTTTGAGGCTTAGCATTTTGGTTTAATTTTTTAATTTTAAATCAGCATTTGCCGAATTATCATAATCTACAAGCACAGAAAGAGGCTTAGCTAGACTCTTAGGATCTTTTTCTAAATCAGAAAAGTACTTATTTCTTAAAATGTTATTTCCAGAAAATGTTTTGATTTTTGAGATAATTTTATTAGCAACAAAAGATGCTTTTTCTATCTTTAATTTATCTAAGAAGTTTTTAATTTGATTAGAACGGAGAGTTTCTTCAAACATTTTCTAAATTTCTTCTTATGGCCGTTAAGGATTGAGCTATTCTCTAATAATATATTTAATTATTTACTTTTCTTGATTAGTTTTTGTGTCAAGTTCAACTTCTACATCTTATTTTAAATCTAATTCTATTTATTCTTTTTTCTTTTTTGTTCTATTTAAGAATCTTGTTGTTTAACATCTTTACTTTTTAAGAAGTTTGTTTATTTATTTTATTTCTTTGTAAGCTAGTGTTTCTTAAGTGGCTCTTTTCTTTATTTATTCTATTTCCTCTTCTTATTTTTATTCTTGTTTTCTACATAAATCTTCAGTCAGACTTAAAGCCTTAGGTTTTTAAACACGTTACTGTTTCTACGTTTTCTGGGTATTTTATAAATCGTTTTTTTAAAATTATTTGTTTCCTATAAAATTGTCAATAGCATAATTAACTTAATTTCTTTTGATTTCAATTTATTTATTTTAATTTGCCATTTTTTAAAAAATTTCTCCATTATTGACTGGTTGGGTTGGAGGTATTACAAAATTATTCTAAGATTCTTGCTTTTAATCATATAATTACTTAAAATCTTCAATGAGCAACGATGATTTCCTACTCTCTAGGTATTATTTATAGCTTTTTTCATTATTTAAAGCTTAATTTCCTTGAAGAGAACTTTGCCTATTCATCCGTTCAGTAAAAACAATTTATTAAATATTCTAGCAATTTTCTTATGGTGAAATTTCTTCTAAATAATTCTGAAATATCAAGGACTTGGGTAGTATTTCATTTGCGGAATTAGTTCGTTTTGTAAATATATTTTATTTTTCATTGATGACAATTTATTGCTAAATCTACTTTAAATTTTTTTCATGCTATTTAAATTCTTTGTAGCATATTAATTCATTGAATGGATTATAATATAGCTTCTTTATTAGCTAAATTTCCTCTCGCTTACTATCGTTTCGTGAAGAAAGAGGTAAATGAGGAACTTTAAATCTAGCTTTTTTAGTTGAGATGTTTGCTTTCTAATCAATATAAGAGTTGGAGATAGAAGATTAAAGAGTATCTGCATTCATTTGAATAATTGATTTAATTAAATTGAAGTAGAAATCTTTTAATCTATATATCTATCTTTCTTCTATCGTTTAAATTAAATAACTATTTTAATTAATAAATAATTAAAACCACACATGATAATTATAATAATATAAATTAACCAAAGCAAAGAAAGAAAGTATTATTAACATAAATAAAATTTTTTAAACTTATCATAATTAATTAATTAAATTTAGAATTTTTCTATTTTAAATAATATTTTATTAAATAATTTTTTATATATTCTAAAAGGAAACTTATAATGCTGAAAATTATAAACTAAGAATAAATCTATTAAGTAATATTTATTTGTGATATTAATCTAAATATTACTTAGAATTTTATCAAATTAGATTAATAAAATGATTATTACCACTACTTAAAATAGTTTCTATTAACAAAAAAAGAAAAATCATTTTTAACATATCGCTACTCATATAATTAAAGTGGAGTTTTTTTACTCCTTCTAAATTATTATTAGTTTTATAAACACACCTGAATTATATATAAAATTGCTATTATTTAAAATTTATTAGTATAAAATTATCTTTGCTTATTAAGATTTTATTCAAATTTTTTTCTAATAAAAGAAAGTTGGGCGTTTATCAGAGGTATTAGAGTTTAGATGTCTAAAAATAATTAAAAGAATATTTAATAAAATTTCTTCTGCTTATTATTTTTAGTTATTTTAATAATTTGATTATAATTGAATGAGCAATTGATTTTAATAAGCGATATATTTATTTAATAGCTTTGTATTTTTTTTGTAAGATGTATTCCTAATGAATAACAAATGACAAATACTATTAATAGCCAGAAGAAAGTAAAGGAAAAGAGAAAAAAAATAAAAAAAGAAAGAAAGAAACAATATTTATAATTCTTTCACCTGAATATACGCACAATTTATTAAACCTAAAAACAAACAAATAATTACAAACAAAAAAGAAAAAGCAAAACTAATCTAAACTCATTTGTGTTTACAAACTGCAATCAAGCAAAAACAATCAAACAAACAAACAAACAATAAAATCAGCTGCATATATTAATTTATATACATACAAATAAGCTATTAAAAACTTAAAAACAAAATCAAAGAAAGAAACAACATAGTTTCAAATCTTCTTTGAATTAATTCTTTGAAAACTCACAAAATACTAAAAAGAATAAACTTTTGGCTCGACATTTCTACCATAAAGCGGCAAGATAATGAAATTGTTAAATAAGAAGAACTTGCAGCTTAATGTTTAAGGCTTAGGATATAATTTGATGTCTAGTTAAAGTGGAAATATATTATCTCAATCTCAAATGATTAAGATGCAATAGACATCTCACACCGCCAGTTAGTAGCCAAGTTTAACAGCATCTGCACCTTTACTACAAGGTTAGCAGCCATCTATCCTTTAACAAAAGCTATGCTTCAAAGATAAGATGACTAAGATCATTGAAGGCATATATGTTGGAAGTAAGCAAATTTTAATTTGAATATTAAAGATATAATTTAAATTTTGAGTTTCCTAAGAATATCCATTGAATTATATGATATATATATAAAATTGTATTTATAGCTTAATAAATTATTTAATCTTCCCCCCTCCTTCAAAAGGCTTACTAGAAAAGAATTAAATAAGTTAGCCATTCTCTTAAACAAACATACATACAAAAATGGCTTAACCAAACATTCATTTATACCATTATAAAATTTAGTGAAACTCCATATGAATTGGAGGAAATAAACTTGAATTTAGGAATTAACTATAATAGAAATGCAGCAGTAGCTTCACTTTTTGATTTAATTAATTTTTGATTTTAAGTAAGTGAAGCAAGTATTAAGTGAGTACTTTATTAATAATTACTTCTTTTTGATAATTATTTTTGAGTATTGATTGATTGATTGATTGATTGTTTTAGGGGAGGAGGAACTAATTGGTAGCAATAATATAAGATAGATAATCAATATCGAAAAATTACGATGAGGGATAGCTTAATAGAGCTATTTCTTTTTTAATTTTTCTATCATATTTAAAACCAAGTTTATTTACTTGCTCGCACTCAATTCAGTTTTATCCAAAAGTATTACATTAAAACCAATAAATTACCTATTTTCCACATTTGTACAAAACTATTTATTTTCTAGCAATTAAGCTTACTAAAACTCATAATCAAATTGGACTGCGCAAAATCGAATTTTTATTTTTTCACATTTTAAATTGCTATTTTTAGATTGTTGTTTAATATTCTATGTGCTATTTATTTATTTATTTCGAACAACAAACAAATAGCCAGCAAAATAAACTTCTAATTGCTCACTAAATAAAATTAATGAGCATATTCTTTTAACTTATTTATTATTTGAAGATTTGCTCCTTCTAAATGGCTCAAATCAAAGCCTAAGCACACAATTAAGCTAATATAATAAAAATAAAGAAGGAATCTTAACGGAGATTTCCTTCTAGAATGAAAAATGACGGAAAATTTCAAGTTTACTATTTTGGTTTATATCTAAACCACATATATCATATAATTTAATTTAGGAAACTCTTTCTTTATTTGTTTGTATTTTGTTATTTGAAATAATTTACACTTCTTTATAGCAATTAGCCTAAAAAACTAATTAATTATTTATTCTATTAATAGATTATTTGAGTGCAATGGATTAAAAAAATTTGATCAAAGAAAACATCACTCACATTATAAATTGTTCCCCAAGTGACTGTCCTAACCTCTTTGAAAAGGATTTTACTTACTTAAATATAAATATCCAAGATAACTGGAAGACTAATCTATTTTTAGTTATTTACATCATACTTGACTTCCTCAGAAATGCCTTACAACAAAATGGGCGTGTGCTCATCCACTGCAACCAAGTAAATTTTTATTGAATTTATTTTGAAAGAATTGTTTAAATGAATAACTTAATGCATGCATACAAACAACATAGATTGGTTTTTTTATTAAATTTAATTCAGTTGATAATTTGAGAATTTTAATAATAAGACTATAGATTAAAAATAATGAGCGGTTTTTCAATTTTTGATAACCACTTGATAAAATAAATACAAAAACTATTTTTAGATGTAAAACTCCAAAAATTATTAAAAATATACTTCTCTAGATGTTTATTTTTTATAAAATTAAAGCATAACATTATTTAAATTTTAAGCGAATTCATACGTACATATTTGTACAGATAAATTAAAACTAGCTGATCTCTAAGTCAACAAAAATCCATTTGACTAAAATATGAAATGAATACAAGAATAACTTTAATTTGAATTTGACTTACAATAAGATTTATCCTTAATAGTTTTTGTCAAATTTTTATCCCTCATGAATCTTAATTTTTTTACTTGCATTAAAATGCTTGTTTAACACATCATCCTATTTTTAGAGTTATTTTCATAATATTGCTAATACTTTGAAAAATTTTTAAAGAAAATTTGCATTTGAGTGTAAATAAATTTAAGTAGACATAAAAATTGGTTACTTCATCCAAAACTCCATCGCTTAGTAATAATAATAGAAATTTATCTGTTATTTTAGTCTCTAATCTTATTAAATAGACAAAGAATATAAATAATTAATCAAATATAAAAGAATATAAAAATTTCTCCAGTTTTTTTAGTTAAGACAATTAATTGCCTTAAAATATCCTCTTTTCAGTTTATTTTTTATGAAGGAGCGAAAATATTTTAAAAGAACAAATTTGTTTTTTGAATTGCTCTTTGAGCTAAATTTTAATAGAAGCTAAAAATATAAAAGCGATTTTTTATCTTTAGCACAAAGTATTAATGTAAAAATTCTGCCTATATAGAGTAATATTCAAATTTAAGTTAGCAAAGAAAATCTTATTCTATAAGGTATGCTAAATCAGATAATACATTTCCAACGATATATTTATTATAAAAATTATTTGATTAGTATTTTATCAAATACATTAATTTTTTGGAAAATTTCAAAAAAACTTATTATAATCAATCTATTTTTATCTATTATCCACTTTTTAATAAAACACCTCTTATTTCACTAAAAAAATTATAAATTAGTCAGTAAATTAATTAAATATTTTTCTCATCATAATTAATTAATTAATTAACTAACTAACTAATTATCAACTCTATCCAATACACCTTGTTTAGTTAAATATAATTTTAAAATGCATTCATTAACTCTTTTATTTTATTTTGTAATCTTTTTTTAATTGTTTCTAATTTTATAATTTTGTCTTAATTATAGGGAATCAGCCGTTCTCCTTCTATAGTTATAGCTTACCTTATTTACACTGAGAAGATCAATGCAAATATTGCTTTAGAAAAACTCAAGAAAAAATACCCATATGCTGATCCTAATTTGGATTTCTAAATCTAACTCAATGAGATGTACAAGGAAGTTGTTGAAGATGAAGCACTTTAGCGGTCTCGATAGTCTAGCAACAACTTTACGTGTAAGACTGATGTTTAAGCAAATTAAATTCACAATACTCAATCCTAATAGATTTATTCCACTTAAAGCGTTAATATGATTACTGAATAGAAAAAATCTAAGTAATTGGTTAATAGCTCTTCTCATATTACTATTAGCACTCCTGACTTGCCTCAATAGAAGCTAAATTATGACTCTTACATGCTAAAATAAGGAAAACCCTCTCAAAGCAGTGCTGTTAACTCTAATTTGCAATAAAATTAAATTAACAGTTAAAACGGCTTATACCAAAATCAAGGCGTTAAGATATAGATTAATACTATAAACTCTCTCTAAAGCAACACTTCTAGTATTGAAATGAAAAATGAGAAAAGAGAAAACTCTTTGTTAAATTAAAGCTAAAACCTTTTACCACTTTAATAAACTTGCATTCCTCCTAAAAATTCTCCTGAACAATTCTTCTTAAGACCTGACTTGAAAAATCAGCAAAACTTTACTTTGGAGTAGAAACAATAAATTCTTTTCAAGCGCGTACATTCATAGAATACATAAAATACTGATGAATCTGATACAGACTCTCCAAAAAATATCAAAAGAAATAACAACATCGAGAATAAGTATTACTTGACTCAGAAAATATAAAAAAGCAGCAAAGATATAACTAACGAGATAAACAACTCTATAAACAGTCTAGAAAAAAAAGATCAGTTGAATTTTTAGTAAGAGATAACAGTAGAGATTGAAGGCATAAGCAGTCCTCAAATCTCTGCAAAGTAAGCACTTCAAATGTCAATGCATTCTTAGTAAGAAAACAACTGCGATGAAAATACAGAAATACTAGTTAAATCCCCTAGCCCAATAAAAAAAAATAACGATAAAATCAATCAAGGAATCAGTATAGGGTATGAAGACAAGGACGAAGACTTAAAAAATAAGCTGTCTGATTCTGATATTGATCCGCTCGATTCGACTGACATTCAAGACTTTAATACTGATACAAGTGCATCTTTTTCGTTTGATGTATCATCCAGTTTTAATAATACCAAACATTTTAAGACTCATAATTTATCATCTAACAGTTCTACAAATTAGAGTAGTAGTACTTAAAATTCTTAAATATCTCACGCAAAATATAATGATAAGCATGAATCTTCTATCAGTCTAGCTTGCTCAGCTGTATCATCTTGATCGAACTGAGTAGCAATTACAATAAATTAACAATTTCTCTATTAACTTTTACAATAAAATAAAACCTAAAAACTCAATTTAAACCTCAAGAGCTTCTAGTATAACCCATAGTCTACTTCATGCAAAAATTGTCCCCAAACAATTTTACAAACAAGCTACCAAATACAATTTTGCAAAATCAACTAAGTTTTATATTCGAAGTCATCTTAATCTTTTTTGCTAAAACAACCAACAAACAATAAAAAAAAAATCTATTGTTTTGAATTGAAATGAGCGAACATAAAATTAATTAAATAAATATATAAAAGCTCCCTCATAATTCAATTCTAATTGAATAAATAGATTTTTATATAAGCTTTTTTAATCATAAATTTCCTAAAACAATCAATAAATCAATTAAACACTACAATAAATATTATTGAAATACTCAAGCTGGACCACATTAAAAACAATTTAATTTATTTTCCTATTCAATTAATTACTTTCTAAAAATCTAACAATATTTGGATTTTGAAATAATAACTTAAATTAATAATAAAAACATAAATCAATCAATCAATCAATGAATAAATAAAATAATAATAATATTACTAGTTAAAATTTATTTAATTTTGACATATCTTCTATAAAAATTAATAACCAACGGAGATAGATAGATTAAAAAGAGTTTCTTCAAGACAGCAATCAATATTTTATCAAAATCTATTTCTAGAACCATGAGCAGCGTTATGTAGAAAAAAGAAGATTCTTTACTATCAATTTAATAATTAGAGTGAAATTGACAAATCATAAACAAATAATACAAAATTTGGACCTACCGACAAACAAATAAATATTTCTATTACTTTGTAATTTAATTGAAGTAAAAATTTTGTACTAAATTCAAGCTTAAATAATCAGATTGCAAACAATACATACAATATCTTAAATATCATAATTCTTTAATTTGATTTTAAGAGAGTGTATTTTATTTAGCATCTGTTCAATCTTCTATCAAACATAATTATAGTCAAAATTAATAATAAATTTACAAAGTATCGCAATCACTTAAATCATCATAATTATCAAACAATCAATCAATCGTCTTATTCTTCTTCGAAACTTAATAAAATTTATTATTAAGCTATAGAGTTTCTTCAATAAATAAATGAGTATAATAAAAGCTTGTAATTCAAAATCCTTAAAATTATTAAAAAAATTTACTAAAAATAAAAACTAAAATATTTAAATGTTTTAAAATTTATTTACTATCTTAGACTTGTATATAATTTCATAACTTACTTTATAAAATTAATTTCAACTTCCAATTTATTTATTTATTTTTATTTATTGTTTGCGCGACTTTTGGTAAATTCTATTGGAGATTCTAATATGATTTTTTTTTTTATTTCATAGATTTTGTTTGTAAAGGTTCTGAGGTAGCTAATAATTAATAAAATGTTATGTTACGTATTTTATCGGGGGAAAGCAGGGTGTTTTAGCAGATTAACAGAACTAAAAATGAAGCTGCTGTAATTCTCTTCAAATATAATATTCAAATTTTTATTTAGAACAATCACTAAAAATGAAGAATAATTACTGATTAAGAAGTTAGGTTTCTTCCAATTTAAAAGGTGGTATATGTAAGTATTTATTCAGTCGTAGATAAATTAATTATTGTACTATAAAAAAGTTTCTTAGTACGATAAAAGAGATTACTGAAGATAGGAAAATTAAGAAGAAGGTCAATATCTTTTAAATGATATATTAATTTCTATTAAATTTCAATATTATGAAGTTATACCAAAATAAATTAGTTTGAGAAAATATATCTTTTAAATGAACCAATTATTTTACTTAATGTTTACTAGTAATTAAGTACACTCAAAATTATTTAAGCTATTACTAGTACAATCAACTAATAAAAATTAAAAACCTATAAATTTATATTTATTTAACATGATAATAATTTTCTCAAATTACTGTTAAATATTTCTTATTATATTTACTTAAATTTATTCCACGTAATGAAATGCAAAAAAAAAGGTTTTTCTATTTGAATTTGATAAGGTCAATTACAGAAAATAGAAAATTATAAAATACAGAGGATCTTGGTTACTTATAGACTTATACACAAATTATATTTTTAGCTCCTATTATTAAAGGTTTACTTTGAAATTAAAAAACTAGCAATTTCTTTTATTAAATTTATTTTCCTATTTTTAAATTCTTTTTAGAGGATTTATTTAGTATCCCTTAACAGATAAAGAAATAAATATGAGTGAGGTTAATTTTAGATTAATTGTATTGTTTGTGCTTTTCATATTAGATTAATCTTTCAGATAAATTTGTTTTCTGTAGCAATTTCTATTTCCATATCTTTATATTATAAAATGAAATATGATTTACTTATTAAACATCTATATTTAATATATAATTATCTATCTATCTATTAATCAATTAATTAATTTGATTTATCCAGCTAGAAGCTATAATTATCAAAATAAAATTATATAATATATTTACCATTCATTTCTTTAGTCAAAAATATTTAGCATGACATTCTTGTTTCCCTATTTGATTTATAAAATAACTTTAAACTAATTCAAGTTAATATTCTCTTATATACCCATCTCTATAATCATTAAGCCCATAAAGCACATCCAATTCTTTATCTTAAGGAGCGTTGAAACAGTTTAATTTAGATTTTATATGCACACTACATGAAGTGCAACTCAGCTCTTTGTTACAAATTCCAAATAAGTGAAGTTTTTAATCGACAGCAGGCATAGTTATTTCCATTAAATTATCTCCTATAAATAGAATTATTATTTAAAGGTAACATTTAAGTTTTAAAAAGCATAATTTTATGATACCTTCCTTGCCATATATTATTGATTTTACATTATCTTAAGTGACAAAAATTCTAATTCTAATAATAAAATAGTAAATGAAATTTGAATAACCTAACTATAAACAACAAATTAATACTAATCTTTTTATTTGCCTCCAAACAATTTCCCTACACCTGATAAAAAGCTTTTCATTATAAACTAAACTAAAAAATTAAAATTGTTATAAATATTGTAAAAATTTATTGCTAAAAATAAATTTATTAATTAACTTTTTCAAATCAGCCAAAATAATCTTGAATATTCGATAAAATTTTTATTTCTACTTTGTTTTTTTTGAATCTAAATTCAAATAAATGGCAAGCATGTTAAAGCAACTAAAACTAATTATGCCTGTTTATCTTTTTGAATATTAAATCCTTTAATATATAGACAAAATTTATAAAACTAATGACTCAATATAAAAAATACTTTATAAAAATATGTTTGTAAAATATAAGTAGATAAGTAAGTAAGTAAGCATATACAGTAAGTAGTTTTTTCTGCCACAAAATATTTAGTTATTTAACAATTTATTTTTTTATTTATTATGCTAGCTAGCTATTTTGTTTTATTATTATCATTATTATTAATTTTAATTATTTCTATACATTTAATAAACTTAAAATATTATTGTGATTATATGTTTGTTTTACTTTATTAAAATTTCTTGCATGCAAGTTTCACAATTTCTTTCTTAAAAGCAAGTACTGTGATCAAGTGTGTCACATTATCTTTTTGCATTTTAAATCGATATAGACAATATTTATAAAACTTTAAGACTCAATATAAAAAATACTTTATAAAAATATGTATGTATGTATGTATGTATGTAAAATGTAAGTAGATAAGTATATACAGTAAGTAGTTTATCCTGCAACAAAATATTTAGTTATTGAACAATTTATTTTTTTATTTATTATGCTAGCTAGCTATTTTGTAAAATTATTTATTATTATCATTATTATTAATTTTAATTATTTCTATTCATTTAATAAACTTAAAATATTATTGTGATTATATGTTTGTTTTACTTTATTAAAATTTCTTTATTCAATTTTCGTGCATGCAAGTTTCACAATTCTTTTCTTAAAAGCAAGTACGGTGATAAAGTGTATCACATTTCTCACAAAGAGAAGTATTCTTAATATCAAATAAATATATTTTTTAGGGTTATTTACAAAGTGAGCACTCAATTCCTTTCTTTTGGCATTTCTTTTTTTAGAATTAGTAAATTTAAAATTATTTCCTTAATAAAAAATATGGAGTTCAATCTATAAAATTTAATACAAATCTAAATCATATAAACATTTTTAAAGGTTTAAGGAAAGCCATTTTTCAAATTTGTTTAAGATAAATAAAAATAAATTTTTTTACCTCACATTCTTGTACATGAGTTTAGAATAATTTATAAGTTTCTTCCACTTGTTTGGGTAAAGAGCCGTTATTTATATCATAGAAATTCTTGAGACTGAAAATATTTGGCTTAATCAATAAATTAAGACTGTTTTCAAGATATTTTTCAAGGTATTCTGGATGACATAAAAAGTTATATAAAAGATATATCTGTCTTTTTAAGATCTAATTAATATTTTAAATTTAATTAAAAACAATTTATTTATTTATTGATTTTACCATAAAATCACCAAGAATTTAGTTACTCTGGACTACTTAATCACTGTATTCGAATTAAATTATAGGTTTTGCATAAAGATTATTTATTTCTTTTTCTGCTTTTTTACATACTTTGTATGAAGTCAAGTCAAAAGATTCTAAAGCCTTCCAAGGAATTGGTTTTTTATCTACTGCTATACAATTATAGCAGTACCAGAAGCCTGTGTAGTGACAAAAATATGCATTATTCTTTTAAATAAATTAACAAATATGTTAAAATAAAAGAAGATTTTTTTGTATAAAATAATATTTGAATTGGTTTTCTAAAATTAGAAGAATTCAAATTAAATTACAAAAATAATGTATTCAAATAAAATTTAAATTGTTTACTCCGATTAGGTAGAGACCTTTTGATATTTTAGCTTGGCACTCATGACATTTTCCGTCCTATCCTGAAATCTTCAATTAAGAATAATGATAACTTTTATATTTTTTAACTAATTAATTAATAAATAATGTACTGTGCTTTAAACTTGGAATTTATCAGAGAATCTCTCTGTTATGTTAGCGTATCTGGTTTTGAATAGATACTCAGAAGGAAGTTTTCTTTTTGTATACTTCCCTTCATCAGGAGTTGGAGTCACCAACTTTGGATAAAGATTAGCCATAGAGTCAGAATTTGCTAAGGTGGCTCTATTGGCACCATGAGGATTGAATAAAGCAGTTGATGATCTTCCGTTAGCTAACAAAAGTTTAACATCAATATTCATATTATTTCTTCCTGTTCTATCTTCTTCCTAATTATATGAAAAATGCATTGAATAAAAATATTTTTTTAATTCTCTTTTAGATCTTAAAGTGAAGTTATTTTTCATTCATTAAAATAATGAAACAAGTGCTTACTGATTCCTCAACTACTCTTGAAATTTAAGAAATTCCATTGATTTCAATTTTTATAGAAGAATTCTAATTTTCTTTAAGCCTAAGACTGTTATTCATGTTAACAGGGGTCTCTTAGTTTGATAATAGATGCTTTGCTTTATTAAAATAGAAAATAATTTTTTTACTGAATAACTTTTTCTATGATAAAATTAATTACGAGTGATATCAACTATACTAGGAACAACAGTATAATTAGATAAAAGGTTGTTTTAATGGTTTAGATTATGATTATTTGTATTGTTTGGAGTTAGTTATGTATTTTAATTTTATGCCTATTATTAGTTTTAATTACCAACTGGAAGAAATTTGGCATCTTTGATTCCTTATTCCTAAACATACTTTTCAAAGTACTAAGGTAATCTGCCACTAATTTTATAATTTTATTACTGCAACATCTTAGATAATTCAACTAATTTAACAAAATTTTATCTAAAGCAGCTTTCTACTTTGTATTAAGATAAAAAATCAGTTGCTGCAATATGATCAAAAACATTGTCTAAAGTTTTTTGCGAAATTTCAAGCAGAATCCAAAGTTTTAGCTTTTATTTATCTTGAGGAATTGTTGTGCATTTTTATTTGATAAATTCTAAGGCATATCTTCCTACAAGAAAATTATTTACATGAGTCCAAATATCACTTTCACTTTCTGAAGGATCAAGTTTGTCTTTCAGTATTTATGTTATGCAAAAAACTAGTTAGCTAATAATTTTATCCTCCTAAGAGAGAGTAATTTCACTCATTTATCTGTCAATATCTTATTCGCTATTAACATATCTCGCATCAACAACACATTTGTTTTGTAATTATATTATTGCGCTCTAAAGTTCCTATATTTTATTATCTAATTAAAATAGTTTGACTAAATCCTTTTGTTATGTTCAAAATTTACTATCATACCTGTCATTTTATTTGCTTTTTTAATATTTGGTTTTTAACAAATGCTAGCCAATAATAAATAGCCTGCCTTTTCAATTTAAAATAATTAAAGCTAAAAAAATAATATAATTCACAACTATAAATTATTATTTAATTTTTAAGATAAATTTTTTATTTGTTTTTCAGAGAGTTTTCTATTTCAATATCAACTAAATTTTTATCTCTCTTTTTGAAATAGAAATAAGCCTAATTATATAGTTAAATGAATTTATTTTAAATAGTTTGTGATTCTAGCTTTTAGAGAGGACAACCAACTACTTTTCATAAATCTTTTTTTATCAAAAATATTTTATTGTTTGAGTTTACTATTTTGTTTTTGTTGCAAAAGAAGTTTTTACTTTACTTTAAATTGATATCATCAATAAATCTTTATCTTTTATTTAATTAAATTAGTTGACGTAGTTTTATATTTCTAGAAGAGCTGCTTTCAAAAATACTAAATGAAAATACACTGTTTTAAACTAGAATTAATTAAATTTAGTAGCAAGTTATCAATATTTATTAAAATAATATTTTTTAAATTTGAGATAATTATTCATTATAAAATTTTTTAATTTTACTAAAATAGAAAACTAGAATATTTCTAATAAATTTGAATATTTGACTTTATTTCATAAAAAATTTATTATTCTTTTTTACAACTCTAAATATGTTAAATGAAAATAAAATCTTTTATAAAGTAATATAAAAAAATGAAATATTTTTGGATAATTTAATTAAAAAAATGAAATATTTTTGATTTAATTAAAAAAATAATTTTTATTCATAATTTTTTAAATTTTAATAAATATTTTTGAATAAATTTTAAATTAAAAAACAAACAGTTGAATAAAATGATTTATTTGTTTGCTGAATAATTAAATATTTTTATAAAATTATTGGGATGGATTAATTTAGATTGTAAAGAGAAAATGGATGATTTTAAAAATAAATTGCTTACCTTCTTTTATTTATTCACTCACTAGTAGCATTTATAGGCTGTGATTTTAAGATATTTGATCAATAAAAGGGTAAATTTAGTATGTAAATTAATATAGTCAAGATAAGATAAAAATAATTATAAAATAATTAACAAAAAAATTGCTGACATTCAATTTGTCATTAAATTTAAAAGCCATCAGATAAAACTCACTTAGAGATTAGATAAACCAATAAAATAAACAAATAGCATAAATAAATATAAGAAATGGATTAAAACGTTGTAAGTTCTTTAGTTTGGGTTAAGAGAGGTTTTGCTAAGGCAAACCCTATTGAATTCGAAATGAATGAATAAGATGTTAATGAAATGAAAAAAGATCCTTTGGTCAAAAAGAAGTACATACAAATATTTCTTTCACAAACATATTTTTTAAGGTTCTAATATATTATCATTAAATAGCGCTAATAGGGAATTAGGTAAGGAAATTGAGGATGAAAATGAGTTTGAAGATGTTGATGATGACGATGAAGAAGAAAGTAATTAACTAATAAATAAATTATTATGATAATTGCAAGCACCTTAAATTTTAAAAATGCTAATTTTAAATATTTTATAAATTTTGTAGACTTGCCAGTATTTGCTTAAGAAATTGAAATGCTTAAAAACGAAAACATGGTCGACCAAGATGGTAATCCTCTAGTAAAAAATTATTTATTTTGCATATTTACATTATTCTACTGAGTATAGTAATAAAATAAATGTTCTACACCAGTCAATCCAAATCAAATGAAGAGTTATATTTAATTTCATTCATAAAAATAAAGGGCTTTGATGAAATGTCTGAAGAAGAAAAAGAAGATTTTTAAATTAAGCCAAACGATGCACTTATTGTAGCTGCTAAAATTGTAATTAATATATTTCAAGCATTTTTCAAAGTTCTAGTTAGTTATATTAATCCTTATCAATAATCAAAATAGGAAAAGGAATTTTCAAGCTTAGAAGTTTATGTTTATGAAGAAGACAGAAACAACTTGTTTGTTCATCACGAAATTTAATTGTCTGCTTTCCCTCTTTGCCTTGAATGGTTGAGAGTTGATCCTTCCTCATTTGATGCTTCAGTTTAAAAACCTGGTATTAATATATAAATAGATTTTTTCAATAAATAAATAGATAGATAGATATCTCTACTTATTGTCATAGATTTAAATTAATTAATAATTTTGTTAACAAAAAAAGGAAATTTTGCAATCGTTGGATCTTTCTTACCTGAAATTGAAGTATGGAATCTCGATGTTTTAAATATTATTGAACCTACTTTTACTCTTGGTGGTGAAGTTTAATAAAATTCCAAGAAAGTTAAGAAGTTTAAAAAGCCTAAATAACAATTGAAGCCTGGCAGTCACGCAGATGCAGTTTTATCTCTTAACATTAATCCATTCAGACAGTAATCATTTATTATTTGATATATTTTCAATATTCTTATATTAATTTTATCAATAAAACAAAAAGAAATGTCTTAGCTTCAGGTTCTGCTGATAATACAGTTAAGATTTGGGATCTTGGCTAACAAAAGAACATTTTTACATACACTCATCACACAAACAAAGTAAAAAATCAATAATTTTTAACTATTTAGCTGGACCATATTTAATTCAAAAGTTCTTTATGATAAATAGACTTTATTAACTTTAGTTTATTTTACAAGTTTTAGCGCCTTACTTATATTTTATCAATTAAATTTATTTTAATAACTCATTTTGAAGCATTAAATGAAGTTTTTTTATTTAATTAAAGGTTCAAGTAGTTTCATGGAATAAACAAGAAGAATCTATTTTGTTATCAGGAGGCTATGACAGAAAAATCTGCATGTTCGATGTCAAAAATCCTTAAAATATAGTAATTAATTAATTAAAATTAAAGTTAGATTAAAATTAAATTAAAAAATTAGTTAAGTTGCAAAATTTAATCAGATATTGAAAGTGCCATTTGGGATCCTACTAATTCTAATTAAATTATTTTCTCAACTGAAGATGGATATGTTTCTTGCATTGATGCTAGAAAGTTCAATTTAGATTACTTATTCCACTTTTAGAGCCATGAAAAATCTACTACTAGTGTTAGTATGAGTCCTAAAGTTGGAGGTATGCTTGCCACCACTTCAATTGATCATTCAGTTAAAATTTGGGATATCACTCAAATCACTAATAAAAGACCTAAATTAGTTTCATAAAAAAATCCTTCAGCAGTAATTTTAATTTAAGTTTATTTGAAAAGGAATTAAATGCTCATTTGTTAAATCATAAAATTAGGGTAAATTATTCTGCGGAAGTTTCTATGAAGATTCTCCTTTCGTTTTTGGCTGTGGTAACTCCAAGGGTGAAATTTTCATTTGGGATACTACTGAAGATAAAAATATAGTTGAATGCTTCGGAAGCAGAGTTGAAGCTAAATACTAACCAAATATCAGTTTAGTAATAAATTAATACAAATGTTAATAAATAAATAATTTAATTTAATTTATAAAATAGTGTACTAAGGATGGTGAAAAGAATTACTTCACTAAAGAAGGAAGAGATGAAGATGATGATGAAGCAGACGAAATGGAATAAGAAAATGAAGATATGGTTTGAAATTTTTGAAAGCAAAATAAAGAATTTTAATATCTAATTGAATTGGAATTAGATCTAATTTAATAAGAACTATTATAATTAATCATATAAAAACAACAATTAAATAAAATAATAATAAAGTATCTTAAAAACACCAATTTTAATCGTTTAATAACAATAATTTTAAGTGATTATTTATAAATTCTTAAGATTTCCTAGTTAGTTAATCTATATGTATATATACTGTAAGACTCTTAAATTTATTTTATCTTATGCTCCTACTGTCTTTAAATTTTCCAATTTTATTTTTTAGAAATTTATGGTAAAAATTAATTTCAGTGAGAATTAATAAATGAGGTTTTCTGTAATTTTAGTATTTTTGACACAAATATTATTTAAAATAAAAATAATAACGTTAATGTTGCAAATTAATTTTTTTTTTAATTTAATTTTAATAATTATTTTTAATAGAATTTTTATTGCTAATTAAAGGTTAAGTAACTCTTAAGATTATTTAACAATCATAAAGAAAATAATGAAAATGTAAATTTTTTTATTTGTTTGCTACTGTAAAATTTAAGAAAGTTAAAATGATGAGTTATATAAAATTGATTGGTTCGAAATTTATAATAGAATACTGAATTATTTTATAAACAATACTGAAGAAATAGAAAAATTAAAATTAAATGATTAATTACTATAAAAATTAGTTTTAATTATTTTATAATTAGTATAAGAGAAAATGGCATGCGAAAGAGTTTTTAATTTTTAAGAGCTTTATTTTGTTTATATAGATAGATAGATGGATAAGTAGTTTAATACATTTGTCAAGTAATCAATCAATCAGTCAGTCAGTCAATCATCTTCTTTTTGCTAATAAAATAGCATATAAGCACACGAAGGAATATTATTACTGCCAAAATATTCTTAATAATCGGATTCTTATATTTTCTGTTATTTTTTGTTAGATGATAAAAATAAATATTTAAAAAATCTAAATACGTTAAAAATATTTTTATTTACATTAATTTGTTCATCATCATACAAATACCAGATATCTGTTTTCTTAATTAAAGCAGTATAGTGGCCAATAGATAGGCCTTATCCATGATGTATAATAACAGAATTAAGTTAGTAATTCATTTCAGTGTGCAAATCTTGTTTGTTTTGTTAATCTGGTGGAACATAATTCTAAAATTCAATTTAAAAATAAGTATTTAGCAATTAAAAAAAATATTACTGGAGTGAGCTTTATTCCAAGAGGGAACGCTACTCTCCAAAAGAGTTTTATCATTCTGTTTAATCTATCATCATATTTGAACCTCTTTAGATGACAAATGAGAGTTTGTGGTAATTTTTTGATTAAAATCCTTTTAAACAATTTTAGATAAATTAAATTAAAATTTCTTGCTTAAAATTTTGATAATAATTTTAAAATTCTAAAATTAAATAAGAAAATTATAAAAATGTAGATAGAGAAACAAATTACTTTTTTTCTGCATCGTGCTTGGAGTTGCAAGTATTACAAAAAAACTGATCATCACCACTCATTTTTTCTATATCAGACAATTTTTTAACACAATTAGTTAGGGAAGAATTCATGTTCATATCAAGCGAGAGGTCTAGAAAAGGCTCATCTCTCTCAGTGATCTTTTAGCAGTTCAAGCAAGTTGTTTGTGTTGTTAGAATTCCTCCAAAGATCTCCTCTATCCATGATGGTTGATTTTTAGGAGGAGGATTAGGATTAGTTTTAGATTCTAAATAAAAAAATTAGATATAAATAAATAAATATTATTTAATTAATCATAGCTTAAATAAATCTTTACTTATATATTTTTTATTTAGGACATCGTTCATTTAATTTAAAAACCATATTGAAAATTCGTGACAGTCTTAGTGGTTTTCTCCTTTAAAATCAGGATTACCTTTTCTGACATATTTCATTATTTTCTTTGAGCTACACACTCCTGTCTTTTTCTTGCTAAATTATATTTCCTAAAACAACTCCTAAAGCAATGATATTGGGTTATCTTTCTAAATTTATATTTATTTTTTTATTTCCTTCATTTAACATCATTCAAAAATATTATTTTACTGTTTCCTTGTTGCTTTTGTATTCTAACACCTTTTTTTTGAATGGCTCACAGTTGTAGAATGCTTAAAAAATACTATTAGAATAGCATATATTGTCTATCTTTTAATGTAAAATTTAAATTATCAATATTTCTACCTCTTTTCTACAAATAAATCAATATGCAAACAACTTAATAAAATGCTTTGTATAAATTGTTTAAAACTTAATGCTGCTTTCCCATCATAATAAAATAAAAAAGTTAATATGTTTTAAGCAATTTTTTTGAATTTAAAGTGCATTTAATATTTTATTACATTTTGCAAACCAAAGAACTTTTCTCCATCTGGAAAGTTGTTTCCTAATTATAAATGAAAACTTTTAATTTGAACTGCTTGGTTTTTGTATCTTTAAATATACCTAAGTCTTTTACTATATGCTCATTACCGCTTATTTAATTGTTTCCCATTTTTTATAGCTATAATATTGTAGAATCAATCAATATTATGTTCTATGTTTGAATTTGTTTATGGAAAGAAAAGAATTAATTAATTAATTATTATTAAGTCTGATACAAAATATAATTAATAACTTGTTTAATAAATATAAATATCAAAAATAATTGATTAATTAATTAATGAATTAATGAATGAGCCAGCATTTACACTTCTTTGATACAATCGAGTTGTTAATAAAGTCAACTCCAAATCATATTGTTGCACACAAATCAAATCAAAATAGCATTTGAGATGATTATTTTATTGTATTTTATTAGAGACGAATTGACTGACATTCCTTAAAATAGTATTATTTATAATCTTCCAAAATCCAGAAATTTAATTTATCTAGATTAATTCCAAATCAAATCAATTTTTTGGGAATCAAGCCATTTCTGTCTTAATTTTTTCTAGGTTAAATCTTATCAATAATATTAATCAAATCAATTATTTCTAAAATAAACAAATTACATTTAGTATTAATATTAATTACAATATATTTAGTTGACTTTTTTTAAGTCTTAAATATAAATAAATACAACTATGACAGACTAAATAACTTATTGAATAAAATTAATTTCGCTAACAACTAAATTAAATATTTATTTTGCTATTGCAGATAATTTAATGAATCTATTTTCATTTTAAAAAATTATTAAATATTTTTTATTTATTTTATAATTATTTTATGAATTAAACAAATGAGTAAGTCAATGAGTGATTAAACAAACACACTTTCTTGCATTTTTTAGTAGTTGAAAAATGAATTATTTATTTATTTATTTCTAAGCTTTTTCTTTTTTTGAAAGAATTAGGAAAGCATTTATTATTTATACATTATATATTTTTGAATGAATTAATTTATATTTGAATATCAATTATATTTATCATTTTTTTAGATATGTGTTGATTTGAACTATTTTATTAGTTCATCTAATTTATAAAAATCTGGATCTTCTACATTTCTTAGGCTTTCATAAAGCTCTTTATTATCTTAATATTTACCGGTTTCTAAGATTGTGCTAAGTTATCTTGTTTTTTCATTAAAATCTTCATTAACAGTGCTTAAATGAAATCTTTCTCTGATTTCTCTAAGCGCTTTCTACTTTTTAATCTCATCACTATCTTCGTCCTCATTTTATTTTTATTCATATTCATGGTCTCTTTTGTAGTCAAACAACTGATCTCTATTCTAATATGCATCTCTGTTTTACTGTTAATATTGATGCTCTTCTTAATTACCTTATTTTCTACTTATGTCGTTATCTCTCTCAAATTTGAGCTGTAAATCTGACATATTTAGATTTTAAAAGTTGTTATTTTACTCGTCATAATTGTGGTCTTTCTAAAATTGATTTGTTGTATTGAAATTTTAGTTATTTTCTTCGAAGTTGTTATTTTAAAATTAATTTTGATTGCTTCTTTTTGGATTGTTTTCTCCAATTCTGTTGTTGCTGTGATGACTATATCCCGTTTGGTCTAATATTCCTTTTGCAGCCATATTGAAAGTGGTTTCACTTTTTATTTTAGTTCTATGCTGGCTCTAAGAGCTATATTTTTATCTCATTAATTCTTCTTCTTTTTGTTGCATCATTGCAGTTTATTGGATTTGATGTGATTAATGACTAAGTATTTTATCTATATCTTTCGTAATGTCACTATTCATTGTTGGAATATCCCAAATTTTCGTGTTTGGATTAAGATCTTAGTCTGCTTAATTATTTATAATCGTATTTTATGAATAGTCTTAGTCATAATTTATAAGCTAAGACATAGTTAATTTATCTTTTTATTTAAGATGATCTATCAAATCCATTGGTATCATTTTGCTTTCAGCATCTAATGATTAAATATTATATTCTTCTTATCTATCATATACAGTAGGTTTATTTTAAATTATGTTTAGCTAGTTATTATCAGCCGAACTCACTTATCTTCTCTAGCTTTAATATCCTGTAGATTCTCTGCTTTTGGTGCTAAAATAAAATAAAATAAAACGTGCTTAATAAATTTAATCCAAAACTAAAGAAATATATATACTACTACTGCCTATATGCATTTTAGTTATATTAGTTTCCATAGTTATTAAAATTATTGTTGTTGCTATTATATGTATTAAAATCAGAATAATCTATAGTATAAGGGTTTATCTGCTATCTGCTAGCTGTTCCATATTTATTTCTATCATCGATTGCCTAAATATTTTCCAATTTAGCTCTATGGACATCATGTTAAAGATTTTTATATTGATCTTAAATTTATTATTTCATATTATCTATCTCAGGTAGAATATCTCTATTTCTGAGCTCCTAGCTGTTCAGTGCCATTCTTTCATATTGTAAAAAAAATTTATAACTTCATAAAAACAAGGATATTTTGTTATTCTTTCATACCTTTACAAATGGAAAGTGTTTGATAAGATGTCACTGTTAGGAGAGTAATTGTAAGGGATACTACTGTACATGTTTTTATTAGAATTCTATTGTAATTGCTATGGATAATTTTAATTTTGAGTGTTATAAATGTTAAAATTAGGTTGTTAGTAATTGCTGAAAACAGTTAAATAATCATTTATATTGTTAGTGTTATTTAATTATTGAGTTGCTTAAGGATTATTATAATTATTTATATTATGCTTTATAGAATTGTCGAAAGTGTTTTATTTTTGGATTGCTGGTTTTTAGTAGTCCTATGACTTTTATGGCGTTCCTTCATCCAAATGATAAGGAATTATTTTATTTTTCTTTTACTTTTTCAAATCTTCATTTTCTTATTGAATTTCAGCAGCCTTTTTCTTTTTTTTTTCCTCCTCTTCTTTAATTTGCCTTTCAATTTATTCTCTTTCTTTTTTAACTCTTTCTTCTATTCTCAGTTCTTCTTCTTTTTGTCTCTCCTTTTCTTATTACTTCTTTCTATCCTTAAGCATAATTTACTCTTACAGAGCATTGCTGATTTCCTGTTTCTACTTTTCTCTTCTCAAAAAATCAGCTTCATTTTAATTTTCGCTGTCAATAAGTCTTTTATTGTTTCTTCTAAAATTAGTTGCATCTATTTGGAATAAATTATAAACATCAATATTTATTTACTTAGCAATTTTAATTTTAAATAATATAAACTATTACTATCTGATTAAACTGGCTTTAAGCCTTCCTTTTCATTATAATTATTCTTTCCACCTGGTAGAATAGATTATTCGATGTTATAATTTATATTTTCTCTATAAAAATCTTTTTTATCTAAATTATTAGCCTAGTCTTTAGACTTGAAATGTAATTTTTCATTTATTTTGTTAGCTAAAGATTCGTGCATGCTTAATTACTAAGGAGCATATTATTAACGACCTAAAGAATAGCTTGGCTATGAAGTTGTAATACTGTTAGAACTATCCTAATTTTTACCTCCCAAATAATCATATTAAACAAGTGAAGTATCTGGTTTTCGACTAGAAATTATTTCTCCATTTTTACCAATAAGAGGAGCTCCTGATCCTCCTCTAATTTTATAAAAAGGAATAAAATTGAGAATGATAAGTGCCATTTTATAAATAATACTTTCCATATGGATTGTCATTTCTAGCAGCCATTCTTTCTTATAATTCTTAAATTTTTTACTATTTGAAATCAGTATTTACATTTGTGTTATTTTTCTTTTCATCCATCTAAAAAATAATATTATTTAAATAAAACTATTAAGACTTAATAGATATAAAATAAAAATGCAATACTTATTTCTTTAAATACTCTCCGTATATCTTGCCGTTTGGAGATTTATTGTTTATTTGATCAGAGTTAGAATCATTTCTATTCCTCTGATATGCTTGCTTTTCTTAAGGAATTTAGTACTACTAATTTGAAATATCATTCATTTTGTAATAATCGTCTTACTATCTGCTTGCAGCACCTCCAAACTTTTCCTATTTCTTTTTTTCTTCATTATATTTTATCTATTAGAATATTTTTAATCACTTTAAATTGCAACAGCAATATTAATTTGTTACCTATTATCTCAAATAATCTCCATAATTTTTTTTTATTTCTTTCATGGGATCATCACTTTATCTCTAAAACTTTTGCTGATTGCCATAATTGCTTTACAAGTCATTCAGTTAATTATACATCTGATACATTTTCAAGGAAATAAAACTAACTAGAAAAACAAAAAATAACTTTGTATTAATAATAATATCCTTCTACAAATTTTTTAATTCCTATCTGACTAAATGATTGATGATTATTTGATATTTTAATTAATTTGAAAAAAAATAAACCAAAGTAAAACAATCAGTTTGATTTTTGTTATCTAATAGAGATTATTTTAAAATGCAATCTAAGTTGCTTATATAACTAAGTCTATTAATTATTTATTTATTCATTTATTTTTCTATTATCAAAAATACCATTATCAAATAGTATCAAACAGAAATTATTAATTTTTTACAATTATTGATATTTTAACAAATAAGTAAATAAATAAATTGAATTCAACTGAGAAAAAGTTCAGTAATATATTTAATACTATCTTCAATTTGTATTAAATTCAAGTATTTATTTAGTGTCAAATTTTCATTTAAAAAAACAATTATCTGATTTTTTTGTGTTTATGATAGACATTTTAATTAACAATATCTTTCTCTATTTAAATTTATATTTTGGATGATATTAACAAAAAATGAAACGTAAATTTGTATAATAGATTGTATAATTAAAATATTTAGCCTTAATCATATAATTTCAATAATTTGGTGTATTTACAATCATGATATACTATTTTTTTGTGTTAAATTCAACAAATTATTTAAATTAATTTTAAATAGAAAATTTTTATATAAAGTATTATTTTTATTTATTAAAAGATTTTTGAATATAAATGAATGATATATGAAGAGTAAATTTATCAAAATTGATGAGAGGCACTCATCGATCTATTAACGTTGAGAGCACTGTAAGATTTATTTAGCTAATTATTAGCATTAATGCCTTTTTTATTTAAAATTCCACTTTATTCATTTAATATATTGCTTAACCACATTGTTTCAAGCAAAACCTTCTTTAACTCTTGCTGACGAGTTGCTTTTACCTTTTTTCCTGTTGCTGCTTCTATATTTAAATATCAAAAAAATATTTTTATTTAGAAAAAATAAATAATAATTTTTCCACCTGTTCCTCCTCCTCCTGGTGTTTCTAACTAATCTGGAGCTTAAAGTTCATTTTTCTAAACGTTTTTTGAAAAATCTCTGCCTTTAATTGCCTTTTTATTTTCAGATAAGACATCCCAAATCTTTAAATTTTTGGATTTGTTATAAGCAAGCTTTAAAGAAGTATGTTCTCTTCTAAATTCAATTAGTGTCATTTCTGTAACAAATCTTTCACCATCATACATATGGACCAACATATGTCCATCCTTAAAAGAATAAAGTGAGATTATATTTAAATTACTATAAATCAAATAACGTTTTACAGAATTTTTATAAGCTCTATAATTGATTCTACTTTTGAGTTCTTCTTGTATTTCATTAGCTTCACCCATTTTTATTAAAGCCTCATACTCATGCTCGTTTTTATTCTTGCTAATCGTAATATTTAAAAACTTGTCTTAATCTTTTTCCTTTTCTTTGTGCTTTTATAAGTAGACTTTAGATTTATTTTCATGGAACATGTACTAATTTCTAAAAAATATTTTTAATTTTAAAAATTGACTTTGCTTTATTTTACTATTAAAAATCTTAAGAATATCCACTCAAAGGTCTTTGTTATTAAGAACTAATTGTGTTTTTAGCACTTTACTGTCTTGCAAACTTCTGGCTCTAAACTCTAAATTTCTTCTTTGAACTTTAAGCCATTGTTAACACTTTTTCTCTTATAAATTCAAGCATAGCATCTAATAAAAATAAAATAAACTAGGATATAATTTTTAAATAATTACTTTCTTAGTTGTGCCAAGGTTAAATCTTATCACATAAAATTTTGATAGTTACATACCCATCTTAATCAGTTAATTCTTTCTATACAGTTTCAAGTTCCCACTCTTGAATTGACATTCCAATATCTAAGCAGTACTCTACAAATTCATCTAGTTCAACATAGATTCGAGAGGATTTCCAAAATGTTTCTAAAGAAATGTGGTGAAAGGCTATGAATTTACTCATTTTTTAAATTACTGGGTTTGGGAGTCTTTTAAAAATATTAATTTAATTAGCAAACTCAATTTAAAATAGTTATTTTTTGCTCATTTGGTAATAAAATTTAGAAGATTTTATATTTTTTTGTTTAAGTTTGGCTTTCAGAAAACTAAAATATTTACTGTTAAGAAGACTACTTTTTTAGAGCTTCATAAATCTGCTTATTTTTACTTTATTATTGATCTTAAATAACTTCTTTTTCCTTTTCTTTATTTTTTGCCATTTCACGATTACTATCCTATTAATCTTGATCTTTTATATTATTATTTGAGTTTCCACTTCCATTTTTCCAATTTAATGCATTATATCTGCTAGATTCAGGTCTACCAGATTTGGATACAGGTCTATTAACTGTTTGCTTCATATGAGCCTATTTTTTTAATGAAAAAAATTTTTGCAAACTTCCTGAATAATTTTAATTATTTTTCTAACTTACTGAAATAGTTTCATTAACTTTGGCTTCAAATTCTCCTGAAGAATCTTAATCCTCGTAATTCTATTGAAATTTGCAATAATATTTAGTTTTGAAAATCCTAATTATTTATTAAAAATAACCTTCACAAAGTCATCATCGTGATGGTCAGCCATAATTCTAATTTATATAATCCCTACTTTACAAACAAAATATTAATTACTTTTTTTAGACTACTTAATAAAGAAGTTTTAATTAAATCGAATAAAGGTCAGCAATTTAGTTTTTTTGGATAATTAATTATCAAAAAATAGCTATCAAAGCAAATATAATCAAAGAAATTAGCTATACCTACAAAATATCTAATTAAAATTATAACGTTGTAATATTTTTGTTAATTCAATATTTCCATTTGAATACATATCTAAAAGCATCCTTAGATCCTTAGACTTTAAAAAATTTTTGATTGAAATTTAAACCAAATTTTTTGAGTTTTTTTTTTAATTTACTAAAATTTTAAAAAAATGTTTTTTTAATCAATTGAAAATTTATTAATCAATAACATGATCATTTGTAATTAATTTAAAAAAAAACATGAGCATTTATAATTAATTTTTAAAAAAGACATGAGCATTTATAATTACTTTTAAAAAAGATATATTTTACTAATTTTAAGTTAATTTATTTATTAAAAAGATAAATCAAAGGATTTATATCTCAATCCAATAGAATTTAGGATGTAAAACCCATCTGATTCCTCTTTATGAATATTATTTATTAAAATCAATAATTTTTTTTTCAAGTTCAATATAAGTTGATTTTTCAAAGCTAGTCATATCTGGTTTTCTTATTTGTGTTTTAATGAAATTGTAAAATATAAAAAGCATCCCAACTCCATAGAATGCTACACCAATTTCAAAAGTGTAATTATTTGTAACTGTATCAAAAACTCTTAATGAAAATAGTAACACGGCAATAGCTAGCATAGGAATATTTAAAAGTAACATCTTTTTTTCAGTCGCAAAAGGATCGTTTTTCTCTCTTTACAGTTTTTTTGCAAATTGTATACTACATATTTTTGTTAATTCATACACTGAATCTCTGAATTCTTTTTCAGATAAATATTAACCTAAAGTTTATTCATCATAGCAGTCATATCTAAAACCTAATCCTTCATTATTTGGCAAAACAATAATTCTCTTATTTGTCGATCTAGGAAAATTTAGGTTTTTTATCAGCTCACTACGTGAGATATATTTTTTTTCTAAATCTTCATTAATTTGATCCAAAGAATCTTCTTTTTCTTCTTCCTCCTCTTATTATTATTCTGCTTTATTTAACCTAGAAGTATTTTTGCTTTTTTTATTATAGTCTTGTTCTTCTCTGTAGTTCTTTGAAGTGAGCTCAATATTCATGTTGTTTTCTTTTAGCTTTTCTATAAATTATATTGTTATTTTTTGCTTTTGTTTAAAAACTAGAAAATAAATAATTGTTTCTTGTTTTAATTAAAAATCTCAAAAAACTTACAAAAAAAACATCTCCCCACAATTACATTCAAAATATAATAAAATTAATCGTTGATTTCAAAAAAATTTAATGAAAACTAAAAAAAATCTTTGATAATCCCAGCTTAAAAAATTAAAAAACTGCATATCTAAGTCTTTAATTTCTTTGTATTGTTTTTTGTTATCATTTTTTATTTACTTTTAATATTTATTTTTATTTTCTTTTTCTTTTCATGCAATTTATTTATTTATGATTTTTTTTTATTTGAATTTAATTTAATTATTTTAATTTCAAAATTTTTAATTTTTATTTTTCTCTTTAATCAATTTTATTATTTTCTTTTTTTATTTTTCTATTAATTCTTTTTAAGTGCCGATATTTTCTCAATCACTCTAGCTCTGCATCTGTCTGTATTCATCTGTCTGTCGTCGATTTATAATTCCTAAGGGAATAAGAGATAGACGTGAAACAAGAACGTGAAGAAAATCGAGAGACTTTGAAGTTTTCTGAGCGAATTATCTAAATAGAAATATTTGCTATTGATTCTTAAAAACTTTTGGAATGAAATATTGCAAATAATTTCTAAATGGAGTGTTGCTGAATTTGTGTTTGGTGGATTAAAAACTTTCCATTTAGATTTCTATTTTTTATGGATAACTTTTTTATTTCTTCAAAATCGCTCTTATTTTGTTTGCTTTTTAAAAAATTTCAGAGTACTTTTTGCTTTTTCCTCCTTTTTAATTTAAAAATTTATCTATTTATTTTTTAAAAAATTAATTATTTATATCCAAAAGGAATTAAATTAATTGCACTATTAATAAATTACAAGACATCAAAATAAATACATAACAAATAATAATTTTAAATTAAAAGAATAGATACAAACAAACCTTTTAATTAATTAACCACATTTAAATTATTAATCTGACTGAATTTTTCTTTCATTTTCTATTTGAAACTCTTGATCTAAATGAGATATTTCCTAAACCACTTGATTTAGGTAAAACAAAAGGAACATCTAATGTTCTCTTAGAAGAAAAATCACCATTTACATCATAAGTGAGTTCTGATATTTCATTATAAGAATGTTAATTTTGCAGGTAGAAACGCTTAGAAAATGCCATCTCATTTGATTTTATAAATGTTGAAACTCTTGGTAAATCATTAATAATCGATTAGCTTGTGATGATTTCAATAGTGTTCTTCTTAAGATCTATATCTCTAACAAATGCAAATCCAATACAATTAGTAGTTGTGTTACTAAAAGAAAATGACTAATCAAACAAAGCAACAATAGAGCAATTAAAATGTTTTGCAATGTCATTGCTACCTTCGATTTAAGTTTAAGTTTCCAACAAATAGTATTTAATTGAGTTCAATGGAGCTTCAAAAGGTTTTTAAAGACATAATTAACCATATTGAGATGAATATAAATTCTAGAAAGGATAAGTATTATCAAGTTTAACTTAATTTGTTAAATATTAGAAAATAATGTCATCTTTTCTGTGTCTCTTAGCTTCATTTACCTTTACTTTATTAGCTTCAAAGCTGGGATTAGTAATATCCTCAACTCTTGATTTGAAGTTAGGCATATCTTTCGATTTTGTTGTTAGAGAAAGTCTTTCTAATCTAGTATTGCTATTGGTTAAGTGTTGAATCAACTATTCATTTGTGCTAAGTAAACCTATGAATTTTGGTTCAATAATATCTTAAATTTCATAAAGCAGCAATTCTCCAATATTTGTGATATATCCGTGAGTATTTACTATAAGAGGACAATTTCTAAAATACTCTTAATAGAATTTAAAGCATTTCTTTATACCTGCAATATATTACTGAATAAAATACTAAGGACTATATTCTCCTACATATATACTTAATACAGGCTTAATGAAATGGATATGAGTCAAGTTAGACAAATGGATATCTTTTTTGCTCATACTAAACAAATTTACAGTTCCTGGAAAGTGGAATAAACTTTAACCTAAATCTGTATCTAAAACACATATTCTATCAAAGTTATCCAAAAGTCTGTTTATGCTGTATAAAGTGAACATACTTTTACCACAATTTTTAGTACCACAGATCAACATACTTTTAACATCACTAAAATAAAAATAAAAATTATATTATAAAAATATATTTTTTTATTGTTTAACTATTTTTAATTAATTAATTAATAAATGAATAAATAAATATCAATAAATATGATTAGATTCTTGATTAATAAATTTATAAAACTTACTTTGATTAGTTTTTTGTATTGGTGAAAGATTTAACAGCATCTTCAACAAAGTTTTGTTACTTTTCTGTCCATTAGATATAGTTTTAAGTAGAAGAAAATTGCTTAGCAGTGGTCAAAACATTAATGATTTTGAAAGGAATAAGCTGATGATTGAGAACTTTAGTGTGATGAATGTATAAAATATTACTGAATCCTTTAGTAAACTTTTATTAGATTTCATCAAAATTTTCACAAATCTTATCAATAATTTTATCACAATCTTGCTTTCCATTAATCAAAATAACATTGTGGTTTATTATTTCTAATAATTTAGATGCATTCTTTGAGTCTGAAATAGTAGAATCACGAGAAACAGTGTCAAAAGAAAGCAAACTATTTTTTAATAAAGAACTTGCTTTGTGCATGAATACTTTTTATTTATCAGAAACATCTTTGCTTGATAAACTCAAGCCATTAACGTGTACTTAGCCGTATAAGCAGCAAACTTCAAACTCTCCTGTGAATATGACTTTCTAAAATAGTAAATTATTATTAAACAATGAAAGAAACATAGAATAATATTAATTGTTAGAATATCTTAAAGATATAATATTAATTGTGACTATAATTTCAAATAAAATAATTACTTATTTATTTTATACGAATACTAACTTATCCCCATGAGGTAGTTCCATAATATGTTATGAAAAATCCTATTCTTCAACTTTTTCTTTTTTTAAATTGCTACCATTTTCAATCTCTTAAATTAACTCTAAATCTGAATCTGAAGAAAGAAACTCGTTTTTAGAATCTTATTTTTTCTGCTTTTTTTCTTTTTTGGTAATCGCCTTTTCGACGCTTGCTGCTTATTTTTTTGTCTCTTCCTTCTTACTTTTGTAATGCTTTTTGGCTAATTCAAAGCTATCATCTACATCATGTTCTTCGAGAAATTCTTCTAAAGATTATTGAGCTTTCTTAGCTGGTTTTTTCTATGAATTTGCATTTTTTTTCCTCTTAGCTATTTCAAAACTATCATCTATACGTCCATTCTTCTGTAAATTAGCATAGAACTAAAGAGCTTTAAGTTTTCTGTATCTTCTGGTTCCAGAAGAAATTGCATAAACCTATTTTAAATATTTCATTTTTATTTGTATTAGGCTTTATTTAATTAATTGTATATTAAACAAGTTTAATAAGATATAGTAATTATAATATTGATTAATCTTTATTGTTAATATAAATTTGAATTAATATAAAATTAATAGATATTTTCTTTATTATTTATCATAAAATGACACTTTATTTGCTATAATTTCTAGCTATCTTATAGCTAAAATGAATGAAGACAGACTGTTTTTTTGTTAAACAAATTGTTTAACTCTTAAATAAAATAAAAACTAAACTACCAAAATTTATTTATTAAATATCATTAAAATTTTAGCTACAAGTAGAAGTTAACAATATTTTATTTATAAGAGCACTAATTATATTTAATTGCCCTATTATTTTTTATCATCATATAAATACTTTATAATAAATTTTTTAAAAAGGGGTTGTAATATAATAAATTTCTAATTTAAATTACCTTTTTAAATGTGTTTGCTAATTTAAAAATAATTATTTTTATATGACATATTTTGGCATTAAATTATATATAAAAAGTAAAAAATAAATGATTTAAAAACTTCTATTAATTATTATTATTATTTTTTTTATGTATAAATAATATTTTTTCTAAAATACTGCTAACCAAATTTGATGCTAATTAATAAGATTCAATACTATTTACAATTTCAAATAAAAATTTCATTTAAAAAAGGATGAAAAGTTATAGAGAATGTATATCTATCCATTTAAGATTTAATAAACAAGTTACTTACTTATTTATAAATGTAAAATAAAAATCTATAATTTAAGAATAAGTAAGTAATTTACAATCAAATTACCTAAATTTCATAGAATTAATTAATTAGTGAGTGAGTAAGTAAATAAGTAAGCACAAAAAAGAATTTTAAGATTTTTAAATTTTTGTTTTGATACATTAGATTTGATATTTCCATTTCTTACTAAATATAAAGAAATTCATATAATTTACTGAATATTTTTATAAAATTGTTAAATTTATATTTTTTATGTGTTTAATAATTCATCAAAACATTATTTATTAATCTTCGCTAAAAGCGTTCTTAGCAAGAGCCAACTTAACCCAAGCAGAAACTTATTTACCAGATTAAACGTAGTTAGATCCCTTCCAGGAGTTATTAGCATCACCGAAAGCCTTAGTGGTGGAAGAAAGGTTAGCAGTAATGTAATTCTTGATAGTATCTTAAACTGTAGCAGGATTCTTAACACCCAAAGCATCAGATAAAGCTTGTAATTCAGAAGCGTAGTTCTTTGAGCATTCACCGATTTAAGGATACTTAGCAGCTTAGTCTTCAGTGAACTTTTGTAAATCAGTGAAGGCAGCATTAATAGTAAGGATAGATGAACCCTTCTTCAAGAAGCCAGGAGCGAAATTGACGAAGTCAGCAGCAGCAGCATCAGGGTAGCAGACGGTAACGAAGGTAGGGTTGGGTAAACCTTATTGTTAGTAGAGACCGTTGTAGAAATCTTGTAAGATTTATTAGTTAGTAGCATTAACTTCTTCTTCAGTCATTTAGTTTTTAGCAAGAGCCAACTTAACCCAAGCAGAAACTTATTTACCAGATTAAACGTAGTTAGATCCCTTCCAGGAGTTGTTAGCATCACCGAAAGCCTTAGTGGTGGAAGAAAGGTTAGCAGTAATGTAATTCTTGATAGTATCTTAAACTGTAGCAGGATTCTTAACTCCCAAAGCATCAGATAAAGCTTGTAATTCAGAAGCGTAGTTCTTTGAGCATTCACCGATTTAAGGATACTTAGCAGCTTAGTCTTCAGTGAACTTTTGTAAATCAGTGAAGGCAGCATTAATAGTAAGAATAGATGAACCCTTCTTCAAGAAGCCAGGAGCGAAATTGACGAAGTCAGCAGCAGCAGCATCAGGGTAGCAGACGGTAAAGGTAGGGTTGGGTAAACCTTATTGTTAGTAGAGACCATTGTAGAAATCTTGTAAGATTTATTGATTGGTAGCATTGATGTCATTAGCATTACCAGAGATTTGGTTAATGACAGTATGAGCAAAGCTGGAAGCGTTGTTTCCTAATTAGTTGTATTAAGCACTGGACCATAACTTGTTGAGGGTGGTAGCTTCACCAGTAACGGTACTAGCGTGACCAGTAGCCCAGTTAATAGCAGCTTGTTAGGTAATTTTAGAGACATCAAAGACAGTGGCGAGTTCAGCAACTTCTTTATTATCCTTGAGGCATTCACCAACAGCAGGGTTCAAAGTTTTGACGAAATTTTCGACTAAAGTGGCGACTTAAGCGATAGTAAGAATGCTTGAGGCCTTCTTTAAGACTTAAGGTACTAAAGCTACGATATTGGCAGCAGTAGTAGTATCAATGCAGGGAACAATAGTGGTGGGGTCAGCTAACTTATTTTATTCATAGAATCCGTTAATGACTTGTTAGATAATATCTTGGTTAGCATCGTTAGATTCAGAAACTGAGTTACCAGAGATTTGGTTAATAACAGTATGAGCAAAGCTGGAAGCGTTGTTTCCTAATTAGTTGTATTAAGCACTAGACCATAACTTGTTGAGGGTGGTAGCTTCACCAGTAACGGTACTAGCGTGACCAGTAGCCCAGTTAATAGCAGCTTGTTAGGTAATTTTAGAGACATCAAAGACAGTGGCGAGTTCAGCAACTTCTTTGTTATCCTTGAGGCATTCACCAACAGCAGGGTTCAAAGTTTTGACGAAATTTTCGACTAAAGTGGCGACTTAAGCAATAGTAAGAATGCTTGAGGCCTTCTTTAAGACTTAAGGTACTAAAGCTACGATATTGGCAGCAGTAGTAGTATCAATGCAGGGAACAATAGTGGTGGGGTCAGCTAACTTATTTTATTCATAGAATCCGTTAATGACTTGTTAGATAATATCTTGGTTAGCATCGTTAGATTCAGAAACTGATTTACCAGAGATTTAGTCAATAACAGTATGAGCGAAACTGGAGGCGTTATTACCAAATTAGTTATATTAAGCACCGGACCATAACTTGTTGAGGGTGGAAGCTTCACCAGTAACGGTACTAGCGTGACCAGTAGCCCAGTTAATAGCAGCTTGTTAGGTAATTTTAGAGACATCAAAGACAGTGGCGAGTTCAGCAACTTCTTTGTTATCCTTGAGGCATTCACCAACAGCAGGGTTCAAAGTTTTGACGAAATTTTCGACTAAAGCGGGGACTTAAGCGATAGTAAGAATGCTTGAGGCCTTCTTTAAGACTTAAGGTACTAAAGCAACAATATTGGCAGCAGTAGTAGAATCAATGCAGGGAACGATAGTACTGGGGTCAGCTAACTTATTTTATTCGTAGAAACCATTGATAACTTATTAAAGAATATCTTAATTGGCGTCATTAAGATTTTGAGCGATGGAAGCTCCCAAAATGCATAAAAGCAAGATCGATAAGGTTGAGGATCTCATTTTAATCTTTTTTTAAATATTAATTTGATTTTTTTTAATATTATTATTAATAAATTGATTGATGTATTTTTGCTTTTAAATGTTCGAGCAATTTTGATTAATTCAATAAAATAAATCTTGATTCATATTTTAACTTTTACTTCAGTTGAATGGAATTCTAATAGTTTAATAATATCTTCACTCTCCATATATTAAAAAATCACGGCTCATTTGTTTAATTAATGTTCATAAAATATTTAGGAAAACCAAAATTTTTACAAGATAAAGAAAGATAGAAAGATATTCGCTTGCTAATTTGGTTATAAATAAGCATTAAAGTTTTTTTTCATAGATAATAATTAGAATTAAATAAATGTAAAACTTTATGAATGTATTCTCAATTGCATTCCTATTTTAAGATAATCAAGTCAAGTCCCCAAATTAAAAGACTAATCAATCATAAATTTATTTAAATTAAAAGAAAATTTTTTCAGTTTTACCCTTTAATAATATATTGATTGTGAAGAAGAGATATAGTGGAGGGGGATAATAAATAGTCAGTTAGTAATGTGGATTTAATTTTTTGAGCAAAATGTCATAGAAGTTAATACATTGAATAAATTTTTAAAGGTTTTTTAGAAGAATAAAAACTAGATAAAAAAACAACGCGTAAAGAGCAACTTAGATGAAATCTATTTGCTTCTAATCGAATCTAGCCACTCAAATTTTTAATTTATTTCTCTTAGTATCTATTAATTTAATAACTCGAAGGTAACAAGAAAAAGAAAAACTTCTAAATTCTTTTATAAATGAGGCTTTAATCGTTCTTCTTTTAATAATCTCATTTTCTTTATGAGAAGTTGTAAAGATTTTTTTAAAAAAAGAAAATCAGAGTTGATAACATCTTTTTATAATTCTAGATGAAATGTCTTTTTCATTTAATCTACTCCAAACTATTCATGTATTTTATTAAGCAGGTGTTTGAGCATTTATCTTGAAAATAATGAAAACTTAACATAAAATTAACATTTGTATGAAAAACAAAATTTTCCATCCAAATAAACGCAGTATAAAGATATAGTAATCCTTTCTGTATAAAATTATAGCTTAAGAATAAATATATGTAAACGAGAAAAAGCAATATCTTTTATTGCAGATATAGATTGCGTAATATAGTCTAAATCCACATCTAATTACTCCTTTAAATAAGAAGTGCTTCTTTTTTGAACATATTTTTGAAGATTTCAAAAACCCAAATTATTTTACTCTAACATACTTTAATGAAAATAATTCTCTTACATAATTAGTTTGAAATTTATTTAATAAATTAATAAATAATTTTACTTCACATATTTCATAATTTTTATATAGAAAAAATTGACATTTTAATTAGATGACGCAATAAATATCTCCAGACTTCTTAAATCTAAAAATGGAAATTGCGCTGTTTCTATAATGCACATCAAACAAGTGAACATGCTATACACAAAATATATTTTATTTATAGTATAATTTAACAATGTTAATGTTTTTGAGATAAACACTAAAGCAATTTTTTTTCAATCAATATTTATTTTGCTCTAAGAGTTTACACTTTTTTTGAAATTAATAATAAACACTGTTAGGGAGCATCTACAAAAATTTATTGCAGAAATAATCAATCTAAATAAAATACAAATTTTTTATCAAAAATTATGTAAATCTTTTCCCTTTCCCTGACAGTATTTTTTTTTGATTTGTAAGTCAAATTCATAATAATTTTCTTTTCTATTAGTATTTTGAGCTTTTCTCTCAATCGAAAGCTATATTTTGGCTAAATTCAAAATGATAGCAAAATATATATTTAACTTGAATATATTTACTTTCTCTTGATTTTATCTTACATTGTCTCATATTCTTTTAAGAATATTATTATTCAAACCTTATTTAAATTATTTGCTTGAAAAGTAAAGCACTCAAAATTTTTACTTAACTTTGGTAATCACATTTTGCTTACTTCGTCTCTATGTATGTCACTTTAATTTGTTAAGCCTGATTTATTTTGATATGCATTTTTAGAAATTCAAAAATTTTCTAGAACCTTTAACTAAGACTATAATACATAAAGTTAGATTTTAATACTGTAATTAAATAGGTGTGAGCTATAAATAAGCAATATCACTTTTTAATATATTCTTTGCTAATTTTTGTTTGTGAATAACTTATGGTAAAAGTAAATTTTTATTATTTTGTCTTAGTTTTTAAAAACCTTAAAGATATTTTCTGATCTTATTTTAAAAAATAGATCACAACAAAAATAAATTTTAGATTTAAAATTTTTTTTAATTTAACCCAAAAATACCGTTTGAAACTTTTTCAGCATTTATTAACAAATGAACTATTTTAACTCAGAAAAAATGTTGATTGCTACAAATCTAAAAATTTAAAATTACTTGAACCAATTTTCCCTTAGAAAAATAAATGTTTTTTAATTATATTAAAATTTTTAAAAGCAAATAAAAAACTAAACTGTCGTTAAGATTAATTTTCCTTAGTTATTTTAATATATTTTAAGAAGTGTCTTTTGATGATTATTTTTTTCTTGATATAAAAAAAATAATAATTAATATTCTCTAACTACATGTTAGAAAGTTTTTAAGAGCAAATAAAAATTTTATCTATCACAAGTATGTCTAATTTTTTAATATTAATAATATATTTTAACAATTACATAATCAATAATTTGATGAATATGTATTTTAAAGGATTCAAAAAGAGCTTTTTGCTTATTGTTTAGTAAAAGAGAAAAAACCTATATCTATTTCTGTAATTCCTATCAGGATAGCGATAATATTTTTAATTTGAAAAATAAACTCTTTTTTCACTAATCTGATTTTTATATTTTATCTTCAATAATTTTTAAAAACGATTTTAAAATTTGCAAAAGTTAGAATAAAATTCAAATATTTATTATAATATAAAACGTTTTTTTATAATTGAATTAAGCAAATAAAGAATAATTAATTCTACTGATTTTTAAAGTAGTATAAATAATTAGAATAATTGAATTAATTAATATTTTTTCCTCATTTAAAATAAGCTTATGAAAATTATTAATAGAGTGAGTGATTAGCTTCTTTTGTTAAATGCCATTACTTCGTCAATACAGAACTTAATAATTGATTTTTTAATTATTTGTTTATTAACTTACAAAATTTTATTAAAAATTTTAGTTTTATAATGATTTTGAAGAATACTTAGATAATTTTTAAAATAAGATTGAATAAATCTATTATCAATCGAGTAATAAAATTAAAGCGATTTATGTAATAATATAAATGTATGAAAAGAGTAGTTGAAATAATTAATTTTATTTTCATACTAATTCTGTAATAAATAACTTTTACTTTATTTTTAATTTACAAATGATTTTAAATGATTTTGAAAAATACTTTAAATTAGATTATTTTTGAAATTAGATTGAATAAATCCTATTATTATATCTAATCAACCAATTTATTCTGATTTCTATACAATTAATTTATTGATTATTTCATTCGATTATAAATACTATTCAAAAAAATAAATAAATAAGCTTTTAACTATTTTTAAAGTGTAAAATTTTTCAATCAATCAATCAATCAATCAAGCAAGATACAGGAAGTAGAAATAATACCTATTCGAAGATTGTTGAAGCAAGATAGAAAATTTAAAATAAAATATAGATAGTATATCAAGCAATGCTAAAAGAGAAGTTCAAAGAGGTTGGAAGACTAAATAATGAGATTTATTAAGAAGATTTGTCAAATATTAAGGATTCGATATTGGGAATATCTGGATCATATTTTACAAAAAAAATATTTGAAAATATTTATTAATACTAAGACCACAGCATCGGAATGAGCAAAAAAATGCTTGAATAGAAAGTGATAAAATTTAAGAATTTAATAGAGAAGTACAATATTTAAATTATTATTGTTTTCGAGAATTTGCTAAGTGTTAGATTGAATCAGCGTAACTCTATTTTGAAAAAAACACTTGTTTAGCACAATGTTTAGTTTATAAATACACCTTATTCTGAGCATGCGTAGCTCATTTATTATTTTAAAAACAATTTAATTAGCGGGATTGTTAGTGACTTAGATATCATAAAATATTTTTCAGAAACGAACAATTATGTGATTATAGATTTTATTTTAGATTCAGAGCAATTTGAATGGATCCATTTAAGTAAATTTTTAGCTAGCATGAACTTAACACATCACTACGCAAGATAGCTGCTTTTATAAGAATAATCCTAAAGAAAAGTATAGAAAGATGTTATTGAGCAGTTCGATAATATTCAAAAGTAAAAAAATTTTGATAGAGATTCTAGTGTGAATCACCCATCTTACAAAGACTAAATATTCAGGATAGAATATGTGCCTATTATTAATGTAAGCTGCAATCTTCAGTTTTACAAATAAACAATAGAAACACCTAGCATGGAGGATCGTATGAAAAAGCACTTTGGGATATTGCTCCCTCCAACACTTTATTAATTTTTTGCATTTGATTTAATTTCCAGCGATATCTTTAATATTTTTGGATATTAACGTTTCAAATACGTGCCAAATATTTACGATTCTAAGGAACTTAAAATTTTGATCACTTAAACATGCTAACACTATTCAAAAGTAATATCTTTGATTAAGCAATATTTGCCTGAGACTAATTCAAAAAGCGAAATTTTCAATATAATCAGTGAGAATGAGGAATACACTAAAGAGAAAGAATAACAATAGCATATTTAGTAGTATCCTCCTTCTTTAGCTTAGCATTAGTCTACTTAACCAATTTAAAATTATGAGTATGTCTATTCGGATATTATAAATGAACCTACTTTTTAGTAGGCAATTACTTCAGCTTCTTCATCACCTGGAACTACTCAATTAAAGAAAGGCTAATTAAACAACCTAAATAGTAACTAAAATCATTTAAGATAGCAATATTTCAATAGTTTTTAAGTGTATTAAAGTGACATGAACTAAGCAAATAGCGATTAAAAATAGTCTTTTTAGAATCAATAATATTAGTAAATGTAATCAAATAAATAATATTAAAACTAAATATAGCAATTAGCTAATAATTAAAATGTAAATACATCAAATAACAACATCAACAATAATTCATTTAATTCTCAAAAAAATCAAACAAATAGTTTAAACGAAGTAAATGTACAGAATGAGTATTAACTAATCAGAATTTTATAGAAATATGTTGATATAATTAGAAAAAATTCCAAGAATCCAAGCAGAAAAAATTCAGAAAATATTAAAGCTTAGCAATAAAATGGGCCTGATAAAAGAAATAATAAAACAAGGAATAAATTAAATAACTAAGTTGTAGATAATTAAGAAGATAGCTACTCAAACAGTTTAGACTGCTAAAAGCTCACGAGGCTATTGTAAAATCAACAAAATCATATGAACTCAGATGAAAAGAATTCTTCTTCTTACTAACTAAGCGATTAAGAAGAAACTGTAAGGCATACTGCATCAAAGTCACTTGGATAAAATCCGTTATTTTAAAATAAATAAATATCTGCTTTGCAAATATTCAGCTTGGCAGCTTTAAATTTTTTTAATTTACAAGAGTTAATTATTTTAAGCAAATAATAAATAACTTTGCAAGCTAAGTATTTATCAAAATGCTCAATAGATTTCTCTGAATAGCTTATTATATTTGCCAACATAATTCAAAATTAAAATCTTTGCAATATCTTTTTCAGTAATCTATTTTTTGATCCAGAAGAGCCATACTAAAAAGAGCAGATTCAGAAAGATTAGGGAAGTAAAGACTAAATTCCTAAAGATTAATAACAAAGTTTAGAAACTACTATTGTCAACGATTAAAATAATGAATAGAATTAATGCTCTAAAGAAGGTAGCTCTACCTAAAAATCTTAATGTGCAACAATGCCTCCATTACCTCCATCAGCAAATTCATAAAATTTATAAGCTTAATAAAGCTAAAGTATTCCGAAAATTGCATAGTCTAACCCAAAGGATTTATTTTAGAAGAAATTAATTGATGAAAAACTACCATTAGAAGAGAAAACTTATATTTTAGTAGTGAGCAGGATATTCTCTTTAAGTGAGTTGAGCTTTAAGGAATGGAAGAATGAAGATTATTATGATTTCGAGCTGACTCAGTATATTAAGATAATACAATCATTTTAGTCTATTCTAAGGAATTAATTTGATTGCTTAATGCTATGCTCATATTGCTACATTAATAATAATCATAATATGCAATCAGTCCTTGAAAGTAAAAAGTACTTACCATTCAGAAAAAACTATAACTGTGGTATGGGTATGCTTATAATCCTTCTTTTGTAGAATAAATTAAAAATAGAAGATGTCTTAAAAGATGAAGAAAACTTTCCTTACATTTAATAAGAGATGATGCAAGCCTTCCTCCTTTGGGATAACATATTCAACTTTATCAAATAATAACAAACAGACAAATATGTAGATCCTTCAATAGTAAATATGTATGGCATATTAAACCCTTCAAACGAGTATTTATACAAAAAAATTGATAGAAAAATTTTATTTGGTGAAGAAAACAATTAAAATACCTTCAACCAATTAAATAATAAACAAAAGTGAAAGAAATAATTTTTAGTTAATTTAAATTATTTTATTTAGTTATTAATATTAATGAATGATTTAATCAAATTAAATTAAATAATTAAAATGAAAATTAATTTAATCAAACTTTCTTAGAAGGATTAAATTAAATTTTTTCTTATCTAAAATTCATACGTAATTCTATAATATAAAATAGCTTACAAACAATTTTTAATTTATTAATTGAGTATTTTTAAGTTGTTTGAAACTACAAAAAAAATATTTTTATTTTTTACATTATTTCTCCAAAAATTTTATTTAAGTTTATTAATAAGATTTAATTTTGATTATTTCAAATCTTATTTTCTTTACAATTCTAAGATTAAAAGTTACTTATAATTTCCATTTTTAAATAATTTAATATTTTTTTGAAAATTTTAAATATTTACTAATTAAAAACAAAACATTGCTTTTAAATGATCAATAACTTTAATATTTTAAGCTTTTGTGTTATTTCAAAAGTAATTTGAATTTTTTTAGCTTTTTTTAAATTGAATGTAATATTATGTTTTAGCTTAAAATTAATTTAATTTTATTTACAATTTTATTTTTAAAAAATAGTTTTAACAATAAAATTTATTATTTAAGTCTTCTGTTCATAATAAAAAAAATAAAATATAAAACAAAAATCATATAAAAAAGTTAATTTAAAAATTAAAAAGTATTAAATAAACTCAAAATAATATTAATAAAAATTTCGAAAAAAAATTTAATAATCATCAAACATCAAAAGCACAAATTGTATTAAAAAATAATTATTAAAAACATAAAACTAGACAATATTCACATTATAATTTTATTAATTAAAGATTAAAACACACATATTTCTAGTAAATAAGCTCAAAAAAGTTAGTTGAAAGCAAACAAAAAAACAATTTCTCAAATAAAATTTATTTTTGTGAATTTTTTTACTTTATAAATACAGAATTTAAATATATTGTTAATGATAAATTATCTATTAATGTCGCTTAAACTTTAAACATTAGAGTTAAAAATAATAATGTAAAAGTCTAGAATAAATGTGATAATATTTTAAATTAATTAAGCAAAAATAAATTTTAGCTTATTTACAGTGAATAATAAAATAGCAAATGGTGATAATATTTAATTGATTATTGAGTGTATTGAATCTAAGCTACAATTTCTACGCTTATATATCAATTTGTCCTTATTTTTTCCATTTTTCAACTAAAATTGATGGAAAAATAAACTGACGTAAGAAGGAAATTTTAGTATTGAATTTAATATAAGAAATCTTGTAATTAATTTTCAAATTTAGTAAAAAGAGAAGTAAAATTATAGTTAATAAAAAACGCTGACTGAACAAACTAGCAGCAATGTCTACTTTGAATTTAGCGATAACAATGGCTTTATTTGTACCCTAGTTTTTTATTTTTATTAGCAGCATAATCTCAATTAGCCTTTTTATTCATTAATCATTCAATTTTTTATTTTAAAACTAGTTTATGATACAAAATTATAAATTTATTTCATCCCTTTTTATTATTTATTGTATATATAGATTATAGTCGTTACTGCAATATATCATTTTTAAAAGAAATTTTCAAGATGGTTAAAGTAAAAGTAAAGATAAGGAGATTCTAGAAAATAATCTAAAATTTCGTATACCAGAGCATTTTTTATGTCACAACAGTAGCATAACTTAGAACCTCCAAATTAATAGTTAAAAGATATAGTTAAGCAAATATTATTAAAAAAAGATGGAATCGAAGAATTTTAAATTGATGGCGATAAAATGGGCTAAGGGAGAACTTAAAGAGTTTCTTCATATAGCTTTTAAAAGCAATAGCAGCCATCTTCTCTTATTCAGAAGAATAGGAAAAAAAATAATTCAATTGATTAGGGTTAGAATGGTTAAAGTAGTTATGGAAATGGCAGTATCAAAACAACTAAAACTACTTCGATTCCTTTATCTCTGCTCATTTAGAATATAGAGCAACAAAATTAGATTAATTCTCTTAATCAAGAAAGCGCATATTTATTTGTAAATAGGATTTCCTTTAGATTTATTTTTTTAAAATAGTTTTCCATCCATTTTCATATAGAATCGACTTTATAGTTTTTAAATTAAAAGTATTTCAAAAAGATTCACTTTATTAAGAATAATTAATTAACGCATTCTTTTATTTATTTTATAAAAAACTATTTTTTTAAAAATTATATCACTTAGACAGAAAATATATCCTTAAGTTAAGAATAGCAAGAATAGATTTCTAATTGTTTAAGAACTTTAATAAATCATCTTAGGTCTGTTAAAAAATAAAAAATTGATAAAGAATAATTTTCAACATAGTTAGCAGAAGAATAAGGGATTGAGCTTTAGAAGCTTTAACAATTTTTATAAATATAAAAGTAATTTAAATTTTTTATACTTAATGTAAGTAAATTATAATTAAAATAGGTTTCAAAGCAATGACGTAGTGTAAACTTTAATATAATACAGTAATTTTAAGTAAATCAGCAATAACGTATCTTTATTATCAACTGAAAACTATAAATAGCTAACTTTAATGTGCATTTAGTAATATTTATATTTAGATTAAAAGAGTAATTACAATAATAATATTTACATTAATAAAAAGGAGTAATTTAAAAGATTGGGCTGATTTTTTACTCTAAGATATGCGCAATAACAACATTCAACCTGACAGATACTTACTAGATGAGTATATAAAAATAGCAACAAAATGATAATTAAATTCTAAAAAAAATGTTCAGATATTTATATTTTTTTCAAAAAACTAAAATTATTATTCGAACATAAAATTAGTTCTAACATTTTACATTATTAACTTTTAACTGATTCTTGAATACAAATTGAATATGCAAAAATTTAGTGATTGACTGAATAAAGCTTTATTTTCATTTGATAGAATACCGAATACTCGAATATTGAGCCTCATAAACCTAAAATAAACCAAATAAATTTAATTTAACACATTTTAAATATAAAGTAAAATGCCATTTCAATTTACTTTAAGCGAAATTTAATATTTTAATATAATTAAGATAATATAAAAACTACCGCCCAAGACTAATGGGAGCTCAAAATATTTTTTATGATAGCCTTGTGGTATTATTATGTATTGTAAATGATATTGTAATTTATAAATAATATTTTAAAATTAATATGAACTATTTAAAAAATAAAAAGTAAAGAATTATTTTTTCACATTCAAATTAAATAAAAAAGCTAATAATAGGAAAATAATTTTACATAATTTTTTAAATTTATGTAAGTAAGTATTAGTGAAGATATTTTTTAGCAATATCATGATATAATTTTTTTAATTTAGATAATAATTACTTCAAATAAATTTAATATAACCTAAAATACATTGTAATATAATCTGAAATTAGTCAAATAAATATAAATTTTTAATCAGAAAAGTTAATTAGAGACAAATTTTGTTAAAATTTTTGTTTAATAGTTTAAAATATTTTTCAGTATTTAATTTTCATTTTTTAAAATAAAATATTTGCAAGTACACATTCTTTATAGCACTTTCATACATTTATTACAAAAAAATTACAAAAAATATTTGGGAAAATATATCACAAGTTTCAGTTTGTTTTGAATAAGTAATAAAATACTAATTTCAAATTGGAAATTCAATTAAATTATAATATTTACAAACACATTAATTGAAGGTTTTATAAAGAAATTTTTTGTTGATATTTAATAATATTTTATTTATTTTAGGAATTTAAATTTAGGTTTATGAGAAAGTTATTATTTTTATTTTAATTAATTGTTTTTGCTATTTCTAATAGGAACGCTTCATTATTTATATTAACTACTAGACCTAACAGGGACAGTATTTTATTATTAAATTGGGAATCCTCTCCTTTGAAGACTATTAGACTTATTTGTTTATGAACTATTTTAACTATTAAATGCATTATAATTACTATTTTTGTATCTACTGTTAGACATAGAAGTATTACACTTAGGGATATATAAGATATTACTTCCGTCTTCATCTTATTAGGTTTTTAGATTTTGAGTTGTTCTTTTATAATAAAGTTTATCAAATTTTTTTATATTACTTTACTATTGAGACTCTAAATCTCTGTTTAATCCTTAATATTTAACAAGTATTCTCTTAAAGTCCTCTTCTTTAGCAAGCGAAATTCGACCATACTCATTATCAAGTCTTCTTTTTAAAGCATCTACTTCTTGCTCCTGCTTTTGCTTAAGCATTTGTATAAAATTTTAAATTTTATATTCCCTCTACTGGTTCCACTTTTTCATTTCCTCTTACTCTATATTATCATAAATAATTAAATACATAAGTGTTATTTTTTTACTTTAAAAAGTAAATAAATACCTAATATTTAACACATCTATTACAGTTAATGAGCTTTCTTATAGTCAGTCTTTTTAGCCAAAAAGTTTTATATTTTTTTCAAATTAAGAAGCTCAGACGAATCTTTAGGTTTTTATGAAATAAACTGATCAAGAATTTCTTAATACTGTTCCATGTCTTTGATGTGTCTCTCTTTGATTTCTAAAATTCCAAACTATTGTTTTTGTTGAAATTAATCTTCTTTTTCTTGCCAATATTCAACGGCTTTATTAAATTCGTTATAATGCTGAAGCTCTAAGTTTATTTATTAGTTAAGCATAAGCGATTTGAGCTCTTCTTTTTCTCTCTCTTCTATTAAACTTTTAGTAGCTAAAATTTTTGACTTGATTTGGTCTGCTAAGACAAAATTTTCGCATTACTATTCAGAATATCTCATGTACTCAGTTAAGATATTCAAATACTATTTAACTAAATCATCATTTATGTGGATAGAAAGTGCTAAATTTTTAAGCTTAGATCCATTAAGCATATTCTATAAATCATCTTTTATTTCCTAATGCCTTGGAGAGAGCTCTTCTTTGGAGCTTGTGGCCTCTTATATTTGTTACATATTTATTACCTAAATTTAAGGTTAAAAGATTACAAAGCAAAAATTGTTTGTTATTTATCAAACCTTATTAGATTCCTTTCTATCACAACTCCTAATTTGCTTTTTTAATCTTGAAAATAATTTATCAGAAATAATATCATAAAGAAAATACTTAAAAATGACACTATCAAACTTTTTTAGCTTTAAATATTTTCTTTTTTAAAATCTTTAAACATTTTTAATCATAAAAATATTTTATTTGATAAATTTAACTAAAAAAATTATAATAAAAGAGAAAGATCTTAAAAAATATTTGATTTAAAAAGTATTATGAAGCGACATTTTGAAAATAAAAGTAAAGTCTATTAATAGATTTGTTTAAGTATTCAATTAAATTAAGTCTATTGCATTTGAATATTGTTTAAACAAATAATATTTTATGTTTCTGCATTAATTATAATTGAAAACCAAAAGTTTCATTCAAGTATCTTTTCTTTGGAGAATTAATTTTAGTGGTTGGCTTAAATTTTAATTTTTGGGCTTTATATTAAAGGTTTATTTAATGAATTCAATTAAGAAAACATAATTATTTCATCTTTTTAAGCAGCTAAGATAACTTGAATGTTATTTAATTAATTTTTAATTACTTGTTTGCTAAAAATGAAAATTTCTCTACAATAGAAATTGTGATCAAAAAATTACAGTAAATTTAGGTTAAAAATTTATGTAAATTTTAATAAAATGAGATATTTAAATTCTAGTTTTTTACAAGATATTTTCTTTCTATTTTAATGAAATTTTTTCTACAAATATTACTGGAACTAATAAGGTTAGCCTGTTTTAGAAATAGTCATGAGACTATTGAAGAGTATCAAAGAAATAAGGTTATTGCATTGACTACTGACTTAGTGACATACTTACCTTACTTACTGACTGCAATTTTTAAACTAACACCTTATATGTTGATTAAATTTAAGACTATTTTTTTAAAAAATGAAACTCAAATTAACTTTATTTGATACTTATTTTCTATTTATATAACTTTTCTTACTGATATTTTGCTAAAACTATATCTCAGTAGTATTTGATTAATTAAGAACAACCAATTAGCAATTATATTTAGCAATTGCTTTGTTTTTTGGGATCAGATTTTTATTTATTGTTAAATAACGTGTTAATATAAGAAGAATCATTAACAGAAAAAACTGATAGTTATTCATATATTTACTTGATTTTTACAAATTTCTTAAGTTTTAAAATCCAAATTTTTTTTTTTCTACTTCTGAATAATTAATTTTTTTGATAATAATGCTTTAAAATAAATTAACTATTTGAAAATTTTTCAAACATTGCCTTAACTTTTCTTCTAGAGTTATATTATTTTTTTGTGTTTTATTTTCTTTAGTATTTTAAAAAGTAATATTTTCCGCTGGACATAAAGAGAATATTATTTCATTTTGGTTCTTATTAATTTTTTTCTTGCATTTTGTAGCTAAATTTAAATTATTTATAGAAAGGTTTATTTAATAAAAAGTGAATTTTTAATAAATAGCTAATGGATCAGAGATTTCATCTCCTCAAAAAATTTAAAAAGAAACAATCAAATAAATTATTATCAATAATTAGAAAATGAATAAGTATGTATACGAATGAAGAGAATGTTTGTAATAATATATTACAGAATCTTCAAATTTTAAAATAAAAAGAATGATATTTATTTATATAAGCAAGCATGAAATATGAAAAATAAAAATCAGTGTAGGAAAAGCAAGCAAGCAAGAAACAAAGTAAGAAAGAAAGGAAGCAAAAAGCAAATAAACATGTAAATAACAAGCAAACTTAAATTTTTCATTTATAAAATTAAAATAAATAATCAATCATTGAACGAGCGAAACAAGAAATAGGTATTGAATTGAATGTAGTTTTGAAAGATCAGCAAAATAAATAAATAAATTAATATAAACAAATAAACTCAGAATAAGAAGAAAGAATAAGAAACCTTTTATCATAAATAATATCATCAAACAAACAAAAAATAAAAGAAGTAATAAAAATAAAAAATAATTCAAGTTAAAAATTTTAGTATCATAGGAAAGATAATAATTATATGGGTTGCTGTTAATCTGAACAATAAAAGGTAGAAGGCCTAAGCGCCAACAGAACTGAAGCAATGGGCAATAATTTCACTTCTGAAGAGGCTGGAGAAACCAACTAAACAACAGTAGGAAATACAAAGAAGCCCTAGGTCCATGCTATGGTAAATGAAGAAGAGAATTAACAAAGATCTATGGAATCATAATCAAATCTTAAAGTTGAATAAGAAGCTGCTAAGATAGTTTCAAGAACTGAAATTAACTAATAAGCTAATTCAGATAAAACCATTCATATGCCTTCAACTAAATTCGCCACTACAATAGATACTGAACCTGATTATACCAATAATGCCACCAAAAACACTTTACAAAAATGCGGTGACTTTATTTATGATTGTCCTTAATACGATGATGCTGAAGCTGTTGAATTAGGTTTATACCAATTAGAAAACGGATCAGTCTATAAAGGTCAATGGAAAAATGGTATGAGACATGGTAGAGGTAAATAACTCTGGAAGGATGGATCTATTTATGAAGGATACTGGAAAAACAACATGGCTCATGGCAAGGGTAGACTTATTCACTCCGACGCTGATGGTAAATATAACTAACTAACTAGCTAATCAACTAATAAATTATCAAAAAAAAAAAATACTATTTTTTCTTTTAAATGAAAACAATTACTTCCTTTTTAAAATATATCTATAACTATGATCGAATTAAATTTTATAAAACTAACTTTTGCCAAGAGTAATTTTAAATCCTCCATTGATTCATAAAGGCTCTTTCAAGCACCCAAAATTACTTATTATTAAAGTTTTTTCAGATGAATTAAAACGCTGTTTGGCTATCATTTTTTAGCTCAATTTTGTAATTCGGGAATATTTAGTTAAAAATTGCGTTTTTTATTTTTAAAAATTTTCTTTATATATCTATTTATCTTACTATAATTTTTCTTAATTAAAGTTTATGAGGGTGAATGGAAAAATGATAAGGCTGATGGATACGGTACATATACTCATGCTGACGGTGCTAAGTATATTGGTAACTGGGTTGATGATAAGTAAGAAGGTCACGGTATAGAAATCTGGCCTGATGGTGCCAAGTATGAAGGACAATACGTTCAAGGTAAATAAAACCACTTTAATAAAATTAAATCTTGTTTGCGCTATCACTTCCAAAAATAAATAAGGGAATATTTATCATTTTTTTGTAAATTTACCCCATATATTAGCATAAAGCACCAAAGTGAAAGTTGAAAAATTTCAATAAAATTAGCGCTAATTATACAACTTATATTTGATATTAAATTTATGATAGAAGCTTTTTCAAACAGTATTTGTACTTTCTAAGTAAGATATTCAAAAATAAATAAACTCACTAGTTTAATTTTGCTAGAATTTGATTTAGAAAAAATAAATCAATAACTTTGAGTTGCAAAATTTGTTTTAATCAATAAGAAATTTTTAAATTTTAGAACGATTTTGTCTTCTATCTATCTATTTATTATTTGCAATAGAAAATAAAATTAACTAATCTCATCAACTATTCAATAAATTTAAAAAGGTAAGAAATAAGGAAAGGGTAAATTCTTCTGGACTGACGGCTCATAATACGAAGGACAATTCTAAAACAACAACATTCATGGTTTCGGTACTTACACATGGGCTGATGGAAGAAACTACAAGGGTGAATGGAAGAATAATAAAATGGACGGTCAAGGAGAATTTAGATGGCCTGGTAAATAATTAAATAAATAAATATTAATATAGATATCATTGAATATTTCTCTTTTTTTCATTTGCTGTTTGAATATATAAATCTTATCATTATTAAATTAACTTATAAAGATGAAAGAAAATATATTGGAAGCTATGTAGAAGATAAAAAGCACGGATACGGTGAATTCGAATGGCCTGATGGCAGAAAATATAAAGGATAATGGTTTAATGGCAAATAAGTAATTGAATGAATATTTTTAAAGTTAAACAAATGATTAATTAATATAATTTAAAAATTAATTAGCATGGTCAAGGTGTCTATATTAATGCTCAAGGTAAAGAAAAGAACGGAGAATGGGCTGATGGTAAAAGAATTAAATGGACAAACGAAGACGGTGAAAATTGAGATGGTTGAAATTTTATTTTTCATAACTCACCCACTCATTCATTCATTCCAGATAAAATAAAAATATATATGAGTAAAATAACATCTCTGTCAAAAACAATCAAGCAAATAAGCATAAATAAATAAACTAATAATCCTGTTTAGTAGCATTTTCTTATAGCAAGCAGCATTATCTATTATAATCAAAAATAAAAATATATTAAAATAAGAAATTCTAGTATATATCTAATTTGCACTTTGTGTTGTCATTTCCGTTTATAAATTAATTAGCTAACTAACTAACTAAATAACTACCTTTATAACATAATTACAGCCAAACTATAAATTTTCTTTATCTTGATTTCATATATAGTTTGTCAAAAGTATTTGCAGACTAATTATAAATAGTTTTGTAAATAAATGTTTACTTTATGTGCTAAACTTAAACAATATATTTAAGTTTCTTATTCGAAAGTGATAAATCTACCATTCAATTAATTAAATAACTTATTTTTTATTTATTATATTGTAAACTTGTTAAAGATATGTAGTTAGTTATAGCTGAATTTTAGAAAAAATAGTGCTTAAAGATAATCCAATAGATAGATAGCTAATAAAATAAATCTGATGAATAAAAATTAAAAACAAAATTAATTAATTTTAAATACTGCTAATGTTAAGGCTAGTAAGTAAATTTAGATTTGCAAAATTTATAAATTCTTTAGAAACATTTACTTACTGATAAGTTTACTAATAATAAGTAAATACATCTTTTTTCCCTTTTTTAAATCAAAATAATTGATTTTATCTATGATTTTTTGTTTTAAACCAAAAAAAAAAATTGTTCTATCTATTATCAAAATCATAATTTTATATTGAATTTGATTAATTAAACATTTCATTAGAATAATTACTCTAAAGATAATGAAGAAATAACTAATATTTCTATTACTGTTAAGTTTACTTAACTAAACGTTGTCTGAAAATACTAAGCATGGCTGCATGCCAGAAGGAATCAAGTTAAGTTTGGGTGATAACTTTGATTTATCTACTTAGTATGATAAGCAAAAAATGATTGATTCTCCTCGCCATGACTACACAATTACTTATTTCACTACAGTAATATTAAGATTTCAAGATTTAATAATAAATAAATAATTTTGGATTTTATAAACAAAAACTAGGCAAATTGTCCTTAAAATTATATTGAAATATATAATTCCTACTTCAGGGAGTAAAAACATACCCTTAAACCTTATAATATTACTAAGTTTTGTAATTTTTATTCACTTTTATCAGAATTTACAATGCTTTTTGAAATTAGTCCAAGCTAAAGACACAAGTGGATTTAAAGGAACAGAAACAAGAACAAGTGATTTTGAGAAATATATCTATGAATTTTAATTCGATGCCACTGATTTAAATTTAGATGGTGATTTCACTTATTCCTACGATTGCTTTTATCCTTCAGGTATATATTTATTTATTTATTTAAGATTATTTTCATAGATTTGATATTTCCTAATTTAAACTATGAAATTATTTAGTTATATAAATTGTAAATCTAAAATATTAAATAACACTTTTTATTCAAATATAGACAGTAATCCTTCTCAGTTCTTACATAGGTATGCTAAAAATTGATAACCTGTATTTAATTGTTATTAATGAATGATTTAGGGAAACATTCAGATTTTTCCATCCTGACTACAGTAAGTTGAAAGAAAGAGAGTTTAAATTTGTTTGGATTGCTGATTTTGATATTAATGTTAGCAATTAAACTGGCTTAGAAGGAAGAAGAATTGGGAAAGAAAATATGGAAATAATGGATAAATATGTAAGGAATATTCAGTAATGAATTTAATAATATTTATATTTTATTTAAACAATTAATTCAGATAAAACGAGATAGAAGCAAGTTTGTTGCTATCATAGGTGGTGGAGATTATGGCTACGATTTACCAGACGATAGTGGAAAGAGAGGTGAAGAATTTTAAAAAGCAGGAGAGTTTTCCTATGCACAGATACCTTTTGTGGTCAAATATTTATTCATTTATTTATAATTATTTTTTTTGAAATGATATTTAAAAATAATTTTTTAGACAGTAGCAGGTAATCATGAAGAATGGTATAAGTTTGATTATTATAACTCTTTCTTTAGAAATCCAAGATACTCAATAACCAAAAACGATTACTATACATTGACCTTCGGAGAAGTACTAATAGTCGGATTAAATACCAATAAATTTATTAGAGATCCAACTACAAATAAATTTATTAGCTTTGATTAAGAATACTTAAAAAATCTCTTTTAATGGTTTGATGATACTATGAAATAGATTAAGGATAATTACAGATGGATTATTGTTTTTTCACATTAAAATATTCACTGCTTTGAAGACTATGCTGCAAGTTCTTGCTACTCCAATCCTAAAATATTTGCAGAAGTATTCAAAATTAATAATTTGCAATAATTATAATTTATGTTTATTTAATTGTTGGTTAAAAAAATGTTAGAAAAGCTTGTTTAAATTTATTTGACTTAAAAAAAGCTTGAAGACTTGCTTGTTAAACATAAGGTTGATATTTACATGGCTGGTCATGTTCATGCTTATGAAAGAATACACCCAAATTACAGAGGTGAGCCGAAATTCAAGGAGTCAGATTAATGCTATCTCAACAAATGCTCGTCTTACACTAAGCCATCTGCACCAGTTTATGTAGTTGATGGAACTGGAGGAACTACCCATTACTTCCCTCAACCATCAGGATGTAAAGTTTCATTAAGAAAAATTAATATTTTAACAAATTATTTTTAATAAAATAAATGTATTAGATCCTGGAGGTAATTTGACTGTAGCTTCAGACAGAAGTTTAGGCTTTAGCACGTTCACTGTTAAGAATAAAACCCATCTTTTATTTTAGCACTTTTAATCTAATAATACATATGACCCATTTGATCATTTCACAATCTATAAACCTTAACCTAATATAGCTTAAGATCTTTCGTTTGCTGATCCAAGCGAAGTAGTCAAATACAAAGCTACAGTCGCTTTCTTCTATTTAATGGTAGCTATCGTTATAGTAGGATGCATATTAATTTTCTATGAATTTAGAAGAAAAATCCTTATGGATGCTCATGATGATTTCATGAGATAGTTTGACAATGATGAAGAAAAATCAAGAAATACACTTTGATATAATTTAAAATAAATAAATAAATAATTCATAATTTTTTGTTTGTATTTCTATTATAAAATAACTTCAACTAATTTTGATTAAGCAATACAATTATTTAATTATTTAAAACTTCTTTAACAAAAAAAATACTGAAAAAAAAGATATCAATAAATTTATTTCTTAATTGGATGATAGCAATAATTTATAAATAAATTATAATTTAAATTGAATTCATAAATTATATATATACAGAGAGATAACCAACAACTTGAATAAGTATTAAATAAATAAATAAATAAGCAAAGGTCAAACTAAAGTTAGCTTTAAAGATGATTACGACAAAAAATTAGCAGAGTTGTATTCCTCTTAAATCGAATATATTCCTGCCTAAAAAGCAACATCCTCAAGATGAAAGAGGTAAAAAAATAGACCTTGGTGCACCACTCACTCAGACTTTCATCTTTTCTCATAATTAAAAAAATATGCCAAGAATTATTAAAGAAACTTACATTCCTGAGGAGCATAAAATAGAACATGAAGAATAGCTAAAAAATTAGATAAAAGTAGTCCGTACAGAAGACGAAGAGAGAATGAAAATTTAAGATGATTATGATTTTGAAAATAGAATTAGACTCTTAATTGAGAAATATAACTCTGAATAAAGAGATGCATTTGTAAATTCAAAACGATTTAACAATTAATTTTAAAAATAAGCTAGCTAGCTAGCTAGTTAGCTGATTTGCTTACTTGTTTGCTTAAAATTCTATCAAATAATTTAAATATATTTTTAAATTAAATAATAAAGGATATTGCTAATGCTTTAACAGAAGAAATCGTAAAATATAAAGAAATGAAGATGAAGACTCTACATAATAATAGATAATCAGCCAGAAATAGAGTAATAGAAAAAGTAACTAGAGATGAACAAAAGGAAGAGGAGGATAATAAAAAAAATGTATTGAATAATTAAATTAAAAAAATGAGCTAATAAGTAAAATATTTAAATAAATATCTAGAGAGTTGAAGTCAAGAGATTGTATAGATAAATCAAAGAAGTAGTGCATCACATTCTTGAAGGAGGTGGAGAGTAAGAATTCTTTGATTGATTGATTGATTGATTGCAAATAGTTGTTAAAAAGTAATTATTTTAAATAATTATAATAGAGCTAAATACAAGAGATATTAATAGAGTATTGAAAGTAAGGAACACATCACTTTAGATTATATAAAGTAGAAACAAAAAACAGTAGAAGAAATCAAAGCAGCCACTGAAATAAATCAGCTTGTGAGGTAATTCTTAAGTAAGAAAACTGAAGAATTAGATGTTTTTAGACAGTTACATGGAGAAGAATTTTTAACTGACCCTAGTATACTTAAAGATATGTCTGAAAGTTAGGGAGAAAGTGCTTCTGTTGCTTCAGATAAGCTCAGTAAGGTTTAAGAAGAATTAAAACAATCTGAAGAAGACCAAAAGCTAAACAAATTTTATAGTAAATTAATTAAATGAAAAATAAAAAAGTTATTGTTAACGAATAAATTAAATTTAAAAAAAGATTTAACTGATCTAAAGGTATAATGGGGAGCAAAGAGCGAATATGAAGTCAAGGTATAAAAAAATTATAAAATCTTAATGACTGACTTCATAATTAAAAAAAGGAAAATATAAGAAGAATTTTGACACGTGAAGTTCTCAAAGATGCTGAAAGAGCTAAAGTAAAACAAGAGATTGAAGAAGAAGAGATCAAATAAAGATTGATAAAAACAGATCCTCGTTTTGCAAGGATGTTTAGAGAATAGTAAAAGAAAAAATAGGAATAATTAAGATAAGAATAAGAAGAAAGAGAGAAGAAGGAAAGAATTAAACAAGAGAAAATAAAAGCATAGTTGAAAAAGAGAGAATAGTAAGAACTAGAGCAATAAAAATTAACTCAAACTTTGAGGTCAAAAAAACCTGCTCCTAAATAACCAAAAAATCCAAAAAGAGAAGCAGAAAATAGGGTGAGAAGAGATTTCTTTGACACTGCTCATGGTGTAGGACTTGTATACGGAGATGTTTTCCAAAGAACTAAAAAGTAAATAAAACAATTAGTTATTTTAACAGCAACAAATTATAAATAATTAATTTACTAATTAGTTTTAAAATTAATATCGATCAATTAATCAATTATTGTAAATCCTAAAAATTATTTGTTTAAACCAATTTATTTTAAAAAAAACAAAATCATTAGGAAAAAGAAATATTGAACCATTCATTATATTTGTTTTAGGAGACTTTAATATAATTTTCATTTTTGATAATCCATTTAATTTTTTTAAATTTATTATTTATGAATTGTTTCGAAAATTCAATCAAAGTTTTACTTTTATTTAATTTAATTTAAAATAATAAAGTTTTGGAGATTTGTTTTAGACCAAGGCAAAGGAATTCTATAATTAAAATTCTTTTGGATATCCTAATTAATAACAATCATAATATTAATAATCCACTGTAGACACATTTGATGGATAATCACGTTTCTCTTAAATGGAAAAGTGAAATATTTTATGCAAAAATTGAAGTTTTGAAATATAAATAAATAAATAAATGTATTTAGTTTGTATAAATAATTAAATTATAATTATTAGAATTTAAAATTTACATTTTGTGTTAATTTAGAATCTTTAAATAGGATTTTTATTACTAGAATTATTCCTATTTAAGAAAAATAATAACGTTACTTTTTGAGTCAATATTTGTAGACAGACAGATGTATGCCTTTTAAAAATAAATTTTGTTTAATTTTTTTTAAATAATTATCAAAAATTTATAAATCAAAAAAATCTTTTAACTTGATTAAAAATATCTTTTTTGCAAAATTATAGTTGATATTTTGAAGATGATAAACAAAAATATAATTTTATTTTTAGTAGCACTATTTATAGTTCAAATTTATGCAAATACAGCAAGCAGCAATAAGGCAAATTTAGAAAAGGAAGACGAACTTATTTATGAAGTAATTATAATTTAATCCAAATATAATTCAAATTATATTTGATTAAGGCAATCAAAAAATATGAAAATGATGCTTTGGAAAACAACAAATTAACCATTTGCACAAATGCAATACATAAGTTTATGAGTGACAAAGAAGACAGAATTAGAATGAGACTGGAAAACGAATAAATCTAAAATAGAGAAACTGTATATGACAAAATATTTCAAATAATTTATATCATAATTTTTTAATTAGATATTATCAAAACTCTACTTCTCCAGAATTGAATAATGTCTTAACAAACTAAGAAAAGAATATCCAGATAGCTACATAGTAATTTACAAATAAATTTATTTTGAATCAATTATTTTTAATTTTTAAAAAATTAAATTTAGACTCTATCTTTTATAGATGACATCAAGTGGGATGATTATTTGAATATTGATATTTAGAACTTAAAGTAATATATATAGCCTTTAACTTAGAATGAAATTATTGTATAGAAGTCTATAGAGAAAGTCATAGAAGTATACATTCATTGATTTGTTAAAGATTTATTTGACAGTAAAATATTAAAAAATATAGGAACCTATATTGGAAAGAGATACTCTTTTAACTCTATTTGGTTTTAAATTAAAATATTTTCATATGCCATACGTCGGTATTCTAGTTGCAATTTTACTTATAGTTTATGCTATAACCATAGGTATATTTATTTTTGATAATTCCTTTATAAATGAATTATCTTTTATTAAATAGCCTTTAAAGAGTTTATTTTCAATTCTGATTAAAAAGTAAGAAAAAATGCTCATAAAATTAAAGAATTTAAAAAAAAATAATGAGTTATAAAATAATTAATATTAGATATCTATTTATATATATTTACATCTATTTATTTACATATCTTAAAATGTTTTTAATATTTAAAAAAAAAACAAATAAAGGTTTTTAAATAAATTTTAAAATTTTAATTTCTCCATCATTTTAAATTTTAACAGACTGACAATAGTAAATTCTATAATTAACAAATAATTAAAAAATATTAAACAAATATTAACATTTTATTCTTTGAATTTAACTCAAAGATATTTATTTTAAACGAAAATTTGTAACTATCACACTTTATAAATTGAAATATTGTTAATTTATTTATTGAATTTCATAATTTTAGACTATTATTTAAAATATAATATTCTAACATATTTATTTTTTAATAATAAATATTTAAACTCCCAAATAACAGTAATAAGTAAGTATTATTATTTCAATAAATTATGAATTACCATAAATATAAATTTCGAAATTAATAATTTCAGCTATTGTTTTTATATTTAATTGATATAATAAATCAAATACTTAAATTATTATACATTTATATATTGTAAAAATAATTTTATTTTAAGATAAAAGAGATTAGATTTATATTTAAGATATTTATTTAAACTGTTTCAAATTCAACATGTTTTAAACTTAATACTAAAAATAAAAATTTGACTGAATTACTAAATAATTTTTGTGCGTGAAGTATCTTTGATAAGTTGAAAACCTTTTAAAGTACCAAATTAAAACATTTATCAGTAAAAAGATATTAAAATCTTTTAAATTAATAGTCTATATCTTATATTAATTATAATTAGTTCAATTCATTCATTTATTTTATGCAAAATAAATAAATTAAAAAAGTAACAATTAAAATTCAAAGTAAATTAATTAATAGGAAAATAATTTTAAAAGTTAAATTATAAAAATAATTATTAAATTTTTATCAATAATTTAAATTCTAGCATTTATTAATCGTATTTTGCTTAGTAATTAGAAACATTCTTATAAAGTAAAAAATAAGATTTTATTGAATAAAAAATTTGAATTGATTTTTATTAAGAATTCAACAAAAATAAAATTCCCAAAAAAGGTAAATATTAAAATAGAACTAATAATAGTAAGTATTATAGACTAGAAGTTGCCATCAATTTTTTTAGTTTCTATTCCAGTTAATTTTGAGAATAAAGAAGAAAATGCAGAGAGATATATTGTTTCTACTTCTTGAATATAATAATTATTTATTTATTTGGATTATAATTTTGGAGAAAATCAACTCTTTAATAATATTTTCTAAAATTGATTAAATATCATAAAAATAAATATAATATATTTAAAAACAAACAGTAAATTAAAAAGAAAGCTACAAAAAAATACAATTTTTTATATCTTGAATGCTTTCTGTTCACCTAAACTCTCTGCACCTCAAGAAGCCACTCTCTGCAGATTGTAAAGTTTAAGTAATTTTGGCTGTAATACTTTTTTTCAACATATATTCTTATTTCTAACAAATTATTTTCTATATAATTTAAGAATCACAACTAAAATAGTGTGAGATCTGAAATAGTAGAATATAGTAAAAAGGATAACATAGCATTGTTTAGTGAAAATTTATTCTTAAAAGATATCAGAAAATAATTAAATAGCGAGGATCTAGCTTATTACATTATTGAATTATACGAAAAATATCCATAAGATAAAATTATTGCATCAAAAACATTTACACCTAATGATATCGTAAGTTAATTAGATAGATTAAAATATGATTCATTTGTATAATTAAAGCTTATTTTAATAGTTAGGGAAAAACAAAGTAAGTCTAAAGACAATCGATGGGAATGAGTTAACTTTGCATTTAAAATTTGAATTATTTAATTAGGATAATAAAACAATTAATGCATTCAATAAGCAGAATTCAATGACTAATTAGCTAGATGATCTTTCAATCGGTGCTTAGGATAGCTACTTTGGTTCTCCTTTAAATTAAAGAAGCATAGAATAAATAGTAAATAATTAAAATGAATCAAAATCATCATAAAATTCAAAAAGGTTATCTCCACCTTTAAATGCTTAGAATGCAAGCAGCAAAGAAAATGAAGGTGGCGAGCAGTTTTTTAATGCAATAGCAAATCAAATAAAGAATGGATTTCTTTCTCTATGTGAGAAAAACCCTGAAACTGATTTAGACTATTTAGATATTAACGAATATACGATCAGATTTGTTTCTAAGTTAGGTCCTGTTGTAGCTATTTCGAACTACTTAAGAGAAGTATATAAGTGGACTAATATATTTTAAACAATGATGTTTGGAATAAGTACTTCCTTAATTATATTTTATCCCAAAGCCATCATACTTTTTTCGCTATTATACACATACATATTCACTAAGAGAGTAATTTAAATAATGTTTCAATTAGGAATAAAGAAACCAGAAAAGGTAAACATAATAGATAAAAATGTAAATAAAATGAAAAATTTAAAGAGAAATATGATATTCTTATAAGAGCAAATGAGGTTTTACTCTTAAGTGTATGACTAAGTTTGTGAGTTCTTATATTCAGATGACAAAACCTAAGTTGTTAAAAATATTTAGCTATTTAGAAACTATTCAATTTTCCTTGTGATGGGAATGATTTTTATTCCATTCGATGTGATTTTATTCTCTTCATTTTGGTTTTCTCTAATCAGTTAAAATTTCTATGGAAAAATCATTTCAAAAGAAATTCTTACATTGGTAATATTTTTTATAATTATAATTAAATCTAATTTAAGTTTAATTAATAGATTCATAAGCTTGCTGTCAGAGTTAATCATTTTTTAGATAATGAAATTATAATTAAATACCTTCCTAAATCTGTAGTCGATGCACTTCCAATCCCTGAGAAAAATTCTGGTCTACAAAAGATAGTCAAAAAGTTCATCATATAGGAAAATCAAAGATGGTGGCTTGGTAAAGGATGGGCTGATATACTTATACCTGGAGGTAATTTTATCAAACTTTAAAAATCTTCTTATTAAAGTATTTTATTCAATAGATATTCCTAAGTGGTCTGATATTTAAGGTTTAAGAGAGTTGAAAAAAGAAGATTTTAAATTGCCAGATAAAAATTGGTAATGGGAAAATGAGGGTCAATGGCAGGTATAGCTATCAGAAGACACAGACTTAGAAGGCTGGTAATATGGAAAATCATTTAGTGACACTACCTTTATAAATCAATAAAAGTCGCTTTATTACATTAGGAAGAGAGTATGGTATAAAACTTGTTCTTGTTTAGTCAGCTATTACTACGGTGAAGAGAATGAACAAGACACTGATGATACATACATTCTTTAAAAATGATTTAAAAAATTTAAAATTTCTTATTCTTATTTAATGTTTCAAATTACAATTAATTATTCGTATTAATTTCTTTTAAATCCCTCTAAATTTATTTTAATTATTTAACAAAATCATTTCCATTTTATTTAAAAATACTCTTAAATAATTAAAAAATAAAAAGAAAAATTAGAATTAAATTAAAACAAAAACACATTTGAAAATAAATATTTTTAAATCCAAATAATTGCTAAGAATGAATGAATTAAATAAAATATTGTCTAATAATTAATCAATCTATATTTTTATATTATTAATAAAAATAAATTTTAAATAACAATTCTATCCTTTTTAATAAGCACTTAAACTTCCTCAAATAAATAAAAATAGAATTTGGAAAAAAATTTTGTTTTATTATGTTCTTGTTATTAGCTAGCTGATTTTTAAGTAATAAGAGCAAACAAATTAAAAAACTACACGTTTTTAGAACTTTAGTTTTTTTTGTAATTTAGCTAATTAAAAACTTGAGTTTTATTCATCAGAAAGATATTGATAATTTCTTTTGTGACAAGTAAAAAAAAAAACACTAAAAATAAAACATAAAGCTTCTTTCATTTTCTATAGCTGCTGGAAAATAAATATGAGAATTATTTATAAAATTTTATTACTTTCTCTGCTACTTATTGTTACAAAATCTGTATTTATCAGAAAATAAACTATTAAAAGCGATGATGTTTTGGGATAAGTTGTTATTGTTGGTAAATAGATTTATTTGATTTCAATTTGATTTTATTTATTTTTTAAATTATTTATATAATAGAGGAGTATAATACATAGGATTAAGCTAATTTAGATACATATATTTAGTAAAATGCATAATTTATTGAAGAGGAATTAGATTATGCTTCATAATTAGCAAACATGATGCTAAATTCATTAGAAAATGAATTAGTGGATGATAAATTAATCAAAAACGGAGGTCCAGTATTTAATGCCTTAGAGAATTTAAAAGGAGTTGTTAATGAAATGCAATAGGCAGAACATGATTATTTGGAGGAAGTTAAACACGAAAGAGAAGAAACAGAATAGACTTTGAGCGAATTGGAAAAATAAGTCAAAGAAGATAGCAATAAATTATAAACTAAGAAGAAAGATAAGAAACCAAAATTATCAACTATACAAACACCAAGAGAGTAATATAAATAAGAAAAAAAGCTGCAAAACCCTAATTTAGTATAAAAGCTTTATTAAGAAGGACAAAAATTGAATCAATTTAATGATACTGTAAATAAAAAACATGATAATTTGAATAAACTATTAGATGATATTTAGTAAATTATTTAGAGATAAGAAGAAAGAGATGAAGTTAATGATTTAATTACTGACTATGGAAAAGTTGACTAATAACAAATAAACGATTGGATTTAAGATGACTACGATAGCCAAGAAGAAACAGAAGAATAAATTAATATTACATAACCTAAAAATATGGATTAAAGTACTAAATCTCAATAAGAAGTTAACAGTAAATCTTAAAATTTCAATTCAACTCCTGAAAAGGCTAAGAAAGAGGATTTAAAAATTGGTTTGGGTCCCTAAATTTCTATGAAATAGACTACTTCTTATAAACCACTTTACAAAGACCCTTCGATTATAATTGGAGTTATTAGCTTTTTGCTGTTGTTGGGAGGTTTAGGATATTACTTTATTAGATCTAAAATGAATCTAAGAAAATCTTCATCAACAATTTTAGAACAGGCTGGGGAAATATCTCTTTCACAAGGAAAATATGAAAAAGTCAAAATCATTTGACATAAATACTACCTACTCTTAATTATTAATTAATTAATTATATTATTTTTATGTTGCTCATAAATTATTTATTTCATTTTTTAATCAATTTGAAAATTTTTTATTTTTCTCACAAGATTTAAAGATTAAAAAAACTTGTTTTAGTTCTCATTCAAAGTATTAAAATCTCTTTTTCTAGTTAATTTTAAATAAAAATAGAATTTAATTAATAATATTTTTAATTTAATCTAATTAAATAAAGAGGAGTTATTAAATTAATTATAAATTTTATGGCTAATTGTACAGAAAATTTTATAATTAATTATATCATATTATTTTTTAATAAAAATTAATTAACTAGTAAAGGTGTTTTTTGTAATATATTTATACTTAATTTCTTTTAAAATATATTTTACTAAAGACTCTGGCATTATTTAGATTAAGAAAAGCCAATAATTAATTTTACTGTCATATAAAATACAAATTTAATTAAATCCATTAAAACTTTTAACTATCTAAGTCTTTATTTATTAAGTAAATATTTTTTTTTTTAAATAACTTTTTAAGAATCAGCATTGTATTTTTATTGTTTATTATTATTTATTTTTAATATTTATAATGTTATTTTAAATAATAGTATTAATGATTTTTATTTTAATGGCTTTCATCATTTGATTTAATAATTGTAGGATTTAAAAATATACGTATTAAAGCTATTTTAGCTTATTGTTTTTCTGAATATTTGTATGTCATTTAATTTAGGAATTTAATAAAAGAATATGATATTTGAAAAATAATATTCAGTTTTTCTTTATTACGTTTATCTTTAACTTGTGTAAATTGTTAAACTTAAAAGATATTAAGTTTTAATATTAATTAGGCTTATTATAGAATATTTTCAATAGAAAGATATTTAGAAATAGATATGGATTTTGATAAAAAACTGAAGAAATGATGGATTGTGTATAAATAAATTTTTAATAATTTTAATAGGAAAATTTGAAATTTTAAGATAGAAATTAATAATTAATTAATTAATAAATAAATAAGTTATCAGTACAAAAAAAAATACAAATATTTAAAAGTAAAATTCTGAAAGAAAGAATTAGGAGATATGTTTTAAAGTTAAATAAAAGCACTAAATATTTTTACTAAAAATAAAATTTTCAGGCAGTTTTCATAGTTAGAAATTGATAATTTATTAGCTTAACAAATCAAATATACAATCTATGCTTTTATTTATGCATTATATGCTGATCATTTTATTTAGATTTCAGAAGAATCCTAAATCTGTCATGTTGATGGTAAATTCTTCATCAAGTTTGTCCAAATTGGCTCTTTATTGACTACTTTTTTATATACGGGCTTCTTAAAGAATCGCAAAAACTTAAGGGATAAAGATTTTATTTTCTTATACTTGTTTAACATATTATTTTTTACAGTTGTGCTAATTTACGTGCTTTATTCAAGCGCCTTTTATAAAAAAGAGTGCAGTACTTTACCTCTTTTTAAGGTATCTTTACTCTTTATGTGCATAAAAAAAGAATTCGAGCTTGCTATTTTAGTCTTTACAAGATCTTTAATGTGGCTTAGACAAGTAAATATATGCTCTAATATTTTAACTGTAGTAATTATCTAAGTTAGTTTTACAAATGCTTAAAATTGTAGTCCTTAGGCAACCTCTCTTTGCGAATTTTTAAATATCATTAATACATCTTGTTTATTTACATATACCTTTATTAATCTATTAGTATCTGATAAAAACTAATATATACAAACTACTATCCTAAAAATAGCAACTGGATTGTTAATACCAGTTTTTATTTATGCTTATATCATGATAGTTCGCTTTTAATTTATAGGCCAAGTTAATTTGATTCCAGATTGCATACCTTATCATTTCATTTTGAATGTTAACCTCTTTATAATTCCTTTAGATATTCTAGGAATGTTTGTGCTTTAGTACATACTATGCAAATAATAGGATTAGTAACCTCATCTGCCAATCCCAGAGAATGACTCACTCATAAATAATAATTAAATTGAAAGGGAAGGTCTTGATTAATTTGATAAAATGCATTATAATGATGATGATGACCTATAAGTTTGAAATTTGAACTATTTCTTAAAAAAATCATAAATATTTTAAACATCATTAATTTATTTTGTTAATTTAAAGCTTTAAAATCATTAATAAATTGATAAATATTATCAAATTACAATAAACTATACATATTGAAATAATAATAAATGAATGAACTAATTAATTAATTAATTAATCAATTTATTTATCTGTTTTTATTTTGTTTTAATTAAATTATCATAAAAATTAATAAAAATTCTTAGACATATTTAAAAATTTTATTTTAATTTACGTATTAAATTAAATTGATAAATTTATCATTAATGATAAAAGAATTTTTTTAATTTTAGTTCAAACATTTTATTAGTAGTAATTATAAACAGTCAATGATCTATCATTTCTCATCAAAATATAATTTTTTCCTTTAAAAAAAATAAGTTTTATTTAAAAAAATCTTGGAGTGATAATACATACAATAATATTAAACAAATTAATGTATTATTTTTAGGTAAAAAATGTAAAATTGAAATGCACAATTTGTTCAGAATAAAAGTATCCTTTTATTAAGTTAAACAGTGCTTGCGGTAAAAAAACTATCTAATAAAATTATCTAATTTATGCTATCATCATAATTTTACAAAAAATACAAATTTAAAAATTTTAATTATACAAATTATCTTAATTATGTCTTTTTTTTGTAAGCTAAATAGTATAAAAACTAATTAATTATAAATTTTTTAATTAAATTAATTATTTGGATTATTTTTTGATAAAGCAAGATTGGAAGAAAAATTTCCTAATTTTTATAAGCTATGGCTTTTAAAATTATTTATAACTAAACTACCTAATTCTTTGAAAGCTTAGAATTAAAGTATCCAAATTAAATTCCTTATATATATGCTATTATCAGCAGCTTATTTGTAGCCTTAAGCTCTTTAATAGTTAAATTTTGTAAAGAAATTCCTGCTTATGAATAGGTATATTTTAGGTCTATTATACTGATTTTTATCACTAATAAGTTAATGGGAGTATCAGGTGAGAAAGCATAATGCTAAGATAAAAAGGCATTTAAGTATTTAATTCTGAGGTCTGTTTTCAGCGCATTCTCAAATATATGCTTTTTTACATCTAGTTAGATGATTAATTTAGCAGAATCTAACATTATATTTCTTACTTCTCCTATTTGGTCAAATATTTTGGGATACTTTTTCTTTGAAGAAAAAATCTTCTTACTTAATATCATTTATACAATAATAAGCTTCATATCCATTGTATTTTTATTAAAACCTCCATTTATTACTTCAGAAATCTAATAAAATTAACCATTTGATTTGAAATATTTAGTAGGATAGATTATTGGTTTTGGAGGTGCTATATCATATGCCATAAATTGTCACTTAAATAAACACTTAAAGGGATCCGTTTCTAAATAATAACTAATATTTTACTTATGCTCTAGTGTTTTGATATGTTGCTCAATTATAAAAGTAGTATAAGCACACTCAACAAATGATGTTTTCCAACTGAAGTATTTAGGATTTTACATAATTTTAGCTCTTATGCAGTTGACGATTCAAATATTTATTAACTAAGCTTTATTTATGAAAGGGGCCAACAAAATAGTACCATTCAACTACTTTTAAGTTCTATTTTCTTTTGGTTTTGATTATTTTTTATTTGAAAAACCACTTGATATTATTTAAATAATATCAACATTGGTTATTATTTTCTGTTGCTATAAAATTGCATCAAAAACATGAATTTTATAGTAACATAAAACTGTAAGCAATTAAAAAAATGTAAACCAACAAAATTTTAAAATTTCAAATGAAGTAGGAGAAAAATCTATTCTATTTAAGATTGAACCATCACCACTTAGCAAATAAAAAAATAAATATTAAATAATATCAATAAATAAATAAATAAATATAAAATTTAATTATCCTGTAAATCTTTTCCTGCATTTTAAATAGTTTTTCAAATTAAAAATGCTTTCATATAGTAATTATTTATGTTGTTTGAAATACTTTTTATAATTTTTTAATGAAAAAAATTAAAATTTGTAAGTCATTAAATTCAACATTTAACATTTTTAATTGAAAAAAATAATGTTTTTTTTTTTAAATTGCTAAAATAAATATTTTAAAACTTCAAGATTTTTATTATAATTATTTTTAAATTGAATTTTCATTCATTTGTAAACTACTTATATTTGCTCATAAACTGCTTGAGTTTTGGATCTATTATTGATTTGCAATAGCTATTAGTCTTATTCGTTTAGTAAAAATTTTAGTGCTTTTCTTCAGCTTAGTAGAAATTTTTTAGAGGCACAACTTCAGTCTCTACAGGTTAAGGATACATTTTTGATTCGTTTACTTCAGCTATTATTTATAGTGCTATTTATTTCTATGCCTCATCGCTGTAGAGTATGATTGATCTATATTGAGTACTTTGGTTTGGGTTTTTAGTAAATGGATCGTGGATACTCATAAATATCCTTAAAATATTATCATAAGAAATTATGCTTGGGTTGTATTTAAACTGAATAACTTCTGCATGCTGAGTAGTTCTACTCGAAACCTGCTTATATGTAGGATTAGCAACATTGCCTCCTGAATACCCAGACTTAACATCTAATACACCTTTAACTCTTTGAAAAATTGCTTCTATACACCAAAAGCATCCTCCTCCTAATGTAGCAACTTAAAAATTATCTTACATAAATGTTATTTTTAAATTTAAGCTATGTGTTTAAATAACGTAGACTTACTTAATTTCAATCTTTGTCTTTATTATTTTTTATTAAAGTTTTTTTAATAATTTTCTTTTTTAATTGATTTATATTTAGAAAGCATTAATCAGATATTATGCGTATTTAGATATTAATTAGATAAAACTTGAAGTCATAATTTATGATTTGATAGATGCTTAATTTTTAATTAATTTTTAATCTTTCTATTGAGCGTATATATATTTATTTGTTTGAAATCTTAAGAAAATGATGGAAGAATAGTTCATATGCGATGAAAAAAAGTTTATTAGATAGGAGGTAGAAAAAATGAGGGAATTTTCATTTAACATAAATAATGAAGATGGTTTAAAACTCTTTCTGAAAGAGGGTACTGCTGAAATCTTCGGTAGAGAATTACCACAATATACAATTTAATAATTTTAAAAGGGAGATCGTTTTTCAATATTTACATGGACAGGCTGTGTACTCTATTTAGAATATATGAGTCATTCTGACTTCTTTTAGTCTACAGATGAGTCACAGTATCCCATATATGCAAACATAAATTAATATTTACACGAAATGAGATCATAAGCATAAGATTAGCGTAAAATAGGCCCTAAAATTTTAATATGTGGACCAAACTAAAGTGGAAAAACAACTGTAAGTACTTCTTATTGATTTTCATTCAGTGATTGAATACTTAATATTTTAGTTAGAGCAAATTATATTATAAATGAAGATAAATTTGAGTAAATCTTTCGCTTGCATAGCAGCGAGAGAGTATTAAATTCATTTATTTTTGTTATAATTATTAGGTTTCAAAGACACTGACTAACTATTGCTGTAAGCTGGGATGGACTCCTATTTTAGTTGATTTAGACCCTATGCTTAATACAGTGATGGCAGGAGGATGTATTGGAGCTTGTGTCTGCAAAGACTCTTATCCTACAAATGGAATAGAAATTAAAAATAAAATTATATTCTTTCATGGATACAGTCGCATTCAATTAGGCCTTCTTAAGAATTAGATAGAAGTCTTAGGAAACACAGTTCAAAAAAAGCTCTAAAATAACTTAGAATAATTCCTTAAAAAGCATAACTTGCAAACTGCTCCAGATGCAGAAGGAGCCTAACAGAAGACCAACAAATAAAAATATCCATCGTAATAAAATATTTAAAACTCAACTGCATAGATTAAACTACCATCAGGTGTCAACATAAATTAAATGCTGTTACTCCCTTAAGACAAGCAAATGTTTTCAAGTGGATGCATAATTAATATGCCTCCTCTCTAATCTAGAGAATAGAAAGAAGTTATTGACCTTATCATAAAACATTTTCAAGTTGATGTGATAATTGGTCTAGACGATTAAGTATTTAATTCTTTAAAGCAAAACTAGCTTTTGACTAATGGATATAGTGTTATACGTACCACAAAACCTTCAGGATTAAAAACTAAAGAAGAGTCAGAGCTAGTTGAGGAAGCTAGAAAAATAAATTAAAAGCTCTTTTAATAGTACTTTAAAGGACTTAATAATGACATTGAGTATTTTTTTTTTCATTCATTCATTTTTTCTTTAAAAATTTTTAAGCTAAATCAAAATAAATTCATCATAAAAGTCTTTCAATTTATAAATTTTCTAACAATTTAATCTTTATGAAATGCTAATTTTAAGTCTCCTAATAAGATTACTAAAATAATTTTATGAATAAGCAATAAATAAACTTCATACATAAAAATATTTAATTAATTAAATTCTAAAAAATTAGGTTTTTTATATAAATTGCTTATATTTTTAATTAAGCAAAAGATTTATTTAAATATTTAATTATGTTTGAATAAACTCTTATATTTGCTTCAATTTAAGATGATTTTATTTTTGATATTTCAATTTCCAAATAAATTTAACGATTTTTAAGATATTTTAATAAAATTTTTATATTATAAAATAGTTGTCATAATTAAGAAGTTAACTTAAATGATTTACTTGTTTATAGATTAAAAATAAATGAAAAAAATAGCTTAGCAAATACTTCAATGTAATAATAAAAGCAAATTTATGAAAGAGTTGATCTTTCCAAAGAAAATGTGACAAAGAGTATAGTTGGCGTACTAAACCTTACAAGATCCTCTGTTGAAAAATTAAAAGAAGAAGAAATATTTGAAAAAATATCTAAAAGTACTCTCAGTCTTTTGGTTCATTTATCAGATATGAGAACAAACCAGCCCTATGTACGTTTGTTTTTACCTGGGCTAAATATGGAAAATATAATTAAAGAAAATGTATGTGTAATAGGAGACATAACATGGTTTGAATCATCAAGTGATAAAAAAAAATGAATCAATTATTCCTTATTTATTTATAAATTAATTAAAAAGAGTATTTTTTATATTATATTAGCCTTTTCATTATATATTAAAGTTAAATTATCTAAAATCACTCAATAAATAAACAAATAACTTTTTTTTTAATTACTCAAAATATAAAAAATTTTAATGTAAAAAAAATTAAGGAGATGAAAGAATAAATAAATTCAGCTTCAAATACTCAAAATTCTTTTATATTTTTAGTAAATATATAAATTACGTTTAAGTTAAGCACATTTTTTTAATTATTTTGATTTATTTTTTAGAGGTCAAATTACCTTGGTATTTATCAATAAAAATTATTCAATTGCACATATTGATAAGTTTAATGAAAATATGTATTTCATCAAAAAATTAATAATAAATAAACAATAAAGAAAGAAATAAGAATTTAAGGACTTAATTTTGAAATATAAGCCAAATAAAATAACTATCAATGATTTATTTTTAGAGGAAAATAAGAACAGATAATTATAAAATAATTTAAACTTTGTGTTACAGATTTTTAGATTTTTAATGTTTATTTTTAATAAAGTAAATAAATTAGTAAGTTAGTCATTTATTTTAGATTTTTATATTGGAGGATATATTAATTCATTAAATTGTGTCAATTATTACCAAAATTTTATCTGTAAACTTTTTTTCTAGATCATTTGATTACAATAAATAGTTATTCATTCATTAACTTTTAAATTATGAATATAATATAAATCCCTTTTTTAATAATAAATTTAGCTTGTTTCACTCATATTTTACATTCAAAATAATTTAGAATTTATTTAGCGATTGATCCTGAATAGCTCAGATTGGATTTCTTACTGTAGCAAGCAAGGATCATACATTTAAGAAAAGTTATCTAAATTAGAAAATTTCTAATTTTAAATTTTACTGTTTGAATTATATGGGTTGCTATTTTATTCACTCTAATTTACTTTTTGGCACATTTCTGGATAAAATTTTTAAAGGAATATCTCTGATTTAATTGTGTAGCAAATATCTTCTCTTGTGTTCTTCTAAACTGTAAGCGACCTCTTTGTTTTAAGGCATTTTAGGATTTGAGGATTTACTTCGTAGGAATATATTTCTAAAACATCTGAAATAGAAAAGCCTGGGATTATTTCTCGAGAATTAAGTAAAATAAAATTATATGAGGCCTTTGCTGGAATTGAATACCCGTCTATACTTTATAGATCGAATTCAAAACATTAATTTCCAGTGAATTGAGCCATCGTTATTTCTACTATCCCTTTCCAGTCCAACACTTCAGGAGTACCAAATTTAGTGAAATAGTAAGATATAAAATTAGGATTGCTCTATCCACTGATTAGTTCAATGAAATTACTATTTCCTCCTGTCATATTTGTTTTACTTGTTAAAGAAAAAGCATCTAATTTTTTTATAAAAAATTATAGAATTATATTTGGGTTTTCAAGCTAGATTTTATCTAAAATTTCATTGGCCTTCTTTAAACTTTCTTCAAAATTTGCATTTAGTTATTCTTAAATAGCTTCTATATTATAATCGAATGTAGAATGAACTTTTTCTACCATATCTGCATATTATTAAATCAGCGCTTTATAGTTTTCTAAATGATTTGTAAAAATGTAAGCATTATTATCAGATAGCGATTTAAGCTTGCGGCAAATATAGTCTATTTTTCTAAAATTGTTAGAAATAATTTATTTATTTTTTATTTCATCTACCTATTATTTCATGTCGTTGCAATCTAGGTAAGCATATATCATTTAGTTTTTTATTTGAGTGCTAATAACAGGTCTAAAATCTGAAAGGTAGCAATATTCAGGAGCAATAGACTCTCCAATTCTGCAGTATTTAAGAAAGGATTTAAAATAACAAAATATTTCACCAAATAAAATAAAATTATCTGGATTATCATCGACCTATGTACCAATACAAGACACTATACTAAATTATTTTTACTCCATCATTAGCTTTTTGTTTTTATTTTTGATAATAGCTTTTGTTTGTACCCTTCTCTTTTGTTCTTCACTTTAATTATCACCATCTTCCCCTTAAATTAAAGACTCATAAGCATTACTTCTATTTAAATCAGAGCTATTTGCTGAATTTAAGTAGTCTTTAGAGTAGAGACTAGACTAAGTGCTTATACATTCAGATTTTTCTTGCTTTTCTGTTAAAGAAAATTCTTCAAATTCCATTTTAAGTTTACAAATTATGTGTTGAATATTATTTTTTTAGATTTATTTAATTAAAGAGTATTCAATAAATTTTTGCTTTAAATTATGATTTGTATTCTAGTTAATATGAATCTAACTAATATAATATTAAACGCTTTGACTGCCTATCAAATTAATCTGATGAGAATGTAATCCAAAAAATTGTTTATTTTCAGATCAAAATTAGAAATTTATTTGACAATTTTATTGAAAATAAATCTATTAAGTATTTAATATACCTAAATTTTATCTTTTTTTGTTTCTAAATTCATTAAATAATATTTAGACAAAAAAATATTCATTTTCCTACTTACGAAATTTGGGGGATCTAGTAATTATTTATTTATTTATTTATTTATTTATAGTAAAGCAGCTTAAAAATTATTTGCTTCAAAATGAGTAAGTTAATAAAGAATTTTGATTTACAAAAATTTTGTTATTTTCTTTTGCCAAAAATAGTATTAATTATTAAATAAAAATTTAAATTTCCTTAATAAGAAAATTATACTATAAATATCTTAAGTATTTATAAAATATTTAAGCATTTTTTCAAAAAAATTTAACTTCCATTTTAAAAAACAGTAATTTATTTCATTTTTACAAACAAAAAAGAAGAAATTTTGCAAATATAAAAAAAAAATATCTTTAAATTGCTTAATTTTATGATTTTCACATTGGTCAAAATATTGTAAACTTAGAGGTAACATTCAGATTAATTAATACCTACTTTAAATATAAAACTAGGGCATAAAGAATAAATACTCAGATCAAAAGAATATTTTTTTTATAATTTTAAATAAATGAAATTCAAATTAAGAATATGAATATTTATATAATGTTTAATTTTTTATAGAAGTAGAAACAAAACTATAATAATATCAATACTAATGAATAATTCATATTAATTATAAAAAGATGGATAAGAGGTTTTTAAACCTTTTGAGAAGCTATTAATATTTAAATTAGAAAGACAAAGAGTATACATGAGAGAAATGGATAATAAATTTAGCCTCCTTTAATTGCGAGAATAATAATTAATAATGAGTCTTAATTTAGTTATTTATTTATTTTTCTAAAATTATATAAAATAATTGTTTCGTTATTGTTATTTTTTTTATTTTTATTTTATTATTACTATTATTATTAATTATTATTATTATTATTATTATTATTATTTTTATGCGGTGGTTTTCAAATCTAAAAGACTAGTTATTTAGATATATTTTATTAAAATATATATAGAATTTTTATTTCGTTATTATGTCTTCAAGATATTAAATAAACCTAGTCATATATGATTAAACCCATATTAATTATTATCCTTACAAGCAGAAGAATATATTTTTTAATTTAATTAGTAAATGAATCAAAAAGCTTTTAATTTTTAGATATTATTTAAATTCATAAAAATCTAAATTTGCCATTACATTAATTTATTTTTTTATTACTTTAGTTTAGTAAAGCAGCCAAACAAAATATTAAAATTTGTTGATACCTTTAATAAAAATGCCTAGCCATTTGAAAAATTATTATAAAATTTACGGTTAACTATCAATCAATCGCTTTTTAATTATAAAAATAAAATTAATTTTGTAAAATATTAAATGTACATTCTTAATCATTAATGATTAAAAATATTTCTTTTTACAAAGATTGTAAATATTTTTTTAGGGTTGATGCTTTTAGAAATTTTAATTTTATAGCAATCTATTATTGAGAAATAGCAGTATCTTAATTTTTTTGTAAAAAACTAATTATATTACATTGAACATAAACTTAGGAAAGGATGTTAAAGTGCCTCTCTTGCAGTAGGTCTTTAACTTGGGTCTAAAGATAACATTTTTTAAACAAAGTCTCTTAATTCTGGAGATCGCTTTTTCCAATCGAATTCTCTAAACGGAACTGGGCCTTAGCCATATTTATATCCTTTCATATGGTGTGGCATATATGCCACTGTCATAAAATATAAGATAATGCCTAAACTCCACATATCAGACTAATATTTATTAAATTTAAATTAGCTATTTATGTGACTAATTTTTATTTTACTTATTATGTAATATGAGCGCCTTTTTTTGCTTCAGGAGCTTTAAACCCGAATGTTCCACAAGTCTCCTCCAAATAAGCTGTTTTTTTCTCTGCATCAATCTTTTAAATCAAACCCAAATCCCCTATTTTAACCTAATAAAATATAAATAAACGAAAAATTATTAAGTGCTTATATAATAATTACTCTTCTTATTTAAACTCCATCATCATCACTTTCATGCTTTTCACAAAAAATATTGGCTAATTTAAGATCACAATGTATAAAACCTTTATTTATTTAATTAAAATTATTGAATTAAATTTACTTTTTTATTATTTTATAGAGCTTTATTGAACTGTTCATTTCAATTTTTATATATTTAGTCTTATTATGAGAAATATTGTTTTAATTAATTTCATCCAAATAAATTTAATTATTAAAAGTATTTTTTAAAAATTGATTTCTCATTAATTGTTTGTATATTTATTTATTTATTTTTGTTTTTAAATTTATTTAAAAATTAATTTAGATGAAAATTTTGATGAAATTCAAACTCCTTTTAACAATTTTTATTCAATTTTGTTTAAAGGCTCTAATATTATTTTATTTTAAATAGATTTTAATTCTGAAAAATAATTTAAATATTGTGCTAAAATCAACTCACTTTTATTTTATTTTTCATGTTTTATAGCATTTGTACTCACTCAAATTAACCCAAATAATAATACTAAATAAAGTTTCTGAATCTGAATTTTTATTTATAAATGTTAATTAGTTTTATTTGGTTCTACTTAATTCGAAGAGCAACCAATTATCATTTTTAGTTGATTTATTTTTGAAAAGGATAGATGAAATACTATGTATTATACAATTTGCCTTCTTTTAAAATTATTTTAATCTAACTGTCCATCTAACTAACGAACTAACTATCTATTTATCTATCCATCCGTTTATTTAGTATTTTATTATTTATATATAAGAACAGTTTTATTAAATTATTTTTATTGAATACCTTAATCATGCAGGTAAATTAATCCGTTTAGTATATCAGTAACGTAACTTTTCAGCTTGAGTTCATTTTTAATAGGTGTATGACACTTTATTATATATTTATTTATTTATATTTTAATATTTTCCAAATATGTTGGTTGAACTAATCATTGAATCAATTTACATTTTCAACTTTTTCTTAAAAGTAATCAGCATCATTTACTAACTCCATGAGGAGTATAAACTCATTTTCTTTTTCATAATAATCATATCCTTTAACAATATTAAAATGATCTAAAGCACACGTTTATTAGCACTCTAATATAGCTTGTTTTGTTTACAACTAATCTAATTTATCTTTGAATATTTTCTTTATAATCACGTTCTAATTGTATTTTGATAAAAAATATATTTATTTATTGATTTGTTACTCATTTAAAATTCAAATAAAGTGAATAAATATTTATTTGTTAAACAAACATTCATCTCCTGAGATTGATTCATTTGCTTAGTTTCTTTTTTATTGTCAAGCATGCATATTCTTATTATTACAAAGTTTGTTTTCGTTGTTTATTATAGGATACTTTATTATAAAACTAAATAAAGTATGCTACTTAATGCTTAACAAATAAGCAAACTAAAACTGAAAAAATTATCAGGAATTCTTGAATTTCTACAATAAGATATTTAAACCAGAAAAAGATAAAGTCAATAGTACCCTTTTTAAATATGCATCATATGCTATTGATATACTTGTCGGGCTTAACTCCACATTATATATTTCTGTGATATTAAATAATCTATCTTCTAACTAAATTTCAGATAAGGATACAATACTGAAATTATTAGTTTAAGACCCATTTTTTTTAATTTCTTCTTTGCTATTTAATTTTTCAACTTGTTCTCCGCCTTCTCCATTTATTTCCCCACATTTCTTTCCCTATTTTTTATATTTTAGAGCATGAATTCAGTTTGCTTTTCAAGTTTATGAAATTTGCTTTTTTCTGATTTTGAAGTAAATACAAGAAATAATTTGTCAAAACTAAGGAGGATTTACTGGTTCCTTTGAGTCAGAATTTGCCAATTATCCATTACTCTATTATTATTTGCATGCTATATCTTGCAATGAAGATTTTTGGACACCTTACTCCGCGTCTCTTGGCTAAATATCCATCAGACTGGACTATGAATTATTTTAATTTCTATCTGGAATCTTAATTGTCTCCTACTCTAAATGCTTCTTTAAAGAATTTTATATGACTTATTTCTTGTAGTAAAAAAATCTAAAAGATTAATTAATACGATATAATTTACTTTATTTTTTCTTTTTCTTTAATTTTTAATATTAAAAATAAAAAGCAAATTTTAAGGTTTTTACACTAAATCATCATAGTACGTATTATCCCTCATAATATATTTTTTCAAAATAACTTTTCTGTAAATTCAATTATAAGGTTATTCATACCATCATGGTCTTTTCTATTTTATTCATCCTCATTTTTTATTTATGTATCAGGTATAGATAGCCAAGGAAATTTCATTATTGATAGTTCACCAAAATAAATAATTTACCTGCCTTTTTTCATATGCACAATAAGTTTAATTTAATTAAACAATTGACACTTATTTACACAATTTCTGTTAGAAACTATTCTTTCACATCAGCTTTTGCCAAAAAACACCAATATTTTCAAAAAATAATTGTTTGTAAATTTTTACTTGAAATAAAAAACAATTATTTTTCAAATTAAATATTTTTCTTTTTGGTCAATTCAATCAATAAACAAAATATTTTAAATTTATTCATTATTTTTATATTTCATTATTTAATTTTAATAAATAGTCAAAAAACTAGATTAAAGTTTTACTTAAACCAAAATCTTTTAATTAATAACTTAAGAATGAAAAGTTTTTCACAAATTATGCAGCTGGCATTAAGCTTCATCTGCAGGATTTGTGTACCATTGATTTAAATTTCTTTTGCATATTCTAAATGGGAAGAGTCAGCAATTTAATTAGATAGGTTAATGCTTAATTTTAATCTTAATTAAATGAGATTTTTAGAAAATATCAACATAAAATCAAAATGAATAAAAAATAATTTTCTTATTTTGTCATGGGCTAATTTAGTAAACTGCATTGCATTTATAACTTTTTATTTTATACTACAATTTTCCTATTAAGTTAAATATATATTTTACAAAAAATCAAATTTAAATTTAATCAAAAAGAATAATTTTAAAATAATTTTTTAAGAATTTAAAGAAAAAAATGGTTGCTGAAAAATTTCAATAAGATTAAAATAAAAATTTTTTAATTTCTAATAATAAATAAATCAAAAAAATTTAATAAAAATTAAATAAAAAAATCACCCACCGAGGGGCTCGAACCCTCGACCACCAGCTTAAAAGGCTGGCGCTCTACCGACTGAGCTAGACGGGTATTCTTGAAATGGTTAATTAGATTTTAGAATTGAAAAAGAGAATAGAAAATGAATAAGTGTATGATATTATGAAAGGATATTATGAATTGCATATTTTTATTGGAATTATATTTTTTAATAATTTATTAAATTGCTTGTTTGTTTTTATATCAAATTGATTATTGATCAAATTGCTATTAAATCTTCTAACGAGAAAAAGAAATTTAAAAACAAGAGTCAAAATTAAACTAATTAAATCCAAACAAATAATACATAATAAAAATACAAGGTTTCTAATATATTTTTTCAAGCAAAAAAACAAGTAAATTTGTTGTCAAACAAACAAACATAGATAGATAGATATATTAATAAGCTCACTCACTGACACTCTACAAAATATACAATCAACTTTATAAATTTATAGCAAAGCATGAGATTATTAACTGACGAAGAAACTAAAGTCTTTTTCACTAAGCTTTCAGAATACATTGGCCCAAACATTAAATTCTTAATCGATAGAACTGATGAACCTCACGTTTTCCGTCTTGTAAAAGATCGTGTTTATTACATGAGTGAATCAATTATGAAATAAGCTCAAAATATTGGCAGAGACTAGTTGATGCAGTAATTTTTTATAAATTTTTTCATTTAAATTTTATCCTTAGTTATCACTCTAGCAAATAATCTACATTTTTTGTCAATAAATGGCTAAATTGTCAATTATTGAAAATAAAAAAAGCACTTTAATTTTAATTAAGAGCAAGCAAGCAATAACATCTAATTCTACTTTGAGAATTTTACAAATCTTTATGATAATTAATGTCAAAATGTATTAATAAATTATTATTTACTACTAATTAGCGCTGGTACATGCTTTGGTAAATTCACTAAGGGTGGAAAATTCAGATTGAGCATCACTTGTTTAGATTATTTAGCCAAGTTTGCCAAGAATAAAGTCTGGCTCAAACCTTAGGGTGAACAATCTTACTGTTACGGTAACCACGTTATTAAGGCCCACGTAGGTAGAATGACTGAAAATATAGTTTAATACGCTGGTGTTGTTATTTTCTCTATGAATGACATGCCTCTTGGTTTTGGTATTGCTGCCAGGGGTACTCTTTAAGCCAAGGATATGGATCCTACTGGTGTTGTTGTTTTCAATCAAAGTGATGTGGGTGAATATTTACGTAACGAAGACGAAGAAAGATCTGCTGCTTAATAAAATCAATAATAGTGAATCAGCAATTGATGAAAGAAATATATTGAACGGATACTTTTATATACATTAAAAATTAAATTCTCCAGCAAATTCACAAACTATAAACATAAAATAATTTTAGAAAGCATTACACTAATTTATTTTTGTAAAGAAATTAACAAAGTAATAAGTTAAAATACTGCAAAACACACCAGCTAAACAAAAAAACAAACAATTAGTAGGATGATGCTTTAGAATAAAAAAGAGTTTAAACAATTCCTGTCTGCTTTAAAATAAAAATATAAATTTTATAAGAATATCAAAGACAAATAAAATTAATATCTACTTAAATCTGTAATATATAAAATAATTATTATTTCGTAATTAATCAAATCTTATCATTTAGAAAGGTTATCAAAAAGTTAGTTTTCTTTTATATATAATTAATAAAATAATAAATAAATAAATTAACAAATAAATAAATAAATTCTTTTTGTTCTATTTTTAATTCAAACGAAAATTTTATTTTAAAAAATGAATTTAAAATAACCTTATCTTATAAAAACCAGTAATTAAATATTTAAGCATGATTTTTAGAATTATTAAACCCTAATTAATTTCATTTAATTTACATAATAAATTTAATAGAATTTCCTTATTAATTAAATATTATCATTTAAAATTTAGTAATTTTTATTTTTATAGTAATAACATAAAGTTGATAAAATTTACTTATATTTAAATTAGATAATTTACCAAATGCTCAGATTAATCTAGATTGTTTTGAGGTATGAAATTAAATAAATGAATATAGCTTTAATATCTTTTTATATTAAGGATCAATAGAATGTTTTGAAAAACCGAAATACATAAAAAAGTAAATACTTAAAACTTTGGATTTTGGCTGATTGAAAAATTTTCACATTCTATCGATTCATTTATAATAGGGGACTTTTTTGAGTTAGAAAAAAGAATAATATCTTTTAGTAATTTGATAATAATTCAAAATTATAAAGAATAGTGTTAATGTTTATAAATACTAACATCTTGGATTTTATGCTTTAAACATTTAAACGGTGATTTAAATATAGTGATATATAGCTTATAGGATTTTAAAATCTTTAAAGATAATAATTTTATTAACCAAACAATATAGAGATTAAGCTTATTTTTAATAAACAATACATCATATAAAATAGTTTGTATAAAATGAAAATTAATTTACATAATTTATTTTATATTTATTTATCAATGAAATAGACTATTTTTTAGCAATTAAATAGTTTTATAAGATAAAAATACGCATAAAATTAAACAATTACAAGATATTCAAAGATAAATTAATTAATATTGAAATTTTATATAGCCTTTTTGTTTTATTTTTAAGGTGATTTGTTTATTGATTTATTTATTTATTTAGTTTATTTGTTTGTTTACTTGCTTGCTTGCTAGAATTTTTAAGTATTGCTATATTCTAATATCACAATAAATTAATTGATATTATTTTCAATCAAATATTCTTAATGATTATTAGCAAGGTTTTCTGCAAAATGCACATTATTTTTATTTTACCATTTCTTCAGCACAAGCTCCACAGTATTTTTTATGTCCACAAGGGATTAATGTATATGCACTTTCTTCATTCATACAAATTATGCACATGTTCTCATCATCTATATCTTACTTTTGACCTTAAATATTATTAATTTTATTAGAATTATTTAGAGGCTGAGGAGATAATTATTCATTTAGCTTAACTTGAGGATATTGCTTTATTTATTATGGAGGTAGACTTGGAAGCAACATTTTATTTGGTTATTTATAAGATTATTATAGTGCCTCTGATTAGGCTTCTTGTTGTGAGGCTTATTTTTACATTTATTAGTTTTAATAAAAGAGCACTTAACTTTGTGGTTATTAAGGATAGTTATGATTGATTTATTAAGGGGCTTTTTGGTCATCATCAGAATTACTACTATCAGAAAAGTTATGTAACAAAAGATTATCATTGTTGTTGTTATTATTTTACTAATTTTGAGCTTGATTTTAAGGAGCAACAGCTACATTGTTTTATTTCTTTTTTTAATTAAATAAAATTTAAAGAAAAATCATTAATTTAAAAATAAATTTATTACATTAAATTAGGCACGACTTGCTCCGAAATCAATATTATCAATAACAATTTCTCTAGTAAGAATCTTTTCATAGTATCTTAAAGACTGTATATAATTATAAATATTGATTAAGCATAGACTATAAAATATAATAAAATGTCAAAAATGAAATTTTTATTTACATTGTTAATTCTTTCAATGATCTTTAATAGCTTGTCCATCATTGACTCACTAACATTCATGCTTTTTAAGATTAATATAAGCTAAATATTTGAAAATAAATTTTATTTTTGGATTACTTTAAGCATAAAGTTAAAGAGTTTTAGTAAATTTAAATTGATTTCTTTAACTCTCTTAAGTCTTCAGAATCTATAACATCTTTATTTAATTTGCAGCTGTCTATGACATCCTTTAAAAATAAACAAATGAATTAAATTAAGTTTTTCTAACATTAATTATAAAATAGATCTAATTTGTCAAAGAAGATTGATTGATTCAGTCAGTCAGTGGTTGACTAAACAAAATAATATTTTGTCTTTACTTTATCAATAAATAAATAAATTGAAATTGAAGTATTTAAAATAGATAAAATATGATTTAATCACTTAAAAAATATAGTAAAATGATTATTTACGTCAAACATTTAGACTAAATTTTCTGTAATTTCAATTTATTTTTCAGGAGGGAGCATCATCTATTATGGAGCAACTTATTATTAATTTGGTTTAAAGGCTTGTTGTTAATTTTATTAGTAAGCTTGTTGTGCTTACAAAGGCTAACTATAGGTTTAAGAGCGACCTAACTAAGCTGAATTATATTAATTTTATATAGGTGGTTATTGATACTAATTTCCTACACTATAGCTATGTGTGGCTGATTTATGAAAAGATTATTTCTTAATATTTTCTTCTGAATATTGTTCAATGTCATTTCCATATGCCAAAAGTTAAAATTGCTTTTGATCTTTATTGTATTTGATTGTGAAATCAATGTTTTCAATTTGGAAAGTATGGTCTAAATTATCCTTTTTTCTTTGATTTTTAATTTAAAAAAACATTTTAATTAGTTCACTTCTTTGCAATATGCTTAATTAATTCTATGATTTACATGTTAGCTTTTAATAATGTTAATTCATTTAGCTTCAGAATCTTTTGGTTAGCTAAATCGCTATAAACGAAGTGAATCGTGTAATATGACTTGTTATTCACGAGAATAACCCATTCTATTTCCTTTTCAGTTCTAAAAATAAAAATATAAGTTTGAGAGGTATTCATAAAATCAAGTATTTACAATTTAAATAAAGAGCTTGCATTTTTAATAGATTTCTTTTTAAAAATTAATGACATTTCTTTAGAATTGAGTGTATTATTTTTTAATTATTTGTTTGTTAATCTATTTTTGGATGAAATTCTTTTTTCTTTTTGATGTTTTTAATATTTAATACAAATGATCTATCTTACTTGAAAAAAAAATTATATTTAAAGAGAAGAGTATATTTATATATGTTTTAAGCAAACAAATGATTAACATCATCTTATTATCAAAAAAAAAAAAAAAATTAAGTTCTATAGGATGTATCAAAACTATATTTCTGAAAATATTTACATTAGTTAACATCTAATGTTTGTTACTTCAGCTTTCAGAATAAACAAAATAATCATAGTAAATAAAGTTTCTTAATTTTAATGTAGTACTTCTATCTTATTTTATTAACACAATTCTTAAAGCTCTATTTTTATTTTTTAAATTAAAATAATTGTAATAAATCCATTGCTTATTTAGTTTTAAATCATGAATTAACTTTCAATCTATTAGATTTTATTTAAATAATAATCTTTTAATCTTTCAATTTTACTCATTAATTCTAACAAATTTGTTTTAAATTAATTGACTGTATTATTTTTGTTATTGTAACTAAAGTAACTTTTGCAATTAAACCTTATTAATTTAAATTTGAATTATTTATCTATTCACTCCTATTCATTAAATCTACATCTTTTTTTAACTAAAAATATAATATATTACAAAAATTAAAATTATTGCTTTTTTATATATATTTTTGTATAGTATTAGACCTCCTCTCTATAAAACATATACCCTCATTTAATTTAGTCTTTTTATAGACTTTAAAAATTAGTTCTAATACTTCATTAAAAAATTAATAATATTTAGCTAATTGAAATTATAATTTTAAGATAAAAATTAATTAAGGTACTTTATGATATTTTTAGATAAATTTTGAAGTTATAATAGCAGAATGATAATAAAAAGCCTAAATGAAGACTTACTAAAATAAAAATTTTTTATTTTTTCAAGTCTCTCAATCATATTTTGCAATATTAGCTTGACTTTTGATCTATAAAAAAAAAATATATTCATTTTAATTATTTTTGTGGATATTCTAACTGCTTTTTAACTTTAGTAGTAAATTTTTAATTTTTTACTAATTCCATCTTTTAGCTAAAAAGTAAATATTTACTTTTAAAATATAAAATTTAGTTAAAAATAAAAATAATATTTTGGATAATCTTAATTTTCTAAAATAAAGTTGATTAGTGATAGAAAAACTATAGAATTTAATTAAATTAGAAAAAAAGTAAATTATTAAGAAGGATTCTAATTATATTCAAAAATAATTTTATTACTTGAGAACATATATCAGAATCAATTAAATATATTCGTTAAATATTTTTAGTGTTTGGTAATAAATAATTTATTTATTTATTTAATTTTTTAAGTTTAATTTTTATACTTATTAACCAATAACTTTAAGATTAATTAAAAAAAAATATGATAGACGATTCAATCGATGACATTGATTTATAAGCTTAAAACATTGATTTATTTAGAAATTAGTTGATTGTAAAAGGAATGTATGATCACTACTTTGAAAAGGTTTGAATTTAGCTTCGATTTCTTTTTATTTGCAATTTATCAGAGCGAATTACCATAAATTTGTTAAAAAATTAGGAGAAGTATCTATTAAAATAGTATTAAATACTAGATTACCTTTAAGAAATGTTAGTACCAAAATACATAAATTAGTCTCACAACTTTATGAGCTTGATGATAAACTTTAATGTAAATTAATCTGTCTTTGAAAATATATGTTTTATCTATCATTCAAATTATTTTATTATAGAGAGAGAGATTCAATAATAATCAAAACCATGATAAAGAAACCCAATTCATCACTATATTTACTTATAGCTTAAGATTTTATTGCAACTAAATATATGAATTAGAGTATCTTTATAAGCTAATTTCTGCGTCCGATAGATTAGGATTGTCTATTTTAGTTAAATACTTCAAAATTAGAAAGCTTATCTTTTCATATATTTATGATCATAGAAACACTATCATTTTTTTGGACTAATATAATTTGTAGTTTGGTAATCAAATTATATTTACAATTGCATACAAAAAATATTTGCTTAAAAAATCTCTTCTTCTTAATTAAATAAATAATTTGCAATTTATTAAAATCTATCTTTAATTATTAAAAGAGGAATGGTCGGGAATAATATGCAGAATATTTGGGCCTGAATAAATTACTTAAATAGGGAACTAGATAAGAAAATTAAATTAAGAATAAAATAAGGCTGACAAAATTTGGAAAAATGGTATTAATTCATTAGAATTTATTAAAATATGCATGAAATATTCTCGCAAATATCCAGTTAAAAGCAAAACTTCTTCCTCTTTCTCACCAATTAGGAATGCTGTAAATAAAAGTGAAAAACAAATCTTATAAAGCTTTTATTAGCATTAAGAAACTTAAAACTAAAAATTTAATAACCCAATACCTAATGAAAAAGTTTTTAGCAGCAACAACAAAAATAGCTTTATTTTTAATGCTAATAATAGTTTTAGCAACAAAAAAGAATAAATTAGTAACTCCTCTGTCAGTAAATCTCCTTAGAAATCTTAATAAAATAAAAAGAATAACTCCTCTGTGGTACATAATTTGCCTTCTAAAAGTGAAGCAAGCTTACCCAAATCTAACAAAGCAGATATAATGAATCAAACTCCTAGGCTATTTTATAAGCCTCAATAAAATGTATAAACAAAAATATTAATTTAGGAATAATTTATTCAATGTTCAAAATAATATATTAGAAAATTGAGAAACCCCAGAAAACCGAGCAAAGTACTAAGCAACCATAGTTTGTTACTAAAGATGGAGTGGTTATAAATCAAGAACTTGCTATTAAATATGAAGAATTAGAAAAGTTTACAAAGAAATTATAGTTTACTATTAGCTAATATATAGCAAATGTAAAATTATTTTAAAATATTTAAATTAATATTTTTGATTACATTTAACATATTTTTTTTATTGCTATTTGAATGTTTATTAAATATCACTTTTTTATTTAATCGAAAGTAATTTTTGATCCTATTTAATTATTTATCAAACATAATATTTCTGCTGAAGAGTAACTTACTTTTGATACTTACTACATTTTTAATTATTTTTTATCCCTCTTTTTTGATTTAAAGAGTAATTTTACAAACATTTTTGGAAATAATTCAACAAAATAAAAGCAAAAAAAAGTAAGTCCACAGAATGAAGAAGAATTAAGCAAACTTTCTAAGTAGCTAAACTTTGATAAATATGTAGAGAATCCTTACATGCTTTTATAATGTAAATTATTTATTGCAAAAAAAGAATTTATATTATTAAATTTTGCTCTAGAAAAATTATAAACAGGAAAAAAGAATGAAAATAAATAAATAAATATTAACTTTTTTATTTAAAAGAATCAGTAAATGTGCCTTAGTCAATCTAAAAAGACTATGCTATGAAACAAAACGAGAATTCGAGATATTGATGAGTTTTTAGAATATTTATTGTATCTTAATATATATTGTGTTTATTGTTACACAAAAAAAAATCAAATTTTTAAAAGAAAAATAAATCATTTGTTAGCTAAAAATTTACAAATATTATGGCTTATGTTAATATTCATTCGATAAGTGCTCATCTGATCATAATTAACTTGTAATATTTTTTATTTGTCTGATGATGTTAGCAAACTTATATTTTATTTTAAATGTTTGTTTAAAATGCTTATTTGATTAAATATCTAAATTGAAATCTATCAAATTATTTAATTCAAAGACCATTAAATTAATTACAAAAAATAAACTAATAAACAAATAAAATCACATATATAAACATTGATTGATTGAGTCTCATACAAACTAAAAATGGAAGAACGCATGAATGAAAATATAGTTAAATTGTATTATTTTACTTCCCTTTATCGCCCAAGGATACACTTTACCATCGGTTCTAGCTACCTTAAAAGCGACGAAGAAGCGTTGCACTGGGATCAGTACATAATGAAAAAAAGTTCATGTAGAACTGATGTCTATGAATAGGATTTTATTTTGGAATACGATTAATATCTGGAATTTGTTTTTTGTAGTGATAATGAAGATGATACTAAAGTGAAATGGGAGAATCCTCGATAAGACACAAAGCAGTCTTACACAAAGGGAAATAACTTTTTAATAGACTAAACAGGGGTTTTTGCAATTTATCAAGGGTATATAGTGAAAGTTAATTAGTAAAAGCTACCTGATAAGCTAGTTATTTTTACAGATATCGATGGAACTCTCTACGGAGATTTCCACATACATGAGGCTTTTAAAAGATTTTTTATAACTAACGGACTATTTTGTAATGCAAACTTAAAGCTCGTGTATTCTACAGGTATACTTCAAATTTATTTCATTAAAAAAAATCAAGACATTATTAATTAAATCTAACTCTCAACCTCTATTTATCAATATAGATTGTTAGATATTCTATTTTTAAATTATTACTCTAGTGAAACAAAAAATACAGATGAAATTTCATATATTTTTTATTTACAAGTCATAAAATTCTATATTTATATCTATCTATCTATTTATTCAATTTCATTTCGATTTTATTTTATGGCTTGTAAATAAAAAATATAATTTTAAAATAGCTCAAAACTATTTCTTTTTTCATTTATTTTTTCTTTTGATTAAAATGGTATTTTAAAATTATTTTATTTAATGTATGTATGAATAAAGGTAGAAATCTATAAAGCTTTAAAGATTTGTAAAAGAATGTTCATTTGCTTTTTCCTGATATTTTAGTTGGTTCTTGCGGCTCTGAAATATACTAACTTGGGACATCGTAAGATGAATTTGAAACGAATCCATATAATTAAAATTAAGCTTGGATTTAATATATCACTCAGGATAATTGGGATTTATAAGCATTATATGACTTTGTGAAGAAAGAATTTCCAGCTGCATGGCCAAATTTGAGTGAAGGAGTCAGTTTATATAAAGGTTCTTTCCTTTTAACTGAAAAAGATTCTAGATAAAGAGATAAATTAGATGTAAAATGAATGAAAATGTTATATTTGGCTTAAGTAAATTTCATTTTTAATTTAATAGGTATTGATGAAAAAAGCGTTTTTAGAGCTTAAATAAAACTGGAAATATATAATATCTGGCCACGGAAATCATAGATTCTTGGACATACTTCCAGAGAGAGCAGATAAAGGATCATCTTTATAGTTTGTTTGCATGAAAATTCTAAAAACTGATTATACAAAATCTGCTGCCTTCGGTGACTCTTTGAATGACGTAGATTTGCTTTGTTGTGCAGGTTAAGGATTTATTGTAGCAAATGCACAACAGGATTTATTGGACTGGTTTTCTTAAAATTAGTCAAGGTTCTAAAACGTAAAAGTAAGTGCATATCATGAAGGTGATGCTATTGCAAAATATCTTCAACAAATACTAAAAGGATATAGCAAATGAAAATAAATTATTAATTAATTACTTTTATTAAATTATTACTTTCCAAAAATATAGATTGATAGATAGATAGATAAATCTGTAAATAAAAAATTAATATTTTGCATTCTCTTAATTTATAAGCTTAACATAAAATTTTCACCATAAAAACTTTTTTTTACTATAATATAACAAACAAACAAATATTTTATAAAAACTGTAAATTAATAAATTATTTAAATTGCTATTTTAATTTTGAAATAGAATTAAATTTATTTTTCTATTTATTATTGAGAAGGAATATTATCTTTTTTGAAGAAAATTAACAAATCATATATTTAAATCTATTTATACATTTTAAAGTATTATTATAAATCAAAGTATAATTTACATTTCAATAAAAGCAGTATATATTATTATTTAGCTTCATTTTATAATCGTAACGATTTCTAGAGTTTTTAGTAATTGGTTATATTTATAATCTATAATCAATTACCCAAAGGGGGTTCTGCAACATGTAAAAAACATATCACTTTTTAATATATCTATTTTTCAAAATTAATTTGGAAATTTTATTGAACTTTTAAAATAATATAATGGTACCTAATTTTATTTATTAATGTAATATAATATTATGTCACTATTTTTAAATAATAATAATAAAATAATTTACTCTCCTATATGAATAGAGAGGTAAGTTAAAATTATGATTTTCTATTATTTTGAATTAAAATTTAATAATATTTTTTCGAAAAAAAGAATAAAATGTTATAACATTAATAGTCAAGAGAATAAATAATTAATTAGATCTTAATTCTATTTTTGAATAAATATCAAAAATTTTTTCCTTTCTCATTTATATTTTCTTATATTGCTTTAAAATTTATTTTATTTTAGGACAAAATGAATACTTCATTCTTTATTTAAATGAAGAATAATTCAACAATTGTGCTTTTGAAATAAATGTTTTATATTAATATAAATAATTTGAAGGAGTTTTGAATATAATTTAAACTTTATATTTTTTATAATCAAATCCAAATCTTATTTCAGTTAAATTTGTTATAGAAATGTTACATCTGAATTTTATTTTTAATATAAAAAATACAAGATTTTAAAATTAAAATAATTTATTGCAGATGTTTCAATAATAAGGAGCATCTTTAACTTATATATTTGTATATGTAATTGCGTTTTTATTTAATTCTGCCCTTCTGAGTGCTTCTTGTTCTTCTAATAATTTCTATCTCTCTTCTTCTTCTTTTCTTCTAACTTCTTCTAAATCTATTTCTGGCTCTGGAGGTTTAAAGCAGTCTTCATCCTTTTCTACTATAACTTCTTTCTCAATAATATTTTCAATTACACTATTTAAATAAACATAAATTTAGTTAAAATTAAGCAAATTATATTGTATCATTTACTTAATGCCAAAGCTTAAGCGAGTAAAAACAACTCTTTCGACCAAAAGATCTATTGTTACTACTTCTTAGTCTTTTACTTCATCCAATTTTAATTGTCCTGATGCCTAAATTGTAAATAAACAATTAGATTGCAAATAAATCTAAGTATTTTTACCACAAAATCATAGGATTGGTAGGATTTCAAAATAAAATCTAAACTGTTTCCACAAATATTAAAGATAAATAAGTTGTTTGTAATTGGTGCTTCTTTTTTTTCTACATTTTATTTTTAAAAATGAAATTAATTCAATTTCTTCATTCTAAACCTAGTTTTATCATTAAATTAAAGTAATTACAATTTGATACTCTGAAAGGCTTAGAAGTTACTCTCTTAGACCCATAATATATTTCTAAAAAGTAACCTCCTTCAATATCAGGTACATAGTGCTATATCTTATCTACTAACTTAAGATTAGAAAATGTAATTCTAATTTCTTTCATATCTATTTCGTGGATATTAAATCTAGCTAACTAACTAACTAACTAACAAACAAATCAAATATTTATTATTACTATATTTTTTTTATTAAAAAAATTTAAGCGGTTTTAGAAGTTTTATTTATAAAGCATAATATAAACTCAATCTATCAAATAATTACTAGCCAATCAACATTTTAATATAAAAAAATAACTATTTTATCTTATGATATAGATTTTAATATTTAAGATACATAGCATTAAAATTTATATAAAAGTAAATAATCTCTATGATTCTACTCACAAAATATTATTGATTTTAAATAGCAAACCAAATTTAACTCTACTTCTTTTTAAAAAATGATTAAAAAGTTAAATTTGATAACTTGCTATTAAAAATTGTGTTTTAAGACAAAAAAAGATATTCTTACATATCTTAATTAAAAATATTAATTCTGGAATTAATTAATTTAAGATTATTCTTTGCAAATAATTATATATATATAGATAGATTTAAGAAATTTTTGATAAAAAATGAACAGATTAATTAGGTTAAGTTTAAGGAAATCTTTTACAAACAGAGAAGAATATGAATCCATATTCACTAGATTATTTAAAAAGTCGGCAAGAAATAGCATTTAGAAAGTTAATCCTATGACAGGATAGACCAATAAAAAGAATCCTATTATTGCACTTCTAGAAGATCCAGAGCCCGATGAGAAAATGAAAGATCTCAGTCAATACGATCCTAGAAATAGAATAACTATGAGCGTAAAAGAAGATAAGGAAATATTTTTGGAAGAGAATAAAGATATTAGTGATTTAGAAAGAAATCGTATGCAAAATATTGACAAAGTGTTAGGAACAAAGACGGTTTTTCATGAAATCAAGACGTATGAGGAGAGACTTGATAGCGAACATGTGATGGAAAGAAAAATTGTTAAACTTGAATAAGGAAGAATTAAAAAAACTGCTATTGATAGATTGCTAACAACAGATCCTTAAAAGAAGCGAGACTTGCCCAAGATTAGAAATTTTAGTGAATTTAGTAAAAGAATGATTGATATGCGTATTTACCCTTAACATGATAAGGAGTCAACTGTGTTAAAAACAGACTTTGAAACACTAGTTGATTAATATTCTTACCTTTAACTAAATAAATACAAAAGTACTACTGAAATTGAATCTATGAGTGAGCAAATAGAAGCAAAAGAAAATTCTCAAACTCAATTCGAAAATGAAATGACTTAAAAGAAAATTGATTCGTTTATTCAAAAAGAAAACATGTATTCAGATATGTCTCTAATTAAGGTCTCTTAGTTAGAAGATTCTTTGCTTAGTGATCTTAAAAAAAAAACTGATATCCATGATAGTGTTCCTTTATATACTGATAAGTAAATAACTTAAAATTAAATTAAAGCAATTTCAAATTATACTTGATTGAGTAAATTCGGTTTAATTTAACTCTTAAATTTTAATTAATTAATTTGAAATTAGATTTATTTATTACAACCGCGATCCAAGAGTAACTAAAGAATGCCCTTTGAGTTTGTATAGAACTAGCATTTAAAAATTTAGATTTAAACCTTTCAATATTATGGAAGTTAATCCTGAAAATAATGAAGAAGAATAAGTTATAACCAAGTAAGAGATTCTTAACTTCTTAGAAAACTATGTTGAATTTGATAAGAGAATCGAACATCTTGCAGACGAAATCGAGCTAGGACATGTTATGTTTTAAGACATTATTTACAGTCCTGACCATGATTACATTTCCTTTATTTTTGATATTTACAATAACAATTAAGAATATATAATGATCATCAAAGATATGAATTCTAAAAAGTTAATTCCTCGTATATTTTCAAATATTGATGATACAGTTGCATATGATTGCTTTAACAACATTTATTTATCTCAAAAAAATGATCTTGGTAGATTCTCCATCATCTCAAGCCTCAATCTTTAAGATCCTGAAATCTCTAAAATATAACCTAAAACTATCATTGAAGAGAAAAATCCTAACTTTTAATTCAGAAGTAAATATTTATATTTAACATTTTTATAAATGTTTTAAAATTTTCAAAATAAATTATTGTGATTTCAGTAATTAAATTTTTCTTAAGATAATATCTATTTAAATTTTATATTGCATCATGTAAATAAAATAAGAATTAACATAAAGAAAGCCAATTCAGAATTAAAAAATCATAAAGTTTTTGTTAAAAGAAATATTTCTTTTTTCTTTATAAAACTAATAAAATTATTTTAAGTAAGTTGCAATCAAATGAAAGCAATAAATAAATAAATAATTTCAATAATAAAATAAATGGCCATTTATAAAACTATTTTAAACAAATGGGAATAAAAAAAATTGATAGCAATAAGTTAAAATTTCATTAATCTTTCATAAAATTAATTTAATTAAATATAAAAATACTTAATAAAAAACAGTTAGATAAATAAGTAATAAAGATGTCATTCTTATAGACTCGTGCTCTATTGGTGGAAATGATTAAAATTAACTTTATTTCAAAGAAACTTATATGCCTAATACAGACTTTAGACTTATTTTAGTAAAATTTATTTATTTGAATTGGAAAATATAAATAGAATTTATTTATAGGAAAGAACAGTTGACACTTCTACTAAATTGAAGATGGGAGATACAAGTGTTTTTTATACTTAATCATATAAAAATGAAAGACCTACAAAAGTAAATTTTTTTAATTATAAAAAATAAATTAAATATTCAAAATTTTTTAGTTATATATGAATAATTACACCAAAGGCAGTAGAGAATTACTTGAAATGAAACAATCTTAAGAAACAAAACCTTCTGTTGTTAATATAAATGAGGTTTATAAAGAGGCTAAAAAAATGGTTGAAAGCAACACACTTAGCACTGGTACATTAAAGTCCCAGTTTTTGGAGATGGTATAAAAAGAGAAATATTAAGCAATTGAAGTAAGCTTAAACAAAGAATTATTCTTTGAAGCAGGAATAGATGAATATATCAAGCACTTTGAAGTATTCTAGCATTATGTAGCTATTCTAGTGTCTAAAATGCCAGAATAAAAAGATTATATCAAAATTTACAATTTTAAAACAAAATCTTTCCACACACTCTCCTTTTAAGAAGATTTATACGATATATAACCTGAATCCAACTAATACTATACTTCTAACTCTTATAATTTTACATTGATGGTAACTATTTTCAATTACGATTTTAATTCAAAAATAAATAAATAAATAAATAAAATATATTAGACTCCTAATTAACCTTTAAATTTTATGAGCTATAATATGGCTATGAGGGAATGTTAATCATATCACCTTAGGTTATTTGTCAACTTTTAAAGCTAAAACTATTAAATGGAAAGGTAATAAATATTTTAAGTAACATGAATAGTGTTAATATTTTGTAAATTAAAAATAAATAGACTTTAAGCAAAATCAAGAGACGGATCTGAAATTCCATTTACTTTAGTTTACAATAAATAATATGTTAATGCTAACAGTCCTTGTATTTTATATTTAAATTAAGAAGAAAACAGTAGAGGAGCTTATGGTAATATATAAACATTATAACATATTTTAATTATAATTTAAATATAAGACTTAACACCAAATATGGTTTCGTTACTTGATAGAGGAGTTATTATTGCTTATCCCCACATGAGAGGTATATTTATTTATTTATAAATAAATTATATTAAAAACTAATTTAAAAATTGATTATTCTGATAAGGTACTTATGATATTAGTGAAGAGTGGTTCAAGGCTGGGTGTGCAGAGAGAAGATTAACTAATTTTTGTGATTTGATAGATGTTGCAAAATATATTAAGGAACAAGAAATATCAAACAAAATTTGTGGCTATTCTACTACACCTTTATCTGGACTTTCTTTGTTTATGGCTGTTTTGAATGAACCAAATCTGATCAGATGTTCTGTTTATCATGTAAATAATTACCTTAATTAATTTGTAATAAATTAAATTTTTATTCTACTTTGTTTTGATAGAATGGTATGTTCGATATTATTGAGTATCTATAAAATAATCAAAATGCTGATACACTCAAAATTTTTGGAGATGTTAAGTCTGATTAGGATATTTATGAGTTTGTAAAAGAATATTCGCCTTACTAGTAAGATTTATCTGAAATTGATTTTGAAAACATGATGTTTACATGTAACAGTAAGCATCCTTTAGCTTACTAAACCAGAAAGCTTGTAGCCAAATTAAGAGAAAATAAAGAAAATACAGAAGTATATTTTAGAGAATATTTGATGATGCCTTAAGAATCTTAAGAAATTCAACAATTTGCCTTTTTATTAAGCATAGCTTTCTATAGTATGGATGCAGATAAAAAAACTTATATTAAACCTGAGGAAAAAGACTATGGTGATGATTTTGATGATTTCCGTAAATGAATAAACCATAATAAAAATAAATTTAATTAAAATATTATTAACGTAAATAAATATTTTGTATATATCTATCTATCTCCTTATTATTTTTATATTTATTATTTTAAAAGCCTCAATCAATTATTCAAATTTTATTTATCCATTTTGTAAATAATTATGCTTGAAAATTGATATACCTTCATAAAAATCAATTTCAGTTATTCAACAGTTTACATTGTTAATCCAGAAATTAAAATATCACCAACTAACTATCAACTGTGTTGGTAGAGATGAAGATATGCTTTTTAGATAATTTTGTTCATTCATTACTTTAATTTTTTTTATAATTCTATTTTTTCAAATTTTAACAAATTTTTATAGCATTTAATGCCTTTTCTCAAATTTTGAAAGTAAAAAAATTTTTTTTTTTTACAAATTTTGAAAACATTCAAATATCTTTTATATAGTTTCATTTGGAATATTCACGAGTTTTAGTTTCAAATATAGTAAGGTAATTAATTCTGTTTATAAATTAAAATTTAATTTTAAGATAATAAAAACTTTTTAAAAATGCTTACGTTAAATATTAAGATTCATATTAAAATGTTTAATTCATAAAATTATTTAAAAATATTTTTCTTTTGATGGATTAAAAAAAGAAAACTTTGTTTTGATGATAATTTCAATTTAAAAAATGTGAATTGAATAAATAGATCTTAATTATAATATAAATATTAGCTTTACATAAAATTATTAATGGAGAAAGATTTAAGTAGAAAGTAAAAATAAATAACCAAAATTAAGCAAATTAAAAAACATATTTAGTAAAAGATATTAGAATCCTTAGTATATTTAAAGAGACTTAAAAAGTAATAAGTAGGTGTTCCTAAAATAAAAGAATAAGTTAATAAGCAGAAAAAAAAGAAAAAGAAAAAAGTAAAGAGGGTTATGGAAAAGAATAGTTAATAGTCTATTATTGTAGGATATCATTATCCATGTATAGATGGTGTTTTTAGTGCGTTAAATTGCTTTTTATCATTGAAACTTTACAATCAATTTAACAAAGATTTGATGGAAAGATTACTAAGTGAAGATTTTGAAGACTGTTATTTTAATGGATTTAATTAAAAAAGTAAAGATTAAAATGATAAGACAGCTAGTGAAAAAGTAAAACGAACATTCATATATTTAACTAATTAATTTGTTATTGTCATTTAAAATGTTAACTATTCTAGGTTTAAAGTGAAGTAAAAGAGGAGTAGAAGTAATCATAATAAGAAATTAGCGAATTATCAGAAGATGTTAATTAGCTAAAATAGAGACTTTAGCTGCACAGCGAAGATTTAAAAGGGTATTTATATAGTGATTCTTTTAAGCCTATGAAATTTGTTCCTAGCAAAATTTAATAAGATTCTACAGAATAAGGAAATGTATATTTGAAATTTAAAACAGTTGATAAAGCTAACTCTGTTTTAATTCTTTTAGATTATTACGGATAAAGTGCTGAGAATTTACAGAAATTTTGTGATCAATATAAAAAAGTTATTGTGATTGATCATCATATCACATTAATTAGTACCTTAGAATAAATTGTTTAAAACCAAAATTAGCTGAATTAGGAATCAACTTAAAATTCAGAGCAAGATAAAAATTAACTGGATGATCAGTAAAAAGAATCAAAAGATTAAAATGATTATTGTATTCCTATTCATTTATCTAAAGCTATTAAGAATATATTTCCAAATCTGAATATTATTTACAATAGAAGAATGAGCGGCGCAAGCTTAACATTTGACTTTTTTACAAAATTATTTAATTATAAGGATTACCTTAATGATTAGCTATACGAGCATATAAAGGAAATAAGTAAAATGGTGGAGATTTATGATACTAAATTTGAATAAAATAGAAGGGCAGAAGCTTTTGTTGCTAATGTAATATCTAGTTAATATGAATTAAATGCAAGATCAAACTACTTTATTTTTTCTAAATTGGTTAATTGCTATATAGAAGGTCATGTAAAATTAGGAGAGGGAATTCTTAACTCATTAGAAAAACAAGCAAATAATTTAGTCAAATAGAAATTCATAGTACATATCGGAGGGAAGTATAATACAATAGCAAAGTGTTATGCAGTAATTTCTTCTAATTTATCTATCACAAATCAAACTGCTCATAAATTAGCAGAGTTGAGTTTAAAAGATGGAATGGATAATGTAGGTTGTTTCATTATCTAAGATAAAAGTAAATCAAAAATTAAAGTTTCTTTAAGAAGTGATAATGATCCAAGTAAAGAATAAAAGTGTCATATTATAGCCTAGAGTTTTAATGGTGGAGGTCACCCTAGTGCAGCGAGCTTCTTTACAACCTTTTCCTAAGTAAAAAGCTGGAGATGAAAGGAAACAATTTAATATCTTTAAAACAAATTAATAAATAAATAATATTTTAATTTAAAAAAATAAGATAAAATCAATTAATTAATTTTTAAATAAATAATCTCATTTATAAATACATACGAAGCCTTTAATAAAAAATTATTAACTAATAAAAATGAATAAAAACATTTTTCAAATATATATTATTATTCTATAGTAAGTAATTCATAAATTAATTATTAGCTAAAACATAAAGATAAATGTCTTGAATCTTCAATTAAAATAATAAATCACTTTGATTAATATTTGAAATAGCATTATCTAAATTAATATTCAGCTAATTTAGATTATTTTATTTCCTATTTAAATAGTATTTATAGCAGCTTTTTATATAAATATGTGATTTATATTTAAATCATCAAAGTTTTTTTTTAATTTTCGTAATAAATTAGAAAAATTGATAATATAGTAGCATACATATGAATAAATTCTTTAAAAACCTTATTTTATTAGTTTTCTGAAAGACAGACTAGACTTTATAATAAAAAAACATTTAATGAACTAATTATTTTTGTAATTATCAAAAAATTAGAAGACAGAAAAACGTGAATTTTATTGGCTTTAATTTATTGCATTTTAAACATTTAAAAAATTGTACCTAAAAATAGTAAAATTAACATTTATAAAAACCCACTAAGGTATTGGTTGATTTGATTTTCTTAAAATTAAGTTTTTATTTTTTAGAAATTCATTGATTTTAATTTAAATAGCCAGAGGCTGGTTATTTGAAAATTATTTAAAAGACTATTTATTGTATTAAATTATATTTTACTTTGCAAACATATGTAGTATTAAATGGTAATAACATAATAAATTTGATTAAAAGTTTTTTTAGAAATAAACTAAAAACAAAACAAAATAAATTAACAATATAAAAGTAAACTAACATTAAAGGTTAATAGAACAAATAGCTGTAGAGAGAGACAATGTTGGCAAATTTTGATTATTTTGGCATACCAGTTTAGATGAGAGTCTCTAAAGATTTAAAACATAAGACAAATTTTGGAGGTTTAGTTACAATAGCGACTACTATCGCAATGTTTGTTTACTCGTACTTCATTTTAAACCAATGCTTTTCATATTTGAATCCAAATATTGTTAGTTAAGATTATGTGACTTCTCAACCAGATGATGTTGTTTTTAATCAATAACAATACACTTTTGCTATGGGCATATAAGATTAATCCTTAACACACTTTTTAGATGAGTCTATTTACTACTTAGATGTTTAGTTGATGGAAACCACTAAATCCTATAATGAAACAACCAATGAATATGATCAAAATACAGTTACCTAGCCAATAAAGATGGAGCGCTGCACAAAAAATCACTTCTAAGTTTAAGGTGCTTAAAGTTTTTTCGAAACCCTAAACTACACAAATATATACTGTTTACCTCTTGATTTTTAGCTTAGCTTAGCTGGTTAGTTTGGTGCGATGAAATACAAGCGCTTATACATTCAGGTTAAGAGTTGCATACAAAACTGCTCAGATGAAACTATTATTGAACAAAAGCTAAACAATGTGGCATTCTAACTTTATTACGTTAATTACATCATATCTCCTGCTAATTTAAATAATCCTTTTACTCCAATTGCTTAAAATACATTTTGGCAATCAGGATATTCCTTATTCAAAAACATCAACATATACTTTAGAAAAAATACGATAAGTACAGATCAAGGACTCATTACATAAGACTTCTAAAGTGACTATCGTATGATGTATAGCTTAGACAGAGAGACGATTGTAACAAAAACAGATAACAAAATGTATGAGCTGTACATTGGATTAGAAAAGAATAAATAATCAGAGTGTATAAGAACTTACATGAAATTGTTAAGTGCTACATCTTAAATAGGTGGTATTTTTAACATTTTTTTTATAATCGGTTCAATAGTTTGTTTTCCTGTTTAAAAAATTTCACTCTATTATAGGCTTATTGATTCTATATTTGATTTTAAAGAAAAAAGAGAAGAGGTTTAATTTTAATTTGAAAAAGATTATGTTGTTGAAAATAAAGTTTTAAGTAACACTAATTATTTTTCCAATTCTCAACATAAAAAATATAGAAAGAGTTTTGCGCATTAATCAAGAGATTAAGTTTTTAATAAACCTCTGAAAAATAATCAGAACTAAACAAATTTTATTTCCCTTGAAAATTCTTAAAAGCAAAATATATTTTAAAATATTCCAAAAAAATCAGATTCTTCATCTAAATTGCCTCATAAATACCTAGTAGATAATGTTAGCGAAGAAAATATTCAAGAAAATAAAACAAATTTGAAATCATAAAAATAAAGTTAGAACGATTAAAGCAGTAAATAAATTTAGAATACTAAATTGATTTCAAAAATTGGCGACTTACTTTCTTTTATATTTTAAAAATCAAAAAATATTAAATTTAACATTTCAAAAATGATGAAATCTTAAATAAAATACAAAACGAATTTTAAACCTGAATATTAAATGATAGACTATAGTATTTAATATCTATAACAATATCTTGACATAAGAAACATCATGAAAAAACTCTAGGATATTGAAAAACTCAAATACTTACTTCTTGATGAAAATTAAATTAAACTTTTTGAAAGCATTTCTAAGCCTACTCTGTATCTTGAAGATTTTAAAAATTAGATTAATGAACTGAATGCTAATAAAAGAAAACAAATTCCTGATACTGCAACTGAAGGAAGTTTTTTTTAATAATAAAGAAATAATAATGTTAAAAATTAATAGCCCTTTTACTCTATTATATAAATATAATAAAAAGATGAAAACTAAATGGCAAAAGAAACAGAGTAGGCTTTTAAAGAAGTTTATTAAGATAAGCAATCTATATCTCTTATAGATAAAAAACTATTAAAAATGCTAATCCCTGGGCTAATAGAATCTAATGAGAATGAGGACCTTAACAAATCAATAATTGATAAAAACATAACCTAATAACCCTTAACTCTAATAACCTCTCCTGCAAACAATAATAGTGGAGAAAATTATTAAAAATTTCTTTTTAGTGATGAAATCAAAAGCTAATAAATTCCTAAAAATTTAAGACTTAATAATTCTAATTAAGATTCCTCTGCAATACAGAGTATTTTTTCACCAAAAATGTACTATGAAGAGTGAATAAATACAATAAAAAATATTAAGAATTTTTGAAAATTTTAATATACTAGTATATATTTGATAATATATTTTTTAGTGATATGTGCATTTTACATTATTAGTAGCTGAAAATTCTAATAGTTTTCGATTTAAAAAAATGCTATTATGTTATATTAGTATATTTATTTAATTTAAATACTATATATCTTCCTTATTATTTATTTAATAATACTTAAATAAACACAATTTTACAAATTTTAGATTTTAATACATAATTAGATTTTAAAACAACTGATAATTGATAATTAATGATAAAATACAGTTTATATACTGAAAGAATGTATTTATAATTTATAAAAAAATAAAAAGATTATTATTTATTTATTTATTTAATAATTTTTTTGATAATAGTTATTGTTGAAAACATGTATTGAATATAAATTTTTTTCATGCTAATTTATTACTTTTAATTAAACTTGGCTTGATTGCACCCATTTCTCCCATATAACCATTTACTTGCTTATCGTATATTTTACCACGGTGATTTCTTTCGTGAATTTTTTGCTTCTTTGTGAATTTTTCGCGATAATGAACACGAGCATTACCACTTTTTGCCTTTCTTTTTCTTATTAAGTTTCCTTTGTTCTAAAGAATTTATGTAGAAATTTTTCTTGATTCGTCCTCGTTGACTTCTCTAATTTCGTATTTTTTGGCTAATTCCTCCTTTTTCTTTTCTTTTTCTTAAATCTTTTGTTATTTTCTAGAGATTTATTCATCTATTTATTATTACTTAGCCTACTTATAGAAGTCATCTTCAAACTCTTCACTATTTTATACCTTTTTGTTTGCTTCTTTCTTTTTGATTTTGTTTAAGTCAACCTTTTTAGGTTCTTTGAGAAGCATATCGCCATCTTCTTCATCATCAAGCATCCATGGCTCAACACTATCCATATTTATTTCTCCATCATCTTTCTTTTTAGAAGGTGCTGCTTATTTAACCTACTTTTTAGATGCTTAAACACCTTTTGAAATTCTAATATCTTCTTCATCATCACTGAGGAGACTATTTTCTGATTCTTCATCTTAATCAAAATCATCAAATTCATCATCATCCTCTCCTGATTCGCCGTACATTTTTTTTAATTCTTCTTACAATTCTCTTGCAAGTCTTTGTTACTCTGTCTCTTTAGAATTTTTATTTTGATTTTTTTAATTGAGTTTCCTAAATATGATAATATAATTTTTTAATAAAACATTGTACTTATTTATATATATATTCATTTATAAATTACATTTTTTCTTCAAACGTCATTGCCTTTTGTCCCTTTTAAGAGCCTTTCTTCTTTGATGATAAATTTTTGGCAATAATTTTACCAACTTAAGTCTCAAAATCATCTAAAGAAATATTCATACGCTCAATCATAGTCTTATACTTAGTGAGTTTGTCAAGAACAGGGTGATTATTTGTAATTTTTCCCTTGGACTTCAATAATAAATAGAATAATATGCACATAGTATAACTAATGAGTATTTCATATCTTATTTCTAAAAAGTTTTATCCCTTTCCAGGTAATATTTTCTTGGCTTCTTCAACATCCATAATAGGGAACAATTTATCAGTAACTTCGCTAATACTAATATTCATTTCTTAAGCTAAACTAATTATTTCAGGACTTAATTTCTTAATTAGCTTTTACTTTTTTTCTTCGTTTTAATCTTTAGCTTTATCTGCATCTAAATGTGCTGCGTCTTCATCTTCAGACTATTGTATACTATCTTATTTTGCGAAATCATCATCTATAAAATCAGCTTCAGTCAAATCGTTTTATTATTCTCTATATACTGCATCAGCTCCTTCTTCTTCACCAGAATCTTCGGAGTCAGTTACATCAGAATCTTTATAGTAATTTTGCTTTTATTTACCAAAATCAGCACCTCTATTAACCTATACTTCTGAACCTTCGCTATCGTTATCATCATCTAAAATATCAGAATTGCTTTGATATTCTTCTTAACTATCTTCTTCTTCCATTTCATCATCTAATTATGGTTCAGAGCCATCATCATCAAAATCTTCTTCAGACTCTGAATCGTACTTATTTCCGTTAGCTATCTTTTTACCCATATTAACTACCAAACTTTGCAAGTATTTGTTATTTATTTCTCCTTTGTTTAATTAGTAATAATAATATATCAATAATTATGATAAATTTAATAAATAGAAGTAATTTACCCTTTTTAAATTTACCCTATATAATTTACTTGAAAAAAGTAATTAGATTGATTCCATTCAATAAGAATATAAATATCAATCATTTTTAAAGCAAAAGCAATAATTTATTAATTTGTGAATATTGCTCCTCATTCTTACAAAAAAATAAGTAGATTTAAAGATTCTACTTAAATTAAAATTTTGATTGAATCATACAACAATTTTCATCACGCAATTTGCAAATAAAACATATTTATTTTTTTTTCTTTCAATTTTATTTAATTGCATTAACAAACATAAATAAAACTCCTTTGAAAATGTTTATTCAAACATAAATAAAAAAATATTTTCAAAAATTATATTTTAACTTTAAAAATATTTTTAATTAAATAAAATTTTTCAAATAAATTCTCCTACAAATTTATTGAAATTTCTATTTTTCATTTGTTTGTAAATATCTGTGATAACAACTATATTTTCCTTTTAATTCTTTTACTTGATAGATGAGCTTGTTTTCTTTAAAGAATCATAGTAGTTATGAACTTGAACGATGACTGCTTTCGGATCTTTAACAAATATACTTTCAAAAGCTGAAATAATATCTTACTTTGTAGTGTTTTAAATTTATTGTGCTAGGATATTTTATTCATCAAAAACATAGTTGAAGTCAGTGAGTTACTTCCAAAAATATTCTACATTATAAACTAATGACAAAGGCATAGAATTTATAGCTCCTAATTCTGTCTATAGAATATTTTCAAATGAATCATCTAGGAAAAGAGGTAAGTTTTACTAGAATTATATAATAGTATCTTATAAATCGTTTTGCATTTAAATTATTGTAGAATCTTCAGCTTACACTGTAATTAAAATTCCATCGTAGGATCCATAGCTTATTAATTCAGTGTTAATTTTATATATTTTTTATTTTTCGTTAATTAAATAATTTTAGATATATTATTTAAATAGTTTCATTACTATTCTGCCTTCTGTAATAGTGATTGAGTTTCTTTTGCCTATCTGGTAGAAAGCCACAAGCGATCTGCTTACATCCTATTAAAAGCTTGCTGTTTTTACTCTATTTATTTATATTAAATATAAAAATTAATTAAGTATTAAAGGTTTGAACTTAGAATATAAGCTATTCTTTTGAAAATAAATTAAAGAATTTTGTTTTAACTAAAAAGTAAAATTTTAAACAAAAGTTTAAAAATTATTCTCTGTTAAAATTTTTACATTAGAAAATTAAAAGTTTTGAATTACAAAATTAAAAGTTTTGAATTACAAAATTAAAAGTTTTTCATAATTTATGAATAAATTTATTTGAATTAAAAATTCTACTTAAAAAATTAAATCAAAATTAAAATGAATTTTATAAAAAATCTAATTTGATAATTTTAGATAAATTAAAAGAGCTTTGTAAAATATTGAATTAAGATGAAATATTTACTTGATAAGATATAAAGAATCGATATCAAAGACTCCATAAACATTTCTATATTCTTAAAGCTCCTTGTTAAATTGGATATTCAGGTCAAGCTCATTATACAAGTTTTAAGCATAAGAAGACTGAATGTTTCCAGCTAATAAGCCGATTAGTTTTAACTTATTTCTCTCTATCTCAGAGTGCTTCAACACATCTTAATAAGATATTTTTTATAAGACTTGAAGCTGCATTTTAGGATCAATGAACTCCTCAAGCATAACTTTTTTCAAGAAATAATCTTTTCCTTATGTAGTTGTGTCCCATTATTAGTAGTTGTTTATTTACTCTTTGATTTCTTCAACAGAATTTTGATAATCTTCTGGAGTTATATCAATATATTTCCAAATTCTAAAAACATCAAAAACAACTCTATCGAAATTCTAACTCCATCCTACAATCTAATTAGTTTATGAATTAATTTGGATGAAATAATATAGATTATAAATCATTTAAATTTTGATAAATCATATTAAAGTTTACTTTTATATTTAAAGAGGAATACTATGAAGTAACTTCAATTAAATATCCTGATTCTAGAGCCTCACTGAAGAATTCTTATACCTTCTATTAGAAAATGTTAGCAATTATTTTTCCTTTGATTACATCTCTAGGACTCTCAAATCTATCTTAAAACTATATATTGAAGTATCCGACTATCTAAGGAACTCCATATTATAAGTCTAACTTGTACCATCCTTCTATACCATTTTCATACTTGATAAGACTAGGATATTTTTAGCTTTATTAAATATAGGTTGCAGAATCGCAAGTCATATATGATTCAAAATAAAACTCTGTAAAATTAAAATTAGTAAATTTTCTTGTTGGATTTTCATAGGGACTGTATAAACATACATTAGAATTAGGATCAGGCAAAACGTGTTAGCTCAAATCTATATATGTGTAATTTAAATTCATTTGATTTTTATAACAGATATCTTCTAAGGCAAAATTTGAAGGAATGTATTAATTTTTCTATTAAACTTAAAACGTTTACAATAAAGTTTCATTTAGAGCTTTCATATATTCAATGTCTTCTTATATTAATGTTTTTTCAGAATATTGAATATCATATAGTGGAACTGAATTATCAAATTCATCTGTATTTAAAAATTAAAATTCATTTGGGATTTAAACTTCACTTTTAGGTTAATCTTGGAATTAATTAACATCTTCACCAGATTCATTCTCAGCCAATTAAGAATTAGCTGATAATTCAATGAAATTATATTTATATGATGCTTAATCCTTGCCTTCAATATCGCTTAACTCTTCCTAGTCTTCTAAAACAATATCATCTAAATTTTGATTTGAAAAATTAGAAGATCCTGCAATCAAGATGATATTATCAAAATCCTACATTTAGTTAATAACTTTCTTCATTAAATTCTTATCAAAATCATCGCTCCAAAGACTATCTGCAGCAAATACTTCTCTATAATCATATTCATTAAGATTCCATGCATAATTTGATACATTTTCCTTTTAATTAGTTTTAAAATTAAATTTCTAATTACTCTTTATTTAATTTTACCTAAGTCATGTAAGAATGGCCGTTATAGCTAAAAGTCATGTTGGAAATGAGAGCCCTTTCTTAATAAATAGAAATTTCAAGTCCTTTTTCTTTGATGAACTCTAAGTAATTTACAAGTGCATTAACTATAGTCTGAAATTTGTTAAGTTTTTTATTTTGCACTATAAACTTTATATAGAAAATTGTGTAGTTTTCTTATTCTAAAATATTGCCTACTTCTAAATCAAGAATGAGATCTAGTTATTAATTCAAATAATACTTTAATCCTCCATCCATGTTATTATTCAAAAAGTATGTAATAAATTCTATAGGTCTCTTTTAAAATTAGCTCTTATCTAAATCAATCTAAAACACAGTGTACAAGACCTCATTCTCATCTAATGTTTTAAGTTTTACTATTTTCTTTGTATTTTTCAAAGGTTTTTTGAATTCTTTGAAATTAGGTTCATCTGTTAAATTATTGACAATTTCTTAAAAAGGCTTAATGTATTCTTCAACATTTTCTATGCTTTCTTCAGTGAAAATGACCAATTTCATCAAATTGCTGCTATAATAGCTACTTCTAAAGCTTTCCAATTCCTCAACAATATTTACTTCAAAGTTATCCCTTAAAGTCTATACATTCCCTAAAAGTTATTAAAAAAACATCATTTTTTAAAAATTAATCAATTAAATATAATAAAATAAATTATAATTTTTACCAGCTGTAAATCTACTGTAAGGATGACTTGGATCACTCATAATAGTAAGTAAATGCCTTATTTTTTAGTTATCATCTTATAAACTAATTTTAAATTCACTTTCAACAACACTACTTTCCTTTTTAGCTAGCTCTAAACTATTTATAATTTAAATAATTCTTTTTATAACTAACAATTTTAAAAATTGTACTCATAAACTGGATCTATAAACATATGAGCAAATATATCGAGGGCTTTCTATAATGCATAGGTTTTTATAGTAAAGAAGAAGTTTGTGTGATCAAATGAAGTAAAACTATTAAATTTTTAAAATTAACAATTCAAATTTTAGCTTATTTTTAAATTACGAATCAGTATATCCTCCATTAACAGAAAGAAAGTTGTCAAAATAATATTATTCTTTATATTTCTAAGATTAAAGAAATGTCATGTGCTCTAATAAATGTGCTAATCCTGGAGTTTTCTGCGACTCTTACCAACTACCTGCGTTAATATCTAAAGATACAGATGAAAATTAAGTCTAATTATTCCATATTATTAAAATTTGTAATTAATTAGCTAGAGTAATCAATTTATAATTATTTTTCATATCATTTATTGGCTTGATGACATCGTTGTCTAAAAGATATGTTTTTCTCTCAATATTTTCTTAATCGAATGTCTAAACCAAAACTAAGCAAATTCCTATCAAAACAATAGCTAATGCAAGAATAACTACAAAAATAAAGCATTTTTCTAAATCTAGTTTATTTCTCTCATAAAATCTTGCTAAAAACTCTTTTATTTCTTTCATGCTAAGCTAATCTCTATCAAAATAGTTTTCTTATGTTCTTTTTTTACTATGCTTACTTGCTACAGGATACACATCATCATCAAAAATAGATTTTTAATTATTCTTGCTTTATTTCTAATTAAAGAATATCTGCTATTCTTCCTCATCCATGAGAATTTCGCTTTTTTTATTTATGCTAAATAACTTTTTTATGTATTCCATTTTTATTAGATAATTTTTAAACTTTAAAAATTTATCAAAATTTTTGATAAAAAGATATATAATAAATATATCAAATATTTCATGTTCAACTTAAATTTGCTTTTGATTTTTACGTTTTTAAAATTTAATCTTATCATAAAAAACTGACTGAATATCCTCAATATCATTTCAATTTAATTATTTGGAATTTAAAGTCTTAAATCTATTGTCATCAGATTTATTATAATCTAATTTTATTAAATGACAATTTTTAAATAGAAATAAATTTCAAATTTTAATAAAAAATAGTTTTAATTATCATATTGGAAAACAAAATCATAAAATAAAAAAATTAAATATATGAATAAATTAAATAAATAATTTCTTTGAATAAATAAGTCAGATTTATTAAAGATTTACAATATATTTATAAACTCCTATTAAAAGCAAAAAAATAAGGAAATTATTGTTAAGTAAATATGATAATAATTATTTAATAAATATTAAAAGTAAAATTATTTTAAAATTACTTAGCAATCATAAATAAAAATATTTTGTTTTTTTTTAACTTCAACTAATTATAAATTCAAATTAGTCTTTTTTTTCACTTAATTTTATATATAGGGAGCGTAATATATATTTTAAAGATTAGTAAAATATTATGAAGGATAATTTGATAATTTTCTTTTAAATATTAATAATTAAAGTTTAGCAAAAAATATTATTTCTTACAAAATAATTTATTTTTTTAATAGTAAATCAAAAAAATGAAAGAAGTTATTATTATTGAAGTAAATTTTTATTTAATATCTTTTAGTTAATATATTTCTTAAAATGGTACAGGATGAGTTTGATTGCCTATCAATACTCTAAGAATTTAATGTTAACTAACAGTATAATAATTTGCTAAGATTTAAACATAACTTCAAAATTTTTATTTTTTTTAGGTATGAAAAAATTTCAACACCTTAGCTGAAGACCTTGGCAGCAAACATTAGAAGGATGAGAGACCTAACATAGCTAAGCATTATACTTAAGTATTTAGATTCTAGTTTTATTTTAAGTTAATAGTTTTTAACCAATTTTAATATTTAAATAGCAATAACTAAATTTAAGATTTGGGATAGATATTAGGCCAAAGTATTTAAAGCTGTTCAAAGTTGTAAAAGTTAAAATTAGATTTGAGGTTAATTAATTTAAACTAAAAAGTGAATGTAGATATTTTTAATCTTAATAATAGTGATAATAAATTAAACAAAGCAGGAATTTTTGAAATCTCTTAGATATTTAAAAAATGCTAACATATTTCAGAGCTTTATTTGAATTTGAGGTAAATATTAAATAAGCTATTTTTTTTTAATATTTTTTTAGTGCTAATTAAATATGTGAAAAAGGAGCTTAATATTTTGGATAAGGAATTAGCCATTGTTAAAATTTAATGATTTTTCATCTAGATTTAAGGTAAAAATAAAATTTTGAATCTTATTTAATAATAATTAATAAATTAGTGAAACAGATCTTGATCATTAAGGCTTATTTTGGATAGGAAATGGCATATCACTGACCCAAAATTTACAAAGACTATGTCTATAAATTACGTAAGAATATTTTAAATAAAAACTATTCAATTCATTTTTCATTATAATTCAGAAACTCTAAAATTAGTTAAGAGAGTGTTAACAGTTTAATGAAGGATTTTTACAAGCTTAAAATTCTCTCTAATTTAGAAATAGATTTTTAGTATAAATAAATAAATATTATTTGAGTTAACTAACTATGTTTTAAAAAAGTAATACTTTTATAAGTAGCAGCGCTTTTATAGAGATTAGTGCTGGTGTATCGAAACTTTGTGGATCTATTCAATAGTTTTTTCTAACAATGAAGTAAAAAAGTTTGTCTCTGCATAATGATAATTAAAAATTTATAAATATGTAGTTATGTAGAAATTGGAATAGAGACACTGAAAGAATTTCTACTTAGAGTTTCAAAATGCATTTATTTAACTGAATTTTCTATATATTACATGTAGAATTTAATAAAAGAAATATTAAAATTAACTAATTATTGAAAATATAAATGAATAGCTTTTTCTCAAATTAAGAACTAGAACATCTTGCCAAATTTTTGGTTAATTTACCTTCTCTTCAAAATTTTAATTACATTTTAAATTCAAGGTAATATTTATTTAAAAAATTAATTGTATTCCAACTGATTTAATTATTTAAAAAGTTATAAGTATGAAAAAATAAATTTAATAACCTTTTTGAGAGAAATTTCTTCAAGTAAGAGCTTACAATTAATAAATATTGATATGAGGTAAAATTAAAAAATTAAAACTTAATATTGATTGCTTGGTATTATAATAGAAATAATCAAATTTATACTGATATTAGTGATTTAACTTTACTAAATGAACTAAACTTTCCTTAATAGCTTAAGATTTTGAATCTATAACTCTAGTAAAAAACTAATAAACATATTATTTAAAATAGTATTCAATAAATTTTATAATTTAGAAACTGTAAAATCTGTCAAGAATTAGCTTTTTAAATTGCATTTGCGATAAAAAAGTGTGTATATCTTTAAGTCGTTTATCTTAATATGAAGTAAAATATTAAAATTGAAAATAGATATTAAATATTATTTATTATAAAAGCTATAATAATCTACAAAAAAGATTGGTCAAAATAATGCTTTTGAAAATATTTAAATCTAAAAGACTTTCTTTATTTAATTTAAAGTGTTTCAATTCATCTAATTATTTAAGTTATTTTTGATTCTCCTAATTTGATTATTTTACATTTTATATATTTTGTCAATTATTTAAATAAATTATATAAAAATTTTTGCTATCTTATATTTGTTTAAATAAGATCATATTAATTTAATTACTAATTATTAAATAAAGCAACTTCAAAAATCAAATCTAAATCTAAAAAACTACTTATATTATTTAAAATCATCATTAATTTTCTAAATGGAAAAGATAGTTTTATTATTTTATTAAATAATTTTATTTATATTTAAATATATACTTAAAAGAAGGTAGTATAAATTGATACTTTTAATACATTCCACCTTATATTCGTTTATACATTATTGAAAGTTTTAAATTATATTAAAAAATTATCTTCTACTTTTGACTAAATATTAAACGTGTATTTTTTTTAATTTTAATTTAAGGTATGCATGCATCTATTTGAAATTGAATTTTTTTTATAAAATTTCTTTATCCATTATTAGCATTATTAGGAGGAAACAAACACAACAATTTAACGACTAAACATAATAAGAAGTGTAAATCATCTTCTTTTATTTTTGATACCTCCAACAATAATATCTTTCTATCAAGTAAAATCAAAAGTTTTATTATAAAAATCTAATAATAAAGGTGCATCAATACTAAAAAATATTAATTATTTATTGTTTTTTCATGCCTATATCAAGTCGCATTTTACACGTATCTCTTAAAAGTATTTTTGCATAGCATTGGGAGGGCGGGGGGGTTGATTTGTGGGACGCAAGGCGTTTTAGAAAATAAAGAGGCAATTATGTTTTTAGATTTAACATATTTTACTCATATTTTTTATTTTACCTCCCTCCGATTATTTAATTTGCTTGCTCTGTTTTTTATCTTTAATTTATTTTTCTACTAATATATGTAAAAAAGTAAATTAAAGCTTGAATGTAATTTTTCAGCATTACTTTCCACCCAAGAAAGATATTTTTTTTTTCAAATAAATTCAGGTTTTTTAAACTAAATTGCAAGTGTACTTTTTCTATAATATCCTCTTTTTTTATACAACTGAAATAGATTTCAAAGAGAAGGGCATATAAATAAATTAGCTTTATTTTAAATTTTAGATATAGTTAAATTTTTTTTATACATATAAAATTGCTTAAATTATTTTTAGCGAGAAAATAAAAAGTGTTTGTTATCGAAGATATTTTTTATTGTTCAATTTATTTAAAAAATTTAAATAGGAAACTAAATTAAATTAGTTTCAAATGTCATTTGATCATTAAGAAAGATTTAGATCTCTCATAAATAATTATTAAAAATGAAAAATTGAATAAATTAGTTTATTTCTTGATATATTAAAATTCTTCTAGGGTTAATAACAAATTTTAGGTTATTTTACTTTGTATTTTTTATTTTACTTTGGAATGTTACTTTAAATGATTTTTCTATATATAGATATAAAAAAAGTATATTAAAGCTTGAATATAATTTTTTTCAGTAATTCTTTTCACCTTACAAAAATAATTTGTTTTTGAATCATTTCAAATTTTCAAAGCTAAATTGCTAGTGTTTTTTCCAACACATCCTCTTTGATTTATAAATCTGAAATATATTTTAAAGAAAGGACTAAAAATACAAAAAACAAACTGAAATAAAATATTATAAATTTTTAACAGTTTAAATTTTATTAATACATACTTACAATATTAGCTCTTAAAAAAAAAAAGTATTCTCTATAAAAATTATCTTTTTATAGTACAAATTATTTAAAATAGTAATTTAAAAAAACTTATTTTTAAATGTCATTTGGTTATTAATAAAATTTAGATTTTAAATGATATTTAAAAATAAAATATTGAAAATTTTATTTTGCAATTTATTTTTCTTTTATTGATTTTACTATTTATAGATATAAAAACATATATTAATGCTTGAATTTAATTTTTTCAAGCAATTCTTTTCGCCCTAGAAAATTAATTTGTTTTCGAATAATTCCAGATTTTTTAAATTCCTCTTTTTTTATAACTAGGGATTATTAAACAAAAAAGTAACTTACATAAAAAAATTTAATTTAAGAAAAGTTAAATTTTTGCTATACATCCAATGAGGGTTAAATTATTTTTAACAGCAAAAAAAATAGTATTTGTTGTTAAATATATTTTTTATAGTTCAATTTATTTAAAAAATGTAAATTACGATTTAAAAAAAGGAAAAATAATAAGACACAGAAAGAAAGAAGTTAAATTATATAAATTATTAAGTCATTAAGAGCAAGTTTAACAAATTATAAGATTAATTATTTATTTATTTAAAACGGTTTTGCATCATTAATATTTTTTTATTTAAAGGTATAGAAGAAAATCATAGAATTTTTGCTCTTAATACTTTAATCTATTTTGAGCATGTAAGTAAATATTTTTGTTTTTAAAAAGATTTTAAAAAGCTTCAATTAATTTGAAAAATACAAATAGCCATTTTTAAAAAAAGCACATTAAGAAGAAATAAATAAGAGAAACGAAATTTTATAAGTTATAAACTGATTAAGAGATTTCTATAAAATTTAGGTTGAAAGTTAATTATTATAATTTTAAAAAATATTGCATTATTACAAACAGTTATTTATTATTTGATTTGAGGTTTAGAAGGAAGTCGAAAAAAGTTACTTTAGTTATTTTAATGAATTTTATAAATCCATTTGATTTTTATTAAATAACTACTTTAATTAAACAATTGAAAAACTTTATTTTCATCTAAAAAGAAAAATAATTTGATTTAAATTGATAGCAGTTTATAAATCGAGTTTGTTTTTATAATTTAAAAAAAACAAATTATAAAATTAAAAAAAGAAAACAAATAAAAAAAATAAAAGAAATGCAATTGATTAAATTTATTTAATTTACCTCACTTTTACTGTTAGGCCTAGTTGTCTGCTAGTCAAGTACGTCAAGCACTTCTGGTGGAACTCCTTCTTGGGCTACTGCATAATAAGCTTAAAATTATATGAATTGTTCTCAAAAGCTAATGTCTCCAACTTGCGCATCTGGTTAATCTCCTACTTGCACATAAGCAATATCAACCTACGTTAGCTGCATAACATGTTCATCAAACAATAGCAGCTATAGTGCATTTAAATCATGTGTTCAAAAATGTGGAAGTGATTTTACTTCAGATCCCACAGCTCAAAACGACAGCACAGTGGCTACATTTGTAAATGGAATGAATTAGTGTGTTGCTGCTGCATACAGTACTTTATTTGCATTATCTACTATTTTATTACTTATGTTTACTCTAATTTGATGATTGATTATTTTTTAATTTTTAATTCTAAAATAATTATTTGAATTTTAAATTATATCCATAATTTGTTTGTTTGTTTTTGTATTACATAAATAATTCTTTCTACCTCTTAAAATAAAAAAAATAATTCTGCAATTTTAAAACAATAAATTTAAGTTACTTATCATTTATTATTATTATATAAAAAATTATAATATTGAGAGAGAGAGCAATGCATTTTTATAGTTATAATCCTACATAACAAAATGTATATCACTAAGATATTCCAAACCTTATTGAATTTACTTTATAAAAAATTAAATAATTTTAAGTTAAATAATTTTTTATTATATATCCAAGGTGAATAAATTTTGCAATTATTAAATTCATAAATTTTATTGATTGAATGTTTAAAAAAAAAAAAACAGAATTCACAAACAATTTCAGCATAAACTAAATATTTTAGGAGTTTATACCATTTATATATTTATTGTTTTTTAAATTTTATTATAAAATATTATTCAATTAATATCATATTTTTCAAGTGTAAGATTCCAAACTTGAAATCTCGTTTTTAAACTATATCTCAGATTGAACAAATTCGAGAAGTTTGCTTCGTTTCTTGGAATCCAACAGCAATTTTAAATAAATTTAAACTTTAAATAAATCTTTCATAATACTAAATTGCTATTTAATTTATAATAATATAAAACGAACTAAAAAACTAATTTAGATAATTTCATAGAAACCTTAATATATGTATTATTGCTTCAAATACTGTAATTTACAAATAAAGAAATACTTTATTAGTAGTTTTTATTATATATTGATTTAAAAAGATAAAAGTTTGGATTAAAATTTCATAAAAACATCCATCATATATATTAAAGCGTTATCAAATTCTTTAAAGAAAAATCTTTTAGAAAAAGATTATTTTGATAATAATTTGTTAGTTTTTTTGATTTTAAGTAGTGCTACATAAGTTTACTGTTTAAAAAAAATAAAAAAAATAAATTTAATGAGTATTTTAATCTAGATATTCTAAGTATATTTAAAGAAATATTACTAGCAACTAAAGTACTTGAACTATAATAAAAAAAGTTTTGTTTGCAATAAGCTAAATTCAGAAGAAATTAAATAGTTGAAATATTTTAATTTTTTAATAAAATTTAAAAATGAAAAAATTTAGAAAACTTCTAAAAATAAAGTTTTATAATTTAAAGGATATTCTAATTTCTTAATAAAAAAAATATTTTTATTTTTAATAGTGTTTGATAATTTAAGTCAATAAAATGAGTATGGCAAGTCATTTAAATGTGATTAATATCAATTTATAAATAAAAACATAATCTATATATTATATAATTACAAAATTCTATTTATTTTTAAGCAACTTTATTTAATAAATGAAGTAAAAGTAAACAAAAAAGATTTATAAAAAAGTTTTATTAAGATTTCAAGTAAAAATTAATTAGTTAATAATTTTATAATTAATTTTTTTTTTGTATCATTCGTAAAATTAATCTGCAGCACATAAGATTATACAGAAGGTTAAGGCACATAAGTAGTAATATTTAAGAAAAGTCGTGTATTTACCTTAATCATAACTAAACCTTTATTTATAATAATTTTATCAATGAAAAAAAGGAATAAATTTTTTATTTACTTTAGCTTTAAACCAACTATTATAGATATTGCTGAAGATATAATAACAAATAAGATAACACTAATAGCAATAGAATTGTTAATCCAATCAAGGGTACTAGATCCAGTAAAAATTGATAAACTGCTATTAGATTAATTTGAATAGAAAATCAATGCAATTCCAAAACCTAAGTAAAGATCAAAGGCTTAGCCTGCAAAGCACCCAGTAGCAGCCATAACTCCATATCCTATTGAAGCAAGACTGGAGTTAAGGAAAAAGTCTAATTTTATTTAATTATAATTTCAAAAATTTTAATAAATCATAAATTATAATTACCAGTTGCTGAGTTTCCCCAAGCTAAAACGGTCATACCCAAAAATGTCTTATTCATATTTGTCACAATTTAGAAAAACTAGTTGAATAGTAAAAAATATTTTAGATTATTTTTTTCAATCTTTTTCATTTACATTAATAAAATCAATCATAACTTAAGCAGCTTAGCCAAGTAAAACAACTGCAACAACAAATGAAAATATAGAAAATAGCCACATTATTTGAGGAGGTTAGTTATTTTTAGTAAAGAAGAATATCAATATTGATGCAATAAACGAAATTATTAGTACTATATATATCACCAAAAACCCTTCATCATTGATAGTGGCATTTAAATCTAATTTCAAATAAATATTTTAAATATTTAAAATCAAGTTTTCATTCAAATAAAAATCTTAAAAAATTAGATTTAGATGGATTTTTTAATAAACAAATACTCCACCTTTCAAAGTAAAATAAAATAAAATAAAACAAACAAATCAATCTAATCACATTTTAAAAAATTTTGAGCTAAATATTACTTTATTATGAGCCCCACATAAAGGCAAGAGGTCCTGTTATTGTTGTTATCATAGCCCTCCATTTATTCCATTAATTCTCCTCGGCAGGAGGGATAATTAAATATCTAGCAACATCAATAGGTATTTCAGTAAGTATTAATAATCTTTCTAAGATACCCATTTCTTTGAATTTATCCCAAAAGTTTTCATATTTTTCAGTCATTATATCTTTAACTTTTTCTTCAGAGTTTTCTTCCTCAGTTTAGTTTTTGTTATAAGGAGCAGTCTCCTACCTTTTAATAGAATCATATCCTTCTTTGTTTTAATTATTTTACTTTTTTTTATGTAAAAAAATTAAAAATAAGATTTTTTTTCTTTTTTCTATTTTACTTCATCTTAAACAAAGGATTTGCCTTCTATATCTCTTTCTTCATTTTAACTATCAATTTATAAATTTATTCAATTAGAAACTAATACATATTGTTTAGAATTTTACTCATGAAGAGTATTCAGCACGGCTGGCATTTGGTTTGCTTAGATGCAATTTATTTGAACTTCCTGTTTTTATTCTAAAGGAATTTCTGGTAAAGCCTCTTCAACCCTTTAAGCTTTAACATTTTAAGTTATTATATAAAAGAAAATTCAAATAAAAGATTACTCTAGATTGTGTCCATTTTTCTAATTTTACTCTAAGCTATTTCTTATTTAGCTCTTTAACGATCTTAGTAAATAACTGTGAATAAGAATCTTTGAATTAAATAAATTTATAGTTAAAAAAACGGAAAATTTAAATAAATATTTTTTACAATCCATAGATAGACATAAAACCAATAGCCATTCCTAAATTAATTGAACCTACTATTGTATAGATAAATACAACACAGCACCCAATTAAATAAAATACCATATCTCTTACGAACGTTTTTGATTTGATCTAATTATAAAAAAATAATACTTAACAAAAAAAATATTCATTTCTATTTTAAATTAAAATCATAATAATACCTTAAAATTATATTTAAAGTGAAAAATAAAATTATTAATACACTCCTGGACAAAAAACACTTTAAGGTGAAATCAAAAAGTTTGGTATTTTTCTCAATCATTTTTTAAGATCATTATCAAATTATTTTGATATTCTAAATCATCAATTTAACTTGATTTTTCACAACAACTAAAATTATTTTATCTGAAAATTTTTTATTTTTTAGAACCTTGATATAGAATAAAGAAATATGGTAGTAAAATTTTTTATTTTCAATGGGATAATTTTTGATATTTGATTTAAGAATATTGGTTGTCCATATATCAAATAGTAAAATAAGTATTTTTTAAGTTCTCTAATAATAGAAAATATAAGTAAATTTAAATGTAGAATTTATTTGTGATGATAGATTGTAATTTCTTTTGGCGCTGCTTTTGGAAAGTTAATTTTTTAACGTAATGAAAATGGGTTTTTGTATTAAAATTTATTTTTATCTCAATTATTTTATAAAATGTTGAAAATGTTATTAAAGTAAAAAACTTCTCGTCATTAAACTATTAAAGTTTAAAAAATTAAATCATCATAGTATTTACGTGTATTGATCCTGCATTTTGAATAACATTTTGAAGAGTGTATGTAGTGACGAATAGACCTGCACCAAAAATAGATCCTACAGCTATTGTAATCGAATCACCACCACTGCTACCAGCTACAATAGCTGTTGCAACATCAGGGCCACCGTTTCCTAGAGCAAGAAGAGTCACACCAGCAACTGACTATGAAAGTTTGAAGCATTTAGATACCTTAGCTAGAGCTGGTGATAAATAATATTCAGATATTTGACTCAGCATACGGAATGCGTATAACGGTATTAAAATCTAATTTTTTTAATAATATATTTCAATATTTAGGAAAAATTTTCATTGTTTTTTTACTGTAAGGAGATCTAATACAATAATATTTTGCTTAACTTGACAGAAATAAAAGTAAGAAAACTTAACTAATTATTCAACATTACAGTTTTAATCTACAAAATCGCATACTTAATCTTATGGCAACTCTTATATATTTCTAAATGTACATTAAGTATCTGAAGACATTTAAGGTTTTTTATATAATCTTAGTTTTTATTAGTATTTTTTTTTTTTAATTAATATAAGTAAGTGCTAATTTAATCTCAAATTTAAAAAAGCTGATATCGTTTTTAATTAATATAGATTGAAGAATTGTCTTGAAAAATTAAGCCAATTTTGTTTTTGTGAATTATCAATTTTATTTCCTTCAGCAGAAATCCTCCTTTTTAAATTAAACATTTTTACAAAATCATAGAATAGATTGAAATATTGATAAAAATCAGTATGTATGTATGTTCTTTCTAATAAGCATTAAAAACAAAATGGAGTAATTCTCCACTTTAATTAGATTTAATAAAAAAATAAATTGATTTACATAGAAAAATAATTAGCCTTAATTTCATTTTATGGAGTATTATTTTTTAAAATGCAGTAGAAATATCAAAAAAGTAAAAATAAAAATATGGAAGACAAAACTATAAAAATAATAACACAAGTGTGCAAATTTTATAGTTAATAATAGTTTATCTGTAATTAAAAATCAAAAATAGAAAAAAACATTTGTAATAAATAAGTTTTGGTGAGCAAATAATAAAAAAAGACTAGCTTATTCTTTCTAAATATCATTTAATTTATTTAAAAACGACTATTTTATTTAGCTAATACTATTATCAATAAAATAGCCTTTTTTACCTGAAAAAGAAACAAATCCATGTAACTAGTTTAAAATAATTACAATACATATGATAGATTCACATGTATATTTTAGTTAATTCCAATTTTTAAATAATAAAAAACTGTATTTTAGAGATTATGAAATAAAATTAAATATTTTTTTAAACTCGTTTTTTAATTTTTTAAATTATATAATAGTTATTTTTTATCTTTTTTATATAAAAAATATAAGCTATTTAAGTAAATTGATTTAATTAAAGAAAAAAAGCTAGTGTTTTTATTTATCAATAATTTGCTTTATAAAGTTTTGAATTTGAATGGATATAAATTAAATAAACACCATTAAAAAAATTTAAGTCATGGTAACATTATCATTTAAAAAACCTAAGATAGATTACAAAGTAGTTTTAATAACATAAATTAAGGATTAATAAATTATTTTACTAGATTTTGATCACAAAAAATAATTTAAAATTATTCTAATTAAATTTATTTGAAAGTTGAAGATTTTTTTGATGGATAAAGTTATTTTAATTTTTGTAAAGAATTATGATAATTATTAACATTTATTAAGCAGCTAATTATTTATAAAATTACTTTTTTAATACTAATCTAGATATTAAATAAAAATATAGAAAAAAAAAATTTTATGTTAGAGTTTATTTAGATAAGAAAAATATTTAAGAGTGATAAAAGAAAGTAGTATTTACTTAAAAGTATAAATTATCTTTTTTAATATTGGAATAAACATAATTATGTGAACTGATTGATTATATTTATGTAGTGAATTGTAAATTTAATATATTTCTTCAAATTTGAAATTCATATTAATAAATGAAAGAAATATCCAGAAGTTGAATGTTTTTGGATGATTAAATATAAAATTTCAAGGATAATAACAAGCATTGATTAGATAATAAAATAGTTGGTATATCAAAAAATATTTGATATTTAAAAAAAGCTATCAATATTTTTACAACTTAAAAACATAACTTTAATGAAAGAATAAAAAAATAAATTTAATTTTAATTTAGTGAGTTGATTATTTCAAATATTAGGCTATTTAAATACGAAAGAATCAAGCAAATCTTATAATCTTTCTTTAGATTGAAGATATATATCCTTAGCTTCTTTATTGTTGTTATCTTTCTATTCGCTTATTTATTTTAGTGATTCATTTACTTTTTTAAGTTCTTCATTTATTATATTTTTTGTCTGCTCAAGCTCTGATTTGAGGGTATCAATTACTTCAGGTCTAGCCTTATCCCCATTATTTTATTCTTTATATAACCAGCGTAAAATTTCTCTGCATCGGTAGAACAATTCTTAATAATTTTCATAATTTGTTTTGTATGTACTCGATTACTATTCTTTTTCAGAAAGGGGTTTTAATTTATATAAGCACTCAAAAGCTTATTTCCAAGACGATTAAACTCTTTACCCTACTTTTTTTAAAGCTTCTTATTATTTTTCTTTATTCTAGGAGTCATTTATTTCTCCAAATTTAAATTCTCTGAGTAAACCTTGAGATCTTTAATTTGATTATATTTAAACATTTTGGAGGAATGATTACAATTTGTTTTATTTTTCAAGTTCAGCATTTTATGTTAGCTTTCTCTAATATTCTTCTGCTTTCATTTCCTATGGTCTTACATTATTTACCTAAATAGAGTCAAGGGAATGCTCTACAATTTCTATATGTTGATGATGCATATTCGAATGATTTTTATCATCTATGTTGATTTCTTCTATTTAACTTGATTAAATCTTTTTTTAATTTTGAATGATTTTTTAGCTCTAATTATCAATTTGCCCAAAAAAGTAAACGTCTTATTTATATTGCTAAAAGCTCTTTAAGTTTTGATCTTCAATTTGGCCTATTGGGTCATATATTTCTTTTCTAAATTAGTTAAACTTGTTAATTCTATCATCTAACTGGTCCACTTCTACTGGAAAGTTTATTTCCTTACGAACTGTAGGTATTTCTTTTTCAAGGTAATCTCTTTTAATTTTTTGTTCATCTCTCTATTTATACTTAAGGAACTTTTGATATTCTTCATGATTTTTCCAAAATTGTTCTTCAGTCAGAATCTTTTTGTTCAAAACAGCGTGCTTATAGAAGGAGTTAAGTTTTTAATCTTTTTCAAGTATCTTTTTTTTCACTATAATTTCTAGCTCTTAAGGAGCTGGACTTGTTTGTTAAAGACTTTTATATTTTTCGTAGGAATCAGTTAACTTTTTTTAATCTTATTACTAAAGCCTTCCTACAAAAATAAATATTTCAATTTAATTGTTGTCTGTATTGTATTAGATTTGACTGAAGGATTCTTTAAAAAATCCTATCTAAAAGTTATCAATAGATTGATAAAAAATGCTTCTTTCAATATATGAATCATCGTCTTAACCATATATAATTAGTATAAAACGATAATTTGTAATATAAAACTCAGAATAAGCCATATTATAGTCATTATTTGAGTAAGCTTCGCTTTCAGTTGACTTCTTTTCTAATATAACTTTGAGTTTAACTTCTATTGGTTTGCATTCTACAACTTCATTTGCTACCAAGCACTAATTTAATATAGCAAGTCTCTTAATTACTCTTTTTTCCTCTTCCTCTATTACTTTATCTGTAAGAATTTTTGCATCTTTTTAAGTTATATTATCAAAAGTGTAAATCATCTAAGTAGATTTAGAATCTTTTTCAAATTTTATTTATGAATAAGTTATGTAGCTTTTAATTGGGTCTTTTAGCTCTTCTATCCTAAAGTTATTTATATCTTTATAAAATATGCTCTTTTAATCATTTTTATTATCTTTTGTAATGATTGATATGATGAATCTCATATTTGATATGTAGATTTCAACAGGATTATCAAATTCAATAACATCTTATGTATCAGCCCTTTTCTCATAAATATTTTTGATTTTAGCTTTAATGGCATTACTATCTACTTCCTCATTAGCCAATAATGTTAAATACTATTATTGCTATTATTTATTTTATTAAGATGTACTACCTATCTCCTCAATCTCCATCAAATCTAACTTTTATACTGAAATATTTATATTCTTAATATATAATTTTTAATAAATTAATTATTGTTTTCTAGACACCAAAAGTCAACCAGATTTTTAAAAAGATTTGTTTTGTTTCTGTATATAAATGTCTTTAAAATAAAATATTTTTTTTTTTTACTAACTAATTTAGATAATGATAATAAAGAAATTTTAATTAAAATATTTATTTTCTGTTAAAAATACAAAAAATTCTTTTATTTGAAGTCTTGGAATAGAAAATTGTTCAAAAGAAAATTAATAAAAAAGCTGCTAAATTTAGGAATAAATAAATAAATATATTTATATTTTGATAGCTAGCTAGCTTATCAGATTTATTTAAATATTGTTTTTTTACGCGGAATATTTTTTGATGTACTTTAATAAATATACTAGGAATTAGATATAGAAAATAGCATTATTAATTCAAAATTAATTTGAAAGAGGATGTTTATTTTTTGAATACTTTCATAATTTCGATAATTTCAAGAGTTTTTATGATAAATATCTAAAATATATTTTTGAAATTGACACTTTAATTTTATTTTATTGTAGAAAAAATAATATTTCAATATGAGAATGTAATTACTTTATTTATAAAAAAAAATATTTTTAAATTAATTTAATTGTTTAAAATAACAATACTTACTTACTTTTTAAGAATGAACTTATTTATGATTTTCATGTAGCACAAATGTATTTTATTTGTTATTTAAATAATTCATTTTAAAGTATCCATTTATAAAATTTAGTCAATTAGAAAAATAAGAAAATTAATAAATTATTTGATCACCTTTTAATCTTATTTTTTTTTTTTCCTTTTAAACAATTCATTTAAATTAGATTATTAAAATACGAATTCCTTAATAAAAAGTATTAAATTTCATTTATTTTATAAATAGTAAGATTTTTTTGTGAGAAATTAATCTCTCATTCACGAATAAATAAATTAGCTGCTAACATACAAACTACAGTTATCATAATATATTCATTATTAAAAATAAATTAATTATCCGCGAAGACTTATTTATTTAAAATCATCCATAGCTGACCAATACAGCTGAATATTAAGCAAACAGCTGATATAAGTATTAATCCTCCTTTTATTTAATATATTCTTGTATTTCTAAAAGTTTCTATTTTATGGTTTTTTTGTTATATTTTATTTTCTTCTATTTCTTCATCTTCACTTACTTGTACTTTTATTAATTTTCTTTACTCAATATCTTCAATTAGCTTGTCTGGCTAATGCTAACACTTGCTATAAAACATTTGTCCTATAAAAGGTATAGGGAAAAAGAAAAGTACTATAAGGAATATGCTAAAATCTGTATGATAATATCTTGTCTCTAAGTTAAGAACCTAATAAAATACTGCTGACATTAGATAAATGTGGGTTTGAGTAAAATAAGAGTAATATACTTTTTCACTCAATGATATTGCATATGCTAATAGATATGCATTTAATAAAACGATTGGAAAATAAGATAAACCAGATTTAAGCTAGGAGTTTTGTAAGAATAAAATGATTAAATGATAAATTAGATTTAATAAAATCAAATCTATTTTAAATTCTTTCAAATAGAAATTTGAATTTTATTGATATTGAATGTAGCAAGAGTAGACATAGAATATCAATTTTATAGCAAAAAAGTATTCAGAATATTTGTATAGAGATAGAACTTCTAAAATTACAATACAAAAAGTAAAAGCTAAGGTGTAGTACTTCATACTTCTTGTCGAATTTTAAAGATCCTTGATTTGCTTGAAGTATATACCAAATATTATCATTTCACACAAAAATGTTATTTATTATAAGTTCAAAAACTAGTTTCTGAAGTAAATTAGTATATTTAAAACTACGAAACCTATTAAGCAAAGCATTTATTCTTTATTTTTATATACTTTGAGGAATTGATATATAAAAAGAATCACAGATAATTAACATCCAAATGCTTCTAAATCATTTTGCTCATTCCTGATGTATATATAACAACTATATGTGGTCATTAATAGTATAAATAAATAATCTTTGTATGAGGAATTCTTCAAAATTAGCTCTTGGAATGATAAAAAAAAAATTGCCAAACAAACGCAAGCACCAAAAATAATACCAAATACTAACAATTTGTTAGAGTAGAACTAAGTGTCTTCATATATAGACTTTTAGATCTAATTTTGGATGTTGACAATTCTTGTTATAGTTTCTTCTAATCTTTCCTCAGAATAGATTATCACATCTTTAGTCTCGTAATAAAGTAGTATTTCAATATCGAATACTTAATTTATTATTTATTAAAAATAGCTACTATCGAAAGTTTATCTAATGTCTTGAATATATCTGTAGAGCTCTACTTGCTATTACAATGTGGTGAAAGAATCTTGGAGAATTCTTTGAAGCATCTCAATTCTGTTTTCAAATTTGCTTTTAGGGTAAATCTCAAAAAGAGATCTTCCAGAATTAACAAAAGATATGGGTATATTTAAGATATTAGATATGGTGCTTGATATCATACTCTCGTGTGCTAAGAATAGTTCTCCCTAACTAGAAATTCTACTATTTGTTTCGGCTCTTCTTAAGCTTTCTATGAATTTGTCGTTTTTGATAAAACCTTTTTTTGTGTATGCAAAAAATAGTGAATTACAAACCTTTGTATCTTCATTCCTACAGTTAAAATGACCACCACTTTCTGACTTTCCATGATCACTGACAACAACCATAAGAGCATCATCGTCCATATTTTAAGCAGCTTCTCTCAAAATCTCATCAATACGTCTCTATGCATCTAGACCTTATTGACTGTGCATACCTTCAGAATGGGTAGTTTCATCGAATAAACCTTCATAGATAAATAAAGTTTCATAATTCTTTGATTTAATTATATTTAAGTATTCATAAACCCTTTACTCTTCACTTTATTTAAGTTATTCATAACTCTTGTAATATGGGTTCAAGGCGAATTGATTAATTTTGAGCTAATAACCTAAATAATCATAAAGGTAATATGTAAGGAATCCATAGTTTTCTTTAAGATGATCAGCTTGTCCAATCTAATAGAGCAACGAATCTTCCATTTTGATTTGATGAGGGTTTTATTCAGGTATCTTCATAGAAAAAACAACAGGGTTTGTACCTTTTAAATATGTTTATATTTTTATTTCTGTCTTAGGTGGAGGTTCAATTTCTAGTCTTTATAATACAGTAGATCCAGGATTCTCATTAAGAATATCATTGAAGAATTTCATCTTATGAATATGAATTTCGCAATCTTCTTCTACATCTGGAATTTCTTTGATCCTGCTATCAACATAGTCATAGGTAATTCCATCTAGAATTATAAAAATGAGTCTTGAATAAAGAGGTGTTTTCAAATTAGTAAAATTTTTTGGAAAGATAAATGATTCATTTCTCTAGTTTTTAGGGGATTTTTCACTGATTTGAATCTAAGAAAAGGATATTTAGTACAAGAAAACTGCAGCGACCAAAAATAAGGCTATTTCAAAACCTAAAATTTTACTTATTTTCATTAATTTTTGTTTGTTGCTTGAAAGTTTAATTTAATATTTTACTAAAATTCTTACTTTTATAATTACTCTAATTTGTTTGCCTCAATTTTTTTGCAAATTTTTTTTCGCATAAAAATAGCTATTTTAATTGGAAAACATAAGCAAATACAGACTTTTATTTGTTTTATTGGTCATAGTAAATCTAACACTTATTTGCTTATAAGAATGTTCAAATGTATTTTTGTTATTTAAAAAAAAAAAAATTTGTCAATTTCAAAAATATACAATCGAAAATAGAAAAATAAAGACTATACTTAATAACTTACAACAAAACACGTAATAATAATGATGCAAACACAAATTCACGCTAAAATTTTAAAAACCTAGATAAATCGAAATTTTTTGAATTTTTGGGTTGAGAGTTAACGAGGTTTTAGTGTATATATCTAAAAAATATTTATGAAATTGACATTTAAATTTTATTTTATTGTAGAAAAAAAAAATATTTTAATAATAGAATGTATTAAAAATATATTTTTAAATTAATTTAATTTTTAAAAATAACAATACTTACTTACTTACTAAGAGTGAATTTATGATTTTAATGTAGCTATTTTATTTATTATTTAAAAAATTCATTCTAAAGCATCCATTTTATAAAATTTATTTAATTAATTAGAAAAATAAGAAAATTAATAAATTGATTTAAATTAGATTATTAAAGTATGAATTACTTAAAAAGCAGATTTAAATTTCATTTATTTTATGATTAGCAAAGAATTTTTTATTAGAAACTAATCTCTCATTTACGAATAAATAAATTAGCTGCTAACATACAAACTATAGTTATCATAATATATTCGTTATTAAAAATAAAATGTTGAGCTGCGAAGACTTATTTATTTAAAATAATCAATAGTTGGCCAATACAGCTGAATAGTAAGCAAATAGCTGATATAAATATTGATCCTCTTTTTATTTAATATATACTTGAATTAGTAAAAGTTTCAATTGTTTGTTTGTTTTCTTATTTTTCATTTTCTTCTATTTCTATTTATTCTTCATTTGTCTTTACTTTTATTAATTTTCTTTATTCGATATCTTCAATTGGCTTGTCTTGCTAATATTTGTTGAAAAACATCTGTCCTATAAAAGGTAGAGGGAAAAAGAATAGTACTACAAGGATTATGCTAAAATCTGTATGATAATATCTTATCTCTAAGTTAAGAACCTAATAAAATACTGCTGACATTATATAAATGTGAACTTGAGTAAAATAAGAGTAATATATGTTTTCAATCAATGAGATTGCATAATTTAATAGGTATGCATTTAATAAAACTATTGGAAAATAAGATAAACCTAATTTAAGCTGGGAATTTTGAAAGAATAAAATAATGAAATGATAAATTAAATTTTAAAAAACCAAATCAATTTTAAATTCTTTCAAATAGAAATTTTAATTTAGTTGATACTGAAAGTAGCAAGAGTAGATATAGAATATCAACTTTATAGCAAAAAAGTATTCAGAATATCCTTGTAGAGATAGAAATAATGAAATTATTATAAAAAAAGTAAAAATTAAGGTGCAATTCTTCATTCTTTTTGTCGAATTTTAAAGATACTTGATTTACTTGAAGTATATTACAAATATTATCATTTCACACAAAGAATTTATTTATTACAAGCTCAAAAACTAATTTCTGCAGTAAATTAATAAATTTAAAACTACAAAAGTTATTAAGTAAAGCATTTTTTCAATATTTTTGTATACTTTAAAGGATTGATATATCAAAAGAATCAGAGATAATTAGCATCCATATACTTCTAAATCATTTTTCTCATTCATGAAGTAACTATAACAACTATGTGCGGTCATTATTAGTATAAATAAAAAATCTTTGTATTAGGAATTCTTCCAAATTAGTTCTTGGAATGATTAAAAAACAATCGCCAAACAAACGCAAGCACCAAAAATAACACCAAATACTAATAATTTGTAAGAATAGAACTAAGTATCTTCATATAGAGACTTTTAAATCAAATTTTGGATGTTCACAATTCTTGTTATAGTTTCTTCTAATCTTTCCTCAGAATAGATTATCACATCTTTAGTCTCGTAATAAAGTAGTATTTCAATATCGAATACTTTATCTATTATTTATTAAAAATAGCTATCATCGTAAGTTTATCTAATGTCTTGAATATATCTGTAGAGCTCTACTTGCTATTACAATGTGGTGAAAGAATCTTGGAGAATTCTTTGAAGCATCTCAATTCTGTTTTCAAATTTGCTTTTAGGGTAAATCTCAAAAAGAGATCTTCCAGAATTAACAAAAGATATGGGTATATTTAAAATATTAGATATTGTGCTTGATATCATACTCTCGTGTGCTGAAAATAGTTCTCCCTAACTAGAAATTCTGCTATCTGTTTCAATTCTTCTTAAGCTTTCTATGAATTTGTCATTTTTGATAAACCCTTTCTTAGTGTATGCAAAAAATAGAGCATTGCAAACCTTTATATTTTCATTCCTACAGTCAGAATGAGAACCACTTTCTTACTTTCCATGATCACTGACAACAACCATAAGAGCATCATCGTCCATATTTTAAGCAACTTCTCTTAAAATCATATCAATTCGTCTCTATGCATCTAGTCCGTTTTGAGTGTGCATATCTTCATTATGGGTAATTTCATCGAATAAACCTTCATAGATAAATAAAGTGTCATAATTCTTTGATTTAATAATATTTATGTATTCTTAGACCCTTAAATTTTCACTTTATTTAAGTTACTCATAACTTTTATAATAAGGGTTCAAGGCGAATTGATTAATTTTGAGCTAATAACCTAAATAATCATAAAGGTAAAATGTAAGGAATCCATAGCTTTCCTTAAGATGATCAGCTTATCCTATCTAATATAGCAATGAATCTTGCATTTTGATTTGATGAGGGTTTTATTCCGGTATCTTCATAGAAAAAACAACAGGGTTTGTACCTTTTAAATATGTTTATATTTTTATTTCTGTCTTAGGTGGAGGTTCAATTTCTAGTCTTTAGAATACAGCAGATTCTGGATTCTCATTAAGAATATCATTGAAGATTTTCATCTGATGAATATGAATATCACAATCTTCTTTTACATCTGGAATTTCTTTGATTCTGCTATCAACATAATCGTAGGTAATTCCATCTAAAATGATAAAAATGACTCTTGAATAAAGAGGTGTTTTCAAATGAGTAAAATTTTTTGGGAAGATAAATGATTCATCTCTCTAGTTTTTGGGCGATTTTTCGCTTATTTCAATGTAAGAAAAGGATATTTAGTACAATAAAACTGCAGTGAGTAAAAATAAGACTATTTCAAAAGCTAAAATTGTTTTCATTTTAATTCAAATTCTTCTTGTTGCTTTAATATCTAATTGGATAGTTTTTATAAATTATTAATTTGAGGATTTACTCTAATTTAATTGTGTCAATTTTTTCAAAATTTTTGTTTTTTTAGTTTTTATTACTTCTTTATTTAATAAACAGAATTATTTTAATTTTTAAACTAACATAAATACAGACTTTTTATTTATTTCAACAAGCTTTATTAATCTAACACTTATTTTCTTATTAGAAAGTACATATGTATTATTATTTAAAAACAAAACAAAAATTTGTCAATTTCAAAATATACTATCGAAAAATAGAGAAAAAAGATTGTTTTTAAATAACTTTCAATAATATAATAAATAATAATAATACAAAGACAAATCACGCTAATATTTTTTTTTCACTTAATAATAAAGGCTTAATTTCTTTTATGTTTTTTATATTTCCGGTTTACACAGATTTACCCCAAATTCTTATATACTTATGTATAATATTTTTTATCATTTTTTGTTATTGTGACGTACTGATCTAGTTTATTACTAAATAATGAGCAAAGACATAAACTATTAAAAAATACATAATATATGCATATTTTATTTAATTGTATCTTAAGATCTTACAAAAATTTGTACTATCTGCTGCAAATAATACATATAAGTTTAGGATAATTAAGGTTATATAAAAAACCAAAAATATTTATTAGATCTGATATTAGTTAGCATAATCTTAAATCAGCTATTTAGTATTCGTATCACCATACTATTTACAATTTATTATTTTCTAACTAGTTAAAAATGTAAAAAAGACTTGCATTGTTTGTAATTTTAATATAACATTTAAAAATTTATATCTTGATTTTAATTTTGAAGTCACTTGATTAACACAAAGATTGAATTTTGGATAAATATTAGATTAAAAAATTGAGGTAAAAAAGAAAACCTTACAAGAGACAATAATACATCATTAAAAATAAATAAATAAAAACTTTTTTCTAATATTTTTCTATACTATAATGAAAATAATTAGCAAGAATTAATTTATCTATTGCTTTAACTTAAAAAAAAAATTCTAATTTTAAACAAAATCCTTCAGTTAAGTTTTGAATATTCTGAGGGCTCAAATTTCTTTTTGTTTGTTAATTTTGTGATTAAATAATAAAAAGTAAACTAATTATTTGATCTAAAAAAATTTTTTTTTCATAAAAAGATATTGGCATTTGCAGCTCAATCAATAAATAGTGGTTTGATTATTTATAAATTTAAACATAAATTTCCAAAAATATTTTGATTTTTCTGTTTTTTAAATTAGCTGATTGTTTAATTTGATATTTTTTTTTACTACAATAGTCAGTCACCATATTCAGTATTTGTATCAATAATATTTTCTTAATAAAAATGAATATAAAAATCATGAATGTATATTTTAAACACTATTATGATTTTAATATATATTCTTTATATCTTTTAAATTCATTTGATTCAAAATAAAGAAGTAATATTTAAAAGTAACTCATTATTTTTAAACTTTTTATGACTTTCTCACAGAATATTTACAAATATATTTTCAAAGAAAGAAATATTTAAATCAAAACACATAACGCACAGCAAATTTATTCTTAGAGTATAATTTTTAGTTTTATATATCGTATTTTCTTTTCACCTTTTTAGAGGTATGATAAAAAAAATTTCCAAATCTAATTAACAACAAATAAATTTTTATTTTTTTATTAAGATATAGGGGATTTGTGAAAATTGGAATAATAGGTTATGGGGTGTAAGAAAGAGGAATAAATTATTTGCTACTGTAAAATATGACAGAATACATCTTTCTCAATATACATAGAACAATATATTCTTTATTATTTACTTCACAATAATTTTAACATTTTTGTGAGTTAGTCAATTAATTTTTTTTATTCATTTTAGATTAATTTTATGTGTATAATTTTTTATCATTTTTTGTTATTTTGACATGCAGATCTAGCTTATTGCAAAAAAAAGAGCAAAGGCATAAACTATTTAAAAGCAAATATTTATGATAATTAAGTTTATCTAAAAAACCAAAAATATTTGTTAGCTCTGAAATTAGTTAAATTAATCTTATGTCAGCTATTTGGTATTCTTATCATCGTATAATTTATAATTTATTATTTTCTAACTTAAATTAGCAAGATTTAAATTAAGATTAAATCGCTTGTTTAATCTAAAACTAAATTTAAGTGAATATGAAAACAAACAGGTTAACAAATTTATTTTGGCCTCAAAAAGATGTAAAAAATGGTATGCCTTGTTTGTGGTTTTAATATAAAATTAAAATTTTGATTTTAATTTTGAAATCACTTGTAACATGAAGATTAAATTCTGGCTATAAATTAAATTAAATAATTGAGGTAAAAATTACAAAGCTTAGAAGAGAATTCTAGATCCCAAAAAAATAATACATCTTCACTAATAAATAAAAACTTTTACCTATTTTCCTTGTATGTTTTAATGAAAATAATTATCTAGAATTTATTTATTGGTGTAACTTAAAAAAAATCATAATTTTAAATTAAATCTTTCTGCGAAGTTTTGAATATTCTGAGGGCTGAAGTTTCTTTTTATTTGTTAACTTTTTTATCATAAATAATAAAAAGCAAACTATTAAAATATTATTGGATTTCAATAATTTTTTTTTTCATAAAAACATTTTGGCATTCGCAGCTCATTCAGTCGCTTCATTATTTATAAATCTAAACATAAATTTCCAAAAATATTTTAACTTTTATGTCTTTATTTATTTAGCTGATTATTTATTTTGATTTTTTCTTTTTTTACTACAATAGTCAATCAACACATTCAGTATTTGAATCAATAATATTTTCTTAATAAAATGAATTCAAAAATCAAGAAGTATTTTAAACTCTATTATAATTTATTTACTAAATACCTTTTAAATTTATTTGCAAGATAAAAAATATAAAGAAGTAATTTTCAAAAGTAATTATTTTTTTTTAGGCTTTTTATGACTTTCTCACAAAATATTTACAAATATATTCTCAAAGAAAGAAATATTTAAATCAAAATACATAATACACAGCAAATTTATTCTTAGTGTATAATTTTTATATTTATATACCTACCGTATTTCCTTGTCACCTTTTTAGAGATAAGGGAAAAAATATTTCTAATATAGGCAAACAATCAATAATTTTTTTGAGCACTAGCTTGTCAATAGGCTGGTCGCTTTTATGCGTTATTATTTTTTCTATTTCTAATTTATTAACGCCTTCTATCAATTTGTGGTTTTTATAAATAATCTTCGTTAAAAAACATTTACCTTCGATTTAAATTAATGGATCTTAAATCCATGAAATAGTATATCAAAAAATAATAACTGATAAAAATTTAATTTATTACTAATATCTTAATCTATAATTAATTATATTTAGTTTATTCAAATATATGTGTAAGTTATCTGATATATATTCTTTGAATTTTCAAAAATACAATTTTATGATTAAATTTAAATTTGCGAATCATTTTTATTTTTACCAACTTAACAAAAAATATTAAGTAAATTAATTAAAATTATAATTTAGTTTATTAAAAAACAATTTACTCTAATATAAATTAAGATAAAAAGATTTACTATATTTACTTTTACTTTTTTTGTTAGCGCTTTCTACTTAAATAAAAGATATAGAAGAAGAAATAAATAATATTTTTTAATATTTCAAAATTTTTTTCTTTGATATTAATCAAGTAAATTTTATTATTTTTCAGCCCATTTTACTAGTTTTTTTTTAATTTATCTATTTTTTTTATTAACATAAGACATGAAATCAATACCATCAGATTTTTTTACTTAAAGCAAATCTTTGCTGTATTCTAAAGCTTACTTAATATCATGCATTAATTTATTTACACCCTTACAAAAATATGGTTAATTTTTTATATTCAAAATGTATTTAGAGTCTTCAAAATGATATGGTCTATTCTTGTAAGTGAATATCTCATTCAAGTTTTTAATTATTGGTTGTTATTTTCTATTTTTACGCTCAGTTTATAAAAAGAATTCATTTTTTTCTTAAAATTCTGTGAAAGGATTCTCACGTCCATATTCCTAAATTTTAAAAACATTATATAAATAAATAAATAAATTGCTTTTATAGTAAAATTATTTAATTTACAGTTTAAAAAGAATCTTTTTCTTCTGAGTAATTTTTTACTGCTTTTTATTGATTTTCAATCATTTTTTAAAATTAATTTTAATTCTAAACCTTTTTATATTTTATAATGAAATAGGCAATTATAGATATTATTCCAAAGATATTAGGTAGCATTTCCCACCACCTTTCAGCGTCGAAATGAGTAAGATAAAAGGCAAAAGTCCATGTAAATTGAAAAACAAATATACTAGCTAATAAAAATTGCTATACCTTCTCATCTAATTCATTACCTAAATTAAACTTTACTATTCTTCTATTGAAAAACATCACCTAAGATATTTAAAAAGATATTTACAATTTTTTTAATTAAGCAAGTTAACTTATTTGTTCTTGAACATTTTAATGATTGTTAACGAAATTAAAAAATTTATATAATAAAAATAAAATTTACTTTAGTGACAATATAGTAAAGAACCATTTTGATTAGTAAAATCAAAGAATAAATAGGAGCAATAGGTAAATAAAAGGCAGTGACTAAAATAGATGTAAGTGTTTCAGAATAAAATTTATCAAGCTCGAATTCAGGGAACTCATAAATGCTGTTTTAAAAAGGTTTTTGAAATTAAAAGCTGTTGATAAAATAAATTTACTTCTAAAGATCACTTTGTGTTTTTACACTCTTATTTTTTCTGCTTTCTTTGTTTTTTTTAAATCTCTTTTTATAAAATTCTATGTCCATCAAGAAAATTTGAATTGGATTGATAATACTAAAAAAGAATGTAGTTAGCTAAGTGTTTACAAGTCCAACTTTTATAAAATAAACAAAGAAATCAGCTTTAAGTAAAAATAAATTAACAAGCTAATTTTACATTCACTGAAAAATAAATGTTTGAAAACAGAACTGCTCTTATTTATAATTGAAAATACAATAATCTATAATAAGGTTTAGTTAATTATCTAAAAGCAGCTATTAAAAAAAATGTAGAAAGTTGCTTTCATAGTTTTGTTTTAGAATTTGAGAAATCTATTTAAAGAAAAGAAATTAATATAAATTATGTTAGAAATATAAAAAAAGTTAAAATTGAATTGAACAATTCTTTAATTAAATTTAATTAAAATATTTTCCAAAGGTTGACAAATAAATTAATTGACAATTTTACTCTGTAGTTTTTTACAAGGAAAATGAAAGGACAAAGTTAACTATTAGTGTAGATAGAGACATAATAGATGAAACTGCATAGCTTTAAATGATACTTCCCTCAAATTTTTATGAGATTATATCTTGTTACTTGTAAACAAAGTAAATAAATAATAAACCCAGCATTAAAATAAAAAATAGAAAAATAATCATTTTTTTTTTCCTATTTAAATGGTCTTTGTAATTTAGGTTTAAGTTATCCCATATTATTTCGTTTGGTTATTCAGCATCCTGTTTTTAATATAAAAAAAGTAAAAATTTCAAAATTAAAGAAAGCGACAAAAAGAATTTATTAAAATTTATATTAACACAAACTTACAACTTTATACTGGTTTGATAAAAAATTGTATTAAATAAATTGATTGATATATTTTTATTAAATAAAAATCTTAAAATAAATTAAAAAAATAAAAATAATTAATTGCTTATTAATTTGTTTACCTCCAAATACCATTCGTGCTATTCCAAAAATTATTTTTTCATCTGTGATACTTACTACTTTTCTATAAAAATGAATTAATTGGTTTATATGAAGATCTTATTAAAATAAATATATACCATATTGTTTTTCAAAAATAACAAATACAGCTCCTGAAAAATATTTATTTTAACATTTTATATTTTGACTGCTTTATTGATTTTAAACTTTTAATTTTTCTTTAAATTAGATTAGCTTGTTTAAGACTCTTTTAATTTTATATTCCTTGTTGAAGTTAAAATTATTGAATTCTATTTAGTCTTTATATTTTCTCATATATTCCTGCTTTTATAAAATTAGCTATTCAATCATGTTTTCATATTTCCTCAATCTTTCTGTTTTATAGCATACTATAACTTATCTAACTTCTACATTCTTATTTTTTATATCTATCTGTTTAATTACACTCTTAAAAATTAAAATAATTATATATAGTAGCTTAAAATAAATAAATAAACTTACTTTTATATAATTTGCTAAATTTGGATATTACATAAAATCCCATTAAATGTTATTTATTTTAATAGTATAGTTACTAGGACAAGAAGATTAAGTTTAAGCTTATTTGATTTTCGTTTAAATTATGATATACTATTTTTCAATAAACATTATGAATATAATTATGGTCAAAAGATTCAGCATTTCAAGTAAAAATCCTTTATACTAGTTTGTAGAATAATTTCGATTTCCATAAGATATTTTTGTAGATTTAGTTTCTGTACAATATGTACTAATTTCACATCTGTTATCAACATAATTAAAATAAGTAGAAATTATATTCAAAGCAAATATAAAGCCATATAACTTTATCATAAGTATAAGATAACTAAAATATAAGGGATAGCCTGCTCCCAGAAAAAGCATATCTTTAATTTCCCATTTATACCATGGTTTCCTATTTTTTTCTATAGGCTTTGAACAGCATTTGCATATCTTTGCTGTATTTTATATTGCAATTCCAATCTTTGTCGCAGCCTATCCAATTTACATTTTAAAAATATTAGATTATTTTTAAAAAAGCATCATAGTTAGCAAATATTTAAAATTATATTTTATATTTAGCTATTAAATAAAATTACTCTATGGTTGATTGCATCTTAGTAGCAATAAGGTATTTTATATTTATCAATTTCTTTAATAAGAGGCAAGTCAAGTTTATTTTCTTTAATGTAATTGTAAAATTTTGAGTTCTCTATTGACCTTTTTTAAATTTAAATTGTTAGAGAGCTTTCTAAATTAAAAATGCCTACTCTTCTAATTGAGGATCGATAAGTTCTGAATGACTCTCACTTCTTTTCTTAAAAGACATTTGAAAATATAATAGATAGATGGTAATATATTTTTAAAAAATAACAATTAATTATTATTACTAGCAAAAAATAAACTCTTTTAATTTCTTTTAATTGCTTAATTTAATCTAAACCAAAAAAATAATAAAGTAAATTTTTTAATAGTTAATTAGCTGGTTGTAAGAGTAACTATTATTTCTAATTTCTGTAATAATCAACTAAGAATATCTATCATTTAAAGATACCATCTCATAATAATTTTCATTTTCCAATAATAAACAAATAATTCAAATTTTTATTTTTGAAAACTTTATTTGCTGATATTTATTTTAAAGAAGTAAAAGCAAATTTTGTCATTAATTTAAAACTATTTTTTATTTATTAAGCGAAAATTATTGATTCTTTAAGAATTTTTTAATAATTTTTTAGTTCTTTAAACTTTTCTCAATATTCAATAAATTTTTAAAAATAAATTTAATTAAAATTAATTCTTTTTGATTTTTTTTCTATCGATTTTAATAAACAAAAAATAATTATTTTATATTTTATTTTTTAATTAATTAATTTATGTATTGTAATTTTTTGTATTTACTTAATTTAAGAGAAAAATTAAAACATAAAAATAAATATTGTATAATTTTAAATTTTTAAGATATATTTTATTACAAAACAAATATTATTTAATATTTTATGGTCAATAAATTATATAAAAATCCATGTTATATTCATTTTGTATTTTTAAAAATATTTATTTTAATAATAAAAAACAATTAAAATTATGAAAATTAATTCACTGTTACTTAAAAATTGAAATAAAATATGTAAGTTCTGACTTATAAATACATTAATTAATTGAAATATTTAAAGAATTTTGTAAATTATTTAACATTATTAAATAAATTACAATTTTTTTATCAGTAAATACTTCAAAAAACGAAGTAAAATTAAATTACTTTCTTTATAAATTAAAAATTTTTTTAATTTAATAATTAAATTAGTTAACTTAATTAATTAGTTTGAAGTAAATTGTGATACAAAAAAAAGAATAAATTAATTAATATGGACTAATATAAGCTGATAAAAATCTAATGAAAAATAAAAACAAACTAACAAACAAACCAAGTTTCAATTGCGAATAAATAAGTTTGAAATTAAATTTGATATTGCTATGAGCATTAAATATTCGTTATTAAAAATAAATTCATCTGTGCGATGGTTAAATACCTTTTTGTTTACTATAATCCATAATTATCCTATGCAGCTTGACATTATGCAAATAGATGAAATTAAGATAATTCCACTTTTTATTTTATTAATTTGATAACTATAATCATTGCTATTCATTTATTGTAGATAATCTCTCTCCTTTTCTTTTATTACATTTGATGCTTATAGATCTTTAGATCCAAATTCAGTTTCTTTCTACTTTTCAATATCTTCTTCTATTTTGGTGTATTTAGTTAGATCTTTCTTATTTTAGATAAAAATTTATCCTATTAATGGTAATGGTGCATAATAGAGCATAATTAAGATTATACTAAAATCTTAACTTTAATAATTAAACTATAAATTTAGTTATTAAAAGAGTATTGCTGATAAAACAAAAATATGCACTTGAGTAAAGTAAGATAAGTAAATCGATTTTCTTGTTGAAATAAAATAACAAAGCAAGTAAATGTTTACTAAAACTATTGGTTGATAGATTAATCCTTTTTGCACAACAGTATTATTATAAAATAAATTGATAAAGCGATAAACTAAGCTTATAGTTATCAAATCTATTTGAAAATGCTATAATTAAAGTTGGTTAGGATATAATCTATTCTGTATATATATTGAATATATAAAGAACCCAAAATTTAGTGCAAAATTTGCATAGTTAAGATCACATACAGATAGAAATCCTGTTGCTACTAGAGTTAAAGTTGAAACAAATACATATGATCTAATTTTACTAAAAGGTTAGATATATTTCATTTTGCTAATAGTTTTGTAAGAGTGTAAAGCAATAATAGCCATTTCACATATTGTTGTAAGTTATTATAAGCTTAAGTTTTTGTTCCTATAATGAACCAAAATGGTAAGAAATACAAAACTAAATAGAGGTATCAACTGTTTCTTTTTAAATTTTTTTAATGCAAGACATTAGTAAAGCATAAGAATAGCAGAGAGATATAATCCATATGTTTCAATGCTATCTTTTTCATTCATGAAGTAAGTGTAGCAGCTATATAAAGACACTATTAGCATAAATAAAAAATCTTTCACTTATCTATTTCTCACTACTAAACTTATGAAAGTATATACTACCATAGCTAATGAAATACATCCACCAAAAACAATGCCAAATATTAATAATTGATTAGAATAAAATTTGGTTTCATAAATAATCTCCTAAATCTAATTTTAGATATTGATAATTTTACTGATTAGTTGTTCTAAAATTAATTCATCATTTATTATTTATTCTCTCAGATCATTACGCAATTAATTCTCTATTGAATTTATAAAATTATTAATCTCTGAAAATTTTTAATAGTCATATATTCTTTTAGTTTCTTAAATGTGGCTATAAAGTTGCATCTATTACTTTAATGTGGTGAAAGAGTCTTGCAGTATTCTTTAGAGCATTTCAATTCTATTTTAAAATTTACCTTTTGGGTATATTTCTAACAAAGATCTTCCAGAGTTAATAAATGAAACAGGAATATTTAGAAGATTAGAAATCGTACTTGAAATCATGCTTTCATGAACGGAAAACTACTCTGCTTGCTTTGAAATTCTTTCATCTGTTTCTTTTCTTCTTAAGCTTTGAATGAATTAATCATCTTTAATAAAACCCTTTTTTGTGTAAGCAAAAAAAACGGAATTGCATATTTTGATATTTTCATCTCTACAATTAAAGTGAGCTCCTCTATCTGATTTTCCGTGATCGCTAACTAATACCATAATGGCATCTTCATCCATATTTTTTACTACATTTCTAATCAGTGTATCTATTTTTTTTTATGCTTCTAGCCCATTTTACGTGTGCATACCTTCTGAATGAGAGATTTCATCAAACGCTCCTTCATAAATAAATAAGGTATCATAACTATTTGATTTTATTATTTCCATGTATTCTTAAATCTTAGAATCTTCACTGTACTTTAAACCTAAATTTGCAAATTAATTATCACTTAGGTAATATCCTATGTAATCATAGAAGTATGATGTAAGATAGCCATAGTTCTTCTTGAGTTTATCTGACTATCCAATTTAGTAAATTAATGAATCTTGCATGTTGATTTTGTTAGGGTTAGCTTCTGGTATCTTCAAAGAAAAAACTACTGGATTTGTACCTTTTAAATATGTAGATATTTTTATTTCAGTCTTTGGTGGTTGTTCGATCTCAAGTCTTGAGAGTATAGCTGATTATGGACTCTCTATAATGAGTTCATTAAAAACATTAATCTAGTGAATATGAATATCGCAATCATCTTTCACGTAAGGGATTTCTTTGATTCTATTGTCAACATAATCATATGTAATACCATCTAATATGACAAAGATTAACTTAGAATAAAGAGGATCTTGTAAGGTTGTGAAGTTTTGAGGGAAAACAAAAGACTATTATCTTTAGTTTAATGGAGATTTTAATGTAATATCAACAAAAGAGTATGATATTTAATAAAAGAAATATGTAGCTAGCAGTAAAAATACAACATCTATAGCTAAGACTGAATTCATTTTCTTATCTAAATTTCTTTTTAATTAAGAGAGTTTTTAATTACTAATTTATTATAAATTAAAAAGTATATGAATGTTTAAAATAAAAAGTCTAGTAAATAAGATTTATTTATTTTAAGAGATTAAATAATTTAAATTACTATTATTTAAATGTATAATAATTTAAATTGAGAGGGGAAAAAAAAGTAAAATTTTTTTTTATTTTTTTTTAGAATTAAAGTGAATTTTTTTTTTTAAATTTTAAAAATTAGTCAGAATATGTTCGAATCCCCGGATGGTTAATAATTAATTAATAATTAGTTAGATAATAAAAAAACCAAAATAGAAAAGTAAATAAAACTGAATAAAATTGTTAGACGAAGAATTTATTTTTTTTAATTATTTGAATGATTAATTAATTTTTTCACTTGTAATTTAAAAATGTTAATATTAGTTATTTAAATAAAAACTTAAAAGAGGAAGAAATAAATAGGTATTTTAAATAAAAACTCATAAATAATATTTTCAATTATTTCATAAAATAAATATTCCTTCTTGACAGCATTTAATTTAAAATTACTTTTCGATTTTGTTTTTTTATACTTGAAAGTGAATAAATAAATGGAAATTAAATCAAGATTGTTAAGATTAATTGGATTTTTATTTATATTAATATAATTTTTTTATATTTCAAATATCATTAAACAAACAAATTTTATTTATTTTATAAAAAAAAATCATTTAAACTTCATTTTATAATTATTATAGATAAATTTAATGCTATTATTTTTAAAAAAATAATAATCATCTATTTGGTTATTATAATCTATCTCTCTCAATCAAAAAGCATGTCATCTGGATTATGAGAATACCAAGTTCCAAATAATTCAGTCACGATATCTTTTTTGTAAGGTTAACCTAAACATATAGATTAAGCTGCAGGAGTTGTAAAGGTGTCACAGTAGTATCCTAAGGTAACCTAAGTTAAATTGGTGGGGTTAGCTAAAGCATCTTAGACCAAGTGATATTTATTTTATGTATTCAAATCTGTTCTTAATTTTCCTAAGAAATCTTAAATGTTTTCAAAATTAGACATATCATCATATCCATAGTAAGAGTTGAAGTCATAAGTCTTTTCAAATATAACCTTATTGATATCTCTTATCTTATTCTCATTATAATAAGTTAAGTTCATTGCATACTAAGTATAATTTATAGGCAACATAGTTTCAAAATCTGCTTCAAATATTTTAAATGAAGGGTTCTATCCTCCATAAGTTGTGAGAGAGCCTGTAATAAACATTACATTATTTATCTCATTCGTACCTAAGTTTCTGAAAACAGCAATTTACTCATTATGAGTATGTCCATAGAATTAAGAAATTATAATATTTGAATATCTTTGGATAAGTGCTGTGTAAATTTGAGCCCATTCTTCTAAAGTATCTCCTATAGGCATATGTCCTATAATGAACACTTTTTCGTTTTTCAATTCAGCTTATTAAAGTGTATTTTTTAACCACTTCAACTAGTCTTTAGGGTCAGTAGGATTTTAAATCAAATACCAGTTTTAGCCGTTTCCTGCTTGAGTGTTGATTGCTATTATTCTTAATGGCTAGCTATATTTAGTAATTAAACTAGAATAGAATCCGTTTTATCTGTACTCTTCAGCTGCTTCCTTTCCAATCCATTATTCCCATGAAGTTGCAAAAATATCATTTTGTTTATTTTCATGGTCTCCGAAATAATCATAAACATTAACTGGGAAACTTTCATGGTTTCCAGTAATAGGGAATACATTAATATTAGGAAGTTCACTCTTCAATAAATCTACTATCCTTGTAGTTTAATCAGTATTACTTTAATAACTTTGCTCCCAGATGTAATGATTAGTATTATCACCAGTCCATATTATGAAATCGATTTCATCAGCTAGATTGTTTTTGATATACCTAATTGCAGCTTCTACAGTTCTAAAAGGGATATCGCAGTCTCCGATATAACCCCAGTAGCCGGCTTTTGCAGATTCATCATTAGGTTTACCTGATGTAACTCTACAACAATCAGGTACAGTGCATTAAGCATTAGCTCCCTCAAGATACAACCCATCGAAGTGAAGATCAGACATGTGTAAGAATTTAAAAGTTTTCTTTAAAGTAGGAGTAGGTCTTTTTACTTAAGGAGTATCCTTGATGATATTTTAAGCAATAGCAGTAACATTTAAGTTATGATAATAAGGAGGGCACATACCTAAAGAGGGACAGACATAAAGTGGATTAAGATACCTATTTGCAAATCCTTAAAGTACGGAAGGAGCCATTTCTCCTACAGCACCAAAACAGATCAATGGAGTTTCAATTTTTAGAATAGAGCATCCAAATTAAATAATGTGAGTTAATTCTTAACCGTACTTGGTTAAATTTAGTGATAAGATGCTATTGTAGAAGCTTTAGCATTACTAACACAAATTAGTTGAAAAGCCTTCTCCTTAAACATTTTGCTAGAGCTTCATGACTTATTCTGTAATTGTAGAATTCTTATTTTCTAGAACTTCATTTTTGAGAAAAGTTTTAGCCATTTATGTAAGTACAGGGTTATCAAATTAGTCTATATTTCTTTAAAAGAAAGTGGTAAAGACATATTTGACTAATTCTGAATCTTCATCATTTCTACATGAGACTTGGCTGATCAACAACAAGCCAAAGATAAAGGCTAACAAAAATTTCATTTCTATTATCCTAGTTTTTAGAAAGATTATTAATATTTAGATTTTTACTTATGAATTTGATTTGCATGATAATTGATCACAGATACAAATAGAAGTTTTTATTTATTTTTCCCTAATTAAATCAATTAGTGTTCACAAATTTAATAAATTATGGTTTTAATAATTTCTTTTATATAAAAGATTTAAACAACGTCAACACAAATTAATAATTAGTAATTTGAAACAATATCACTGTATTATTAACTTTGTTTTAGATAAAAATTTTTAGTGTTTATCAAAATGTAAGGCAAGAAAGTTACAAACTATTACATTAAAATTTGTATTTATTTAATTATTAAAAATATTTATATTTTATAAGGATTTAAGGAAGCATACTAAATTTAAAGGAAAGAAGAGCAAATTAAAATATTATATGATTTAGTATCAGCTTCTTTTTGAAAAAAAACTATTCATTTATATTAAAATTTCTATTTATTTACTTATTAAAAATATTTATATTTTATATAGATTTAAGGAAGTTAATTAAATTTAAAGGAAAGTAGAGCAAATATTACATTATTATTTTATTTTAATATCAGCTACTTTTTGAATATATTAATTAGTCGAGAGTAAAATCTAAGAAATTCTTATTTTATTATGACAATTAATATCTAATTTTTTGTTTGACTATTTTTATTTTCTTTTATTGAGATATAATTTTTTTTGAATAAAATTTTAATTATAATTAATTAAAATAAGGCAATTAAATAAGATTTTAGTAATTTAGAATTATTAAATTTATATATATTAATATTGATATCAATTTGTGTTTTTTAATTATAATAATCAAATTAATGAAAATTTATAATAGATATTTTAAACATAATTTTAAAAAATGATATTAAAATTTTATTTTTATTATGTATGTATTTACTTATTTATTTGAATATTATAAAAATTTTATTTATATTATCTCTAGTTTATTTTACGTCATATATAATTTATAAAAATTATAATGGTTTTTATATATATTTTTTTATAAATTCAATTAATATAGATTTTATTTCATTCAAAAAGTAGATCATCAGGATTATGAGAATACCAAGTTCCAAATATTTCAGCTATCATATCTTTTTTATAAGGTTTGCCATAACACATTGATTAAGTTGCAGGAGTTGTAAATGTGTCACAATAGTATCCTAATGTAACTTAAGTTAGATTGGTGGGGTTAGCTAAGGCATTTTAGACTAAATGATATTTATTTTATGTATTCAAATCTGTTTTTAATTTTTCTAAGAAATCTTAAATATTTTCAAAATTAGACATATCATCATATCCGTAGTAAGAGTTGAAGTCATAAGTCTTTTCAAATATAACCCTATTGATATCTCTTATCTTATTCTCATTATAATAAGTTAAGTTCATTGCATACTAAGCATAATTTATAAGCTACAAACTATCAAAATCAGCTTCAAACATTTTAAAAGATGGATTATGTCCTCCGTAAGATGTGAGAGAGCCTGTAATAAACATTACATTATTAATTTAATCAGTTGCTTAGTTTCTAAATACAGAAATTTATTCATTATGAGTATGTCCATAGAATTAAGAAATTATAATATTTGAATATCTTTGGATGAGTGCTGTGTAAATTTGAGCCCATTCTTGAAGAGTAAATATTGATGGAATATGTCCAATAATAAAAACTTTTTCGTTGTTCAATTCAGCTTACTAAAGTTGATTTTTTAACCATTTTAATTATCCTTTAGGGTCAGTAGGATTTTAAATTAAATACCAATTTTCATTATTACCAGCTTATGTGTTGATTGCTATTATTCTTAGAGGTTAGCTATATTTAGTAATTAAACTAGAATAGAATCCGTTTTGTCTGTACTCATCAGCTGCTTCCTTTCCAATCCATTACTCCCATGAAGTTGCGAATATGTCATTTTATTAATTTTCACGGTCTCCAAAATAATCATAAACATTAACTGGGAAACTTTCATGGTTCCCAGTAATAGGGAAGACTTTAATATGAGGCAATTCTTTTTTCAGCAAATTTGTTATTCTTATTGTTTAATCAGTATTGCTTTCAAAACTTTGTTCCCAGATATAATGATTAGTATTGTCACCAGTCCATATTATGAAATCGATTTCATCAGCTAGGTTGTTTTTGATATACCTAATTGCTGCTTCTATAGTTCTAAAAGGGATATCGCAGTTTCCTAGATAACCCCAGTAGCCGGCTTTTGCAGATTCATCTTTAGGTTTACCTGATGTGAATCTACAACAATCAGGTACTGTGCATTAACCATTAGCTCCCTCAAGATACAATCCATCGAAGTGAAGATCAGACATATGTAAGAATTTAAAAGTTTTCTTTAAAGTAGGAGCAGGTCTATTTACTTAAGGAGTATCCTTGATGATATTTTAAGCAATAGCAGTGATATTTAAGTTATGATAATAAGGAGGACACAAGCCTAAAGAAGGACAAACATAAAGAGGATTAAGATATCTTTTTGCAAATCCTTAAAGTACTGAAGGAGCCATTTCTCCTACTGCACTGAAGCAGATCCATGGAGTTTCAATTTTTAGAATTGAGCATCCAAATTAAATTATGTGAGTTAATTCTTAACCATACTTAGTTAAATTTAGTGATAAGATGCTATTGTAGAAGCTTTAGCATTACTAACACAAATTAGTTGAAAAGCCTTCTCCTTAAACATTTTGCTAGAGCTTCATGACTTATTCTGTAATTGTAGAATTCTTATTTCCTAGAACTTCATTTTTGAGAAAAGTTTTAGCCATTTATGTAAGTACAGGGTTTTCAAATTAATCTATATTTCTTTAAAAGAAAGTGGTAAAGACATATTTGACTAATTCAGAATCATCATCGTTTCTACAAGATACTTAGGTAATTATGGTAATTACCAAGAGGAAAAAGTACAAAAATTTCATTAATTTATCTTATTATTTTAGAGATATTGTAATTTATTTTAATTTAAAAAAATATGAATGAAGAATTTTATAAACCATGAATTTATTTTGAATTCTTTAATGGTTGTTGTCAGATATCAAAGTTATAACAATTATATAAGAAAAATAACTCTGGCTATAACAAATTTCTTTTATTTTTGAGATTTAAATATCGTCATAATTAAAAGTAAGTTTAAATTCAAAAAGATAAATGTTTGTATCCTCTCTTGTTAAAAAAGCCTGCTTCTTTTGAAACACCATAATATTTAAGTTACTGTATACATGTGTATAAAAGTTAATTTGATTTAATACTATCATAAATTACATATCTTTAAGTAATTCATTTTATTTTGAAATTTAAATTTGGATAAGCTCTTACATATTTCAAAATATATTATTTAATTTTAAGACTTACATTTTTTTCAAAGCTTATGTGTAGTGCGATTCTTATAAATGAAAATGTAATTTTTACCACAACTGAAATCGGAATATGACTTATCACCTTCTGTTCTATTCTCAAAAATTTGATTGAAAAAAACTTAACTTGAGGAGAAATTTCCATATTGAAAGATATATTTATTTGTTTTAAAATTGATTTTACTATTTATTAAAGCTTTCATTAAATATTATTAAAATAAATTAATGCCTTGATTAGAAAGCTTAAGACTAGCCGTATATTGGTATTTATAAAATATTCTAAACTAGAAAATATAATATATAATGTTAATCAATCTAAAGATGAAATTTAAATAATTTAAAAAAAATAAAGTTTAGTGTTGTTGTTGAAAGAAAAATGAAATCAAAGCAATTTATTTTTTATAATAATGAATTTTTAATTTTTATAAATATTAAATTTATAAAATAAAATAAAATTTAAATTAAATATTGGCTTTAAATATTTGTAAGATAAAATCAGTAATCAATAATAGGCTGTAAAGTAATTAAATATTTTTTAAGGACACTGGTGAGTTTTAATAAAATCTCAAAAAGGATTAAGTTTTCATAGTTTCACATTTATTAATTTGTTGAAAAATAAACAAACCTATAATAATGTAAACTCTAAAATAAAATAATGAAAATATCTTTTAATGTTATCAGAAGTTATTTTATATACCACAAACAATGTTTATAAAAAAATAATTTTTTTTTAATTAAATTTTAAGACTATTAAGTTACTAATTTATATATCAATGAGCCTAGTTTTAGCTAATTTATTGAAACCACTTTTAAATCTTTTGCATTTAATTTTATCCAATACTATGTCCTAGACCAGCTTCATACTCAATTTTGAAGTTAGGGTTAATATATTATAAAAATTTTATAGTTTGCTGCATATATTCAATTTTAACAATTTAGTCATCAAGGCCATGACTAAAGTAGATAGGAATATCAATATTCTCTTTAGATATTTAACAAGTATCAATATAATATCCACTGAGTGCAATTATTCCCCCTATTTTCTACTGATAACTTAATCCACTGTAAAGTGCTAAGGCACACCCTTAACTAATACCTCCTATATACAACTGCTGTTTGTTCTATAAAATTGACTACTCCTTCTTCATAATTTCTTATATCCTTTTAACAGATGTTTCTAACTCGCTCAGATTGTACAAATCTTGAGGTCTTTTATTTGTTCTATCCTCTGAATAAATATCATACCAAGATGGCATTTTTAATTACTTTTAGCTAAACGTAATATATCTCATAGGAGCCTAAGGCAACAATATTTTTGTATTTTGGCAAACAGGGCTATAAGAGGAAAGAAATAAATTGTGGTACATAGCAGCCTAATTTGCAGCTCCATGCAAAAATATAAAAGTTTTTTCATGCTTTTCAGGAACTAAAACATCCATTTCATTTTACTTTAATAATTTATAAGCTTATTTATTTATTTTAAATATCATTTTTATTTATATCTAAACAAAAAATCATCAAGTTATACATACATCTTGTTTACTTATGCCTTGCTAATGTTACCCAAAAACTAGTCATTTTGTATGAATTATATATAATTCTGATTAACTCTACAATTTAATTAATTAATTGATTAATTTATTTAATTTCTAGTAATTCTAAAGAATCTTCTTAAATTTAATTTGCATTAAAAATATAAATTTTGTGAAAACTTGAAAGAGCATATCTTATTTTATATTTTTAATTCTCAAAAAATGTAAACAATAAAACTAGTAAATAAATAAATAAATAAAAATATTATCAAATATTTATAAAAATTAAATTTTTTAATTTTTCTAAAGTTATAAAAATTATTATTTTTTTAAATTGTTGCTTTACTAAAATTTATTGGATGAATAATTTTATTAAATTAGTAGATTCAAAACAATATTTAGGATATTCTAATTTGTTAATTTACTTAAATTAATTAATAAATCTTATTTTTACATGAATTATGTAAAAAATAATAATATTAGTGACCAAAATTTTTTTAATTTAAATTAAATAGCTTCTAAAGCATACAGAAAATAGCAATTTAAGTATTTAATAAATATTTTATATAAATTCATATTAAAACATTTCATAGAGTCAAAACAATAAGTTACAATAAAGTTTAGTAGTTAATTCTATGTGAAAGCAGTAAGGCCCTAAATTCATTTATACTTAAATATTCAGAATCATATCTTAATAAGTTTAGTACAGTTAAATTTTATTCAAGAAGCTCAAAAATAGTTGTTCTTCCTTTTGATTTAAGGAAGTCATCAAATTTATTGCAAATAAGTCTTAAAATAGCTAAAAACTCAATTTTTCTCATGTATTTACTCTCATGTATGCCAAAAAACTATAATTTAAATATATTTAAAAACATAAACAAACAAATAAATAACATTAAGAATGACTTTACCTTCACAATAAAATTTATTGTATCTATGACAGAAGCACTTTAATCTATTACAATTTTGTTAAATAAATGATATTATTCCCATTTAATTTTGGAAAATTCCTCGTAAGGGTTGATGTCTAAAGCTAAAAACACTCTATTCATTATTGAAGGTTTATTTTTATCTAAAATTGGCTAAAAGTGACTCTTTAGTATTTTGAATAAAATGAATTTATCTTTTATTAATTAAATAAAATGAAAAAAATATCAAGCAATATAATAAAATTTACCATTTTCTTTTTTCATTTTGTGTAACTTAATATTTAGCTTTTTGCTTTCTTCTTTTAGTGAAGCTTGTTTATTTGGGTTTACGTATTCGTTTTGATATAAAATTATATCTAAAGACTGTTTAGAGAGCTGCATAAATTCTTGGAATATGTAATTATCTGGTGTTTTAACAGACAAAGGAACATTTTTTAATTTTAGATTATTTAGCAATTCATTAATTTAAAGATTGTTGTTTGACACTAATACTTCATCTTCTGATGGTTCTAAGTTTTTAATTTTCCCTAGGATTATAGCATTAGATTGCTTGTATTGCTTCTAGAGATTATCAGAAGAAAGTATTTTGCTCCTTTTATCATAAGAATCTATATTTTTGAAGGCACTGTGCCACTTACTCTGCATTTTAGATTGCTCAAGCAAATATGCCTACGATTTCTCTAGTAGGAGACTTTCCTAATTAGGAGAAGTATTCAGCATATTTCTATCATAAACACTCTTAGAGCTTTGAGACCCTCTAAGTATATTTTACTTAATAAAACATTTGAAAGAAATAAATAATTTTAATTGAAGAATTATACTGGAAGGACTAAGTCTTTTTTGGAGGGACTTAATGAGCCTATTTATCTTTCCATTATACTTTATTCATATCTTGAAGGAATATAAGGTTTATACTAATATTTGTAATCTTTATATTCTTCAGTTGAAATATATTTCAAAAATTCAGTAGGTGGCATCTTAGTATATTTAGTAAAGTCATTTTTATTAATTTTTTTGTTAATTTGAAAAATTTAATTACTTAAGATGAGCTGTACTACTAGAAAGGAGGAAGAAAAGAAGTGTTTTTTTTATTGTCTGATGCAATTTCATTTGCAAATTAAAATTCAGCTTTTCCAAATATTTTTTCTTCTTGTCTTAACTTTTGAATTTCTCTTTTAATTTTTTCTTCCTGCATTCTAGCCCTATTGACTCTCCTTTTTTTTTCTCTTCCTTGATAGCGAGGCATTACGACTTCCATTTAGTCTTGAGTAATATAATTATTTTTACCAATCTGATTCATAAAATAATTAACATTATTCTCTAAGTCGTTGATATATTGCTTATCATTCCTGTATAAAGGAACTTTCAATTAATATTTTTAATTAGTATTCAAATCATCAAAATTCTCTACTATTTCAATGGTCTAAAGCATTTTTATTTAATTGTGCTATTTTAAATTTATTCTACTATCTAAGTCCTGATAAAATTAGGTTTTTGTTTTTATCAAATAATAAATAGACTTGATTTGATAATTAATACTAAAACAAGGTCTATTTCTTTTTTACTAAAATCAATTACTAATTAATGAATGAATGAATTATTGATTAATTTTATTAATAATTTGCATTCGTTTTATTTATTTAATTAATTAATTTATTAAAAGTTCATCAATATGTAGTTTGTCTGTCTGTCTGTAACATAACAAACAATCCATGCTAATGAAATACATAAATTTATAAATATCGAAATTCTATTAAATATGTCTTCAGTAATTAAATAAGATAAAGGATCTCAATTTTATATATTAAATTTAAAACGCATATTGGAAAGTAAAGTATTTTTTTAGTTTATACGTAAAAGAAAAATAAATTATATAGCATTAACATACATACTAAATAAATATCTACTTTTTAGATATATGCTTCTTTTAACTTCGTATTTATTTATTTATGAGATTAATATGCTTAATGTTTAATATATCCAGTATTTTTTTTTTTATAAAAGTCTATTAAGCAGATAGATACTTACATAGATTTCAATTATATTTTTTATAGATTGTATTTATTTTACATTGATTATTCAATGAATCTTTATTAAAATTATATGTACAAAATATTCATTGATTATTTAATATATTAATTAGTATAAGTGTTGTATTTATTGTATTTCTGATTAAATATTTTATTTTTTTATCAGATTTTGATGTAAGAATTGTAAGATATAAAGTTTACTTTTTTCTGGCTTTTGTTAGATTCATTTAAAGTTATGTTATTTATGCTACTTACACTTATATCTTAATCAGGTGCTCTGTTTTCGTTTTCTGCATTAGTGATATTCAAGCTTGGTTGCAAAAAAGTTGATTTTTCTACTGCTTTTAAGTAGTACTGCTTTTACTTGCATTATTAATATTGCCTTGAGTAGCTATAATTTTTAAAGCATCTAAATATATTATTAAAAGATATTTTATTTATTTATAATTAAATTTATTTCGCGCATTATTTGCTAATTAATTAATTTTACTTGTTCCTCAAAAATGATGAATTGTATTTATTTTCGTTGTTTTGTTAATTATTTGTAGGCTACACTTAATAGTCAAGAATATACTGTTTTAGTTAAACATTTTGATTATTCTAGCTTTATTTGAGTGCACAACTGTTCTAGCTGAGTTAATTTGAAGAGTCTTTCAGTATGCTTGGTAGCTTATTTAGTCTAACTTAGCTTTCGTTATTGAATGGTACTCGGTTAGAGTTGCTATGAAGCCTATTATTCTTCTAAAAGCTGCAGTCTGTTTCTTTTAGCTATTATTGGTAAATCAGTTTAGAAAAATAAATTCTGTTAATAATTAATTTACTAGATCAAAAATGTCTAAATTTTTGTTGTCTATTATTTTAGTAAAAGATTTTAAGCAAAAAATATGAATTAAATCATTAATTTACGATTCGCTAAGCTATTTGAATTTAAAGTCGTATTAGACACATAAGTATCTATAGAATTAATTGAATCTCTGGAGAAAACGTTTTTAGGTCTTGTGTAATCTTGATTGCTAACACTTCTGGGTTTCAATAGACTAATATGTTTAATTTAATTCCTAGATTGTTATTTATCTCTTTGCACGTTTTCTAGTTCTTGGAAATCAAACAAAACATTTCTCAACTTGGATTAATGATGATGATGAGCTATATTTTGGCTTTATTAGATCTTTTAAAGGCTATCATCGTTAAAATTTTATAGGTTAATCTCAATTTAATCACCCATACTATTATGACTTATGTATGTATAATATATACTATTTCTTATTAATTTATTTTTTTATTAACTTTAATGCAATATTGTAATTGTATTGAATGCAATTTAAAAATTTAACAACTAATTTTTATTTATATATGTACTGACAAAAAATAATAAATTATCATTTTGTATGATTAACTAAAGCCTTATAGCCACTATTTTTAAGTTATTACTATTATAGTTAGAATTAACAAATCTAAATACAAATCATTACTTATTGATATATCAAAATTATTAATTCAATATTTTTTCATTACTTTTGGGATTTTATTTATTTAATTTCCATCTTATTAAAAAAAGGTAAAATAAAGCAGCAAAATAAGTTTATCCTAAACTAATTAAAAATTAAGTTATATTAAGAATAAATTTTAATACTGGTATTTTTAATTAATGATAGTTATTAATTATTATAATATTATATTAATATTACATAAAATTACGAAAGAATTGCCCAATATTAATAAAATTGATAAACTTCTACAGAAATACCACATTTTAATAATAGAAGCATTTCATGTTAAAGGGGAAAATATGGATAAATCAATTAGCTACTTATTATTAATGAAATTCCATTCTTTTTTGTGGTAAAAAATTAACAAGTTATATAAAAAATTGGACACATTAATAATCAAGACATGATTGATTATGTATTGAAGAAATTTATGAATTCTTATTGAGTTAAATAATGCTTTTATTCAATCATATATAAAACTAAATACATTCACCTAAAATAATTTAAAGTAATTAATAATTTTAGGTTTTAAATAAATATTATTAATTAATTATTTTATATATGAGCTAAAATAATTCATGACTGATTAAATTAACTTCAACTCTAAAGTAATATCTTCATAATAACTATTTTTTTAATAATTTAAAATTCTATATTTTATCAGTACTTATTAAAAAATAATTTTTCTAAATATATATTTCATTTTTTGTATTTGATTTTTATAAACCGAAAGTTTGAATATCAAATATAATCATAATAATGTTTCATAAATTTCATATTAAAAGTTTTTTACTTAAATTTAAGAATTATAATTTTATTTTTTTAAATATTGTTAATTATAAAATGCCAAAAATAATATTTAATTTTGAAGTTTTTTTGTAATTAAATTTAAATTATAAAGATTATAAATTCAATATAGAAATTTTAGTAATATCTATTTATTTAATAGCGATTTATAAGACTTAGATAATTAGTTTTTCTTGTTAAATATATTAAATATTTTTTACTTTAAAATTTTATATCAGAAAAATAAATATTTTTAATTAAATTAAAAATTATTTTCTAAATTTTTTTAACTTTTTTTATGATAAATTATTATTTCTAAAGAAAATTTGTGAATTGATAATTATTTATTGCAAAACAATATAATTGTTTGTATTGATTTTTGTTTATAATACTTTTAAAAATAATAAAAAAAAAAAAGGAGCTCTAGGGGAATGGAATTGCTAGTAAAGAAGACTATTAAGATATTAAGTTTTTAAGAGTAAAATAGTCTTGAATTAACATAAATATTGCCTTCTTTGCAACCACTAATAAATAGTGTCAACCAAGAGAAGTTTGTATAAAAATTGAAGGAAAATCATAATATATAGGTGGATGACTCTAAAAAAGATAAAATTTTCATTTCTTTAAATCGAGAGAAGGCCAAAGAGTCAAATGATGAAAAGCAATTAAGCCTATTTTTCAAAGAAGATAAAACTAATAAGAGTCTTTACTACCTTTATAGGTTAATACTAAAAGCTGGACCAGGAGGAATAAATTATAGCGACTTGGCAAGTTAATTTAACTCCAAGTTTTTTAAAGAGAAGACATCCGACAGCAAGATAGCTTAAAGCAATAGTGAAAAGGGAGGAGAAAAATCAAATAAAAAGAATGGTAAAAAAAATGAAAAAGAGAGTTAGCAAACTGAAGAATACGAGAAGGATATCAAGAAGCTAGATATTACAAATGTTTCTCACTATTGCAGAAAGTTATTTACTTTAAAATTCATTAATATATTACCTGAGAAGGTGTGTAAAAAGGCAGTAGCTACAAAGTTTTAAGACAAATGCTTACAGATAGATACAAAAGTTAAAAGAAAATAAACAATGGCTTCTCAAATGAAAACAGAAATAGATTTAGATGAGATGAAAAAACAGTAATTCACTAAACTCTCTATAGTAAGCGAACCATGGAAATATCTGAAGGAAGATACTTTTATACTAAATGAGCTTACATTTAATTAGAATATCCTCCTTAATTTTGCGTCTTATGAGGCATTTTTAAGAGAAGGTCTTTTATAGACAGAAATAGCATCTAAAATCAACAAATTAGGCGAAAGAAAAATGTTGGTTAGATCTCTAGAAAATATTATTGATGATTACAAAGTATTGTCTACTGCAGATAGATAAGGAAGAACGTTTTCATTAAAATTCCACATTAAATCACAAGTGATGGCAGATTATATCGTAATTAATAAAAAGATATTTATTTATTTCTTTAAATCTATTTTTGGATTATAAATTTTAGCATTATTCTAATTTTTATTTTATGTTATAATTAAATTTCGATTAAAAGAAACAAGATTGTATATAAAAAGCTTTATTTTATTTGCTTTTAAAATATTTTAAATATCTAATTTAATAAATAAAATAGGATTAGCTTCTTAAAGAAAATAAGATAAATCTAAAGAAAGAGCTAGAGGATATGCAAAGATAACAGATGGTTTTGTAGCCAATAAATGCTTAAAACGATGGAAATGAAGAGCAATAATAACATAACAACAATGGAAATTAAATATAATCTAAACTTTAATTTTCTAACTCAGGTGAACCAAAAGAAAATAGATTTTTAGAAATTAAGATTGAAGAAAAACAAAATTAAAATGGAGTAAACTAAAGTAATCTTTAAAGCAAAAATTAATCAAATACAAAACAAGTTAACCCAGCTGAGAGCAATAACGAAAAAATGAATTAAAATATGGCATAAATAAATCAAAGACAGGAACTTTTCAATTAAAACCCTAAATTAAACTACACCAGTTTTGAACATATTTACAAATATTTCTAAGAAAATGAAAAGCTTGTGCAAGATCTCATTATAGCTGCTGGTGATAAAGAATTTGTAAAAAAATTAATGAAAATTCCACCTTCATACAATGACAGTGACTATTAAAAATTTTCTGAACTCCTTTTAAAAGTCATCAATGAAACAGTAGAATTCACATATGTAAGAACTAAGAAAGGACAGGAAGGAGGTATTTAAAATGAGTAACTAAATAGATAAAAAGTAAGCAAGAAATAAATTTCTAGAAATAAACTTAATCGTTACATACACATTTTGAATAGAATTGAAGAAAAAAAGGTTATAAAAAATTTAAATCTTAAAAAATACATAATTGCTTTAGAAAAAAATCAAGGTGTTGGAGAAATTGATAAAAAAACTTTAGAACATATTCTAAACACATTTTAATTTATAAACTACATAACAGTTAAAAAAATAAAAATTGATATCTAAACAATAAGCTAAAACATAGTAAGGTCTATCACTATCCATAAAGATGTCCCAGAAGATGATCCAAGAGTAATCAATAAAAAAATAATAATTTCAATATAAAACTCACACACTTTTAAATAATTAATAAATTGATAGAGATTAGAGTTTATATAAGTATTCAATTATTAAATTTGTTAAATCTATATTTTTGATATTTAATTTAGGTAATTAAGGCTGAAAAAACTATTAGCAAAGGACTCCTAAAGAAAGGTCCAAAACAAGATGAAAGTTATAGCAGCGATTCAGATAGTGAATCGGATTATCAAAGCCACTTCAATACTTAAAATTAATAATCAAAGTCTTCTGGAATTAGCAAGCTTCAAGTAACTAAAAATAACGGATAGCAAGGAAAGATTAACGCTGGAAAATAATCAGATATAACGAACTTTTTCATAAAAAAGCAAAGAAATTTATAACCAAACTAAAAGATTTACTACTATGACGAAGATGAAAATGATTAAGAAAATAACTCTATGTTATAGGAATAGGTTAATAAATTAAATTCAAATACCTAAATTCAAGCAAACCCATAAAGAAAAACCTCTTTATAAATGCAATTATAAGAAGCTTTGTCTAAAGTAACAAAAGAGAATTGTGAAATTCCTGCTGGACCTGAAAAAATGAAGATCCTTGCTTCATTAATATTTTAGTTTATGGAGAAAAAACTTACAAAGTAATTAAATCAAATTTGTATTTAAATTTAATTTTTTAAATTTATTTAGGAATTACAAAGACACCTTTGACAAAATTAATGAAATTAACTATTCTACAATTTACACTACTTTATACTTCCAAAAAGAATAAGTTGAATTTAAATATCCTCTCTTTTAGTAAAATCTATGCAATAATTTATTATAGCTCAGCTAAAGTCATAAAATGTATCCAAACATGATGGATTTAGAATTGGATACTTTGGATATTAACTCAACAAATCTCCCAACTGTTGAATAGTTAATTGACGAAGCATTTACTTCTCCCTAAGATTCAGCGTTTTCATCTCTATCTGAGTCAACATATGATTATTTAATACCAATTAAGCCAAAAGAAATTTTTTTGGAAGAAGCTTAGGCTTTATTGGAAAAGAATAACTAAAACAAAAAAGAAATTGAAAAACTTCAAATTTCCCTATCAGCTTTGAAAGGAAAGGATACTAAAAACTAAAAAAATCTTATTCAAGATGCTTTGCTTAAATTCAAAAGCTATTTAATACGTTATCCTTGCAGAAAGCTGATTGACACCAAATTGCGTTACCAAATGGTGGACTATTATTCCTTTTTAAATCAGTGTGTATAGAGTGATTCAATAAAATTCTTTAAATTAAACAAGGAAAATCAATTCTATGAAAAAATCAGACTTTCTGAAATAAGTCTAGAGAATATAGACAGTGTTTATTACCAAATTACTAACAATTATTACAATCATTTTAATTTATTTTAACAGGAAACAACATAGTCTTAATGAAATATTAGATAAATTATTATTCTTATTAATAAGTAAAATGTTACTTTGGTATAAATCCTTCTTAATTTTAATAATTATTTAAATAAAAATTAAAAGAAAAATAAACAATAAATAAATAAGCATGTAATAAAATCTATTAAGTAAATATGTAAATTAAATGTTTAACTTTATTATAAATCTTAAAATTTATATTTAAATTAATTTATAAATAACAATACCATAAATTTAATTTAATCATATAAATTTCAATTTATTGATTTTATTAAATAAAAAATTTAAAAAATTAATTAATTATTAATAAAAATCTAAAAAATAAATTAATTATTTATAAAATTTATTCATGGTTTTAATTTTATAATATTTATTAATGATTAATATTTTATAAAATTTATTAAAAAATGATTTAAATTTTATAATATTTCAAAAATAAATTTATCAATGATTTAAATTAAATAAAATTTTTTTACTAAAATCTAATAATTTATTAATACAAAATTAAATTTGAAAATTGATATTCTAATTTGAGCATTTTTAAAATGTTTTTGTATATTTTTTAATTAAAGAAAATAAAATTATTTAAAAATTTATTTTAATTTATTCATTTTAAAAAATAATTAATAATTATAATTATAAAATTCATATTTGACAGTATTTTTTTTAAATTCATTATTTTTATAAATTAAAACTTTAGAAAATAAAACCTGAAAAAATAATTTCTGTTTACTGTTAATTTGGTATCGACAAAAATTTTATACTTAATATTTCAAGTTTAATTTAAGTAACAAATCAATCTTATGTGCAATGCAATTTTTTGTAGTAGTTTTATGTTGAATCTTAAATTTGCTTTCTAAAAACTTTTTTACCTGTGAATATAAGGTTTTGCAAATAGGCTTGATATAATAACATGTCTAAACCATAGACAAAAGTGTAACATCCTGAATTTTTAGCATACTAAACTAAAGAAGTTTCTTTTGGTATATATGAAGCTTCAAATATAGTTGGCTTGTACTTAAACATTATATCTCTGAAATCAATTTCGGCTTTTCCAGGGACAGTGCTAGCTATAACACTTAGTTAAACATGTAAATTTTGCTTTAAATATAAAACCAAATCATCTATAGAGCTAAAACCTTTAATTACACCATTTCTTCCTATAAACTTCTCTATCTTTTGGTAGGTTCTTGAAGAATTAAATAAAATTAAATAATTTTTTTTATTCTAAATAAAATATAAATTACCTATTGTAAATTAGAGTCTAAAATCCTAGCATATTTAAACAATAAACCATGGTTAATGTAGTAGCTCCTGCTCCAATTACTAAGGCGAATTTCTTAATATTTTTATAAAAATTTACATTTAAATTTAATTCTTTCATTAAAAAAAGCAAAAAATTTTTTACCTATTTTGATTACATATAATGCTCATTTAGGGATAGCTATTTCTTGAGGGGCTTCAAAATTCCATACCAGTCAGTGTTGAACCCATAAATTTTAGAATTTAATTTAACTATTGTATTGATAACAGGAGAATCTATGCCGATAAGTTAGGCATCTCCGATAACATGATCAACGTACTTAGATACTTCTAACTTAAATGGCATAGTGATGCTTGCTCCTTAGAAATCTTAACGATTTATATACTGCTAAAAATCTTCAATAGAAGATATTTGAGCTAATTCATATTAGTAAGTAGTTAAGCTCAAAGATTAAAAGCAAGTGTTATGAATAAAAGGTGAAGGCGAGTTCATTATATCAGTTCCGAATAGGTAGAATTTCTTTTCGTGAGATGATAAATTTAGTTCTTAAATTAATTGTAAAATCTCGCTCTTTTAAAGCTAACCTTATCCAGTAGGTGGACCAAACTTAGCATCGTAAACAGGAGTCAAATATTTATTTTAAACTCTAGATAATTTACCACTTTTACCCAGCTAAATAATAATAGACTTGGGATTTATTGATGTCAACTGTCTTCTAATAGTTTCTAGCTCTTCATAATTTGTAAATGAGCAAAGCACTAACTTTAATATATCCTATTCTCTCATATTTTCTTTCATTTACTAAATAGTAGTTTATATATTTTCTTATTAATCTTAGTGATTAATGAAGTGCTTTGATAATATTAAAGCATTTTATTGTTAAATTAGTTTCATGTTAATAGAATTTTCTCTTTTAATCATATCAACTTCAATGTCAATATAGTTAAATATATTTTATCTTTAAATATAGTTAATTATTTAATAGTAATTGTTTTTTGTCTTCTAAAGTAACCCTCCTTCTTCTTGGGTTCTCATTGTGAAAATTAAAATCAACTTGTTGCAAATCAAAGCTAGTCGACTTAAAACAAGAGTAAAGTGTTCGAGTAGAGCATAGTTGTTATTGAATGAAAGATTATCAAAATTATTTTCAAAAAATTAATCTGCTCTCACTTCTAATGCATGAAAATTTTTTTGAATGTAAACCAAATCAGCAAATGTTAATCTTTACAGATCTTCAAATTATAAACATAAGAAATGTGATTCTTCTGCATAAAGGTATTCATCTTACCCTCCTTTTCTTACCTGCTTATTGAATATACTTTTAATGTAACCTTTAAAAGATTTTTCCACTCTTTTCCAGTATTCCTTCTCACCAATCGATTTGGAGAAGAAAGTATAGCCTGGGAAGTTAAAAATAAAATTAGATACTTATTCGTAATAAGGTCTACGCTATTCATAGTCACCTTTCAAAGTATTTTAATAATCTGGAGTATTCTATCTCTTATCAAAATCTTTTTGAATATCTGCAAAATCTCTTCTTAGCCAGATAACATATTTTTATTTTCTGAGTAACTCTCTAGCTTCTGGTATAGTTATAATTCCCCCTCCACAAGCTATTATAGTATTCTTATATCTTAATTATTAAAATAAAACAAATAAATACATCATATCAAAGCTAACTCAATATTGAAAAATTATATAAATATTTTGTTGATGGAAATACTCTTACTTTTTTTATAAATTGTTTTCTTTGATTACTTATTTTAACAACTGCAATTCGTTGTTTCTGAAGGTATCCCAACCTTCTGCATTAATTGCTTCTGAAAGGTTTTTATATTTTTGGGAATAAAATTAATTAAATAGCTCATCGTCTAATGATAAATTGTTCATGTGAAGAAGATTTGAAACTTTCTTTGACAAAATACTTTTTCCACAGCATCTCATTCCAATAACGAATACTGTGTTTATTTCTTCCACTTCTTATTTCAGATGCTTACTTTTAGAAAAGTGCACCTTTTCACATCTTGCTGAATATGAATACTGCAAATGGTTATAAAATGATGGGAAAGTTTTTTTGACACAATCACCTTCATCCAAAATAATATCTAACGAATTTTACTAATTTTTATTGAATTTATAAAGTTAAAGATTTTATTTAAAAGATTTTACTCCATTTTTGTTCTTTATAAAATTGCCTAGCTATGAGAAGGCCATGCCCAATCTATGATCGTTAAAGCATTCAATAATAATTGATTGCTTGCTATCACATTATTCGAGAAGCTACTTTTTGTTGGGAAAAATTTCTATTCCATCATCATACTCAATTGTTTTAATGCCAAACTTCTTAAGATTTAAACTTAAGGCATGTATTCTGTCACACTCTTTTACTCTTTAATTAGCTATGTTAACTATTTTATAAGACTAATTATTGTTATTTTCTAGAGCAGCTAAGATAATGCCAAAAGTTATAAATGTATCAGTACAATCGTTAAAATCAAATGTAGTCTATGTGCATTCCTTTTAAGGTAAATCACCTCTAATGATTACTCCAACATCATTATATTCTACACAATAACCTAATCCAACAAGTTTTTCAGTAAATTTAAGATCACCTTGCAGTGAATGTATTTAAAATCCTTTGATTATTATTTTTTTCTAATTCAATACTGCCCAGGCCATATCATAGCTAGCAGTAGCTGCATCTGGCTCAATATAATAACTTTCTTTAGGATACAAATATTTAGTGTTGCTAATATTAAAAATGTTTTGTTTTTCTCTGTAAATATTTGACCCAAATTACCTACAAAACATTAAAAATATAAAAATAAAAAATAAACCAAATAAATAATACTTCATCATGTCAAATGTCATTTGTATGAAAGGCTCTGAAGTTATTTATTCTGTCTAGCTTAAAATAACTCTTACAGGTTCTAATGCATAAGGTGCAGCCATTAGGATACCAGTTACGTATTGACTGCTAATTTTTGAATTAATATGAATATCACCACCTTTAAATTCATATTTTTTTGTGACTCTAAAAGGCAAGTAAAATTCTTTTTCTAAGTATTCAAAATTCAAAAAATCAGAGAGAGCTTCAATCAAATCTTTAATTGGCCTTTCTTTCATTCTTTCACAACACCTAATAACCACTGATTAATTCGGCTTAAGCAGCAAAAGCATACTACATATAAAACGAGCGCTTGTACCACTATTATTTACATAAATTTCTTTCTCATCTTAAAAATTAAAAGCTCCTCCATTTCCTTTAACTTTAACAGTATTGGCATCAAGTTACTAAATTGAGCAAGCGCCCAGTGTTTGTAATGATTTCATCATAACTTCAGTATCTTCAGCAAATAAAACATTTTAAAGTTGAATTTCTTTATCAAGTAGAGCACTAAGTATAAGTACTCTGTTTGTTATTGATTTTGATCCTGCTAGCTAAATAACTATGTTATCTTTAAAAAAAAATAAAAATAATTAATTTAATATTTTTCGATAAATTCAAAAAAAACTAAAATTATTTCATTCATTAACTATAATATAATTACCTGAAATCTTAGAGAAATCGGAAGCTCCAATCTTTACCGAAGGAGACAAAACATTAAGAACTTCTTAACCACTCACAGCTGCAGTTTTATAAATAACCTTTCCAACATCTTCAACAAATACAATCTAAAATGTGTGGCTATTCGAATTCTTTTTATCATTTCCCATGTAAAAAAGAACATCTTCGTTTTTTATAAATTTAGGCACTTCCACTGGTAGATTATATTAAAGAAGGAGTTTCTCTACTCTTTTGGTAAATTTGAAAGATGTTTAATACCTATGCAATGCAATCTCATTTTCTAAGATAATACCTATACTAACACACTCACCATGCAAAAGAGCTTCTTTACTTGCTGTCTCAATTCCGTGACCTATTGTATGACCATAATTCAATATCATTCTTTTATCACTTTCAAATTTATCTTGAGAAACAATTGAAATTTTTAGCTCCATAGATCTTCTTATAATTTATCTCAATATGCTTGGATTATCTCTAAGTGATTTTACATCATTTAATTCTAACAGAACAAATAAATCTAAATCTATCATTGCTGCTATTTTAATTATTTCGGCTATACCGTTGCTCATATTTCTATCATCTAAACTTTCCAAAAATTTTTCACAAACAATAATTAACTCAGGATCATAAAAGCTTCCAACCATATTTTTACCATATTAGTTATTAACTCCTGTTTTAGATCCTATAGCTGCATCACTCATAGCTAAAACAGTAGTAGGAATGCTTACATATTTCATTCCTCTATTTATAATTAAAATAAATAAATGAATATAGAATTTATAATTAATTGCATATTTATGTCTATAAATAATTAAATTTATATAATTGCTTTTATTGAAAGTATTCTATGCAACGTGATTTAAATTTGATGATTAACTCATAATTTTACCTTTTATATATTGATGCTGCAAAACCAGCAAAATCTGTTATCAAACCTCCTCCAAATCCTACCAAAACATCAGTCCTGTTAAATTTATGTTTGAATAAACTATCCATCAGGCTTGAAATATTCTCCATATTTTTCTGGGTCTCTCCTTATTAAATTACAAAAGTGTATACTTCTACATCTTAGCTTTTTTGGAAGAAGCTTATCATGTTTGATCCATATATTCTATTAATGTTTGAATCCATAACTAGCATTAATTTACTTAACTTAGAAAATTTCTGTCTTATTAAAGTTGGAATCATATTTAATTCTTTTGGAAAAACTAAATGGTAATCTCCATTGGAGATAGATTCAACCTATAATGCTTCTTATTTCATTATCTATGAGTTTATCTGCTAACTATTTTATAATGATAATATTAAAGTATTATTAAATATCAGATATTAATTTTTTATTACTTTTAGATATATTAGATGATTGTTTCTAGAAACTAGAAACTATGAGTAAGCAAATAAGAATTACAATTTAAATTAAAAATACTAAAAACCACAATCAAGAATATGTTTAAGAAGAAATAATTCATTAAAAAATAATTTTAAATATTTATTTTAAAAGCTTATTTAAAATTAAATATTAAGATAAATTAAATTAAAATAGAATTGATAAAATTAGCTCTAATAAATTAAAGTAAATGTAATTCAATATGTTAATTAAAATGAATAAAAAAATATTTTAATCAAATTAATATTAAATTAAAGTATTAAGCTTAAATAAATATAGGCAATTATCTATACCACACATACATATTACATAAAAACAATTGTAAATTATTTTTATGATTAGTAAAATGACTCTTTAGTAGATAAAAGGATTTAAATTGTAATAAAGAGTTTTAATTTGATTGCTAATGAGGAAGCAGCAGTATTGTAATACAAAAACCTTGAAAATACTTCATTCTTATCTATTTAAAGGATTATAATAAAAGAATATAGTGTGAGGGAAATCAATAAATTCTTATAATTTATATATTGTAGTAAGATAATCTGAATAAGAAAAATACAAGATTAAGAAAGTAAAATAATGAAACAAATAGCAATTATTACTTTAGTGATTGTAGGTCTAACTATGGTCTAAGGAGAGCATATTAGTTTTGACTGTGTTTTGACTTAATGCTCCTAAGAATTGAATGATTGTATGGCAAGTAGCGAATGCAAAAAGTAATACGATATGATGAATTAATGCTACACAAATAGTGATTCATCATGTTTCTCAAAATCTTTGATTGGAGGTGAAAGATTAATTACTGATGAATGCATGCAAGATTGCCTTAATGAATGTTAAATTTAAACCTTAGAAGGCTCTAATGTTATCACCTGCTAGGTTGAATAATGTTAAATAGTTAATTGGGATTTCTTAGGAATTTTCAAAGGTCAACAAAATAGAGCTTACTTTGTAGCTTGGTTCTGGTTCTTTGTACTGATTTCTACTGCTGCCTTGATTGTGAAGTATTTCACTAAAGATTGAGAAAAAAAGGGCAAAAAAAGCACAAAAGAATTTTAAAAAGCTTGTATTAATTGAAATATAGCCACAACAACTACTTAACAAATATGAGAAATTATTAAAACTATAATAAAAATTAGAAATAAAATAATGAATTTAAGCTAATTATTCATTAAAATTCATTTATTATTTGGAATATGTATTGCATACAACTCTTTCAAGAATTTAATCTAATGAAATTATAAAGACTTCTATATTATTATATATGGAATACCCAAAACAAAATATGAAAACTGAAGAAATATATTTTCGATTAATTAATTAATTTATTTACTTATTTAATTAGTTTAGCATTAGCTCAATATTTAAATACATCTTAGTTAATATTTAAATTAAACCCTTAACTAAATTCTAATCAAATAAGTAATAAAGAGTAAAACTTTTCTATTTTTGATTTTCTCAAAAACTATTTATTCGATAGGTGACGCATACCTTCATTTATTTGTGTTAAATTTAAACCACAAATTTGCCAATTGAATAGAAGCATATAAAATTTGAATTGTATTTTGATTTCTTCAAAGAGAATTAAATATATAATTTTTTAAGGAAATGATAATTAATTTAGAAAATTGAAAATAATCTAAAGATATTATTTTACTTAATTTTAATTTAGCTTATTTTTCAATTCCTTTAAATATTAAATTTTTTCTTTTAATTTTAAAGAAAAACTCATTTTAAAATAATAGAATATTTTTTGTGCTAAATTAATTGTGAAATTTAATTTATCTTACAACTAATTAAATGGAATTAAACTTTTAGAAAAAATGGTTTTATTTTTTTTAATTTTTTTTATTTTATAAGATTTAAAAGATGATGATAGAATTACAATCAATTTATGTTTATAATTTTTATGTAAATTAATTGAAAAAAATCAAAGGTTGTTATTAAAGATTGATTTTAACGATAATATAAGCTCTAGATTTAATATAAATATCTAAAAATTCAACTGATTCACTCAAAACTGAATTTATCCAAAAAAAAAGTAAAAAGCACTTTATTTATTGAAATTTCTGAATAGTTAAGATTATAAAAGCAAAGCAAACTTATTAATACTATATATTTTATTGAGTCATAAAATGTCTGTTGAAAATAACTCTAAAATGTCATACAAAAAGTCGGAACATGAAAATAACTCAAGAGATTAATTTTAGAATGAAAATCATGATTATTAGACTGAAAACAGAACTAAAGAATCGTACAATCCGAGAGAAGTATATAATTTAAGAGTAAGAGCAAAAAGAGAACTGGAGGAGTTATAAATGTAGCCTCTGCCATACTCATCTAATTATTATGAAGATTTGACAAGAGAAAAAGAATTTATTAGAAATGCTTTTGAAGCTAATAATTATACATTGATAAGAGATTTACCAAATAATTTACACCATAAAATAATTTTAGAAGCAAAGAAAGATAGAGTTGAGAAGATAAAAGAATAAGTGAACAGTTCTTCCTTCAATAATAAGTAATAAAACTAATCAAAGGTCGTCAAATTAATTGGAGGTGGGTATTTTACTCCATTTATTTATAATGATGATGAATATGAATTTGCTAAGGAAGTTGCTAAGTTTGATAAATTAAAGTCTCTTGCAAAACGTTTAGAAATATCTGAAAAGGATTTTTTACCAAGCGACTAACAAGTAAAAATGAAATATGAAGATCCCTTTCACAATAAGTTTGGTAATAAGCCATAGCAATACATATTTCCTTCTTATGTCCCTGAAGACACATATGATGTTCTTTCAGAAAGTCGAACCAGATAACGTTTGATAAATGCAGCTAAAAACATAGCAGGTGAATTCTACCCTAGTTAAAAAGACAAAACACTTTAAAAAGTTAATAAACTAAATTTAGAAGATGTAGTTAATGAATTAAGATTTATTTTAGAAACAGATTGGCCAGACTCTAAATTCTTTTTGTATGTAACAAATTAAGACATTATTGAAGTTGTATTCTCAATGGATTCTAATTCAGAAAACGATGATCCTGTTGTAATTTCTGTATATATGAATAGTCTAATAAATGACGAAAGACTTACACCTTATCAGCTATCTAAAATGGTTTCTGATTGGAGTAAAATGAATACAGTTAAAAATACAATATCATTTTGTTTCAAACCTCCTTGGATTAAACAAACAAATACTTCTGAATTTTCAAAATTACATCCTGAACTTATACCTAACTATAAAAAGTCTTAATCCTCCTCATTACAAAAATGACAAACTAAATTATTTAAATTCCTTTATTGTTAATATTTTTAAAAACCTGTGAGTACTTTATATAAAATTAATAAAATTTATTTTAATAATCAACATATGCTAACTCAATAATTGAATAAAAGCCTGTTAAGAAACCCAGTATTAAAAATATAATTTTTGGAATATGTAGTTAAGTGAAACTTTTTATCTTAACACAATTAGCTAATTTTTAAATTATAAAGGATACTTTATTGATAAAAAAAAATATAATATTTAAAATAATTTCATATAACTTATGAAAAATATTTGAAATATTATTTAAAATAAATTAATTCCTTAAATAATTTAGAATTAAATTCATATTTAAAGTATTTTTAGTATATAGATTGTCAAATATTGTCATGAAGTATTGGTATATTGTAGTGGAATTAACACAATACTTTTAGAATATATATAAAAATATAGTAACATAAAAATCTAAATAAAAAAGAACAAAATAATTTTAAATTATTGAAAAATATTTTTTGGTTCATAAAAAATAAGTAATATTTAACAATCTAAAAGAAAAATAATTGTAAACAAATATAATTTCTTGTCTAATTTAGCAAAATTAACTAGTATAAAAACTAAAAAAGATAGATTAATAATATGTTAATTTTGCTCAAATTAATAAACATAAATTGTATTTAAAATAATTTTAAAAAAATATTTTAATTACATTTAAATATTTATAACATACCTTTTAATAATTAATGTTATAAGAATTAGAAAAGATAGAATATTAACACATATAAAAACTAAAAAAAATATATTAATATGTTTGTTAATTTTGATCAAATTAATAAGGATTCATGTATTTACAATAAATAATACAAATAAATTACTAAAAATATGTAAAACATACATACCTTGGCAAATAAAATGTAAAAAAATTAGAAAGAAAGTATAGCTTAATAAATTAATTTTGATAAACTAATACAGATATTTTATTTAAAATAATTTAATACAAAATATTTTATTAAAAATAAATAAAGAAAGAAATATTATTTAAAGTAAAATATAACTAATTAAATTAATTATTAAAAATTCAATTAAAATTTCAAATATTTTAACATATAAATTGTCAAATATTTTAATAAAAGAGTTGGCTTATTTTAGATAAATAGACAGATTCCTTTATAATGTATATAAACTTGAAATAATTGAATAACCTTAAGAAACAAGATAAATTTTAATTTGAAGAAAAATATCTTTTTATACATAAAAAATAAGTAAATCAACAAACTAAATTTAGATGAAAATTACAATAAATTAAGTACCCTCGTTCCGGAAATGAAGATATATTCTTTATTTCCTTTTATAGGAGTACAAGATAATATGTAGAGAAGTGAGTTGTGATTAGATTTTAGTACTTTATTTTGGATTATGGAGGGTGATTTAAATTCATTTTTAATCATCCACAAGTAGTCTGAGTAATTGTACTGAATCCAATCATAACAAATGGATTTACTTCTAATTATTGAAGGAAATCTATTAATTTTAAGAGCCTTCACTTGATGGAATTAAATTTCTGTCAAGTATCAAAATAATTAGAACATTATTGAATTTCTAAAATTAACTGCTTGAATTTACGCTATAAAATTTTTAATTCATTCAGTTAATGTGGAATTAAACATATTTGCAAGTATTTTTTAAATTAAAAATAATTAATTAGAGATCTATATAAATGGAGTAATAATATAAATTTAATACAATTTTGTAAGTATATTAATTAGTATCTTTTCTTTAAGTTTAAACTAATAATCAACTAAATAAACTTAACTTATTTTAAATTTTGTTTTATTTATTTATTTATTTTTTGTGTTCAAAATTTATTTAAAAGTGAGATTTTTTATTAGTCTTCAGACAGAAAAATATCCTGTTTATGCTATTTATTTTAGCAAAAGTGCAATTAATTAATTAGCATTCTTAACTAAACTTTAATGCTTATTTTGTTCATACATACGACATATTCAGATTCTCATATAAGTTTTTATTTGGTGCATCTAATTCAATGTTTTCTATTTTAGAAATTCTTGAAGGATCAGGAGTATAATTTTACTATTTATAAGTTTCTTTAAAGCCGAATTTTTTAGGTTTAATTAATCTAAAGTCTCTTTTAAAAGTATCCCAATTATCTTTTAAAACATCTGTGATATTACTTTATTTAACTTCTCCATGAATAAATGGTTTGTAACTATAGGCTATTCCTCCTGCAATAGCCATCAAACACATTTCAAAACACACAAAGGTGTTCTATTTTTGATAAAATTAATATATTTATTTTAACATTTTAAGTGTAATATTATCATTTTTTAATTCTCAATAATTCAGATTTAAATATTAATGCTAAATAAATATTACCTCAATACCATTTAGAATTCTTTCTTCGTTGAAATGAGGAGAACTTTTATCAAAGCAGTTTAAAAGTGGCTCTTTAAGGACATAATCAAGTGTAAGATCTTGCCAAAATGTAAAGAAGAGTGTAATTTTAATTGTTAAAAACTTAAGTAAAGGATGCCAAGGAGCTAGTGGCTTTTTTAGTGCCTGATAAAATAAAATCAAGTAATATAAAGAATATGTGACAGAAGTAGCAATAAATATTCTTATGAATGAATCTATAGATGACTAGATATTTTATTTTTGAAATTTAAAATATTATTTAAAATTTATTTGTTTAATTCTTACTATAAATTCAGAGCCTTAAAAAAATTAAAATATCAAGAGAAAAACGGAAAGCACAGGCTTAAAAACGAAAAACTAGAGAACATATTTTTTGCATCTATACGTGAAGTATTTTGCTTTAGCTGGACTAAAAATTTTATTTAAAAAAAATTAATTTGCTTTAAACACAAATATTTTTAAAAAGTTTTATTTATTTATTAATTAATTAATCAATTGTACCATGTTAATTTGTATGGCTTTGTGCAAAGATTAAAAGGAAACATATGTACAACTTATTTTTCATGTTCTATCATTCTTATATAAACTCTTTCATCTATTAATTTTTACTTTAGGATTTATAAAACAGTGTATTAATTTTATGTCTATACTATTAAATAATTTAAATAAAGAATCAATCAATCAATTAATTACCTCTTTATCATCGTAAGCCAAATAAGAGAAAATCAAATAAAAGAATGTGAATAATAAAAATGCTTCATAAACATCTCTAATCAAAGTTAAATAATCTGCTATGCTCTATTTTTTTATTACAGTAAAAAGTTAATATTCCAATCGTTTCTTTTGTGTTTTTAAGAATTGCAAAAATAAAAAATGAATCAAGTTTATCAATAATTACATGAAATGTTATAGAGAGGACCGAAATTACGCTATAAAAAGGAGCCATTAAAAGAATAACTATTATAAAAATTCAATTTAAATTAAAAAAAAGCTTTCTTTATTATTTATTTACCTATAATTTTAGATTAAAAATGAGGATTTGTATAGTATGACTTATGCATACAAATAAAATATATTGAGATTATCACTGATAAGATGCATAAACTTCCAGCGATACCATAATCATATAAATAACTTTATTATAGACATTCATCATTACATGTAAAATAGAATGGACAGAAACCATCTATTTCTTCCTAATGCTAACTTGAAAAAACTACTTAGCTATCCCCTTTCATTATTCTTTTTTTTTATTTAACTAATATTCTCTCTAAAAACCAAACCAGAATTATACTTTCTTTGTATTTGATTCTCCTACTTCTTTTTCTTTATTGTTTTAATTAATTAATTCCTTTCTTTTTTCTAAATCAAAGTAACTTGAATAATTATTTTTACTTGTGATTTTTTATTTATAAGCAACATTCAAATTTTAATTAGATTGTTAAATCATAAAATATGTATAAGCGTATCTTGCCATTTAATATTGTTAAATTCATTCCAGACATATTCTTAAATATGTAAAAAGCTTTATTTTTGTAAGTAGAAAAGAAAAATGCTACCCCTAAATTAAATGAATTTATTTATTTTTTAATCTCTTTAAAGTTAGGTTTTAATAGTTGATAAATATAAATTATTTTGAGTACTACCACATGATATTAATTCAATTAATGACTCGATAAATAATGTATTTGTTTCCTTATTTATTTTAAACTTAATTTTAATTTAAAATTTTATACGAAGATATTTAATTTTAATTATGACAATAAAAAAACGTGAAATATATAAAGAATAGATAAATTAAATTTTCAGTTTAATATTTAAGTTAATTAGTTTTTTTATTCAAAAGATTTCATTTTGTCTATTTTTAAAAAAAAGAATAGAAAAATACATTAAAATTGTTTATTAAATTTAATAATTAATTTAAAATCGAAATTATTTTAATTAAATAATTTCTGATCATCACTCAGCAAAAGAATATTCAAATTAAAAAATATAGTTACTACTAAATAAGCTAAGCATTTCATCTACAAAAATTTATTTAAAACTACAAAATATTGTTATTAATTGGCTTTAACAATTTACAAATTTATCATTAAAATTTTTTTTTTAATTTTGATTTAATTTCTTTGAATAAATTTTACATGGTTTTTTGAATAAAATCATTTATTTTAACATATATAGTAAACAAGTATTATTTACTGAATTGGATTATTTTTAAAATTATCATGAGGAAATTATTTTTCAATATACAATTTTCTTTTTTAAAGAGAATAAGTTATTTATTACGATAGTTATTTATTGCTTGCTCTATATATATAAATAAATAATTTTATTATACTGGAAAAAAAATTTTAATTAAATTTTAGTCTATTTATTTTTTTTCCTAATCATTTATTTTTTCAATTTTATTTTCTTAAACTATTGATTAGGATTTCTTTATAAATTAAAAGTATAAATTCCCTATATTTAAGCAAATATATTGATATGAAAAAATTTAAGTACGAAATATGTATGTGGTGAAGTGGATATGATTATCTTGAAAAATAGTTAAATAGAATTTGTAAGAATACATGATTATGTACATTACTATTTATGATATAATATTAAGTTATAGATTTATTTTTTAATCTTATTAGTGTTAAATGTTTGTTTATATGTTTAATTTACTTTGTTTTAATTAGAAATTTTTGAAAATATATGAAAAGATTTTGCTTTTGATATTTTTCAATAATGAACTTTTACTCTGTTTAATTTTTCTTCTAATCTCTCGAGTAAAGTACAGGTAAATAAAGATTAGGTTATATATTAAAGCAATCTTGCCTACCAACCGTTGTATAGTGAAGCAAAGCCATATTATTTGTAAGCTTATTTAAAAATAGCAGATATAGTTGCTTATTTATATTAATCATTTAGCTGCATTTGATAAAGCGTTTTTATTTTATCTACTGGATGTGCTATAAATTAAAAAATAAATCATAAATGTCAGATTATTAAAAATATTGATTTTTTTTAAAATTAATTAAAAAAGATATTTATAAAAAGATAAGGAGCTGGGATTTATACTTCATAGATTGTGATAATCCCTTGAAGTTAATATTACGTCATTTGAAACGAATTTAAAATTCCAGAAAAATATTAGAAAATGCTTAAAAAGTCATTAAATAATATAAATTTCATTTTTGTGATGAAATTATTAGACTTAAGTAGAAGAATTTAATTGGCTAATCAAAGAAATAAATTTAAATTTTTTTACTGCAAAGTGTATTGAGGAAGCCTGTGGTAATAGCACAACACATCAATTAATAAGTTGATAAATTAACTCCATTATCTGAGAAATTAATTTTAGCAAATTATTTAACTTTAAAATCAATATATAAAAAAGAAACCCATGATACAACCTATTTTATTAATTAAGCCCTGAGACCCAGAAAAAGATCGCTAAATTTATTGTCAGAATTCTTAAAGAAATGTTTTAAACTAACTTGCTTGTTGTTTTTAGTCATTAAGTATACTTTCAGCCTTTCAAATGGGCAAATAATAAATGATTCAAAAACTGCAATAGTAAGACCTGCTCCAATTTTGTGGGAAGATTCATACTTTTGCATAATTTGCTCAGGTAGAATATGATTTTTTAAATAATGAGGAATTGCTACCATCATGGGCCATCTGTAAAAAGATTTAATAAACACTCTTAAACTATTAGGTATTACACCAGCATAAAATCCTTTATATCCAAAATCCCTATATAATTCTTTAGTCACCTTTATTTTAGTAACAATAAATCATAATTAAGGTATTTAATAAACATTTATTTATAAAAATATGATTAATATCATTTTTAAATGTGTTGATATATTTTATTTAATTTACCTAGATAAAAGATGACTTTTTATTAATACTTTGCATTCTTGTTTTAATAACATCAAATGGATGCTCAAGGGGAAGAACTGCTAATCCTCTAAAAGATCCTAAAATTGCTGATTATAAGTATATTTTATATTCGTAAGACTTGTCCATTTAGATAGTTTTTTAATAATTAATTGAAATTAGAAAATAATAATTTGATAAATTAAATTCAACTAATAAAGATTATAATTAATTAATTGATTGATAAGTAGGAATATATTCAATCAATTAATCATTATTTACATCTAAAACTTATGAAATTTCCCTTTTTCTATTAATTTAATAGAGCACTTTTATATACCATGAATTTAAATAAATAAAATCATGAAATAATAAATTTGATTACAACCTTATACATTGATTCTTTTGTTTACTGATAATTTTGGTCATTTTTCATCAAATTATTTATTCTTTGCTTCAATTAAGCTTAAGGCTTTAACTTAATAACCTGCTTAACTTACTTAAGAAAGTATGCTTTTTTCTATTTTAATTTTAAATATTACTTTGGAAATTTCCTTCAATAATCTAAGAAAAAAGAAAAAAAATTTAAAGATTCTTCTATAAATTTTTAATAAAAAACTAAAATAATTTAGTTAAAAAGTTCTTAAATTATTTTATTATGCTAAATTTATTTTGAAATTATTAAAATTTATATTTTTTTCATAATTTTTTTGAATAAGTTGCTTGTATAACAAAATACATTTGCTTTTTAATAGCATCATTCTCCTAAAAATAATAAAAACTTTTTATAATTTAAAATATATAAGTCTTCTTTTATTAAATTAAATGCTTAGAAAATAATTAATTTATTTCATTTTCTATTACACATTTTTTATTTAAAAAAACTGAAATTATGATAATCTTTCTTATCTAAATAATTGTTATAAAATTTAATTAATATTATTTATATTGGATTAAAAGAAATTTGTTGAAAAAAAATATTTTTATAATTTTAGTTTTATCACTCTTTTTATAAATTTCAAATTAGTTTTTGGTTGTTTAAATATAAAAAATAATTTTATAATAAAAACTATTTTTCATTAAAATCCTCAAAGTTTATTTTTTAGTAAACTTGAGTTTTTAATGAAGATAAATATAAAAAGTTAGGAAATCTTTATTTTTCTGATCTCTAAATACTTTATACAATTTATAAATCAAATTAAGTTTATTTTTACTTAGCTTATTTTTGTTAAATCAAATACTTTATAAGATATTTTTAAAAGAAATTTGAATATATTTTTTATAAATTAAATAAAATATTCCTTCAATAATTATTTTACAAATTAAAAAAATTTTATTAATATTTTAATAGATTTTCTATTTAGATTTGTTCAAATATGATAGCACATATAGCTTAAGATAAAGCGGCATGTATCAACGAAATTATTAATAAGTAGTATTATTAATGAATATTTGAGCTGAGTGCAAATTTTGATTTGAAAAAATATTATTAATTTTTGTTTATTTATTTGTTTGTTTGTTTGTATTTACTTACTTTTGCAGTTAGAAAAGCATTAGAATTAAATTGGAAAGATTCTACTTAAGGCAAGTATTAAGAAAACTGTAAATGAATTTTAAACAAGTTAATATAGGATGCATCTAAAAAGATATTTTAAGGAGCAATTACTCTGTATCTCATTATTGTTGGAATGAAAATGAAGGAACAGTTTTAATTTATGATGGGCATAAAAATCTAATTTTGTATAATTTAAAGAAAATGAAGGAAGAAAAAAAATTAAATTTCTCTAATTTATCTAAATCGAGGCATGTTTAGAATGCATGCTACGTTAAAGCTTATAATGTATATTTTGTATTATCAGATGATTGGTGGATGTATGTAATTAGGGCTACCGAATTTGAGTTTGCAGCTAAATTTTAATCTGAGGTGAAATACGCAATGTTTATGCATTACATTGAACATAAAAATGCTTTCATAAGTGTTACTAATGAGTAATGCCACTATGTTTAAGTGAAATTTAAGACAAATTTAAAACCTTAAAAGTATTCATCATTTGTTGAATTCTAGTGTGAAGTTATTTAACACTTAGAAGTACAAGATCCTATGAGCTGGAATAAGGTAAGATTAAACATATCTGCATTTTACTTATAAATAAATCTTCCTAAGTTCCTAAGGGTCAATTAATAATTAATTTTTAATCTACTCTCTAAATAAATATCGAATATGTGGTTTTAAATGCATTTTGAAAGTTCTTATACTTTTTTAATATTCACTCATACTTTTAGAGAGCTAAATTAAAACTCATTGAAAAATAAAATTTAAGTATTTATTAATTGTTCACCATTAAATTATTAGCCTGGATAATATAAAATGCTTATTTAAATACAAATTTATCTTCTCCATAAAATGTTTCTTTTATTAAAATGAATAGGGTTACTGCTTTTAGGCTGAAGAAAGCAAATTATTAACTTGGGATATTAATGATGTTAGTGTTTTCAATACTGATAAGCAGCTTTAAACTGTTTTTATGCTTAAAGGAATAGGAAACAAAGACACAAACATTAACTGCTGCATTTATTTAGGAAAGTATGAGTATTTAATCGCAGGATACTATGGAGGAGCTATGAAAGTTTGGAAGGTTGAGCAAGATGGGACAAATAGAAAGATCCTTATGCATACTTTTGATGCTCACAGCAGATAAGTTTTATCAATATGCAAGCACTCGACTGAACCCAAAATGGTGGTTTCAGCAGGATCAGATCACACTTTAAAATACTGGAATATAGATACATTTTAATTTTTATTTAGCTTTAGAGCTGCAAACATTTACAATCACATTATTCTTCTTTCGTCATCATTTTTTATAACTACTTAAGATGATGTCACTTCGGCAGGATATGTAACAGGATCTCTTACATTTCTTTATACTCACAGTTCAGAAGTTATTGGTATTGATAAAACCTACTCAACAACTTCTGAGAGTAATGGGCACACATTAAAAAGGGTTTAACTTACACTCAAAAATAATTCAGGACTATCCCTTGATAGTGAATTACTATAAGATTACAAATTAAGCAGTAATCCTTCGAATAATCCAGTATCTGTTTTATATCCTCCTCCCGTAAGTAAAAAAATACTTAATATAGTTACTTGTCCTTACAACGAGGATATTTTGTTTATCCACATAGAAACAGGAGGATTTTGCAAGTATTAATTTAAAAAAAGTACAGAAAATACACTCTTTTTTATTGAAACTATTATCAATCCAAATTAATTTCTTGATTTTCAATCTAAGCCTTTTTCACAGCAAATAACTTCTATGAAATTTCTAGACATAATTCCACCAAAATATGACATGGATATAGGCGATGCTGCTAATTTTGTAATTATTTGAGTAATTATAAATTATAAATTTAAGAGAAATATAACTAAATAGGGATATGACAAGGAGAACCAAGTTTTGACATTAGAAGAATATTAAAATAAGATAAATGATTTAAAATTAGTAGCATTTGGAAGTGAAAAAGGGAGCATCATATTTGTCAGTATGAATGGTTAATTTGATAAAATTTACACAAGGTTCACTTTTCATCGAGATGAAATATTAGAATTAGGTGTGGTTAAATATAAACACAATCCTACTGAAAGATACTTATTGAGTTTTAGCAGGGAGGGATTCTTTAAAATGGTTGGATTTACCAATAAATCTGCAGATTTGATCAAAAGCATAACTATTGGATAAAATTTTGACATGATGAAGTGCTTTGAAAACAAAGTAATCTTGACAACTATGCAAGGAGATATGAAAATGTTCTCACTAAAAGAAGATAAAAATTTAATCATCAAGTAGTATGAAAATACAAATGAACATGAACGCAAAATTGTTACGATAGATATTGATTTGTAAAAAAAATTTATCTTGACAGCAAGCAAGGATAATAAGATTAAAATATGGAATTTTAAAAAAATTATATTGTTATAAATTAATTTGTATGAAAAATTGAGTGGAGCAACTTTTGTAAATGATTAATTGGATATAGTTTTTTCTCATTCTGGTAGAATTTCTCTCCTAACTTACAAGTAAATAGTTAGAGATATTGAATCAGGGTTGAAAAATGCAGAGGAATACTCTCTAAATGCTAAAAAAGGATATTCAACGATAGAAGATTACTTTTAAAATAATTAAACTGTTGTATTTTAAGATGATCCTAAAATATCTTCTTAAACATTTTTGGCTTCCTAAAAAGGATTTTTTAGCCAGAAAACAAAAAAATTTAACTTAGGTATTTCATTCCAAAATACTAATTCTTTTTATGGAGATGGAGATATAGGAAGTTCTAAACTTAATAAACAAGCAAAAAGTATTTATATAAGACGTTAAACCATATAATAATCTAGTTAAAATGCATAAAGTATTTCGCCGTCACCGTATAAATCAATCAGCTATAAAGACTAACCTCACACAGTGACATCGATGTTTTTTCCTCAACCTAATCATAATTCAGGTAATGCCCAAAACGGCTAAAAGCAAGACGAAAAATATGTAACACTATTTTAATAGCAAGGATAAAACATACCTCTAAATTAGTTAGTTGAGGATAATGGAAAAAAAAGATAAGCTTATTCTTTAAATCCACACTAAAATGCAACTATTGAGAATACTTAGTATAATTTCAATAAAGTTTATGGTTCTCCTATCAGAAGTGAGAGATCGCCAGCATCATCGTATGATACTACTTAGTATAAAATAAATACTACATCAAAAAAATAAAGGTATAATACAGAAAATCATCATACAGAGACAAGCGAGTTTGATTAGACATCAACTTCTTTCACTTAACCTAAGTATAAAATATCTAACCATAATTTGAATATGATGAATTCTCCTCATTATTTTTATTAGACAGAAGGATCTTCACCTCCTGCTAACTCTAAGTAAATTAAATTCTTAATTAGTTCGAAATAATTATTTTTTTAATAAAAAATATTAGATTACCAGAAATAAAATATAAGCCAACAAAGAAAAAAATAGAACTAAAAAATAATGATTTGTAACCTATTTCAAATGATGCCTAAAAACTCTTTCAGCCTCTTTCCCCTGAATAAAAATTTGTTTGCATTACAGCTCTGCCAAAGGAATAAACGAAAAGATACAAATACAGTTTATTAGAAAAGTTTGCTATTGATAGAATAGCTAAACGGCTAGCTAGTTCGAGAAGGGAAAATACCTTAAATAAGATAATTCTTAAAAACTTAGGATAACCCCAAGAAGATTTTAGTCTATAAGTTTAATCTTCATAATATAATCCTTTATTTAGTAACCTGACTACAAATATAAACTAAAGGAAGGGAACAAAGTCTTTTCATCATTAAAATTGAATTAAAAGAGTTAGTTAAAAACAAGATCTGTAAATAAAATAACCAAAAAATATTTCAATAAAATAAATATAAAACCAATAATAAAAAATAAAATTAATATTCTGCATATAAAAAATAATAAATTTAAAGTAACTTAGAAAGATATTAAATAATTTACTAAAATCAATATAAAAATAAATTTTAAATTTGAAAGAAAATTTAATTCATACAAGATATATTTAAAAATTTAATAAGTTGTATTTAAATCTAAAATTATTACAAAAAAAATATTTTGCATTGGTTCTTGTAGTATATAAAAGTATCTTAATCCATATCAGTGTGTAAAATAATAGTCAATTTTTATTTTTTGATTTTTAAATTTTTTTATCAGAAAATACTTAATCTGATCACTCTTAAGAAACTAGAATTAACTTTTATATTCTGATGAGACAAAACAAAAAATTTGTCCTTTTATTTAAATTTAGTTAATTATGAATGTAAATTTAAATTAAATTTGATTTAAAATAAATATTTTAAAATAATAATTATGTTGGATTGATAAATTAAACAAAGTAGGTCAAATAAATTAAAAAACTTGTTTTGTTTTATCAAAAATTAATTTTTTTTAATTAAAAAAATTTTAATCTTACTTTTTTAATTCATAAAAAAAAAAACCAAAACAACGCTCTACATATTCATTATAAAAATATATCAATTTGATTTAAGGTTATTAACCATACTGATGATATTTTTATTTATTTTTAGTCCTTTCAATTTTTATTTTATTTTATTGATTTATTTGTTTGTTTGTTTGTAGAGCTAGTACCACAACATTTTTTTAAAGCGATTTTAATCTTTAGTTTTTTTTAGGCAAAAATGTTTGTTAAGATTAATTCTAATAAGTGAGTTATTTTTTGTTCGTTTTTATAGCAAGTTCAATTATGATAAAAATAATTAGAAATTTATTAATGTGCTTTAAAATAGAAAATTAAATATTGCTGAATAGAAATAAAATTGAATGATTGAAGAATAAGGCCATTTAAGTTATCAAAATTTTATTTTATTGAAATAAAAGAAGATTATCAAATTTGAATTTAACAAAAATATTTGTTGGAAAAAGAATAGAAATAAATAGAATTATTCTTGAAGCAATAAATGAAGATACACATCAATAATATATTAATTAATTAATAAAAAAGGTATATGGCCTTCAAACAAATTCTAATGAATGAATGATAAAAGAAAAGCGAAATAAAATGATTGAGGGTCAGGAAGGAAATAAATAATAAAGCTTTTCAAATTTTTAAATTATCAAAAAATTATGCCAAAATACCTAACTTTGATTAAGAGTAAAAAAATATAAAAGACAGCTAAAAGGCATAAAAAATAAAACAAAGAAAACAAAAAACACTCAAATTATTTTAGATATATATTTTCTTTGAATCCTTTTGATTTTTTTTATAGTGAAGTTAGCAGTATTGATTTATTGATTCAAAACTTCCAACAAGAAAGAGAAATCACAAGCAGCTATATTAAGCGTCATCGTATAAAATCCTTTATCTTGAACAAGCATTTAGCTAGTTAGATAGTTTAACTAAGTGAATATATAAATTACAGTAGAAATATAAATTTAAAATGACTGATTACAAGAAAATCATATAAGATCTCGACAAAACAAGTAAATTAATATATTTTTAAACATCAAGGCAAGCAGCTACATTTTACAAGCCGTATTTTACCTTTCAAAACATAAAATATTTTATAATTAAATGCAGAAAAGTTTGACATGGGTCCCAGATGGAAACCTGAAGAGCTAGACATATTTTTGAAATGTAATTAATTCATTTTTTGTTTATCAAAATTTTTTTTTTTTGCTGTATTTTTATAGCTTGAGTTCTATTTACTGCCAAAAACCCTTAAAATAATAAGTATTAAGAAAGAAAAAAATCCTAAACAAAAATTAATTGCGCTTATTGCAGTTAGCGATTTCTAATCTTAATTTTTCTAAATAACTTTTAAATAAAATATGAATCAGATTACAGGGAATCTGAGTTTGACAAACTCGATGAAATGCAGCAAGTCCTTTCATAAAATGGATACGAGCGCTCTAAAATAAATCTAATCAGCGTTTATCTCAAGGTAAAATGAAGTCAGATTTAAAGATTGAATCTGAATTTATACTTTTTTTATTTATTTTTATTGTTCCCTCCAAATTTATTGCATAAAGACTTGTTTAATTTATTTTAATACTAGCTTTTATATTAATTAATCAATGAATGAATGATTTTAAAAATAGAATAAGAATTTCTTGAACTTTAACAAATAAGTTACAGGGGATATGCTTGCTATGATTATGGCTGACCATTATGATAACTTAGAAATATAATAATAGCAGTTAATCAATTAGAAAGAAGAAGCCAAAAAAAGATAGAAGTAGCAATTATTGCAATAGCAGTAGCAAAATGTAGTACCATCTCTATCTAGTTAGATTGAGGCATTAAACAATTAGCAAAAGTCTCTCAACTAGGCTAATTTGCCTTCAAGCAATGTAAAAGCATAGTTTATAAAGTTTTCATTTGCTGAAATTAGTGGAAGTGATGAAATTTTAATATTTTTCAAATTTAAATTAGGAAGATATCAATAGCAAAAAGGCAGCTTCTACTGCTATCAATCCACCTTAAAGCAACAGAAAAAAGTAAAAAATTTAAAAAGGATTGAATGAATAAAGTGAAAACATGAATAATGGATCCATGCTATAAATGATGCAGCTTTTAAACCAAGGAAATAATTCTCAATTTAACTCTTAAGCGTAGTAAGTGTTAGGTCTAAATAATGGAAACAACGTTTCAAATAGTAACATCACAACATTTTAGCATGTTAATAAAAGAAAGTCAAAAATGCCAAAAGGAAGATTTCTTTTTGATTTGCCAAATGATTTTGAAAAAAGAATAGCATACATTGAAGAAATATCAAAGAATTGCAATGGAAAAAACCCTAAAAAGCAAACAAAGAAATTGTCTTCTTAAGAGTAAATAAACGAAAGAGTATTTATTTATTTATTAATTTTTTTAAATATTCAATTTTTGATAATGTCAAATTGAAATATAAAAATAAACTTTTTATTTAGAGTTTACAATGGATAGAACATGAATTCTTTTACAGCACAATAGATAAACCTTTCTTCTAGTTCAATGAGTTCAAAGAGATGCTAGCTAAGGTTGGACTTGAAAACATTGGTAAATTAACCAGAGCAGAGTGGAATATAATCAGAAAAGCTATGGGAAAGCCAAGAAGATTTTCTAATGAATTCGTTAGAGGAGAATTAAAAAAGCTGGAAATTTACAGAAAAATTGTTCGTGAATACCTCTAAACTTAAGTAAATAAATTATTCTCTTTTCTATGTATTTTTAAGCATGGATATATACCATTTTTTAAATATATTTAATTGGTATTTATTTAGTAAGCACATGTCCTCAGAAGCAAAATCAGGGAAAGCCTATCAGAAGAAATTATGAGAATTTAACCGTTTAAGGTAGGTTAAATTGTCATGGGTATCCATCCAAATTGCAAGCATTTTCATCCTGGTTCTGTTCTTACTACAAATGGAGACATGGTGATCTTAAAATTCCTGACTAATGATTTAGGAGTATTGAAAATACCAGACACTAAATTATCGATGTAATTTAATAAAAAAGAAATTTAACTAATTTATTTTTGTAATACAGAGATTACACTGCTAATATTTAAGGCAACTCAGATGAATTTGCTAGTTAAAAAGGAAGAGTTATCTTAGACGGATAAGTTGATGAAGGAAATTACAATAAAGCATTCTCTAATAATGCCTCTTACTAAAATCAAAATGAATAAAAGCACAGTTCTTAATAAACTATTTTGCAAGATTTAGATTATTTTTCGATGGCCTTCTTAATTAAATTGCTTGATAGGTAAAAAAAATAAATATAAGCAATTTATAATTAATTTTTATTCTGTTTTAATATAAATGCAGAAAGACTCTTTTAATTAATGAGCTGAAGGAATTTAACGAATTTGCAATTAGAAAAAAAAATGAACCTCTTGATGAAACTTTTTACTAAAAATACGGCTGGACTGGTATTCAAATAAACTTGATAGACAACGCCTTAAAACATGTGATTGCAAAATTTAGATTAAGAGGACTCAACCATTACAGTAAAGAATCAGAAATAATAAATTAAAAAATCATATATGTTATTTTAATTAAATATAGGTTAATAACAAATAGCTGAAAACTTAAATAAAATATTATAAGTACCATTAAGTTATATTGAAAGAGAGCTTGAAGAAAACCCTGTTGATCAAGGAATACTAAACGAAATCAGAAATATTTCTAACAAAAATGCAGATGTAATCGATTAAACCAAAAATCAACTCTGAATAAAATTATAAACTAACTAGTCATTTTTATAAATATACAATTAAATTCTATTATCTGTAAATATAAAAAGGAGAAAATTCAACAGAGTGTAAACTCGATGATAACTAAAGGAGAGTAAAAGCTTATGAAAGAGAGAGGAGAAGTATATAGAAAGTAGCTAGAAGAAAATTACTATTCAAACGGTTATGGAAACCTCTTAAACATTGTTTATAATTGTTTGGGAATACTCCAGACATTAAAGTGCACTGGAGATATTAACATAAACCAAAACTAGTTTTTAAATAGTCTCGCTTAGAGTATATATACCGAAAACTCTGAGCAATTCCTTGAGATAAATGATGTTATTTAAGACATCCTCTAAAAATATAAAGACTCTAAACGAGAAAACCATTCTTTGCTGAGCAATAGCAATAATAATTAAGAACATATTATTTCTTCTTCTTAAAAGTAGTCGCTGAGCAAAGCCAATAATAATAATAATTCTAATAATAACAATAATAATGTAAATAATCACCAAGAATTTAATTCTAATTTAAGCAGCAATCCTCCTTTATGATCAATTTTCTCTTTATTTAAAGAAAATTTTTATAAGTAAAAACAACAATAATAACAATAAAACCATATTAAATTTATAAGAACGAACTAGAAGGAATTGACAGAGAAATTATTCAATTATAAATAAACTCTCTAAAAATATACAAATAAATTTCTTTATCCAAAAACTTCTAGCTACTGACATGACAAGGTTTATGTTTTTTGATATGACTGATAAAATAGCCTGACTAATTTATATTTGTTCATAGCAATGAATCTTACAAATTTAATTATTTATAAATAAACAAATAATTTTGCTAAATTTTTCTTTTAATATTTAAGTATTTATTTATCTTTGTACGAATTAGACTTGTATTAAAATGTTTAAAATAACTTAAAATATACATAAAAATAAATAATTTTTTTTAAAGATAATTTTTAATATTTAATCAAAGTGTTTTTATTTTTTACAAAAAAAGTATGAATGCCATTTTTTTTAAGTAAAAAAAAATTAATTTGTCTTAATTACCTCAAATTTTGAATGGTAGTTATCAAATTTTAATTCAGACCAATCAATGATGAGTGGAGTAAAATCCATTAAAAATTAACCTTAATAAAGAGAATATGCTTATTTTTTCAAGATATTTTTAAATTTTATGATACTTTTTGTTAGAAAGAAATTGGAAAAAGTCTAATAAATTTACATAAATAATACCAAAAAATTCAAACTGAATTAAAAATTTAATAAATTAATAAAGTTATTAAGCAAAAAAATATTACAAAAAAATGAATTCAGAATTCGATTAGGTGAGTCGTGCAGATTAATAATAATAAGTTTAAGGGCGTAGAAGATAGAGCAAGATGGCTTAAAATTAAAATGAGTTATTAGGAGTGAATTTAGAAAAATCTAAACTAGATAGGAACGAAATAACATAAGTGGTTTACTAATTCAAGAAAAGTGATAAACCAATTATTCAATTTATAGATCTCCTTAATATTGCTAAAAGTAATATATATTATAATAGAAATTAAAATATTAATTTTTTGAGCTTGAAGCTTTGTATGTATTATTAAATTGCAAAAATTCTTAGTAGTGATAATAACTAACATAGAATAACTAATAAATATTTTGAAACTTAATAAAATAGAGCTCAACTATGAGGTTGATAGTAAAGTAAAAGAGTTTATTTTCAAGGAGTTAGAAGCTAGAAACATAAAAAAAATAGACATAGATGCTGCAATAATTGTTCTTTCGTAGGTCAAAACGTACTACCAAAAATTAGATGAAGAAAGTTAAAACAACTCTTTTAACGAATATGGTAAATAATTAATTAATAAATATTAGCAAAAATTTAATTTTTTTATCCAATTAATTAATTTGATTAAATTAATCATCTAACAGATTTATGATAAATTTAAAAATAAGTATTAATAAGATTCTAATTTAATTTAAAAAAATAGTCGATGCTTTTGTAGCTTTAGGTGGCAATCCTGACCAAACAGGAAAAGTATCAAAGCAAACTATTTTGGAAATCATTAAAACAGAGTTTGAGTTGACTTATGACATGGAAGTTTTTTTAGAAAAGATAGAAGCTGGAGGAGAGTTCTTAGATTTTCCTACATTTTGTATGCTTTTTGAGTAAAGTGATGAGGGAAGAGGTCTTACTAAAACCAATTCAGTGTTATCTGTAAATAAAAATAATTTTTTATAATTAAAAGCAACAAATATCAAATAAAACTAAATTTAATTGAATTTAAAAACTTTTTAAAAATATTTTAAATTTATTTTTTTTTAAATAGCTACTTTCTAATAGAAGTCGTAAGAGTGTTAAGTCAAATAACTCACTTAAAGTTAGATACAAAGATTTTGAAAAGTTTTATGCTTAAATGGAATAGTAGGAATAATAATAAATGAATACTCGTAATTAATTTTAGGAGCACGATAGCTAAAATATTCCTTCTTCTCCCTGAACAATTATTTATTTATTAAATAAATTAAATATAGAACAAAATTAATTAATTAATTCATTTAAGTATTTGTATAATATGTAAAGATTCCAGATCAGCATATAATAAATTAATATAAAATAAGCGTTTTTTTAGTTAAATTTATTAAAAATATTTAAATCAATTTATGCTATTTCGTACATAACATAAAAGATATTTATTTATTTATTTAGCAACATTATAAATCAATAAAAATTGAAATGTAAAATCCTACAATTGGTCAATCATTTGATTTTAATAGAATCTTTATTTATCAAATTATAGTAATTTCTTTTAAAAAATAATAATAATAAAATTTGCATCAAAATCTAATCATCAAATAACCTATGAGCGAGGTTTAATTAAAGAAAGAAATAAGCGATTTAAAAAGCCAGGTTGATAAATTAAAAATAGAAAATGACCATCTACATATGAAAAATCTTGACCTAGAAGATAAGGTGGATGACTTACAGCAAATGAGTAAAAAAATTTTAAAAGATAAGAACGAAGAAATAGAAAAAATCAAAGCTAGTCTAATGGAATTTTAGCTTTTAAATGCTAATTTGGAAAAAGAAAATTTTGAGCTGAAGTAACAAATTGAACTTGAAGAATAGAAAACTTTGACCAGTCAATATTCAGAAAGACCCCAATTATCCGAAATCCCTAATAAAATGTATGAAGACTACTAGTAAAACAAATAAAAACAAAAGTCTGTCTCATTTTAAGATCAAAAAGGAGCAAGTAATGCCAATTAAGTAACTAATTAAGTTAATTAAGAAAATGAAAAAAATACCATGGCTAAATAAAATAAACCTGAAAAATTGGATTCAGAGCGAATTGAAATGATTAACGAAGAACTTGTAAGAAGAAACAGCAAATTAATGTCTATAGTTGAATAAAATAATGAAGTTTATGACACTACTCAATAAATTCTGGTTGATCTAAATTTATAAATATCTGGTTTACTTAATGAGAAAGCTGAGTTGTTATCTCAAGTTGCAGATTTGGAGGACGTGGTTGACGAGTAGCAAGGCCAGCTCATGCTTTTAATATCTGAGAATAAAGAATTAATTGAGAGGTTGGACTTAGCAAATTAAAATTCTGCTAATAAAGGAAATAATTTTACTAATTCAACTTAAGCTACTGTAGCAGAATTCATAAATAATTTATAGCAAGAAGAGAATAACGAAACTATAGTATGGAATTCATAGTCTAAAAGAAGAAGTGAAAGATAGGAGCAAGAAAGAAGAAATGGAAATGATAACTTAGGAAATTTATGCAAATCAGAGAACTTTCAAGTAATTTATGAGGAATGCAATGACCAAAGAGGTAGCAAAAACAATAAAGCAGCTTAAGATGATATGCTAATCATTGAATATTAAGATAATTCCTAATAAAAAAATGTTCAATACTCCCCTTTGCAAAAGACTGAGAAGAACAACTTTAGTAATGATTAGGAAGGTCTCAATAAAGCACTCAGTTTATAAATTTAAGAATTAACATAAAAGTTACAAATCGTCTCTCAAAAACTATCTGAATCTGAGACATCTAACCAAAAATCTTCAATGCAAACCGATAATTTAATTGAGGAATTAAAAAAGTAAATTCAGGTAAAAGAGGAAGAAATAAACAAATTACAATAACAGTTAAAAATGATGGAGGAAAAGATATTTTTTATGGAAGAAGAAATAGAGTTATAAAAAATGGAATTTGACACAACAGTTGACGAGCTTTATTCTCAGTATGAATAAAAACTATAATAGCTTAGAGGAAATCATGATATTCCAATGCTTATTACCTTAAACTGAAAAAACGATAAATATTTATCCATAAAAACTGTAATTTAATTCAAGTTGAAATAATTTACGTCATAAATTATTTATGGAATATTTCTTTTAAATTTCGGAAAAAGTTTCTTATTTGGTGGAAGAATAAATTAATTAATCAAATCTAGAAAGACCATTAAACTAAAAATAACTAAACATATAATATAAAAAGCACTAATCACTTTAAATATTTAAATAAAATAATAAATATATAATCAAATATAATTGTATAAATTACAATAAATACTCTCTTTAACTTCATTAATTTATAGTTTGTTTTAATTTTTGAAATAATTTGAATTATTTTACTTCAAACAAAAAGTTTATTTAATTACTTATATAGATATATTGCTTACTACCCACTATTAAAATACTCTTTGTTAGTTCTTTTATTTGGGTTTTGACTAATATTTTAATTTATAAATCTTTATTATTTTCAAATTTGGTTTTTATGGATATGCTGTATTATATTTTTATTTGATTTAATTTATTAACTTTGTTTTTAATTCTAATATATCATTTAACTTTTTAATTTTCCACTTTTCAACAAAAAAAATAGCTTAAGTCTATCAAAGCAAGCTTTTAAGAGATCTTTAAAATTATTGTTTATAGTTATCATAAGGATTAAGTTGTAAACACTTTTTTAATGATATAATTGCATGTTTGTACATTTTTTTACACTAAAAATCAACAGAAAGGTATAAATGGCAATCCTTAAGTTTTGGATCAATTTATATACATTTCTTGAAATATATACTTGAATGTTGATACCTTCCTTTTTTTTAAAATGCTATTCCTAGATTTAAAAGATTTTCTTTAACATCAGGATCAAGTTAAACAGCCTTCTAGGAGAATGTAATAGCATCATCATACATTTCTTTTTGCATAAATGAATATCCCAGCTTTCCAAATGCCCAGCTGTCTTTAGGATCAAGTTAAACAGCCTTCTAGAAGAATGTAATAGCATCATCATACATTTATTTTTGCATAAATGAATATCCCAGCTTTCCAAATGCCCAGCTGTCTTTAGGATCAAGTTAAACAGCCTTCTAGAAGAATGTAATAGCATCATCATACATTTTTTTTTTCATAAATGAATATCCCAGATTTCCAAATGCCCAGCTGTCTTTAGGATCAAGTTAAACAGCCTTCTAGAAGAATGTAATAGCATCATCATACATTTTTTTTTTCATAAATGAATATCCCAGATTTCCAAATGCCCAGCTGTCTCTAGGATCAAGTTAAACAGCCTTCTAGAAGAATGTAATAGCATCATCATACATTTCTTTTTTCATAAATGAATATCCCATACATCTAAATGCGCAGCTGTCTTTAGGATCAAGTTAAACAGCCTTCTAGAAGAATGTAATAGCATCATCATACATTTTTTTTATCATAAATGAATATCCCAGATTTCCAAATGCCCAGCTGTCTTTAGGATCAAGTTAAACAGCCTTCTACAAGAATGTAATAGCATCATCATACATTTTTTTTTTCATAAATGAATATCCCAGATTTCCAAATGCCCAGCTGTCTCTAGGATCAAGTTAAACAGCCTTCTAGAAGAATGTAATAGCATCATCATACATTTCTTTTTGCATAAATGAATATCCCAGGTTTCCAAATGCCCAGCTGTCTTTAGGATCAAGTTAAACAGCCTTCTAGAAGAATGTAATAGCATCATCATACATTTTTTTTATCATAAATGAATATCCCAGATTTCCAAATGCCCAGCTGTCTTTAGGATCAAGTTAAACAGCCTTCTAGAAGAATGTAATAGCATCATCATACATTTATTTTTGCATAAATGAATATCCCAGCTTTCCAAATGCCCAGCTGTCTTTAGGATCAAGTTAAACAGCCTTCTAGAAGAATGTAATAGCATCATCATACATTTATTTTTGCATAAATGAATATCCCAGCTTTCCAAATGCCCAGCTGTCTTTAGGATCAAGTTAAACAGCCTTCTACAAGAATGTAATAGCATCATCATACATTTATTTTTGCATAAATGAATATCCCAGCCTTCCAAATGCATAGCTGTCTTTAGGATCAAGTTAAACAGCCTTCTAGAAGAATGTAATAGCATCATCATACATTTTTTTTTTCATAAATGAATATCCCATACATCTAAATGCGCAGCTGTCTTTAGGATCAAGTTAAACAGCCTTCTAGAAGAATGTAATAGCATCATCATACATTTATTTTTGCATAAATGAATATCCCAGCTTTCCAAATGCCCAGCTGTCTTTAGGATCAAGTTAAACAGCCTTCTAGAAGAATGTAATAGCATCATCATACCTTTTTTTTATCATAAATGAATATCCCAGCTTTCCAAATGCCCAGCTGTCTTTAGGATCAAGTTAAACAGCCTTCTAGAAGAATGTAATAGCATCATCATACATTTCTTTTTTCATAAATGAATATCCCAGATTTCCAAATGCATAGCTGTTTTTAGGATCAAGTTAAACAGCCTTCTAAAAATAATAGACAGCATCATCATATTTTAAAGACAGTTATGATCTATCGCCAAGGATTAGATACCATTTACTTTTTAAAGTATTAAAAAAATTCATTCTTTATTGAGATAAAGTTTTAATAGTATATTAGAATCTATGTATCAAAATAATAATTGAATTGTTTAAAAAAATTTGTATATTAATAATTTATATAATAAATACAACTAATTATAATTTAATTTAATAAATATATATATAAAAGACATATTAGTTTTTTAATTTTTTAGAATTTAAATATAGATTAAAGAAATAAATAGTAAATTTAATATTATTATTATAAATTATTCTTAAATTTAGATATATTTAGAGCTGTGATAGCCAATCCTCCAGGATTTGTCATAATATAAAGGGAAAAGTGTGGTCTGGCCATAGATTTGTTTAAGACTTGCTTTTTTTCAAAAAATCAATAAAAAAAATTATGAACTTAAAAATATTTAAAAAAATAGGGGTTTCTGTTTCATTTGAGAGCGTAATATATATTAAAGCATTAGATTATAAAATATTATATTGAATTTCAATAAAAATAATTGTTTTGTTTTCATATAAATGCAATTTAAATTGATTTTATAGATTTTTGTATATTATGAAATACAAAGGAAAATTATTAAAAGAATAACATTCTCAAAGTTACAAAGCTAAATCAAAATCGTATTATTATCTAAATAGTTAATTAAATAATCTAATTAACAATAAATTAATAAAAGAATATTTTTCTAGAAGTATTACATAATAACTAAATATTATTTAAATTACTTATGTATTATTTTTTCTAATTTAAACATCATTTCACTTAATCCACCTACCATTTTCGAAGTTTGTTATCTTACAAAAGGATACTATCATTATATATTTATCTCTTAAAAATTGCATCATAAAAATTATTCATTTTTTGTTTATTTGATGTTAATATCTAATAAAGTAATTCAATAAACTAGCATATATATTAAGATGCCTTAATAATCAGAGATAATTTATTAAATATTTTAAATAACTATAACATTATTAGCAAAGATTAAACAAGATACCAAAATTTCTTGAGATTCGTCTAATTAAATATTAGATGATACTTTTTCGAGTATTTATTGAATTAATTATTTGTTATTTTTTCTAATTGAAATATCATTTCATTTAATCCACCTACTAACTTTCGAAGTTTATAATTTTACAAAAGAATACTATATATATACAATTAAACTAGTTTTTTAAAAATATTAATGATTATTTATTTAAGGATAGTAAGTTTGTATCCTTTTTGTTATTATATCTTATCTAAGATAGGAAGCATAAACAAATTAATTTGTTAAATAATCTAATTTTTGATATATTAATTTGATGTCATTTTTAATTAAAATTCTTTGTAAATAAGTGTATATATTAAGATGACTTAATAATCATAGATAATTTATTAAATATTCTAATTAACTATAGCATTCATTATTAACAAACTGATATTAAAAAAGGTACCAGAGTATATTTAAATTCAACAAATTATAAATGTAAAAATCATTCAAATTTTATTTTTTTTAAGTAATAATTATTTTTTATTATAAAATAATGATGTTTAAACAAGTATAAAAATGCCTAAAAATATTTTTAAATATTCTAATTTATTTTCGTTTTTAAATCTTTACTATTTTAATTTATAAATCTTTATTATTTTCAAATTTGGTTTTTATGCATATGTTGTTTTATATTTTTATTTGATTTAATTTATTAACTTTGATTTTTAATTCTAATATCTCATTTAACTTTTTAATTTTCCACTTTTCAACAAAAAAAATAGCTTAAGCCTATCAAAGCAAGCTTTTAAGAGATCTTTAAAATTATTGTTTATTGTTATCATAAGGATTAAGTTGTAAACACTTTTTTAATGATATAATTGCATGTTTGTACATTTTTTTACACTTAAAATCAAGAGAAAGGTAAAAATGGCAATTCATATATTTTGGATCAATTTAAATACCTTTCTTGAAATATATACTTGAATGTTGATACCTTCCTTTTTTTCCAAAATGCTATTCCTAGATTTAAAAGATTTTCTTTAACATCAGGATCAAGTTAAACAGCCTTCTAAATGAATGTAATTGCATCATCATACATTTCTTTTTTCGTAAATGAATATCCCAGCTTTCCAAATGCCCAGCTGTCTTTAGGATCAAGTTAAACAGCCTTCTAGAAGAATGTAATAGCATCATCATACATTTCTTTTTTCATAAATGAATATCCCATATTTCCAAATGTCCAGCTGTCTTTAGGATCAAGTTAAACAGCCTTCTAGAAGAATGTAATAGCATCATCATACATTTCTTTTTGCATAAATGAATATCCCATATTTCCAAATGTCCAGCTGTCTTTAGGATCAAGTTAAACAGCCTTCTAGAAGAATGTAATAGCATCATCATACATTTCTTTTTTCATAAATGAATATCCCAGCTTTCGAAATGCCCATCTGTATTTAGGATCAAGTTAAACAGCCTTCTAGAAGAATGTAATAGCATCATCATACATTTCTTTTTTCATAAATGAATATCCCAGCTGTCCAAATGCATAGCTGTTTTTAGGATCAAGTTAAACAACCTACTAAAAATAATAGACAGCATCATCATATTTTGAAGACTGTTATAATATATCGCCAAGGATTTGATACCATTTACTTTTTAAAGTATTAAAAAATTCATTCTTTATTGAGATAAAGTTTTAATAGTATATTAGAATCTATGTATCAAAATAATAATTGAATTGTTAAAAAAATTTTGTATATTAATAATTTATATAATAAATACAACTAATTATAAATTTATTTAATAAATATATATGTGCAATAAATATGGTCGGTGAGGGAATTAACTAAATTCAAATTATTTTTTATAAATTTAAGAATTTTCAAAAAAATACTTTTTTTCATAATAAAAAAATAAATTATTTTACATTAATAATTATTTTTGCTAAAAATTAATATTATTTTTAGTTAGTTAACAAAATTAGTTCAATAATTTATTTGGATGGATCTAAGTACTGTTGAAATATTAACTTTTTTAATACACATACATATTTGACTGTATTTACTATGATTGAGATAAATTAAATAACAAATAAAAATTAAGATATATTTGACGAATAAAATTATTGGTTTAAATCAATCATAAAAAATTATTAATTTATCAAAAAAATAAATTCCTTATTTCTGATTAAATTTAATTTTTTTAGATAGTGTGATAATATAAACATAATTAACGAAATACTAAAAAAAGAACGTTTATAAAATATTACAAAAAATATGAAGTAAAATAATCATTCTTTTGACTCTTTAAATGATAGAAAACTCAATTCGCCTGGTTAACCTTATAGCCATGCAGAATTTCTAAGTAGTAGAAAAGAAATAATCTTGCAAAGGATAACAAATCAAAAATATAAGGAGAGTAAATAAAATGAGTCTCCTATCAAACTTTAATAATACTAGGAATCTTTGAGTTAATCACCTGGAGATTAAAATATCAATTTGGAAGGTTCGTAAGAACAAAGGAACTCTTTTATTGAGTAGGAAGTAACTGATGCATAGATAAATTAACTTAAGAATATTGACATAAAAAAATTGCAAGCTTTAATTCTTAAAAATAGAAATGATGCAAATAAATCATATTCTATTTAGAACTTTTAAAGTTTATTTATTGAAATAGGATTGCTTTATAACCAAAATTAGTAAAAGGAATAGGAAGCTTCTGAAAGATCGATTTAATATTGCGAGTAACTGTGGAGAGTTATTTAATTTTCAAGTAACAGTCCCTTCGCAAATTCTTAATTCATAAATTAAATTATGGCAATCCTTTTAAACAGATAGCTCTGCTAAGAATCTATGATAACCCTAGTATAAAATGAACTAATTAATAATTTTAAAGTAAGCACTTAACAAAATGCAGAAGAGTTTATAAAGTAACTAAATTATAGCAATATTAATCTCAAATAAATCTTAAATTATTTTTACATACTCATTCATACCTATGAATTAAATGAACACATTTTATAAAACTAAGCTTCTCCTACTAAAAACAATAATAATACAATGAATATTTATGATAAAAATAAGAAGAACACTCGACATGAAAAGCTTTTTTAGCATGCAGAATTATTAAATTAAAAAAGAAATACTTTCTCATTATTAAAGTAAAAGGAAGAACTTGACTCTTGCACATTTTAACCTATAATAAATTATAATTAGTAAAATTTAATGTCACCAAAATACCAAAAAATACTTCAAACAAATGTCCATGATAGACTGTATCAAAATGCTCAGGAAATCAAAAAATCTTAAGAAGAAATTTAACAATAAAGGGAAAAATAAAAAGAAGAAGAAATGTAACAATACTCTTTTCACCCATAAATTACAAAATTAGATCATATTGATCATTGTAATCAAGATAAAAAAAATATTATTGATTATGTTCCTGGTGCAAAAACTCAGCTTGAGAGATTGGCCAAGGCAAGACGTATCAAAACTGAGAAGGATTAATTCTGGGATAAGCAGATGTAACAATACAGAGAAAAAGGGGTCAAGACCAATCCTACAAAAACTCAAGAATTTAGCTTTATGAATAGAATTCCCTTGAAAAGAGAACCTATCATGTATTTAGATGTCAATATTACAACTAGTAAGAAAGGCAGAATTGCCCTCTATAAAGGTGATGATTATAAAAAAGTTGCTAGAGACTTTGCTTAAATATATAGGCTTAACTAAGAAGCACTTTAAGAACTTGAAGAAAGAGTTTATTAGGCAATTCACATATATTATTCATAGTTTGCTTGATCTATATTATATTTTCTTTCAATTTATAATTTATTTTTAATAAAAAAATACCATTTATGATAATTATTAATTTTTAATGCTTTATTTTTTAAAATCATCTTTTTTAACATATTAATTATATTTAATAATTTATGTATTGATTTAAAGACAATTAAATATAAAAATAATAATATTTATTATATATTAGATATTAACATTTTTATCTAAATTTCAAATTAAACTAGAGTTAAATGCCTTTTTAATTTTGGATTAAAACTAAAAACAATTAGATAGATAATAAATACCCCTCATAATATGAAAACAATATTTGACCTATATATTTATCATTAAAATTTAATACTGTTAATTTTTTATTATCTATATTTATTCTATATTTTTTTAATTTTCTCCTAAGTTTCAATAAGTTTTGTTTTCCTTTTTCTTCTTTTTATATTTTATAATGCATCAAAATTTCTTTTGATATTTGCAGATACTATCATTTAAGTTTTATTGTTGTTCGGGAAATATATTTCGAAATCATTTCCTCTATCGAAATTATCAATTATAAATAAACTTTGACCTACTTAATTAGAAGTATTTTAATGAAAAGGATAGTTAGAGTTGTAATCTTCATTAACGTCAATAGTTTTTATTCTTTAAAGTGATTAATGAGCAAAAGAAGATATAGATTAACTTTAAACTTTTATTTTTGGATTATTTAAAGTTACTTAGACTTATTAATTTCCATCTTATTATTCTGGTGTAAACACAGATTATTCATCGTTTGATGAATTGCTTTTAACACATTCTGTTTGGCCGTCCTAGCTTTTGTAAGTTATATCTTCTTCTCTAGATTTATTTCCTTCGTTGGTTAATTGTCGTTCTATCTAAGAGAATTGGCTAAATTTTTTTGTGTATTGCTGCCTATTTTATAAATTTTCTTTTATCTAATTATTTGTATCTTCTAAGCTATCAGGTTTTTTATTGACCAAGATACTTTTCCTTTCTCTATAAATTGAAGATTAGCTATTTGCTTAATCATCAAAAGTCCTATTCAGTAAACTTTTCTTTCTTTCTTTTTAATTAAAAGTTGCACTTGGTGGTGCACTAACATCAAAAGGAAGAAAGCTAGAAGAAACTTGTAAAGATTCAGGATGCTACAGACTCTAATTAGTATTCTATGATTCATTACAAGCTAAAGGAACTTTGGCTAATTTTTGTTAAGTTAATTCTAACTTTTAAAGATTTCCTTTCTTATTATTTTTTTCTATGCTGATTCCCAACTTTAAAAATATTTTTTTTAAATGCATTTTTAAATAAAAATTAAATTTTACTTGCATGCTGTAATTTTCTTGTTATTGTGACATTTGAGTTCCATAGTGTTTTATAGGAACATCAAATACAGCAGAGAGCTTAGCAGCAGCTAAATTAAGAAATTTTTTATATATTTAAATTCAGAAATTTTTTTATTTTTTAAATTAATAAAATAAATTATAAATAAAAAATTACATTGCTAAATAGCTAAGCTTTATTGATAAAGGAGGCATATCTGTTCTGAGTATTTTTAAATAAGTAAAGCTTTTTATGATTTATTAGATTTTCTTTTGATTTTAAGGCGGATTTATGGCAAATTTAGTTGAATAGATTTAATTATTTTTTATTTTGGAGCATGGTAAAAGACTTAAATACACTCATTTAAAGTGTGATCAGTTTTTTAGCATCCATAGCAAGAAAAGAAACAATTTTTTTTATTGAAGACATAATCATCTTAAATCATCTTAAACTTCTCCTAAAATTAAAAATAATTTATTTATTTAATCTTTTTATTAATTATTTTTTAATATACTCTATCAAGAGGAAAATCTTGAAGTATCTACAAAAAATCTTGCTTCGTTATGTAGGCAACACATGTTACATTTATTGCTTTTGCACTCCATTATCTTTAAAAAGAAGAAAAAAACTCTAATTCACCAACCAATTCTCCTTTTTTCTATCAATAAATAAATTAATTTTGTTATGATAATTAAATTGACTATTTCTATTAATCTTTCATATTCAACCTTAATAAACTGAATTCAGAAAATTACAAAATATTTTATTATATTCCATTGTCTTACCCCAAAAAAAATTGATATTACAGAATTAGTTTAAAAAATAGTTTGAAATGAAAAATGATAAGTTCTAAAATTAAAGTACTTGATTAATTTTTGTTAGGAAAAGTGTTTTATAAAATTTTTTTTAAATAATTCGAGGTTTAAAAATAATTTGAAATAATCCAATTTATTTATTTACTTGTATTAAGCATATTGGATCTTTTTTGTCTTTTTCAGATGTCTTTAAAAAGATCTAAACTTTAAAAAAAATGTCTTTTTCTATCCTTGAATTAAATTACTTTACTTTGTCCACTGAGTATAAAATATAGCTCATCAGGCTAGTCTCCTTAATTATATAAGGGTTCTTGAGGAGAAATTATTTTTTCTTTCATTTTTAGCATTAGTTTAGTTAAAAATTGTTTGCTAAAATTATGAGAAAATATTTTTTTTGAATTAATCAAATCGCTATATAAATTTATCAGTACTTCTTCCTTGAGACTTATAGGAAGTTAGTTTAAAAGTGTATTACCTTCAAGATTATTAAATTCTTGCTAATTGTAAACATAGTTATAATATTTTAAAACGTGTTGCTGAATATTCTTCTCTAAGTTTCTGTTTGTAAGATACTAATTTAAATATATCATCTTTTATTTAAATTCTTTCTTTTTTCTATATAAGTCATTCAATATCAAACCAAATTGATTCATCGAATAAGATAGCACTAAGCATCCTACCAATCCAATAAAAGTAACTAATATTTTTTCAACTAAAAAAAAATACTTAAATTCACTTTTTAAAGTTAAAAAATTTTCTTTATATTTGAATTATATAATTTACCAATAGTAATTGGGACTATATCTCCATATCCGAGAGTAATCATAGTGACTACAGACCAATAAAGGGAGTTGAAGTACCTGATATACCACTCATCATTGATATATTGAATCATCCAAATCTTTTGGCTAGAACTGTATTGTAGTTCTAGATAAACAGAAAGAAGCGCTATACAGGCTACCAAATGAGCAATAAATAGAATATTAAAAATAAGTTTAAAAATATCAGTGAAAGCTTGAGTTTTATCCTTCATTTTATAGTTTTACTCTAAATTTGAAATAGCCTCCAAAAAGTCAATTATTTTTACAAGAAATATAATCATGATCAGCTTAAAGTTGAATACATTTTACAAAATAATTATTAAAGCTAAAATTAAATCAAGCCTAATTGAATTAAATAAAAAAATGTATTTTTTTATAAAAATGAAGTTTTAAATAATTAATTAGTTGTTATTTACCAAAATTAAGATTTAATATATTTTTTGACAATCATGTTTCTTTATTTTGTAAGCTCACCCCGTTTATATATAGCTTTAAAATTATTAAAAGATTGGGTAATTTAAAAAATAGATTGAATCAATCAATCAATTTATTTACCTGTATTAAATTTTACAAAAATATCAAAACAGAAAAAAATTTAAGTGAAGGAATCAAGGAATTGAGCTAGACCTCCTTCTATAGTTTAAGTAGTAATTCCTTAGATAGAAATAATTAAAGGCACATACAAAAGAAGTCTTAATAAAACAAAGATTGTTATTATTTCCCAAATAAGTGAAAAACCTGAATTCTAATTGAAGAATTAATTTTTAGCTTAAATAAAAATGATTTTACAGGAACAATAATAGAGTCATTCAAAGTTTTATAAGCTTTTTATAGAAACTCACTCTTCAACAGCAAATTATACGACTAACCTTCAATTTAATAATTATTTACTTGTTATTAAATTGTCAAGAAATCAAGAAATTTTATTTACTTTTTATGTAATACATCAATTTTTAATAGAATGATGGGGACTATTTATTTATTTATTGTAATAAAAAAAATAATATTTTAGACAACAGCAATAATACAAAACTATTTCCTTACTTATGTAAATCTCTTTCTGTAGTAATAATAGTCGTAGTTCATTGATGCGTCATTTATTATTTCAAAGGTACTTCTTTGTAGATTTTTGAATTTAGTACCATTTATATTTTTTAGTTTATTTATAAATTTATGAATGTTGAAAAGGAGAGATAGACCTTTTCCTAAAGAAAGAGCTTTTTTAATTCCTAGCTTAACAAATAAATTATTTTCAATCAGTTTCTTTTGAACGTTACACAATCCTTGTCTACGTGTTTTCGTCTTATTTATTTGGCGGGCTTTAATGTCAATTTAATCATCTATACTTGATTCATTTGAGTCAATAGAGTTACTAGTTTGATTTTTATATTAGTTCTACTATTATTATTTTTATAGAACCCCAATCTAAGTATCAGTGACTAAATTATGGGCTGCAACCTGTTTGCTTTTATTTTAATCAAGTCCGTTATGTTTATCATCAAAACTTCTCTGTCTCAGTTAAACTTTGAAATCTTTTTGAAAATCCTCTTCCATTTTGGAGACATAATTATGTTTTAAAAATTGTGATAATTGAGTTTCATCTTAACACTAGAAGCATGATTAATCATCTAAGTTATCATCTTCTTTCACATCTTTCTTGAAGTTTTTATTATTAAATACCCAACTCCTCCTATCCTTCATTCCATAAAAATGGTTAAATTCTATGTCTGATTATTCTTAAGCATTGAATTCACCATATTATGTTGAAACTTTGCTTCCGTTTACAACAATTACATTCATATTTATTAATAGGCTATTATTTTATTTTTTAATTATTTAACTTTCTATTCAATTTAATTTTAATTTTAATTCTATATATCAATACGATTGGAGATCATCGCAAATTTACATTAAATTTTTTCTAGTTTTTCTCAAAAACTTAATAAATATTAAAATAGCTAGTTTATTTTTTAACTTTATAAGTGGCTATTGTAATTATTATTATTATATAAAAACATGTAATAAATTTTTACTTTTAAACAAAATTAAAGATTTTAGGAATATAAGTCAATACAGTTTCATTACAAGAAAATAAATAGTTAAATTAACTTAGAAAGTTTAATTAAATATTCTTTTTTAAGATTTTTGAAATAGGTAGGCAGGAAAGAAAGGTTAAGAAAGATTTGTTAGATGTTGTATTTAATCATTTTTAAAGATATTCAATTTAAAATATTTTATTCATATTATTTAGTCCAACTGTATTCTTCAATTATTTTTGAAGCCCTTTGCTAATTTTCTTCAGAACCTTCAATTGCTATATGATCTAAAGTTCTAATAGATTAATACCTGTCTATACATATCCAAAATGGGTTTTATTCATATGAATCGTCTTCTTTGGTGAGTTTTTCCCCAAAATCAAGTATTGATATGAAACAATCAAGTAGTTTCATTAAAATTTGATCAGGAAGTTATTGATATTTTTTGTTCAAAAAATCACATAAAATATGAATAACCTCTTTATTTGACAAAAACTCTTCTTTTTATTCATCACTTTAATGTTGCAATAACGTAGAAAGAGCCCAAATAGCCTCTTTCTATACATCTAACGTTTCCTCTTCTTCTATCTGAGAAATAATTTTTGAATCTAACATATACTAGCTCGCAATTTAAATAAAGCTTTCTCCATTCATAAACATGTTTGACAAACTAAACGCTATATTTTCCCTTACAGTACTTAGAGTATGGCTCATCATAATATATAACGGATAAATGAGATCCTATTTCACTAAAAGCTTTAAAAAAGTAAATCAGTTAAATAGAAATTATTCGTTTATTTATATTTTTTTTACCATTATATATTTTTAGTCCTGCAAAGATATCAATTTGTATAAAGAAGATACATTAACCATATCTTCATCAGTCTAAATACAAGATATAAAGTATTATGAAAAGAATCTGCACTCATATAGGATATTAAATTATGCTTCAGAAAGAGGGTTATCTTCTATGAACAAGTAAGTTAATCCATGAGTAATTTAGTTAAAATACTCTGATTTGCCCATTTTCAAACATAGATTCATAATGCTTGCAATGATTCTAAACTATTTTATATTAAATCAATCTTATTTACTTACTTATCATAATCAAGAATAATTGTTATGTGAAAGAATACTTACTTATTCATCATCTATTTTATCATGTATACTTAGCATGGTAGTGGACAAGTTTAATATAACTCTAATCAAATTATCAGCAATCTCTGTTTCTCCTTAATTTATGCTATAATATATTTTATAAATATTTTGTGGAATGATATTGATAGGATCATTTATTTATTTATTAATTTAGTAATTTACCTTTTAGCTATATTTTAAACACAATTGCTTAAGAAAAATAAAAACCCTTCTTCAAAAAATTTATATCTGTATTAGGGATCTTCCAAAGATATGTTCACAGCAAGCCATATTGCCTAAATTTTATTAAGCATTAAAAACAATTAATTTATCAAAATATTTTAATAAATTTGTGTGGAGTAAAAATAAAGATTTTTGGAATCAAAAATATTTTTTACACTCATTCTAAATTAAACTAAAACATAAAAATTTTAAATTAACTTTTGCCACACATATTTTTTTTAAATTTGAGCTTACATTTTCAAAGAGCATACTGTTTTTATTGTCTTTTAAAATAGCTTTAAGGGTAGATACGATATCTTAATCTATTAGTTTTCTTATCACTTCATGCTAATCGTTAGGAAGATGGGATAAATTAATTAAGCACCATAAAGCTGTGTTCTTAGTAGCTAAATCTACTTATGTATTCTTAATGAGAAGGTGAAGACTAAAGTGTATAAACAGTTATTTAAGAATATTAATAACTTCAGGAGGTTTTTCATTAATCAAATACTCATTTAGTATTTATTGGAGTACATTATCAAGCTAAGCGTTATTAGCAGGATCAAAATTGTAAATATAACTATTTAATTGATTCACCAATTAAAAAATTCTATCATATTCTGCTTTAAAATCTAATTCTTTTTAGCAAATCTACATTTATTAATTATTCTATTAATAAGTATTTTCTACCATATCGCTTTACTACTAAATAGATTAAATATTATTAAATTATTGTGGATTTGGCTAAATACTATTTAATTAGTTATTGCTATATTCATTTAAGTTAGATAAGTCTTAAAAATTTAGTTTCCTGGTTTTATTGAATGTTTATTGCAACTTTTTTTTCCTAATTTCTAACCTATAAGATCTTTTCTTTATTGACATAGCATTTTTCAATGAAAACTCATCATCGTCATCATTAAATTATTAATTATTTTGTTGAAAATCTACTTCCATTTCAAATTACAAACAATTTTCTTTAATCAATTATTAAAGTTTATCAGATTTAACAAATCCTATTAATAAAATTAAAATTTTCTAAAATTTGGCGTAATTTCAAATATTATATATATATAATTTATGGTCTCTAATAGATGTTAAATAGCATTGAAATTTCTTGCTAAATATTTTCTTTAGCTTAAAAATGCAATTAATTCATTTGACTACTAAAATATGTTTTTATTTCAATAACCAAATTATCTATTTTTTTTAAAGAAAATCTTAAAAAATGTTTAAATCATAAATCTAAATATAGAAATTAATAAATTTAAAATAAAAAAATATTTTAAATTATTATCCACCTGTCTGTAAAATATTAAAAGATAATATATTGACTAATTAATATTTATAACTTTAATAATTTTAATCATATGAGCTGATTATATTTTCAAAGGCGTTTAAAAATTTCAATTACTGAGTTGAATTAATAATAATTTATAACTCCTTTATTCATGTGCACTATAATCCATTATTTCAAATTAAAAATAAAACAATTAATTTTTATGATTATTCAATATTGATTGATACATAAATTATTCAAGCAAATAATTTCTGAACATTCTACTTTTTATTTAATTCATTCACATTTTAATATTTTATAATAAAATAATTACTTTTTCTAATTTTGTAAAAAAATTGTCTACTTTCATAAATTATCTGATTTTAAAAATATTTAGCTGTTTCTTTCTCTTCCTCTTTTGATATTACTTTTTAATAATTGATTTACTTTTATTTTTATGAAATTTAAAAAATCTTTATTTATTTAACAGAAAGTTATAAAATAATATAATTTTTTAATGTTAAAATTTAAAATATAGGATTAACTATTTTTAATAAAAAAATATTTTTTAAATAAAAATATAATTCACTTTTTTCTATCTGAAATCTAACATATATAAATCATATATATTAGGTCCAAGTATTTATAAATTATTTGAATTCAAATTTACATAGAACATTATTTTGAATAATTCTCTTTGTTAATAAAAAATTTTAGTTTTGATAAATTTAATTTAAATACATTTTAATAATTTTTTTAATAAGTTATTTTAAATTATTTAGTATTTTTAAAAGAATAACTAAATAATTGTATAACTTATGATAATCTTTACAAAATAATAAAAACCAACATTAATAATACAATCAAAGGGAAATCTAATAAATGTATAATAACAAACTACAAACTTAGCAATTTTATAATTTGGGAAAATATTATTTAGCATAAAAGCTATTAATAAATTATTGGCTTTATCAAAATTTAATTTTATTAAATTAGATTTATTTTTCTTATGAAGTTTAATTTATTTATAGTTTATGTAAAAAGAATTAGAACATCAAAAAAAATTAATGTTTTTTTACATTTATTTATAAATAATTTTTTTTAAATGTAACAATTAAATGTTAAATAATTTATTCTTGAAATGATAAAAACGAATTTAATACATACAAAAAAAATAAAATGAAGAAATGAAATAAAAATATATTTTATTTATTTAATATTATTGAAGTTTATGTATTCAGAAACTGTAATTTTATAATTTGGAATTTGAAATTAATATGCTACAACAAGATTACACTTTTTTTTATTATTGAGTGAATCATATAAAGTTGATATTCTTTAAATTTTATCTTACTTTGAAATTGAGTGATTAAATGAAAGAGGCATATGAATAAGCTTGCTTATTTAGCAAATAATGACGTTTATCTCGTATTTTGTATATTTTAATCATGGTTATTGGTAATTCTTTTATATTGTTATGTTTAATTATGAATTATAAATTACATTCTTATTCATGATTATTCCTTTTTTAAGTGTTGATAGCTATTTTCTGTAGAAAATCACCTTTAATCTATTTGTAAGATCTTTTAAATCTCTCAAATATTTAATTATTAAACAAAATATTCTTTTAATTTAAATAATAATCAAACAAAAATGAATAAGATTATTTTAACTATCTGCTTAATTGGCTTCGCAGTTGCTTCAAATCCTGTCGCTATCTTCCACGGTTTCGGTGATGCATGTGCTAACCCTGGTATGAAGGTAACATACTTCATAACACTTTTATTTATTTAATAATTTTATTCAAATAAGTTATTATTTTAACAATATTTCAATTTTTGATCTAAAATTTGCACAAAATATTCATCAATTCCTCTTAAATTATAGTCCTTCACTAAGTAAATTGCTGCTGGTGTTAATGGAGCATATGTTAAATGTGTTGAAATTGGAAACGGTGCTATGTCTAGTGTTCTTATGAGATTTGATAAATAAGTAGAAAATGCTTGCAATAGTATTAAACAAGACCCTAACTTTTAAGGTAAAACAATTAATGTCCTTGGATTAAGTCAAGGTGGTCTTATCGCAAGAGGTATCATTGAAACTTGTGACTTTGGAGGCAGTGTTGCTCGTCTTATTTCTATTGGTGGTCCTCAAATGGGTGTTGCTACTATTCCTAAATGCCATAAGGGAATTTTCTGTAACATATTAAATGGCCTTGTTGATGATCTTGTTTACACTCCTCTCGCTTAAAAGACTGTTGGTCCTGCTGGTTACTTCAGAAACCCTAAGCATTATAACACTTATTTAAAACACAGCATTTTCCTTCCTATTGTTAACAATGAAAGATAAGTCAATCAAACTTACAAGGACAGATTTGTTGCCCTCGAAAAAGTTTAATTGACTATGTTCAGCAAGGACTCCGTCATTGATCCCAAGGAAACTGCTTGGTTCTCCTTCTATGGAACTGATGGAAAAACTGTTGTTGGAATCGAATAACAAGATGTTTTCACCTAGGATTTGTTTGGTTTGAAGACAGTTTATGATGCTGGTAAAGTAGAATTTATAACTATTGATGGCGATCATTTAAGATTCTCAACCGAAGACATCCAAAATATTTACATTCCTGCTCTCTAATGAAAAATTAAAACCAAAAATAATTGATTGATAAATGTTATAATAAATGATTTTATATCTATAAAGTAAAGTTAAAATTTTATATTACTTTAACTGATTAATAATCAGATTTAACTATATTTACTTCAAAAATTAATTTAGTTGCATTAATCAGTTCAAATATATGCCAAAGATTATTTTGATTTTGAAACATTTTTTATAAAATTTAAAAAATTATGTATTTAAAAATATAAATAAATGTAAATATATATGGCAGTATTTATCATTTCTCTCACTAGACAATTAATTATTATATAATAAACCATTATGTTAGTTGATTTTATCTTTCAAAATAAAATTAAGATCAGCTAACTTTAATCTTATATTTCATTAATGCAGTATATAAAAAAGAAAAATTATATTTGAAGGTTATTTTCTTTTAGGGTTTCTTTAAGGATTTTGATATGAATTGAAACTAAATAAAGTTAGGAGTTTCATCAAAAATTTGATTTGAAAGTAAGTTGAAGGTATTTTTGTTATTTGTATTTATTTTTTAGATATTAAATACAGGATTACTTTAAATGCTTATTAATTAATTATTGATCAGAAAAATTCTAAAAGGAATTTTTTTGAAGAAATAGCACAAGATATTATTTAAATTAATTTAAGTAATGTTTGAATTTATAAATTAAAAATAAAATTAAACTGACTGACTGATTGATTGATTGATTGATTGAAATGTGATAGAAAAAAATAGATAGATAATAATACAAAATGAGAATATTAATAACATGGATGATCTTATAACTATTAAAATGTATTAATATATAAGTATATGAATAATTAATTTATAAGAAATTTTATTTTCAAATATTTTAAAATAAATAGAAATCATCAAAAGATATTTAGAGTTTGAAATATTGCTTGCTTCCTTGCTTGCTTGCTTGCTGTATGTAATTTTTGAAGTAATTATTCTTAAGGTAATCAATCCAAATCAGTTTTGGCCTTAAGCTTTTTCTTACTTTGACTTCAAATATTCTTCATACTATCTCTTAGATTCAAGGATGTTATTTTGCAAAGAGTGCTTATCTTCTTCGGTTAAAATAGAGGTTATAGCACCATAGTATTGGCTATTAGTTTGAGCTATATTTAAGAGTTATTGTTCTAAAACTAAGATTTCATCGATATTTTCAAGAGGACAGTTATAACTATTAATTAATTAAAGAAGTATTTATTAATAAAATAGAAAATATTGTAAAATTTTTAGTATTTACTTGTAATTGTAGTTGTATCTGTCAAGAGGATCAAAGTCATCATCAAAGTCGTCATCATCATCTAGTTCTTCAGCTGCACCTTAAACTTGGGATTTTGTGTAGTTCTAAACATTTTAGATGTGTTGATTAAGAGTAGATTGGAAGTCTTTTCCTTCTCCTTTGCCATCTTCTTCTTCGTCATCATCACAGTCTTCGAAATCTTCTTCTTCACGGAGCTTGACGATTTCTGAAGTAATGCTGACACATTGCTTAAGAATTTAGGGAGTGATGACTTTGATTTCTTCAGGAATAGCAGGGCAACCCAAAATAGAAGTGAAGGCAAGTAGTAATCTTTACTTGGAGAAATCTGACTTGAACTACTTTAAGACGTTGAACCATTTTTAGAAAAGGGCTTATACGATGGGAATACCGTAAGAATTGACTAAAATAGCAAAAGTTTCAGTAGAATTGTAATAGAAACACATGCAGAGAGTTTCTAAGTTAGCAACGATGACATCGTTCTTAATTTTATTGGTATTAAGATTTTAGAGAGTTAATTAAATAATTTATTGGAGAACTCCGTTGCTTAACTTTTAAGTTTAGAGATTGTTCTCGATTAAGCAGTAAAGGACTGTGAGACAGTTTTTCATGCCTGTTTCTTCATCATCATCGAAACCTCCTTCAATACATTTTTTATAAACTCCAGCGACAAACAAGAAAATTAAATCAATAAATCTTTATCCAAATAAGTCGTTAGCAGTGAAGAAGAAATCTCCTCCCTTTTGAATGAAATTCTTCAAGATGATAACGATTTCGTTTGTGTGTTCAGGGCCCCAACCATTAATAGCACTTTCAAGTAAAAGCTTTTATTCTTAGTTTAAGTGATTTGCAAGATTTAAGTCAGCATCATCCTTACCAATAACGATGTAAATCAAAACAGGATAGTAGAACCATAATTAAGAACTGGGATCAATAGCAGTAGATCTGAAGGTAAGTTATTACAATAAGTAAAGGGCTTCATCCATATAATCACATTAGTCATCAATCAAGCAAGTATTTAAGATGGGTAAAACGACCTAAATAAATAAATATTTAAAAATTTAATTTATTTTAGCTTAAATTAAACAACTTTTATAATTTTTATCGATTAATTTAGACCAAAAAATGATTAATTTTTTAAATTATTTTTCAAAATGATTTATTTAATTAATAATAATTTAATCAGCACTTTTTAAAAATTTTTAGTGCAAAGACGGCATATCTTGCTTGAATAACCTAGTAGAATAATAAAAAGTAATAAATTATTTACATCTTCTAATTTTTTAAGGACGTCAGGAGTAATGGGAGAGTTAAGGATCTTTCCGATAGCATCTAGACAGCCACCTGCAGCGAGTTAGCATTCACCATCATCGTCATTTTCAGGTTCGTTGTCTTTGCTTTTGTACTTGTAGAAAGCAGAAGATAAGTGAACACACAAATCATAAGCAAAAGGACCAATTTCACTAGAGAATTACTCAACAATACCTTCGAGGGCTGCAACAAGTTCTTCACTATCAATTTCGTCCATAAGCTTTAAGTAAATACGCAAGATTTCAGAAAGATATCCTTTGATCATTTCTTGGGCTTGCTTTTGGGACATAATTGTATTAAGAGCTAAGGCGGCCTTAAATCTGACTGGTAAGTTTTAATCTTTCAAGCAGTTGCTTATTCCTTGAACTGATGCAATAACGTTTTGGTTGTTAAGGAAAGTCATGTATCCATACTTGCCAATAACCCAGCAAGCTCTAGATTTAATTAAACCATTAGCGTTTTGGAATTCAGGGATGACGTACTTTTCTAAGAGAGGTTCTAATTAGTTCTTAAGAATTTCATCCTTCAATATGACTTCTTTTAACTAACCAACGGCAAAGAAGATACCATCCTTAATAGCAAGATTGAGAGGTTAGTTGTTACGAGGGTTAGCGTTGGTGTCAATATATTGAGCACAGAACTAGACGAATTGATGAAGATAAGTATTTTTGCTGAATTCGTTTTAGCATATATTTTTAATTAAATCCATAGCTAAGTTCTTGTTGTTTGCAAAACCAGTGTTAATGAAATCATCTTCCTAAACATTTCAAAAAAAATATAATAAATCAATTGCATCTTTATTATTAAATATGAAATAAAAAAGGCTATTTGCTAATAAAATCATTTAGTCCTAATTATAAAGTATTTCTAAAAAATGCACTCATTCATTCAGCCTTTTTAATATATAAAAAGAAAAATATAAGAAATATTTTTACTTATCTAATAAATTCAGTAGGATCAGTTTCCCAGAGTTCGTTATCCTTGGGCTTAATCCATAATAAAGGGAAGAGAGTTTCATAAAGGATAGTTTCAATATGAGGTTAGAATCTTTCAAATAAGGCTTTGTACTTGAAGACCTTGGTCAAGAATTTGATACCAAAATGAACGCAGGCATTACCTACGAAAGTTGTTTGGGAAAGGACGAGTTATTTAATAAAGCTTTCCATGACGTTACCCATATGGTTATCAATTAACCATTAAGCAATAGCACTTGCTTTTTCTTCAGTACAAATTGCTCTGTTAGCGTATCTGGTTATAAATTTGTGGAAAATCTTGCCAGCCCATTTCTTATTTTTCCAAAGAGGGTGCTTATCTCTACTAAGAATGGTATCTTCGTCTTAAGTAGGAATAGTCAAATTTTATGGCTATTTAGATTAAAATATTATTGTTATTTTTAGAAATTTTAAAAGAATTTCGCTTGTATCTAAAAAAATTTGTTATTTCTAATAAGACTCACAAATTGGTATAATTTTTTTTTTAAATTCCGCGATTATTTTTTCTAGTGAATCTATTAAATTTATTATATTTATGAACTATTTAAAGCGCTAATCAATCAATATAATTATAGATCATTGATTATTTATTTATTCATATGTCAAACTTTAAATGCTATCTGACTAATAAAACCTAAGTATTTTTGCTATTTTTGATTTTTACTTCTATTATGATAGCTATTTTAAGGTAGTTGCCTAAAATGTGGTTTAGGATATAAAATTTTTATACAAAAGTGATAAAATGTTTGATTTTTAAATGCTTTTTCCATTTATTTTTAAATAGATTTATAAAATATAAAAAAAATAGAATAATTACCATTTCAGAGTCAATGAGGAGCTTTAAGAAGTTAATCCATTAAGCAAGAACTTCATAATTTTAGAGACTAACGGGGAGATCAAGACTGATACACATAAAGAAAATTTTAAGCATAGGCTTAAGGATATAAGCATTATCAGCGTTGTAAATAGCCATCAATTTGGAAATGAGAGTTTAAAAGGCAGGTAAGACAATTGGAATAATTTCTTCGATATTCTTTCTCTTGTCAGACATGTCATATTACAAAATATCGAAAACCTATTGAATAGTAAGGCAACATCCAAAAATTTCACTGGGATTTTCAGAAGCCATCATTCTAGCAGTTGCATCTTAAATGATATTAGGCCATTGAGCAGGATAATCATATCCACAAACTTCGTAAATAACTTTACAGTAAAGCTTGTAGAGCTTTCTGTTTTCAACAGATCTAATCAAAGCATCCATCAAGTTATTTCTAACAACAGTTTTGTCTTCTTAACTGAATCTGAAGGCCTTTTAATCCCTAGGATTCCAATATTTCTTGATATTATTCTTTAAATCAGCAACTGCAAATTAGCGGATATTAATTTCAATTTCATTTTAATCAGCAATCATCATCAATTTTTGAGGGTAACCAGGCTCAAAAGCGCTTTTCTCTAAAACGCTTTAACCACTAACAATTTCTTGCTAGCTATGAGCTTTAACGCAAAGAGTGATAGCTTATAAAATACTTTAACAGTCCATTTCTGCGATCTTTATATTAAGTGCTTGTTATTTATTAAATTTTTTCTTATAAAATTAATTAATTTTATTGTTTTTTGGCGAACTATTTTAATTATTTGTTGCTTATCTTTTGAATAATAACCTTTTCAGTGATTTTGTATTTATTTATATTTGACACTTTATTTTATAATATAAAATATTCTTTTGATTAATTAAGGTTAAAATTATCACAAAATTTATACTCTTAAGCAGCAAAATCAAGCAAGATATTCATTTTTTAATTTAATCAGGCATATCTTTTGTTCTATCAATTAATCAAACAAGCAAACAAACAAGCAAAGAAAGAATCAAAACAATTATTTTAAAATTTCTTTATTCACTTTTAATTTATATTTTTAAATATTTTCAAATTTTATTTTAAAAATTATCAAACGATTTTTAACTTATTCATAGAACAGAATATTCTAGAGTATATTTTAAATAAAAGTAGAAGTATTTTTGTTTTTTTTAAATTTGCATTTTTATTTTGAATTATAATCAGAAAAATAAATATTTACTTTGCTAACTTTTCTTTAAATTAGTATCATAAAATTTTGGGGTTGGGGTTGGGGTTGGGGTTGGGGTTGGGGTTGGGGTTGGGGTTGGGGT